TCAAGACAATTTGAAGATTCAAAATACATATTACGTACTAAAATGCGAAAGTTATACACCACAAAATTGATAAATAGGCCTGAAATGAAATTCTATCTTGTTATTGATTATACGTTGCCTAGCACGTGACTAAAATCTACCCAGGCGGAGATCCAAAATGACGGTGGCAGTCTTGGTTTAGTTATATCACTCAAAACTCGTTCCCGTTTGTCTCATTTGATAAAGAGGGAATCGTTAATGTTTTCACTAAGACAGTATTGCCATGATTTTCTAATATTTACAATGATAGACAGTAAATTTCACTTTTCATCCTCATTTACTTCCAACCTTTTCTTTTGAACCAGAAACAGAAATGATATACGTTTAAAACACATGACATCATCCACCCTTGTCAAATACAATAGCATGATCATTTCAATTATAATGCCTTCTTATCCCTGCGTTACTTTGTTTCTCTGTTACATTAGCGAACACTGAACTACTGCTCATACTCTAGATGAGACAATTAACCGCAAAATTCCCTAAACCAGATAACATTAAACATAATCCAAAAAAATCATTCACGAGTTTGCTCACAGAGCACTTTGATTACGTTCTTGAACTCATTGCATTGAACTTACCTTTGGGTCATTTTGCCCACGCGTAGAGCGCTTTTTCCGGCCGGATCTGTATTTTTCTTTTTCTGGCTATTTTAGCTTTACTGGGGTAGCAAGATTTACCCCCAGCCTTTTAGCTTTCGCACTTGGATTACATAGGCCTTCGTCTGCAGATTTGGGATTTGAACCACTGGCGTCCGCCATCTTAAAAACCTGCCACGTAATACCGCTGACCTCGTAGAGAGGCATTCTAGAGGGAAAAAAATTACTCCTGGGTTCCACACGCAGCATAAACTAGCTGAGTTATAGGTGACCTTTCTTTCGAAACCTAATAAATGTGGCAAAAAAAGTTTAAAATAATGTTTAAATAGTAATAAAATCAAAAGTTTGCAAAGACTTAATTCAAGCGCTATGTCAGCTAACAGACCAATTTGGAAAGAAAGTGAAGTTTGCACGTCTTAATTTGAAAGATTGGACTCGGAATCTACCAACTTGTTGCACTACTTTATTCTAACCAAATATCGGCATAAAATAACAATTGTGGTAGTCAACTGTCAAAAAAGGAATCGGCTAAATTACATAATCACCAACATTAAAAATGAGACATTTGGGTCTTTAAAAAAAAAGGGAGATATTTACAGTTCTGTAAGGCGCTATTCCCAAGATTTTCCGCCCTTGTATTTTAGTAAAGAAAAATTTCCTGACAATAAACAACGGCAGCTGAGGAAGAGTGTTTTTCCTTCTTCTCGTGCCCAGTATCTCGGCGCCTGCTGGCTATGATAGCCTCACCGAACAAAGGGAGACGAGGGTTCCCGCGCTAATTCGAGTTAACTTCGTATCAGAGGAGTACAGAACAAAGTGAAGCAACTCAAATTAGTAAAGCACCTCAAGTAAAACACCTTACCTGAGAGAAAAAGCTCAAGTAAGTGAAACACCTCTAGTAAGAGAAGCACCTCAAGTAAGTGAAGCACCCCATTGAAGTAAAGCAACTCAAGTAAAGCAGCTCAACAAAGGAAAGCACCTCATGTTAGTAGAGCATCTCAAGTAAGCAAAGCACCTCAAGTAAAGAAACAAGCTTTACTAAGGAAAGCGCCTCAAGTCAGTAAAGCTTCTACAGTAAGGAAAGTGCCCAAGTAAGTGAAGTTCTTCAAGTAACTGAAGTACCTCAAGTTAGTTAAGCACCACAAGTTAGTAAAACACCTCAAGTAAGTAGAGCTTCTCAAATAAGGAAAGGGCGAATAGTAACCCAAACCTAAGTTGTCTATATTGTCAGATATCATTCGGCCATTTCGTCGTCCATATGGCATTCAGCCATGAAGTATATACCACCTGAGCTCCTGTGGGCTTTGAGACGGGGATGTTTTAGTATCGCTTACACGACATACTAATAATTTTCATTAAAACACTCGTTTCCAGTTTCCTCACAAGTGTGTACTTATGCTGCTATTAAAACATAACGAAATCACGAACTTTCGTGGAGCTAGTGAAGTAATCAACATCTTTAAGAGCTCGCTTCGTAAGGACAGAAAATATGTCTGAAAGAGTAAGACAGAGAGCAACAAAGTCATCAGCTAGTCAGCAAATAACGGAAAATAAACCGAAGGAAAGCTCGGAGAAAAACAAACATGAGAGGTACGTTTTACCCGATGCACGTCGAGTGTATCGATCTCAACACGTTTCCTTTAGATACTGAAACTTACATTGAGCCTCGGGCGAAGGGAACAAACCATTTCCATTCTTGACATAAAATGTTTCTTTGAACCCACAGAGGTCTGGTGTCTTCGCTACTTTGTGGAATCGTTACGTTAGTTTGGTAGGTTCAAGAGTTTTGCGTGTTAGTATATTTAGCTATTAAACAGTATTGTTTCGGCCAATCAAAAGGCGATAGGTAGAGAAAGGGGTGTCTATTAGAGTGATTCGAAAGCCATGAAAAGTAATGTCATAGTGGTGTCAGCTCAAAGTGAAGCTTATCAAGTTCAAAATTCACTTATTCTACACTTATTAAAGGATGGCAAATGGTTTGGTAAAGTTTCCGCACAGCCCCATACTATTGTAAAACAAATCTGTTTTCCCAATGGAAATGTATTGTTTTTGTCATTGTTTTCTCTATTCAAGAACTGAATGCATAATTTAGTATGGGGCTGTGCTGAAATTTTACCAATGGTTTAAACTTGACACGTGATTAAGCTCAAAATTAAGACGTGAAGCGTGAATCTTACAGGAAAGCAAGGTAAGGTGAGATTTGGAGTGTTCTCTTTTAAATTTGTGACGCTTGAAATACTGTTTTACGTGCACGTAACGCATGGTTTTTTCTTAAATTCGTGCATGAAACGAGATCAAGACTCTACCTTTACTGCCCTTGTACCTGGGACCAATTATTGCATCTATGGGGGGGGGGGTGAGAAGGGTTAGTTTTAGTAGTGTGAGAGGTGAAGGGCATTGCTATTTACTTTGATGTGTCATGTTATAACTTTCAAGACTGTCATTGTCCATGTCTGATAAACAATCAAGGCCTAAAACAATATCTAAAGAGAGTGTGTGATATGGACACTTTATTGGAGATGCTACTGCAGGGCTGGTTGCTTAAAGGGTGATTTAACTGTAATGAGAATCTAGGATCAAAACTTAAATATTGCTTTGATTTCTTGTTACTCTTTTGTTCTTGTAATCTAAATTCTGATTCTCTCCTCTGTCTGCTTAACTTGGAAATTAGTGTTTAATCAGACAGTATCTGCTAATTGATAGGTTTCTGTCATCTCAACACTCTTCTGCTTTAAACTGTATTTGAATTGTAAGGAGAAATTCCATTTTTGTCACTCCAGGGAGTAAAAGGATTAATGGAAAAGCATGAACTGTATAAGGATAAGTGTGGAGTTGGCTTACATTGTTTAGGAATCAAAATATGTGTATTAAAAAATTTACACATCCTATGGTTAACTTTTTAACTCCTCAAAGTGATGAACATGTAACTTCTCCTTAAGATATCCATACAATATCAAGCAAAATTGAGATGAGATTTCTCAAACTTATCACTGGTACAATTTTTTGTCAACATTCTTGTAACTTATTTAAATCTTTGGAGTTTAAGGGTTAAAAAAATCTCAGTTGAACCAATTCAACCTTTAGAAGACAAGTCTTGCATTGTGATTGCACTTGTTAAAGACAAAGCAAGTTAATGTTTATCATTTCATTTCTTAGGGTTTTGTTCAAGACAACAGTGGGTGTGATTTTGCTCTTTTACATCACATGTGTGATAATAATGTATTCCTCACCAGAAGCAAGGAAGCTCATGATTTATTTACATCCATGTTAGTACACTGTAACTATTATGAATGTGTTATGTAGGTACATATCATTATAATGGTTAATTAGTCTTGCCTCTTGATCTCTGCTTTCAAGTGAATAATTATATGTAGAAAGTAAATGAAGAATTATTTTGGTAATGTGTTGCATTTACATGATAAAGATGTTGCTCATTCATGATTTGTTGGTAACCAGACATTTCGCACAAGAGACTTTTAGCACAAGTTTTGGACTGTTCACACAATTATTAGTGGTCATTTCACACAATAATTATAAGTGAGAAACACCAATATAAAAGGTTTTTATATCTGATGAATCTGATAAACTTAATTCACTTTAACCCTTTAACTCCCAATTCTTCCCTCCAGCTGCTATAGTGATTTTGAGTGTTCTCGTTACCTGTTTGCTGGATACTGTATGGATATTAAAGGGAGTTTAAGGGTTATTAGAGACTGAGGTAGTTTCAAGTGTTAAGATTTGCACCAGAACAGTTTTTCTTAAGACTTAGTGGTTGGTGTATTTGTTCTTGTTCAGTGCTCTAATACAGTGGGATTACATATAATGAACTAATGTGTATTATTGAAGTAAAGTTAGAGATCTCTTGATTTAAATAATTGTAAGTGATAATTTCTTTTTGTATTACTGATAACCTTCATTTTCCTCTTTTGTCACCCAGTGAAGAATCCATTTGAAAATTTGTCTGATCCTAGTTCATTTGGTTTACCTGATAGTACTGTACATTTTTACATATCTGGTCCTGCTGGTAAACTAGGAGCATGGTCAGTTTTTTTGTTTTTGTCTTTGTTTTGTATTTTGTTTTATTTGTTATTGTTTTACTCTGTTGCAAGTGTCAGTTAAGCAGTCAATAGATATTTATAGTTTGAAAAGAAAGCTGCTTTTCTTATTCAACATAGCTGTATTTGTAGTCACATTGACAGTTGTTAAGCCTGTGTTATCTGCTAAACTCAATGTACAGCACATGGTATGGGTGTTGGGATGAAATTATGTGTTGAAGTATAAGCCTGGTTGGGACACACTTGCCACAAGTTCATTAGATTTGGCTGCAATCATGGACAAACTACATGGTCTCAAACTAGTTGAAGTCAGAGCAGTCCATTTCAAATTGAGGGAAAATTCTTTTTCTGAAAGGAAGACATGTTTTCTCAAACATCTCCTTGTGGCAGGAAGTGAATAATCATTGTTACCTTACCTGTAGAATGAGCATTTTCAGTCAACAGAACTGCTTTTGTCATGATTATGTTCCATACTGAGTGTGCTTGTATTAATGTTATTCAGTGATGCAGCTTTGAGACAGTGTGAAACAGACTTTTGCTGAAATTAGCAATTGACAACAATCTGAATAGACCTGTTATTATTTAATCAAAAGCAGGTTTGTTGATTAGGACATCTACCAAAGTCTACTTGAAGGAAGTGCCAAGTCTGTGATTGCCTTCATTTGTTTTCCTTGTTTGTTGTATATTTTAGGAATATTCCCAGTCAAAATGCTGATAAGGCCCAAGATGCCAAAACTGACAAGCATTCCCACCTTAGTGATGGAAATCCAGTATTTCTCTATTTTCATGGCAATGCTTACACAAGGTTATTACATTTTAAGTAAATTGAACTGACCAGTGAAAGACTGCAGTTATTGACTAGAAATTTCTTGGGGTAAATTTAAAATTAATCTGCAATGTTTGGACAGTCAGATACCAGTTTTTTGAGTGTGGGGGGTTAGGGGAAAGAGACCTATTTTTTTAAACAGAGTAATTTACTTGTCATGAAAGTAGAATTTCGCAGTACTGAACTACTGTATTTTAAGTGGCACTTTTGATTACTCAGTTTCATAACTGAAAGTAGATGAATTTCACAGTACTGAACTACGGTATTTTAAATGGCACTTTTGGTTACTCAGTTTCATAACTGAAAGTAGATGAATTTCGCAGTACTGAACTACTGTATTTCAAATGGCACATTTGGTTACTCATTTTCATAACTGAGTAAAGGATCATGGTACTTCTTACTTAATAACCATTAATCATTAAGGGTTTTTATTTTGTTTATTATGTTTCTATTACTAGACACACATGTACCTGTGTTATTATCTTTATTTAATTTTTTTTTTCCTTTCAGAGGGACCGGCCACAGATTAGGAGTTTATAAGGTTGTTATGATTGAGGTCTTGCTGAAATCTCAAAATAAATGACTGTTTTAAAGTAGTTATCACACTTTTAAAAACCTGAAAATGCCATGTTTAATACTAACAGTACTTTTAATTTCATTCATAGAGTTATAGTAATGTTGTACATTAATTTTGTAGAGTTTTTGTAATGTTATTTCAAAATGATGTAACTCTATTTTTTTTTGTTTGATTGTTTATATCCCTGCAGCTTTTGACTTCCATTGGTTATCATGTAGTAACAATTGACTATAGAGGTACAGTTTTGTTTTGGTATTTTACATTATGGTTTGACAAATTAAGTGTCACAATTCAATATAAATGCAGATTTACATGTATATGAATGTACGAGAATTTTAAACCACTGGATTGAAGGATTTTTAAAGAAATTATTTCATTAAATAGTTGATTATCTTCATGAGAGGGAACTTTGGAAACACATTTGTTGGAAAAATGGCCTTTAATGGAATTTTTTTCCCTGAATAACTTATGGAAAATACTTAGAATGTCAACTTTTCAAATTAATTTTTATGCTTATATATCTGTACCAAATTCTCTCCATGTATCAGATGAGTATTTTTCCTCTCAATCTGGTGCTGCACTATAGTTTTGTAGATGCATCTTTCCTCTGTGGTTTGTACATTTAACATTAACAGTTTATATCAAATTCCTCAAACAGATCTTCAATACAAAGAAATGACAGTGGTTCTTAGTTTCATTGTCACTTTTAATCTCCATGAATAGTTATATTTTCCTATTTACTGATGATGGAAACATTTCCTTTGATTATTGTTCATAGGTTTTGGTGACTCTGAAGGAAAGCCATCTGAAAATGGTATTGTTTAAAATTCAGATATGAAATTGCAGTACTGCATTAAGAATAAATTGGTTGTTGATGCAGTAAATTGTTTCTACTTTATACTCTTGGTTTTCATCAGGATACCATTGTTATCAAAGAACTTAGTCATTTTTCAAGATCACTTTTCATCATTCATCAACAAGCACTATGTCTGTAAGCAGAAAGGTCCTCTTAGATGGCATCATCAACAGCCACTGAAGTTGAATAAGACAGCATAACTGTGTCCTCACAACTTTAAATTGAAATTTTTTACTGTTAGGACTCATTGAGGATGGTCTTGCTGCTTGGAAGTGGATAAGATCACAAAGTCCTGAGGCACCTTTGTACATCTGGGGTCACTCCTTAGGTTCAGGGTAAGAGGACCAAGTATTACTCTTGTGGAGTAAAAAGTAACAGTCATGTACTTGGTTTGAATAACTTTAAAATCAGGGGCATTGTGGATAGTTTTGGAGGAATTACGGTGCTTTTGGCAAACTGGCAACCAGGATTTGCCTCGATGAAATAACTGTAGGAATGTTTCTTGTAAGGCACTGTCACTTATTAGTTCAATGGGCGAGTACTTGCATATATATTGTACCACATCACATTCATTTATGTTGTTTCATCTTGTTGTGTGTTTTTTTATTCTAGGGTAGCTGGTGGAGTTGCAAAAGCTCTATGTGAAGAAGGTTTGTGCTAGATAAACACTGTAATTTCTACTCCTATGCAATCACAAAATCTATTAATCTTGATTTCCTGGAAAGAAGGACAACTTTCCTGCTACTTCTAAGATTTTATTAAAGTATTTTAGACTTTAAGTTTTGTAGTGAATTTTCCATGCTCATGCCAGTTACTCAGAAAACTCTCCATGAATTGCTAATCAGAAATTTCAAGAAAAAGATATTGAAGAGTTGCACTGCTCAATATTTTGGTGCTTGTACATGTACGTGATTTTGGACACATGTACATGAAATTTGCTGATGCAAGAAGTTTTTACAATGATAGAGTTTCACTGACATGGGCAAGGCAATGATCAAACCGTAGGTTGAATAACAATGCTTCAAATATAAAGTCATGTTTTTACAGGTTCTCCACCATTAGGAGTCATTCTTGAAGCACCTTTTAACAATATTTGGGATGGTGCAGTCCATCATCCAATAGCTATAGTAAGTCTTTAAACTTCAGGCAAGAGTTAAAACTTGTGCTTAAAGTTTTCCTGGCCATTTGTGCCATACAAGGGATGAGGGTTTTTCTTGAATGCAGTGCTTTGTTTAACCCTTTCTCTCCCTAGAAAGACCAAAAATAAATTTCCTCTTGGATACATTTGAGCAGAAAGGTGATGAGAAGAAAAGGAAATGTCAACGATAAAAGTTTTGACACCAAATTCTGAGAGCTAGAATCATCTTATACAGTAAGATCTTGGGTGGGTAGGGAGGAGTGCATGGATTATTTGTGCATTTCAATGTTGCATTTTTCTCATCACTATTTAGTAACACGAATGAAAATTTTAGTCTTTTTTTTTTTATTCTCCTCCATCATAAAATTCGCTCTGACCGAGGTCTAACACACGAAACGAGTTTAGGAACTTTTCGGTGGCTAATTTACATTATCAACTCAGTTGGTAAAACCGAATTATATTGTCATACCAACAACTGATGCAGCACCACAGTTTCTTTAGAAAACTGCCCCCTTTGTTATTATCTAAACGATCTCTGTAAAAGGATCTGTGGAAATGCACAGCTGTTTGTATTTTGTGAAAAGAAGATATTCTGAAGGCAGAGTATCCGTCATCATCTTTTTTCTAAATGGAGTTTGATTACGATGCGTTGTTTATGTTGCCTTTGCTTGCAGCGGCGTAAGGAATTGAAGTGTGTAAGGTATTAATCAATGAAGCATTGAGTTCAGGGGAAATTTTCGTAGGTTTTTCTCTAGTGTCCCAGAAGTCTCTTTGGATAGAGGAGAAAATCAAGATGGATGATATTTTTGCCTATTTTTTGATTGAGTGCTGGTTAGTAAAACTTTACTTTTATTAAAGCCTTTTAGATTCCTGCCATATTTTAATGAGACTGTGCTAGAAGAAGTCAAAGAAGCATTTCGCACTGATAAGAGGTGGGCAAGTTTTCATGTACTTCGTTCAGATCGGTGACAACCACACTGCCATTTCCTTAGAGGTACTTTGTCAACCAGTCATTACAAATTCAAATAATGTATCCTGATTGACCGACACGCAGTGCCACTTGCATGTACTTCAGCACCCCACGCGCCTCATGTAAGTGTAATTAGTTAGAACCACACGCTCTTACAGTGCGTGTAGCTACGCGCGTGCAGTAAAAAAAGTTGCATGCGTGCTGTGGTTAACGCAGCGTACGTGTACTTAAATTAGTCTTTGGTCATTTTATGCATTTCTGCGACCGAATTAATCCTAAGTTGATCATTCAAACAATATTCACGTCAACAATGCGCTCTCTACAATGTATGAGCTTAAACATGTCGTCAGCGAGTTGAGAAAATAAATTCTAGATCGAAACTGTGAGTCATGTTAAATCGTAAGAGGATAATGGTGTCATATGAAACTCGGGGTCTTATCCAAAATAAATAATCTGCCAATAGAATTGAATTAGAATTCTTTTCCGTACTGAAGATTCATTCTACCCTTTTTTTGTTTTGTCTTGTAGGTTAGCAGACGTGTATTGTCCGATACTTATCCTTCATGATCGAAGTGATGAGATCATATCGTTTGCTCTGGGGAAAAAGGTAGGTAATGGTGACAGGATTTTCTAAAGTGAGAAATATGATTTACCAAGAAATGGGATAAATAAGAACTTATAGCTCTGTAGTTCAGAAGATAGAGGCGCCCAGATGGTTTCTTGGAGGCCTAGATTTGAAGCCTGTAGAAGCTTGTAGAAGCCCGAAGTTCCTCAGGCTTCTTTACTTTCTCTTCAGTGAGTTTAAGGTCACCTGGGAGGATGCGTTCGTAATTGTTCTGTTCTTAGAATTCATTGAAAGCCAGCATTGAACAGAGCTAATATTGAAATGTTAACATGGTGAAATGGGTTTTTGAGTGACAAAGGGTTTAGCAACCGCTCCAATATCTTTTTTCATCAACTTACATTCGAGGTTAAAAAGAGAATTTCTCATGTTTCTGGTTAAGATGCCTGTCCACCTTCCGGCCGTATGTTGAACTTATGTAACAGTTTTTCATTTTACTTTTTACCTATTCCCCTCCCCTCTTGGAGGTAGTCTCAAGGCAACACAGTAACCCGTGCTAATGTGTAAACACTTACAGCGCAATACGCCCACGACTTTCCATACCTGTAGGTCTAAGTAAACAAAACATTTCACAGAGTTACCATTATGACTTATTTAAATGTTTGAAAAATTATTTTTGTGTCTTGTTCTATACTCCAGTTGTATGAAAGTGCTAAGGTCTCGCGGCCAGCTGATGCAGGTCCTATCAAATTTATTGAATTAGATGGACAACACGGCCACAAGATGATTTATCAGTCGCAAAAGCTCCCGGGGATCTTGAGGTAAATTGTGTAGATTATTTTTTTTAAGGTCATGATTCTGATATTTTGCACTCGTGAAATCAGCAATTTTCATCTTAGGCCTTTCAAACTTCGGAGTTTGGTTGGCCTAACATATTAGGTACAGCAGTTTTCTTAGTGTTTATTTCTTGGAGTAAAAATAAATATTAATTCGAAAGAAAATTGATTTGAATCTTATTCTTGTCTTGTTGTTTTTGAAAAATGTTCTCCCAGACATGCAATACTGTTTACCTAAAACTCAATATAACAATTTTTGTAACTTGGATTCTGAATCTGGGTTCTTCATTTCACCTTATATTCCCCTGAAAATTTACGCCTATTGCACAAACGTTTTGTCTGTGCTTGAGACCTAACAAGTCCCGACCTAATACAAAGTTTCACTCGTAGCTTAAATTTTTAAGATTTTAAAATATTTCGGAGGTCTAACGACGCACTGAAATCTAGTAAATGTACGTCTTGCAATTTGGGTTTCTACACCGTTAAAAAAATGAAAAGAAAAAACAACAAGAAAAAAATAATCAAGAAGGAAAGGAAGAAAGAAAGAGAACCGGTTTCTTAAAAATCTTTACTTTTGATGAATACTCAGTTTGTTGTAAAATAGATCATCAGGTGACCTGAATTATAATGTTTTCTTTCGTTTGTTATTTTATTTTGTTGTTTTTTTTTTTTGTTCTGTCCTTTAAACTTCTGCGTCTCTCTAGTAGCGCTGAAATATATGTTAACTGCGCAGACGCATTTCATACGTTCAGAATACTTGGGTTTCTACACCGTTAAAAAAATGAAAAAAAAAAGACAACAAGAAAAAAGTAATCAAGAAGGAAAGGAAAAAAGAAAGAGAACCGGTTTCTTAATACTCAGCCGTTTTCAGAATACTCAGACGGTTACTCAATATACTGATTACTCAACCGGTTTCAGAATACTCAGACGCGCATATACGTTTTTTATTCTTGGTGTTCATTTTTTTTTCATTTTCATCATTTTAAAGCTTTTTTTTCATTTCTCTTTTAGGGAATTTGTCAGGACCAATTGATGCACTAGCTCAGCTACAAGTCAGATGTTTGAAAACACGTGACGTAAGGAGCAAATGGCTTTAAAAAAATGGATGCGAGGGCCGAGCAGTGAGGGGAACGAGAAAATAAAATTGGAAACGGTTTTACAAGAAGATTACAAAATGGAAAATGGACAAGTTCATGTTAATTTTAGAGTGCCACTGTAGGTAATTATTTAAAATGGATGTAAACATTTAATTCAAGATGTAATTGAGTGGTTAGAAACACTTTTAAAATAAACATGCTAATTCTCAGTGTTGCGCAAAAATTTTTCTGAACTGTATGTTGTCTGCGTTGTGTAGAAAGGGGATGTAGCGAAAAGCGTAGTTAACGACCGCGAAGTTTTTGACGCACTCGAATTACTTTTCCAGTTCCACACCTGCATATCCACCGAATGCTTTAGCAGCAGCGGTACAGCAACTGGAAAGACAAATCTGACCAGATCTATTACTCTGTCAACTGAGTGATAAGCGTTGAGAAAAAAAGAGATTTTGGAGAATGAAAAACATAACGACAAATATTTTCAGATTGTCTTAAAAACGAACCGAGCTGAATCAATCATGACTCTGATTTCTAAAATCGAAGGCGTGAAATGCTCGGTTAAAAGGCACCTGTCCGATTTGGAATGATTGGGTCTGATGAACTATTGAGGAACAACGTGAAGATGACTTCACCATTTGGCCTCCTTACAAAAGCAAATGGAAGTCGTGTTAACCTGCGTCGGTTTAGAATGCATCACAAAAGACTTCAAAATGTAGTAAGTACATCAGCGACACACTCAACTTCGCCTCGTGTGCCCATTCTTTGTTCTCGCCACATTCGACGTCGTTTACGATCTTTTACTTAAGAGATGTACGGCAACATTGAATCCATTTGCTAAGTATTCATGCCAAGAAACTATGAACTAAAACGAACACAATTTTTTTAAGAAGCTTATAAAGTTGACTAATTGTTAACACCCCACGCCGTTTTCAAAAGAAACACCTAGATCTCATTAATTATATAGCAAAACAAACAATGACAGAGCGCCAGCTGAATAGTTTCTGTTTCACAATTTTTTTTTTCCTTGTTGTTTTTAAGTAACTTTGTTTAGAGACCATAGCAGTTTTCTACCTTAAAACAATTCGGGGAAACAATAAAAAGTCACAAAAACAGCTATAGGATCTATTTATCGATACCCTTACTCTGTGTCTGTGGATAAACGTAGTGTGTTGGTTTGCTTGTGTGCGGTGAGAAGTTCCCCTTAAGCTAATTAACGAAGGAATTTGCATACAAAAAATAGGTTTATCACCAGTTACTCATTAACTGTAGTTCACGAAATATCCAAGTCTTTACCTACATTTCGTTTGTCAAGCAGCACATCACTTAACAGTAGTGTACTGTTTAAGTCATGAAATTCCGTGACCGACTTGCAACTTTTTCGTATGCGCGAAGATGCTCCAGCAGAGAAAGTAAAGTTGTTATTTGATGTTTGAACGAAGAAAGCTTGACTTTTGTTAAGACCCAATTGTGGAGATAGGGGCGAGTCTTTGATTATTATGAACCTTTTCCTTTAATTTCCGATTCCCACATTTTTACCCTTCTCGGGACAATTTTCTTAGCTAAATTAAAATAATCAGGAAGAAGTTAACCACATGAAGAAGCCTGTTTTTCCAACTGTTTTCTTCTGTGAATATATCTTCCATTGTTAAAGAAGAGCTTTTCTCAAACAAAAGGTAATAATAGATAATAGTATTGTTGGGTACAATTTAGCCCATTCAGTTTCATATTTTACATAGCAATAATTTTTCCTTTATATTTGTCTTGGAGTAACAAAATGAATGTAGAAGCGACTACTAATAATGCTCATCTGGAAGACTGAAAATCAAGTTAAGGCCTATACTGCCCAGTCTTCATTTTTTTCAATCTTCATTTTTTTCAAATTATTTTTCTTAGCAGCTTCACTTTTTTGCGCATACTATGAAGACAAAAGAAGGCAAAGTGTTATACCAGAGAGAAATTTCTATGTTAAAACCAAGAGGTATTTTCCACAAATTAAAAATGAAAGCAAACTAATTCTTCACTGCAGGATACTAAGTATCCTATTGTCACAATAGATTTCTACCTTGCACCTGGAGTGAATGAAAAACTACAGAGCGGTCCTCACGCTATTTTGTCATTTTCCTCGTCAAGGAATTTGAAACGGTGAAATGATTGTTCTAAGGACGTTGGTAAGTCTTAAAGTTTGTCAATTTAACGCTTGTAATCCCAAGATGCAGTTCTTTAAAAGAATTCTTTGTTTCTCCTCTTGTCAGGTGTTTTCAAGTATCTACACAATTTTGCTACCGAAAGTATCTGGATCGACCGGTATAAAATATAGTGATCTTTGACTTTTTATGCCACCTTAGTAGTTTGATCTCTCAAGAAAATAATTTAAAGTGTCTGAGCGATCTATTCCGCTGAAGAATCTCATCCAGCTTGCTGAATGGACGAGATATGAATGATTCTTTGCGTTTTTAAATCTTACAAGTAAATTACTAATACCATATTGAAATATCATTTTCTTAACGACAAAGGACAATAAATAGTCCTTGAATTTGATTTGATTTTTTACCAGAATGCAAGGAACATTTGTTGGGTTCTTCTTGGATTTCGTGTTCTCAAGGTAAAATGATGAGTGGTATTGTGTGTCTCATATTACGGCAGAACGTTTTAAGTCCAATCGTGTAAACCAGACCCTATTAGTCATCATTGGTTTCTCCTGTAAGCCTGTGACAGATTTAACACTAATCCCAGCTCTCTCTTTTGCTAAACAGTGACTTTGGGAAGGTTCTGCCCGTTATGATTTTCTTGCTACTTTCGATTTACATTAGTTTTCTGGTTGGAGGTTTTTTGTTATGAAAATAAAAAACAATAGCAACAACAAAACGACAAAAAAAAAACAAAACAAGTAGAAAGAAAAAACCAACAAAGGAAAGGAAGGAAAAAAGGGGAGAGAAATTGAGAAACGAAGAAAAAGAATTTACGATTGTTTCTTTTTTGCCGAATGATGGAGGACGTAGATCGGATTTCAAGAATAATCTGATTGTGCGCCGATAAAAATTACAATAATTTGACGTAGTTGCTTGGTGCCTTGGTTTTGTCATTCCTTAGCACCGAGAACTGGTTACTAAAGTTGTGAGTAGCAAGTTTTTGAACTTAAAGAAACCAGGGCTCCAATTGATCGATATTATTCAATCCGCACAAGCGGGAGATAATCGTTAGTGAATGATAGCCATGAATAGGAGCTTCAGCGTGTTTAATTTGTCGTGTACGACCCTGCTGCGTTTCGCAGAGTTCAAAAAGAGTCCATGAGCTCGGAGCCATAAGGCGATCAAACAGAATGGCTAAATTGTTAAAATTTGAAATGAAACAAAACTTTTTAAATTACCCAATACAATACAATACAATACAATTTATTTTATGTCGGTAACGTAGGGGGTGGTTACCCAATCCCCCGAGCCTAATGGCTCATGTTGAAAACGCTCGACAGTTAAAATACAGATGTGTATATAAATATATGTACCAGTTAAATATATGTATGTATGACGAAAAAAAGAAACGCAAAAATATCACCTAGCCCTCTACCCCTAGTCCTAATCCTGAACCTCCCCTGAAACCCTACCAGCCCTAATCACCTAACTTGTAGCCCTAACCCTGAAGCCTAATTACCAATTCATAACCCTACCCCTACAATTGTATACTAATACATTTATTACACTTACAGCCAAGCGTAGTTATGCGAGATAGGCCAGTCTTGAATTCTGCTAGAGTAGTTGCCGATTTAACTGAAGATGGTAGCTGGTTCCAGGAATGAGAGATAATATATGAAAAAGACCTATGAATATGGCTAGAGGTATTTACAGGCTGGGAAACATTAAGAGCAGAGGAGCGCAAATTGTAGTGACAGACCCTAGGTGTGAAAAAATTAGAGATATACGAAGCTCCCTGTAGCCTGTATGCATTGAAAAACATGATTAAAGACGCAGTAAGACGTCTTTGGATTAAGGTGTCCAATGCCAATGACGTTTCGAGTGTTAGCCCTTCGCCCTTTGTAATCTTAGTATAGACTGCTGTTCGATCATGTGCAAGCTATCCTGTCAAATTGTTCTCTAACACACATCATTTTTCCCCCGAGTTTTCCGGCATCATTTTTTAGAACTACTCCTCGTGTCCTTTGATCAGCAATTCATGTCAATGTATACCTAGTGCACTCTCCTAATAAGGTCACGAAAACCATATACGTGACATACGTAACACTGGGTTGATTTTAAACCTGTTGTATTTCCATCTATATTTTCCAGAGTCATATTATTCCCTTTTTGAGAACGCGAGTCATTTCTGGGAGTTGGATTATCCGGAAATAGTCGACAACATTACCGCTCATCCTGGTAATATCACCTCACTAGTCCCTGATGAGGTTACGAATACGCGTTCACCTGCGGGCACTGGAGTACTCATCACGGGAACCGGTGAAATCAATCTGAATCCTGGGTTCGCCATCGAGTGTCCTGTTGATCCAACGCTGTGCGCCGCAGGTTTTTCAGTTTCTTTTTTTATCAAAGTAACTGGACCAGATTCTAAGTTCGTCGATTACTCGTTTCTGTTTGGGAATATTGTCACACAAACTGTTGAACAGATTACTGGTTTTAAAGGGTTTGCTGTTGGAATGCGGGGAAAATATTTAGAGATAGTTGTTGTGAGTGATAACTACGTTTGTAAAGGCACCCTAACGTGGTACAAGCGTAACGTATGGTCCCACGTGGCGTTTAGTTGGAAGGATCCTGCATCAGCTGATGGTGGCCTCAAGGTTTTTAACGACGCTTCCACATCAAATCTCCAGGGAAGCTGCGATTTGGAGCATGGGAACAGACCGTCATCGCGGCAAACAATATCTCTTGGATCTTCAACGCGATTACTTTTGTTGTCTGTCGAATTGGACATCCTAACAATTTGGAACGAAAGCCTCTCATCTACAAAGCTTAAAGCTCCTTGGTACATCATAAAAGGTGAACCCTTATGTCATCTACAAAGCTTAAAGCTCCTTGGTACATCATAAAAGGTGAACCCTTATGTTATTTTCGATCTACCATTACCCACTGGCAGGTAGAGTAGACATCATTTGATTTGGAATTATACGTTCATACTTTACAGTAGGAACTACTTGGCAAAAAGCCTATTCACTCTTGAAAATAACGCGAGGAATAGAAGAGAAAAATTCTTAAGAAGCTTAATTTAATATTTTATCACTTTTTTGCGGGTTATATTGCCAAGTTCCTAGTTTTCCCTAAGCATCATCGACGTGAGAATTTTTAGAGATCAACTGCACGTTCCATTTTGACTTTCCTTGAATGACTTCTCGTCGGTTTTTTAGAAGATATTTTGTACCACTGATTTTCCTTGTCAGAAGTTATGATGTTCTTCACAAACGTATGTATTCGCATTTTTGTTTCTTCCATTATGATTTTTCAGATAATTGTCGTATTCCAATTGATGTAATCTTTAACATTGTTCTTCTGGACCTACCTTGGGAGCCAAATTTAGCAGATGCAAAGTCGGATGAACACGAGGAGTTGATCGTACAGTTTACAAACCAGGTCTGCTCCTTTTATGATCTTTTACTGAGGGTAGTAAGTCAAGTGGTTGATAACGCTTTATAGGATGCTCTTATCCACTATCGGTTCAAATTGCCGATATCGTAAACCGTAACATTGAACGAGAAAATAAAAAGTTGTTGTGTTACTTCATGAAGACCTCACGTGGTATGTGCTTACGTTCTCTGAGATGAAAAGGAGTCATGACACGGCAAACTTGGGCAAGGATCAACCTTAGTCCGTAATGTCTGAAGCACAAATATTTCCGTCCTGAGAAAGAACACCTGTTACGTAAACTGACTTGAAAAAGCGATTGTGCATTAACGTAACTGCCTTTAAATAAAAGAGGTCTGCGAAATTAGGTGCTCTATGAGAAACATACAAAAAATGTTTAGCTTGCGAAGAAAAACGATAACAAACTTAACAAAAACACTAACGAGGAGGTATGAAAAAATTAAGGCAGAAATACTGAAGTAAAAAAGATCACAGAAAAATGATTGTAGTAAGTGCTTTGGATCTTACATATTTCATTATGCATTATCCACATAAAAGAAGAACTCTTTAGAATCTTAACAAAAATCAAATGGTCTAAGCTCCAATTTACATTGTCGTGAAGATATTGTGCAAAGTTAAGGTCATTTTAAGGATGACTGTGATAAAATGACAGATCAAATTTTCTTCATTAGATGACTAACTTGAATAACTCCGTCGGGGGAAATATTCTAGAAGCTAACGTGTCTAGCTTCAGGTAAGCTTATTGGTCATAAGTAATTTATGCCACATCTTGATGCTTTGCATGACGTTAGTTGCCATCTTCAAGACTGAAATAAGCTACTCAACTGTCATTACTTTGGGAGTCCTTCAATGTTGCAAGATATCAGTTCTTCTTGTCAAATTCATATCTTTAAAAGAAAACCCTCCTTTACAGGAGATTTTTAGATATCTAAGAAATTCACGTTTATTTCAGTTTATAAGCTAAACAGACATGTTTTTTACTTGGCAGTCAACTGCGTGGTGGCAATGTAACGGCGAAAATGACCTTCAGTTTCTACAGAAGCGAATGGCAAACCCTTTTGCAATTACAGGAAACTTTCGAAAATGGAACTCTGTTAAATTCAAGAATAGAAATTCTCAGTTGCTCTGCCACGGATAAATGTAAGTCACAAGACGTTTCAAAAGCTGCCTTAGCCACCACTGATCACGTTGACTTAAATAGGCCTCGATTGATTGCAGGGCTGTCGGTTGTTAGTTGATGACCGATCGATAAGTGAGCAATACTCGAAAAAGACGTCGGGTAACTCCTTATCGCAGGAGCCGATTATGGTCCCCCCCCCTCCGAAAATCGACAAAAATTTTGACCGACTATTGGTCGACATATCGAATGATAAATCGTTTTAGGGTACTTATACTTATGTTGCGACTTGCAACCCGCCACAATTAGCTACTCCCTTGAGAGGCAACTAAGCAGAAAATAACATTTAGTGCTCGCATTTTGACCGTCAGTAGGTTTTTCAATGTTCCCTTTTCCCTGGTGAGCGGCCTTTTCTAATAATCCTCCCGTCCAGAAGCCTTTCGAACATTTACTTAGTTCCTCCTTGTTGGGAGTTTATTGGAGCGTTTGGGCTCAGTGGACTGAAGTAGATGGTAAATTATGACCTCCGCCGTTTAACAAACAAAAATATTTTAACGTGTTTTCAGTGTTTGAATGGTTTTCCCAAGGGAAAAATATTCAGTAAACCTCGTTCGAAATAGATATGTAAAATTTCTCGTCGAGTAAAGACTAAGGCGTTTTTCTCTGAACAGATTTCTGTACAGTTCCAACGATTACTTCAGGAAGGGGAGGAGCAGAATTCCTTCGAATTTATTTTAACCACCTTCCATATTACTCCGCTGGACTTCTCTATGGCTATACAGCAATTGGTCGCAAATTGGGCGGCTTCTCATTGAAATCTACAACACAATATAAATCTATTCAACAAGTTCTGTATGTGTACCTCGGTTCACTTAAGCCCCTCACAAACTACAGTATTCGCATCTTTCCGCTCAGCTTTCTCGGCTACAGACTTGGAACTAAAGTAGAAGTTTTCCAAACTGAAGAGTCAGGTAAGAACTTTAAATTTTCTTAGATAGTTTTATTCTTGCTCGAAACCTCTCTCTGTTCTCTTCCATCGATAGTCTGTTTGATTTGATGCGTCACCTTATTTCCCAAAAGAATGGTGCGGCTGGTCAGGATAATACGGGGCTTAATGCTCAGATGAGGCTAGGGAGATAAAGTTTTTTTGTTAACACAGGAAGGTCTCGTTTACAGCTACGTACTGGCAAGCATCGACTAGAATTCCCTTTTGGAATTTTTGTGTTCGCAGCTATTATGTGCATCATTCTAAGGATCACTCCTTTGGTGAGGAATGGACATGTCAACATTGTAGTATAACAAGACAGTGTCACATTTGCATAAAATTGTTCAAGATTTTCCACTGACAAATACCATTGTTATAGATTGACAGAGGGCCTACTCTGTAGATAGATAATGGTGATTTAAGTGAGTGGAGTGCAATTTGATCTGAAATCATATGCGTGATTTTAAAATGATTTCAAATCACGATTAGGACTTCAGACTAAAATTGTTCGACGCGAAGTTCAATCACCATCTCATTACATCCATTTCGAAATTGCAAAATTCAGTCGCTAAGATAGGGGAATTTTGTTGATCCAGTAGTGAGCTGGTTTATAGGAAGAAGCGACAGTTCCTTGTCATTTTCCTGCAATTTGATTGGTTTCTTTTAGCAAGCCTTGGTCTGACTGGTTGTTGTATTTTAGTAGAGCTGCTTCATTGGCTGGGAAAAAGATGCAAGTTAGAGAAAAAAATTGGTGCGATTCGTGAATAAATCGCGTCAATGAGAGCCAATCAGATTGCATGGATCACCAGTGATTTCAAAATGGATGTAATAAATATAGTAAAAAGAGTTCAGGAGTCTACCGTATCAGTGATTTTTGTCATCGTTCATCGTTCTCTGTGCAGTGATATTTGATGACTCGGTAATCATTTCCAAATTCTGAAAATTCAGAGGTCAGATTCCTATGAGTTCTTTAGATACTAAGAATGCGTGTAAAAATTTTGTCGTGTGATTATCTCGTTTATTTTATTATCTATGTAACTATGAGAATCACTAGTCCTTGCTTCTCCATGGCCGGGTTGTTCAAAGCTGGGTTGGGATAACCCAGGCTTATTGTGAAATCTGATTTCAGATCTGAAGGCTTCAACAAAAATTTAGTATGATTCTTTTTGTCTAAAATTTGATTATGGGATGCTCTAAAAAGAATAGAGAAAATATTCCCCAAAATCTTTTTAAACAAATTTATAAACAAATCAAAATTAAAATTTAACCTCGGGTTAGCGCTAACCGGCCTTTGAACAACTAGGCTAAGAACTGCATGGCCTATCCCAGTTATTGCTGACTCGTCGTTTCATTTCACAGTTCCAAATGTGGGCCCGAACATAACCAGGGCCTTCAACACAAGCTCAACCAGTTTATTCGTGTCTTGGATTAACAGTATCCCACCCGAAAGCTATGTTGGTGTATTGACTGGTTACCGAGTAATTTGGTCTGAGCAACCGGGTTCCAAAAATAAAAGATTGCGCGATCTTGGACTTGATGCAGTTAACTTTACCATAACAGGGTTGAAGGCATATGGGTTGTATAAAGTTCAGGTAGCTGGGAGGACGAATGGCGGATCAGGAACTTCAAACGATCGATACGTGAGAACAGATGAAGACGGTGAGCAATTTTTTTAATTCCAAGTCAGTAACTGAAGTGCTTTTGGTATTTGAAACTTATTCAAATTCGCTTAAAATCGTGTAATGATGGTCAGTTCTTGCCAAATTAACTAAGTTCATCTTTTACTAAATTACCATTTTTACTTTTGTATCCATTCTATTCTGTCAACGTCTTATTCTTTAATTATTATGTGAAATTGTTGTTTTTCAGACAGGTTGTGGCTTTCGCACACAGAGTAGTCAAATCATTTTTTTTCCTCAATAGAAAACTTCTCTCTGGGTAGTTTTACATAGATTTCATATTAATGGTTGGTTTAATGAGAAACAGAGAAGCGTGAACATGCATAAAGTATGTTACAGGCTCAGTTTTTACAGCTTTCGTTTCACTCATTTGTTGCTAGCAAAGCTTTGAAATCTTGAGTCACTTGTGTTCCTCAAATTGACAGGTGTGGCACATGACACGTGTGTCACATACTGGGCCTTGAGATCAGTTTTGAAGCAGATTTCACATGTTTTATAGTACCATCAGCGGGGCCTGATGATCTGACTGTCACCGTAATAAACAGCACATCCCTATTGGTGGAGTGGAAGAATGTTGATGTGTGCTGCAGAAATGGTGTCACTAGAGGATATCACGTGTTACTCACAGACGATGATCAGCAAAAGATCGTCGCAAATTTGACGCTGTTTGAAACTGTTTTCTCAATTGGATTCCACGATTTACTTCCCTATTATGCGTATAAAGTGTCAGTGAAAGCCTTAAACGTGAAAGGGGTTGGTCCCGCTTCCACAAATGTATCTCTGACTGGTGAAGGAGGTAAGAAAGTTTTGTAACCAATTGCTTGAGGAAGAGCAGCCTAATAATATAGGAGTCAGCAATCGAGTAGGAGGTGTGCAAGGATCATGAAACAATTAAAATCAGAGGACTATTGAAACTAAGAATCACTTAATGAGGAATTTCGTCGCTAACTCTGCCTGTTTATTTTTAGTTCATTTCTACTCTTTTCATTTCCTTCCTTTTTTTAAGGCATTTCGCTCTTTTTTTCTTTTTTCATGTTTAGCGCCTGTTCAGCCTCCAGATGTCACACTGGAATTAAGCTCTGCCACCTCCATTTCGATTCAGTGGACGTTCAACAATTCTGTCAGAAATGTCTTGGGTGTATTGTTAGGCTTCAAGGTTCGCTACAGAGCTGAAGGTGATAACTTTGGTTTGGTGCAAACAATTAAGGCCCAAGAATCGTCCCTGACTTTGGATAGCCTTACACCTTATACTACTTATAACATAAAAGTGGGTGCATTTACGAAGGCTGGTGAGACAAAAAGCAACGCTCTGATCGCTCGCACTCTAGAAGACGGTAGGTCATTCAGTTATTCTGTAGAGAGCCGTTGCATGAAATCATCAATTGATCTCTGCGACTTAGTTACTCGTTAAGATGATTAAATTTGCACTTAAATGATGAATCAGTTGTCTAGCCAGTGTGTTTACCCTCTTGTTTTCGTCGTCTCCGATAAATTCAAGGATCGCTTAACTAGTAATGTGAATGAATGTGATTCATATTTTCAAAGTCCAGAAAGACTTTTAACTTTTTTACCTTTGTGCAACTAATTTTGAGAGTGGTGAGCTTTGGTCCTCTTATAACAAAGGACTTTTGCCCTCTCCAGTTGTTTCGGGCGTCGGCGTTGTGATTTTAATGACACCTTTTCCATAACTACTTGTAAATCAACCCCTCCTAACCCGTATTTTGTCAACCGCTACCAATGAATTTTCTTCTGTGACCATTCTCTCTTTCGATTTAGTACCAGGAGCTCCACCTGTAAATGTGTCGGCAACCAATTCAAGTACGCTTGCGATAAAAATTAATTGGGGACCAATTGGAGTTGAATTGCGCAACGGTATCATCCTGGGTTACCGTATCATGGTTGGGATGCTGAACTCAACTTTAGAGCATACCTTTACAGCTTCATCAAACCAAACAGAGCTGCTTATCAAAAACTTAGACAAAGGGAGAACTTACCGAATCTCGGTAGCAGGGTTTACTTCGGTAGGAAATGGACCACAAAGTGCGCCGGTCTTTATCAAAACCGACGAAGAGGGTATTCATCTTTGTATTTCCATCTTTCTCTCAATAATTTTTTGACGTTTCAATTACTTTCTGCATAACCAAAAAGTATCGTATAAAATGTAGACGTGATTGCCTCTCCGGGTGGACCAATAATATATTGGCTGGACCAAGATAATGCTGTCAACCGCCCTCCTTTTTGAAGGAATAGCGCAATAGAAAAGGTAAAGGATTTCCGACTAAAGGTACTCATTTTATTTTTATGTTTCTTTCAAGATATCGACGAGTGTAGTTCCAATCCTGCATCCTGTCCATATGGAGAAACTTGTGTAAATGGCGAGGGATCCTTCTTCTGTCTGAATACAACGAATGACAGAGGTGTTGTTGCGCTGACTTCAAGAAAATATGCTTTTTTAAGGAAAAGGATAAGTTAGCTGCCATTTGAAACGACTGGGACGTATTGAGCTTTCTCAAAAAGCATTCTAAATTTAAATAATTTTGTTTTCTTGTTGACATATTTGCCATTTCTTGTCATTTGCGATGTCATCTTGGATTCAATCCTTATTTAACCTTTTTCATCGGAAATGAGATGGAAAAGTTCAAATATACTGTCCTTATAAGTGTCACCACTCTGAAAGACTAGAGCTTTTAGTATTGGTCAGAAATTTTCTGACCAACTAAGTTATAAGTTTTTTTAATACTTCCTTTTGATATCTTCTTTACAATTTTAGGTGGGTTTTCTTTGTGAAATATCACTATATTCTGGTGCCTTTGGCTCGATAAGCCCTTATTGTAAAGTGACATAAAGTTCCCCCTATCTTAATATTGACTAAGTTAATTCATTGTATAGTAAAGTTCGAATATAACGTGCGCTTTCATCGGTTGAAAGTGCTCTATAAGTATACAAAGCATTGAAGTGATCTAAAGCTATCACTCTATATGCCAAATTGTATTATGTTCGACCTTTTCCGGGACTTCTTTCTAGCCTTTTTTCGTTAATTGAAAGTGAAATTTCGGAAAAAGCGAGCTGGCAAGTAGAAACAAAAGAACCAAACAATAGTCTGTAAAGATGCCAAGCACCGTAATTTATATTGTTATTTTAAAGTGAGCAGAGACGAAAATCCTCAGAGAGAAGACGAAGTGTACAGTCAGAGTTTTGAAGGTTTTCACGCTCAGTTAGATTGCAAGGTTACGTACGGTAGTAAAAATCAAACACAGCTAAAATTGCCTTTCTTTTTTGTCTTTTGGTGTTGTTGTTGTTTTAGATGGTTCCTCGTGTGTCTTTGGATCTCACGTCAAAATACTGAACATAGACAAGAATGTAAACACCACAACAAAGTTGACAAAATTAACCCGAACCCTGTTCAACACAGAAGTAAACACCAATTGCAGCTTGCTGAGCTTTCAGTGGAGAGTTTCTAATGTGACCTCTCTGCCATTTAGTGTTGGAACAACGTACTCTATTACAATTGGTTTGGGTGCTGAATTGGACGATTTCTCTTCACTCGGCGTTGGAATATATTTGGTCGAGTTCATTGCTCATTCTCAAGAGTTTTATTTTCTTGATTATGGCTTCATAGAAGTCCTTTCTTCTGCACCCATTGCATTCATTGCTGGTGGACCAGAAGTATCGAGGGAACACAACTCCAACATAACGCTGGATGGGTCTCCATCTCGTGATTTGGATATTGGTAAAGGATCATATGAAGGCTTGACATTTGAGTGGTCGTGTAAGAGAGAAGAAGAAACGTTCCATGATGAATCTGATAGTTCTAACCGAACAGTTATCGGGAGAGATGCCGCCAGTAGAGGATGTTTTGGCAATGAAGAGCAAAAACTGAAAGATACTGGTAGAATAGTTTTTTTGGACACCAGCTCAATGCAGATAAACAAATATTACGATATCAAGTTAACAGTCAAGAAGAGGGAGCTCAGTGGAACCTTTGTGCAACGAGTCGAGATTGTCGATGGAACACCTCTCTATGCTGAAATAGAGTAAGCGGTACTTAAGTTATTGTTCCCTGTATCGATCGTTTTTGTACTGTGTACGTTAAAATCCCCTTGTTAAATGGTCTGAAAACGCTAAGAATTATTTTTTCCATAACAAGAGATACTGTCGTATAGCATCGTGGGTCTCTTCATTGCGAGTTCAGCTGAGTGTCTACGATATATTTCGTTCGTGGAGGGTAACGTTTGCCACATGTCCATGTTCACGGATATGACAATGAGGTTATTTTTTCACCGCACGATAAGGAAAGTATGAATTTTAAAACAATAACTTTCACAAATTATCAAACAAAACTTCTGGTCATAATTGAGTTAGAACTACTACCACAGTTGAAACTTGATTTTTTTGCTTTGATGTTGCGCAAACAAAGAAAAAGGCAAAAAGGGTTCTTGAAACTAAATATTAACAATAACTTTCACAAATTATCGAACAAAACTTCTGCTTATAATCAAATTATAACTACTACCACAGTTGAAACTTGATTTTTTTGCTTTGATGTTGCACACACACACAAAAAAATGCAAGTGTCGCAGGCAAAAGGGAACCTTATTATGCTCTTAACACTAGCCAGAACTTATTTTAAAGACCGAACCATTCATAAAGAGATTGTTTATCAACACTCTCAGACCAACTCAGTCACGTTCAAAACTTCTTTAATTATTCTGAGAAATGAATTTGATCAAAATTTGGGAAATTTTCTCAAGTCTTCTCAGGTTTGAATTGATATTTGGCCAGTCGCTTTCGAATTATGAGAATGACCCATATTATTGGCCTATAACATCTTGGATTTCAGGAGACTTACTTTTTTCATATTCATTTTGCAGTTGTCTAATGAATTGTGGACTGGAGGTCATACCAAATGTCAAAGCTACCTTTGTGGCAAACTGCACAAATTCTCCTTGTTACACAAAAAGTGCTCTGTTGAGCTATCATTGGAGATTATTCCAAGAGACCAACGAGGCATGGTCAGAACTTCACCAAATGCAAGAAATCAGAGGAACTAGAGCGAATTCGAATTTTTTCACTATCAATCCCGATGCAATTATTCCAGGCAGAAAGTATCGTCTGACCATCGATGTAGAAAATATGAATGATGATTCCTCCAAAGGCTTTTCTGCGTGGCTTTTTGAAAGCAGCACCATTCCTTTTGGTGGGTCTTGCACGGCAAGCAAATTATCTGGAGTTGCTATTCAAACCGTCTTCACTCTTAAATGTGCTAACTGGAACGATCCAAACACACCTCTTCTTTATGAATTTCTGCTACCCCTGGCAGAAGGACTTAGTGCCATTTTGTCTTATAGTTATTCCACTGCTACAGAGATAATGCTACCTCCCGGTGAATTCGTGAAAAACTATTCCTTAACAATCGACGTGGTAGTTGCAAGCTCCATTGGTTCTAGTTCTAGTACTTCTTTAACGATGCAGGTGAGCCGTGAATTTGATTGGAGGCAGGTATAGACACAAGTATGGTTTTTGATAAAAGTTTGCAGTTATGAAAACCTATTGGGTATTGGGGAAAACTCTGTCATATCACCCAAACTTCCTGCTGAAAGATACTCCCTGATATTCTCTTTTCAATTTTCAGGTTTTTCCTTGGCCTATGATGAGTACCAAAAACGCGTCAGGCGAAATACTCCATCTCTTGAAAAAGCACTTCGTCGTCCATAGTAGTAGAGGAGACGTTACACGGGCTACCCAGATGGCCATTGCTGTTTTAAAATCCTTAGAGCTACAGAAAGACGAAGTTATCAATATAGAAGAGAGACGCCAGGTAGCGAGTTGGTGACAAGTTTAGTAAAGAAAGTTTAGGAAAACAGAAACGGGTATTCTTTGTTTCACAGTGATATTGCTGTTGATAAGAACAAAGGCATAACAGCAAAATTACTTGAATGAAAGTTAAAGATTGCTTTCGTTCTCAAATTTTCTTACTGTTTGTACTCGTCTAGATAGATACGTATGCCTTTTCGTTCGAGACTTGATTACGTGATAAGATACCTTTTTCACCATTCTCCATTACTAGATGATGTAAGAAGCTCCTATTCCACTAAAATCACTGTTAGGTTATGGAAATGCTTTCGAGAATTAAAGTGCCGGTCATGGAATAATAAGGATAGTTTGCTAGATGCATCATTAACAAAAGATACTGTCGCTAAATTTAGGAAAAACGCAGTGATGTTCATTAAAAGGTGGATAAAATTTAACTAGGTAGTCTTCAGCCGAAAGATTCCAAAATAGCCGCGCTAAAATTACCGGTGCACTCTTTCTATTGGTCGAGTTAAAAAGGTAATGCTCAGAAGGCATGAGTATAGAAAAAGCGGTCGTGGGTCAAAATAATATGCTTGTCGAACTAAAAGGGTTTCAGAATAAATTAATTAATTGATTATCTCTTTGGACACAATACACTGAAGGTAATAATTGGTTCCTCTGTGCTGCTTATCAGGTATTTCCTATTTGTTACATCCACTTGGTATGATGTGTGCACTCGGTATGAATAAAGTTCTTATTTTCTAGATCAAAAGCCTCATCGTAAAGACTTTGAGCAAGATAGATATCGGAGACCTGAGGAAGCTCATTCAACTCTCTTCTGTTATTTCTCTTACGATGAATGATCCAGCAGAGATTACAGCGGATACTATGGTTAGTCTTTCATCTTAGTCCTATTTTCACGATTGTATTGTTGATGCAATGTTTTCCATTCTTCCATGTTGCACCTTCGCAGCTTTAACTGACAATTCATTCATATGCCACCCTTATTGTACTAAGGGCCTTAAAAATGTACTGAACATTATAATGTCCTGAGTTTTAGAGATAACTCATTTCCTAAAGATAGAAAAGCTGCCTTACATTCCAATTTCTTTCGACCGGCTAGAATTGATGATCACGTCAAATAAAGAGAGGAGACGTTACGAAACAGAATTCCCTTCTGCAGACAGTGTTACAGGCACCTGGTTTATCTGAAACAATGCTCCAAGAAACCTGCGTGTTATTTGAATTTTTCTATGTGAGGAGCGAGTTGACACTGCATGGAAAATGAGTCGGAGATATGTGAAAATAGTTTAATTGCTATTTGAGAGGCTTAAGTAAGCCTCTATGTGCTTGCTTGACTATCGTTTTTAGGCAGTCACGGCAAGAAACAGTCCATTTTAACAGCATGATAGCAGAGTTAATGCACATTATGAAAACAACAAGGTTTGCAGCACACAGCTGTCAAATGATCTCTCCTGGGTACGCCCTAAATCCTAAACACAAGCCTTTCTCTCAATCGGCAGGAACTTATAATGGAGATGGTGCAGAAGATGACAAAGTTATTTGACGATATCAGTGCTAGAGGGTATGCATTTGATATGCGTTATTCTCGAATAGCCGAGAAGAATCTGGTTTACTCAATAGGAAAACAGCTTCAAGTTTTATCTAGTGACAATGGTGCTATAGAGGGCTCTAGTTCCCAAAACATAACTGTAAGTATTAACCAGCAGCCGTTCTTTTCTACATAGCTTTTTAGTCTCTGGTTGTGTTAATGTTGCATAAATGTCTTTAAAACTTCTTCAACGTGGACATGGAGCTCTTTATGCTTGCTTCTACTCTTATCCGTCTTTGTATAATCTCCCTAATAGCATTACCGGAGAAAGATTAGAGGATTATGTGTTGTAAAACTTGATCAAGGCTTTCGGTAAAGTGGGGCAAGCGAAAAAACGGGCGTGAGAAATGGTGAATCTCTGCTAGACATTATTTTTTTCCTTCTGACGAACAAATTTTTCTCTCGCGCTATTTTCACGATCGTCTCCTCTAATTCGGAGGGTACAGGCCATGTGTTGTGGTCTCACCAACCACACCTGAATGAACTCTAACATTGATGAAACCATGATAATCAGGGCAAAACTCTGAATGCATAGATGATGAAACTTTCAGTCAGGGCCCATTTGAGATAAGGAGTATCTTACTAAATTTTTATCTTGAACGAGAGTAAGGCTGAATGATTTATTTATTAATGGTTGTGATTTCTTCGCGTTAACTTTGTTTTGACGGACGAGCAACTGGAGGGAAACCTGATCCGTGAACTGATCTAGCCCTCAGTAATCATCTAGGTCAGTGAAAAGGAAACATTTTAAAGATCCCTTCAAAGCACAAAAAAATTGATTCTTGACGGCTCTAAAGTGGTGCTGGGATTTATTCTTTTGACACATTGTAGTCTCAGACGCCATATGGTCTGTTGGTCTAGTTGCTGGTCCTTCCCTTCGTTCGTGCGTTTTCGAAATTGAAGGGTTAGAAAACGAACAAAAACCAAACCATTCTGGTGTGCTTGCAACTCTACTCCTTTAGTTCTGTGAGTTAAGGTTAATTAAAACTTCCACAACCCTTCCTGTTGGCTGCAGCTTACTTAATGTTTGTTTTTTCATTATAGACCTCTTTGGAAATTATGCGTAGAGTGTTGCAGACTGTAATCAAGGGAAAAGTTGTCGGAGAGGACCCAAGTGTGATAAAAACGGAACTTTTGGAGGCTCTTGTCGCAAGAAGTCATCCAGAATATGTGGCAGGTTCTTTACTTACCTTGGACACATGTTACGTTCATTTTCCTGAGTCACAAATTATGAGAGACATGCTTTCTGGCACTGGGGAGTACGTTGACTTAGAGGTATGATTATGTTTGTCATATTTGGTTTGTGATCTGAAATCTGACTCTGAAAGCTAGTAGTAGGATAAACCATTTGCAAAGCCGATTAACAAGTAGAGGAAGAGTTTTATATAACGCTGCATTCGATTCCATTCGACGCGCTCAAAAATTGAAGTGCAACTTGGGATTTTTGGGGATTTGTATGGCTATGCTTTATGTGTGTTTTGTGGGAAATAATAGTTCGATGATGCAAAAAACTCAGGCCAAAAGCATCCACGATCATTTTTTCGTTTCAGGTAATTTCGTCGAAAGTCAACTATTATAAACAGAGTACCACCTCGTCATTCATTACATCATATATTGTTGAGGTTGATTTAAGAAGAGACTCTGGCGAAGTCCTTAATGTGCGGAACCTTACCACCGACATACAACTAGGAATAGAACTCCTCAACGGCAATGGAAGTTCACCTGAAAATGACTCTGTTTTTGATCAGGAAAACAAATATTTTGTTAAGCCAGGAAACATCCAGTATCACAGAATTGAAGTGAATCGCGAACGAACCTCATACCTCATAACAATGGCGTCTACGGGAAATTTGAACGTTTTGGTGAAATATGATAGCAAGCCAACAACGGATGATTTTGATGCAAATTTCACTGTTCCAGACTATTCTTCATGCACGAGAAATTTTATTATCGATGGGGATGATGAAGAATATAACTGCAGTCGTCATCCAAATCAACTGCTTTTGACAAATGCAGTAATACAAAAGCCTGGAGTTTATTTTTTAGGAATCCTTTATACTCAACACTCCTCCCCTGGTAGCAGTTCCCATCGTATGCGGAGGTCTTGTTTTAGCGCCAACAGGCAAAAACGGTCATGTATCGAGACAAAAGACCCTCCACCCCCTCTGGGTGTTTACGAGTATGCTACCATCCCAGCTTATGATCCACGCGTTGACGTGAACTACACACTTGTCTCAGATGAACTCAGCTGTCGATTTTGGTCACATGAAGATCAGAAATGGCTAACTGAAGGCTGTAAGGTATACTGCTAAAATTTATTTGGAAAAAGAGGCTTACGGTATGATTTGATTTGGATTGTTACACCGGACGATGCCGCCGGAGCAATCACGATATAGAAAAAGTAATAAACGTCAGGTGTTTGGAAAGATCTGTAATTAAGGGTACCTATGCAGGAGAGGTAAACTATGTGCTAATCAAATCTCGCCCCAAGACCTCTTTCAGTCCAAACTTCCTTCAGGTATGGTATCGTATAGCTTTTTCAAAAACTAAATTCGGCTTGTGTTGTAGGGCAACATGGTATATTACACTATAATACAATCACATCAGTAATTCTTTTTCCTTTGCACCCCAGGTCGGACCTGAGTCCAATAAGCATCGTCTTCTTTGTCTTTGTAACCACCTTACATCGTTCGCTGGAGGCCTTCTAGTAGCACCCAATCCAATTGACATTGATACCGTTTTTAAAGAGCTCAGCCGCCTCGACGAAAGTGGTAACTTTGGTGTCCTTCTTACGATCATTTTCGCATTTTTTTTGTATTGTATTGCCTTCGTCCTCGCCAAGAGGGCGGATAGAAGAGATCTTGCCAAGGTAAGGATTCAACCGGTCGTTAGGCGTTTGATAACTTTTATTAATCATTTTGGGTCTCCTTCTCTTATTCATATCTATTTTCCTTCAGCGTGGGTCTAGGATTCTGTTGGAAACTGAAGAGTGTCTAGTCGCTCATCAGTATGAGCTCACAATCAGCACAGGTGTGTGGTCAGAAAGTGGCACCACAGCCAGAGTAACTATGGTGTTTTACGGTAGCCATGGAAGCAGTGGACCAATCACTCTGCGCGGTAACCTGTATCCTCCGCGGTTGCTGCTATCTCGCGGTAGTGTCGACAGGTACCTTGTCTCACTTCCAGCATCCCTTGGAACTTTAACCCACGCTTATGTTTGGCATGATAACTCTGGAGAAAGTCCTTCTTGGTTCTTGGACTACATAGTTGTTAGGGAACAAAAAACGAGTCAAGAATGGAAATTTTTATGCAATCAGTGGTTTTCTCCCAACAAGGACGATGGAAAAATTGCTAGGAAGTTGTTGGTCGAGAGCATAAACTCATTTCCTGAATTCCAAGAGACATTCCGCGCGCGCCTGTCTGGTACACTGTATGAAAAACATTTATGGATGTCTTTAGTTACTAAACGGCCGGGAAGTTCATTTACACGAACTCAACGTGTCACGTGTTGTTTGTGCGTCATATTCAGCGCCATGCTGGCCAATGCAATGTTTTTTAACATGGGTGGTGAACCTACGGAGAGTACAATCAAACTTGGTCCATTAAAGATTTCGATGAAGCAAATCATAATAACAATTCAAAGCTGCTTGATAATAGCTCCTATCAATTTCCTCATTGTTGCCCTCTTCAAAAACTCCAGGTCAAAATTCGACAAGTATTGTTGCAATCAGTCAAGTGAAAAGGAAGATCAACATTCCGTGGAAGTGGATGACGATGGAAACAAGCCCCTGCACCATATTTTTCTTTACGTTGCTTGGTTTCTTTGTTTGGCCACTTCCATAACCTCTGCCACAGTCGTGTTCTTCTACAGTCTTATGTGGGGTAAGGAGACGGCCGATGAATGGCTTTCATCAATCCTGATGTCCATAACCATGGACATCCTTGCAATTCAACCCGTGCGCCTTGTCATGCTAACCGCAGTCGCTGCCATAATAATAACCAAAGCAAAGAGGACAAAAGCGAAGCTCTCATCTAAGATAAGGTAACCTCAGTACCCTCATTATGTCAGTATACCAGTAAACGTCTGTCTGTGCTTTGCCTCTACTTTAAATCCTAGGTATATTACTATCTATTGAATGGTTATCGTTCGATTATACAGCCGTTTTTTAACCGCTTGTGAGGCTATTTGGGCTCCTTTTAAACTCTTTTAGATCCTGCAGGTGTGGTTGCGCCCCAACCCCGGGGTATTGCTGTTTTCTTTCTGTCTGTGCAAGGTCTTAAAGTTAGGGTCACTACAGGAGAGACTACAAAACCGTCATTTCAAATACAACAAAGCAAATTTCGAGTAGGTGTTGGAAGTAATCTAGGGTGTTGCATTTGCATCTGGTTGGAATTTTTCTTTAAGCTGTGCGACGCTGTGGCGGTAACTCGCTCTAGATTTTTTTTTTCCCAGTTAAGAACAAAATTTAAACAATGTTCACTTTCCGGTCACCTGTATTTGCATTAAATTCCCATTTGGCATCACTTAAATTTCTCTTGCTCTGATTTGTTATATTTTTCTTCTCAATCTGTTTTCAGCCCACCAGACATGTGAGAAATATATTTTTTAAAGTCATCAACAACTAAAAACATGTCTTCCTATTGCAGATCTCTGGCACGGAGGGACAATGGGAATGATGAACCACCTGATAGTTTTAAAGGAGCCTTGCCGGATGCTATGCAGTTGGAAGGTTACAAAAAGTACAGAATCAATGTATCGAGAACTGTGTCGGCATTCCAATCTTTGACGTTCTTCGTTTCATTTCTTTTGATACTTGGGATTGTGTGTTATGGAAACCAAGATTATCACCAATATCTGATAGGTAGAGAAGTTAAGGCTATTTTACCACGAAGTGAAAAGGTAAAGATGTCATGCATGCTAGAAATGTTCATACCTTTGTCGCTGTGTAAAGTTTTCCCCGATTAAAAAACAGATAAAAAAAACATAGAAGAAAACCTTAAAGCAACGAAGTCCTCGATGTAGCACATAATCTCCGAGGCCCAAATTTTAATTATCCTGATATCATGATCATTGCCAATAAAACGTTACAAACGAAGGTACACTGAATACGAAATATACTTTACTTTCCAGACATGGCTTTATTTCGGCACTTTTGTCATTTCGTGACTTATTTTAGAAAAATGTTGATGTTTAGAACATTCATAATAGATTTTAGTAGAAATCCTGAGTAATTTTTGGGGCTATCTGTCGGAAACAAAAGGCCTGAGATCTAGAAAAGAGCGATCAAGTACAATTATAAGCAATTGAAGACTTTGTGGATTTCATTTGAATATTGAAATTTTTATAATCGTTATGGTAATATATATGTAGTGTACCTGTTTATAGTTAACTACATATTTATCAGTGACACCTTTTGGGGGTACTTTCAGGTACATGAAGCGTTAGGTTTGTGGATGTGGTTGATGAACATTTATGCTCCTGCTATGTACACATCACATTGGTACAACGGCGATAAGGGAAACAACGAGATGTACATCAGTGACATGAGCTCTGTGTTGATTGGCATGCCACGGATCAGACAACTGAGGATCGAAAGAAGTAAGCGTGGTGTAAAATATTATATTTTACTATCATTACTTTGTATTCCACTACTTATTTGTTATTTCGAGAGGAACGAGTTACAGTTTTCCCTTTTTGTGTGTGTTTGGATTTTTCAACTTCGATGAAACAGTTTTCTTACGAAATCGACTTTTCACATAATCGAGTTTTATCGCTTTTTTTTCTGCTTGGACTTCGGCACGGCATCCTATTGCACGATTAAATTTCAGTCTTCCAGGGTGAATATTTGATGACAATAGGAATATTCAAATACGGATCCTTCTCTTCTTACAAGGACCTTTCATTTAAAGATAAAATAGTGCAAAGGAAAAGGATATAAATGCTTTTTAATTAAGAATAATGCTGGAAATTTGGGGTTTGGATCTACGCTGTCACTTGGTAGTTTCCATTCGTTGGAAACCCTTTACACTCGTGGGTGGTGAGATGCGGTTAGACTTAAGTGTGTTGCCCGAAAACAAAACACTAAACCCGACCAGGCCTCGAACCACAGCCTTGCGGACTAACATTGGGCCTTTACGGCTCACCGAAAAAACTTACCTGCATTGACAGCGTTCAATATCTGCTCAGTGTAGAATTTGCCGCTCCCGACCCGTCGCAAGAACGTTGTTTTCTGGTCTTACAAGTAAACTACCTGTGATGAGAAATTCTTTTTACTACCTTTCTTATATTCGCTCAATTTACTTGTGCTTACTGTAGTAATGTTAGTGCATTTCTTTTCTATTCGATAGACTCATGTCCTAAGAGGCTCGTGGAAATCTGTAACGTTACTGAAGTTTGCTATCCTCACTATGCCATTTGCCGTGAAGATAAAACACCAATGTACCTCCCAAAATGGAAACTTCCTCCAACTGTTCTTTCATCGTCCTCGTTTGATAGATTGTGTCCAAAGCCTTGGCGGTATCATACCTCAGAAGAAACTAACAATTTACCAAAAGTAACCCCTCGAGAAACATATGGAGGAGGTGGTTATGTGGCTGATCTTGGATATGATTTACAGACAGCAAGATACGTTATGGAAAACTTAAATGAGAACAGCTGGATCGATCGGCGAACTCGAGCCGTCGTCTTGGAATTTAACATTTTCAACAGTAACATGAACATCCTCGTGGTCGCACAGTACTTCTTCGAATTCCTACCAACAGGTGGAGTTTTCAAATATGTTAGTGTGCAAATGTTGAATTTGTATGGAACAGAGACTGGTTTGGTGCAAGTTGTCTTACTTTATCGCCTTCTTCTTCTGGTCATGATCATTGCTTTCAGTGTAATTCAAGTGGTCAAAATGTACCGTCAAAGAAAGTCATACTTCAAAAGCTTTTGGAACTGGCTTATTCTTGCCCTCATCATTACTTCTATAACTTCTGTAGTTCTTCACATCTTTCGAGAGAGGGCCGCCAAAGACACCATAAAGGAACTTCAGAGGAACATTTATGCCATGGTCAGCTTCCACAAACCTTTACGTTTGCTGCACTTTGAAACTGCTGCTCTGTCCATCGTCATCTTTCTGGCGACAGTTAAGCTGCTGAGACTCCTACGTTTTAGCAAGCAAACAGTATTTCTGTCGATAACAGTTCGATTTGCTGGAAAATATTTGTTTTCCTTCTCGTTCGTTTTCATTATCATTTTCTGTTCGTTTGCCATGTCTGGTATGATGGCGTTTGGATCTATTGTGGAGTCCTATTTCAGTTTCCCACGTGCCTGTGTGGCTCAGTTTGAATTCCTACTCGGAAAGGCTGTGCCCAATTTTCAAATGGCAAGAGTAAACCCTTTTCTTTCCTTTGTGTTTTTTAGCCTTTACATTTGCTCTATGACTGTCTTTTTCCTCAATCTATTCATCGTCATTTTGAACTGTGCTTTGGAGGAGGTTAAGAATAATCTTGATTCTGTGGCAGATGAGCTCGACTTGGCCGAATTTATGATTAGTTACTTATTCCAGGGCATTTCTAATCTATTTGGCTGGAAAAAACGCAAGAACTGCAAACTCTATTGCGAGAGTATGACTTTTGAAGATGAATGCGCCTATGTTGAGAAATGTCTTATTGAAATCGATCAAAGACTCTTCATATTGTCAGAGCGCACCTTTCCGGAAGAGCGTTACCGTTTAAAGAAAGATCGGATGGTGAATACATCCCTGTTCCAGACGCAGTCTCATTTGATTAATAGTGAAACAGGCTCTGACAGAAAAGTAACATCCCTTCAACAAGCAGATAGAAGGAGTATGAGCGAAGAAGAAACTCTTGATAGTCCTGAAAGAGAAGTTGTAGTGGAAGTGGACTGCGATCCCTCAAATTTCACCGTGAAAGAAATGACAGAAAATTGTGAACAAACGATAAATCGAACGGCCTCCCCTTCGCAAATACATATGGCCACTGAACACGAAGAGAATTATTAAATTTGGGAACACTTGTGGCACTTAACAAAATAATCTCGAAGTATATTATCACTTTCAATGTGTAATGTAAAAATAACTAACCAAGTCTCAATTTCAGTGTCATTTTAGTTTAGACAGTAAAGCTTTTAAATGTCAAAGAGTGACTTGCTTTTACATACCAAGAGAGACATTAATTAAGGTCACTATCAACAAAATAGGGTGCCTTCAAACTATAAAAATCGAGATCACGGACGAAAGCTCGCGGCAAACGTAAGCACTCTGCTGGAGGCCTTTCCAATTATGACACCTTTCGCTCTTCAGTACGGCTTCTCCCAAAACATTCTTTCAGCCCCATCTTGCTTTCTCATAGAGATCTTACAATTTTTTTCCTGTAAATCAAACTTAACTACTTTCCCTAGCTGAAGAGCCAAAAAACGAAAAATTTCAACCAGATTTTGTGGAAAGTTACCTCAAGCTAAGTACGTCAGGGTCTTTTGCTAGGAAAGAGCTAGATTTAAAGATTTTTGTGTTACAGGCTTCGGAAATGAAGCGGTAAATTACCTTCATTGGGGCTCGTGGAGATTTAAATGTTGCAGTGAGACACCTGGAAAATGCATATTTCGCGCCGATTTTGTGTGAAGAACAAAGTTTATTTTTTACTGCTTTTGCGAGTTTCGATAATCAGTTGTGCAGAAAAGCTAAGTAACGATTCAAGGGGGTAAGTTTCTAAAGAAACTCTAATACTACGTCGGTGGGAGAGTATAACAGGGTAATTTAGTCTTATCAAATGAGTTGATAACGTAAACCTACGAAAAGATTGGCATAGCTAGGTCCCATTTTAGTAACCACGGCTACGCCATTAGTTTACTTGTAATAGTTGCCACTGAACGAAAAGCAATTAATCCCCACGGTATTAACGAGCGCTTTTCAGTCAACTAATTTATTCAGGTTTTCTCATCACCACATTGCCACCAATAGGGTTACTCCATTTCTGCATAAAAACCCACACACAACCCACAATTCCTCCAATCGCTCGCTGACGAAGGGCTAACGCTCGAAACGACAGCTTTTAAACTCTTTACGGTGGCCAATTTACGTTATCAAGTCAGTTAATAATACTAAATTACCCTGAGTAACGATTCACTTACCTGTCAGTTATAGACGTCGGTTGCTGAGCACAGTTTGATCATTACTCACGAATGAGGTCAGGTGGCTCATACTAATCGCCTTTTTAAGAAAGTCTTGTGTTCAGTTCGAACTGAAAACAGCTTAATAGCTTGATTCAATTGTATTTTAATGTAAATCTGTATTCCTCCTTAAAAGTTGCAAAAGAAAAGACAAAGTAACTTTTAAATACAACAAACATCCAAACTTTGTTAAAACACTCAATGAATAAAGGGTAAGTTTTCAAACAAACCGTGTTGCTGCGTCGGTGTGGGATATTACAAGATAATCTGGTTTTGTCAGCTGAGTCGATAATATAAATTAGGCACTTTAGGGAGTTTCTAGAACCTTAGAAACTCTTTCCGGAGGCCATTTTCTACATTACCTACTCAGTTGATAAAATCAAATTATCTTGTTAAAATACCATGAGTACAAGCGGGTGGTATACCAAGGAATCACTGTGGCTTAGTGACTAGGGAAGGGGAAGGGGTTCTACCTTACCGTTTTGTAGAAATTTGGGGCCATACCAACTTGTTTTCTTGTTAACAGAACTCATTCCGTTTGAGTCTCGTAAATCCAATCACAACAGTAATCACGACAGTCAATGAGAAGAAAGGAAACATCGTAAGGAACATTTGAAAAGTCAAAGCAAAAGCAAGCGAACTGTCTGAAGCGCCGGAATACGTATGTAAGTGGCCAATTTGCGTTTGGTTTTAGTTATGAATGTGGTTGGCCGAGAGGATGGTGCAAGTTTGAAGCCAAACCGAAGCAATCCCGGATTATTTTCGACACCCACTTGTAACTTGTCGTATGAAGTAACAATTTGTTCGAAAACGAGGGTTTCTCATGCGCCCTGGTACCTCCATATAGTTACATCCTTTTATCAATAAGTGTGTTTAGCTTCATTTTTTTACACAATATTATAACCGCTCTGTATTTTTTAAGTTATTGGACAAAAAACCGTGTATTTACCCTCTAAACACCGCCTGGATTAAAAAATTGAACGCGTTTGTCAGTTTGTCAATTCTGTCTTAAGATAATAACCACAGCAATGGATATCACTCGTTTTACATATTAATGAATTGTAATGATTTTTGTCCTTGATTCATCATCTCTCATCACAAAGTATGAGATATTAGAAGGAGGACATCCTACGTTTTTTAGAGAGGAAATTGTAGGTGTTAAGATAATTTTAAATCTAACGTCAGCTGAAGTTTGCATTTTACACAACTGAGCACGTAGGCTGTTGTAAACATGTTTTTAATTAAAACGTCTTCAATTAAAATTTAGGCATTGTCTTCAAAGCAATTAGTTTTGTGTGGAGATAAGCTTCCGTACAAAACTAATGAGTTCCGTAGACATTATGTTCCTCAGCCGCGTTTCCGAACGCTGATAAATGATATGTACAATTAATATCTCTTCTCAAAATTTAAAGGGTTTTGCAAATTTATTTTTCTCTAGGAAACTAATTCATTTTTTATCTTACAAGATACTACCAAGAATATTTAATATTATGATGAACAAAAACCCACCATGGAGACAGGCCCTCTTTTGAATCTTGAAAAAAAAACATATTGGAACCGCAAAAGAATAAATGGCCTCATAAGTTTGCGTTTTTAAGTCATTTTGAAATTTTCTGCATTAAAAGAGACTCAGAACTGTTCTTGTGTGTTGTTATTATGGTAACTTACATATGTTAAGAACCGTATTCAAGATGGTGGCAAAAAATGATGCTTTTTAAAGTGACGTATTTGCTTAATTATCTGCTGTGTTATTAGTTTTTATTACCGAGAGTCAAAAATACCTTGATTTGAGCGTGTGGTCGTTTTCGATTTCATGAATCAAAAGTGATCGAGGTACAACGGTCAAGTCAATAAATCAAATGTTCACAACGAATAACTGATTTCTCTCTGTCATTTAGGTATGCAGGAGCCATTTCTGGGGCTTTCTTTAATCTTAGGTCTCCTTCAAGCTCGTTAGTGCATTGCAAATCAAAGGTTTTCAAAGCACATGTCGTTGGTCTGCAATGTATTCTGGGAGGTGTTATCGTGCGTCCTTTTGAAGTTCTGTCTTTGCCTTAATGTTCTGCTCAGTGAAGCTTTGACTGGACCTGCAAGAACCATAAATGAAAAGAATTGTGGATAAAAGTCTACAGTTGAAATCTGGCTACCGTCTGCTGTTTCTTATTGACAACGTTCACATCAGCTAGGTGAGCTAAGATAAGAACTATCTTCTAACACTGAATCTTTAAGTTGCTATTTACGTAATGTTTACAGTTTGTTTTTCAGCTTTATGTAGTTAAGAAACACCATTGGAGATCTTTTAAGCCAGCTTTTACTTTCAAAATATGACTCTAAACTTTGTCGAGCGTGGAAGCTTGTATCAATAAGTATTCAGACAAGAAAGACTGATTTAGGTTCTAAGGTGTGCTATTTCCATTACTGAACACCATCAACTTGTCAAATTCCGAACTCAACCGAAGGTCTCTTGACCGCATGCTTTTTATGTTTGTATGTTTTTATTGTTTCTTTTCTCTTTTTTTCTTGTCACTCTCGAAAAGTCTTGATTCCATATATTGGGCTACTCGCTTAACTTTGCGAGAAAAAGAATCTTCATGATTCGCATAAGGAGTTCACAGTGACAAGTAGCATCTTATTAGAAAACAAAGTCCAAATCTTTCCTTTTCTCCATTTCATGATGAAAATGAAATATGTACACCTGGATAAATATTTCGGTAGTTCGCTATTGAAGCTAAATTCACAACTGTTTTGTCAGGCAAGAAGTGATTGTTCGCTCGACCGACCCACAATTTGAATTAATGCAGAATAATATTTGAAGCGAACATTTTGAGCAAATGGCATGTTGAATATATGGGAAAAAAAAATCCCCAAACAGCAATTGCTGAGACAGAATTAGATCCATAAACACTTATGCATGCAAAAATCTAAATTGACCAACAGCAGTGAACGTTTTCGTTGTGTTTTATGACACAGTGCTTTTGCTCTACATAATAGTTTAGAAATGAATATCTTTTTTGAGAATTCTAAATTGTAATTTACTTGTCGCGGTAGGCGCTTGATTAACATCTGATCTACCAAGAGGACATTGCCTTGATGTTCTCTCGCAGTTAACAAATCTTTTTTCTCACTGTTGACAATTTCATAAACATATGCGTGGGATGAATGAATATTCAATACATGAACCGAAGTCAAAATATAACTTCTTTTCGAAATTTGCCATTTGTCGACAAATTGGTGTGGCTTAATATGAACTTAGCAGATAATGAATTCTTCATTAAGTTTTGGCATCACACATTGAACGCTGACGCAAGCCGATGTGACCAAATCGATTAAAGTATTCCTCTAAAGTCGAATGATTTGGCGATTTTATCTCCTGAATGCAATTAAATGACAGTTTTTGACACATAAATCTCGTCATAGTGGGAACCTAAAGTAGGCGAAAAAGCAGTTTACACATTGCTGCCACATTGCTGTCATTTTCGTTGGTTCACAGGAAATGCATTACTAACGGAAAATGTGTTCCAAGGTAAAGCTGCGACATTTTCCCATCAAAAAGAGTAAGAGTTTAGGTTAACGTCGGCCCATTTGGTGAAAAAGCGATATCGACGCCGGTGTCTTGTACAAATTTTTAGGAAACTGCTGTGCCCAAACTTAGTTTTGTCTCTCTTTATTTGATAAATTTAACATGTGCTTTTCACTTTCTTCTAGCTTCGCTCCTGTTCACGCTCCTGCACTGCGCTCTTCTATAATGGTTTTCTTTTGGTACAAGTGTTAAGGCCATTTTGAAATTTCCCTGATTTGGAGGCAATTTTCACCTTTTAGTTGTTATATCGAAGCGAGACAGAAGTTTCGTATAAGGATTCGAGGGCTCTTATAATGTTTATATTATATTTTCAATTCCAGTCCTAAAACCTTCGATGATTCGAACAATCGTGATGAGTCTCTAGATCCATTCAGCCACACGTTGACGAATAATTGATCAATATTCGTGCTATCTGTGAGAAAAAAACAGAAATTAATCAATTTTTTTAACATGTTCATTTTAAGCTATATCTACAATGAACGCAAAATCGGCCCAAATTTCGTTAGTTAGTTGCTCCACACTGAAACACCTTCAATTTGTAATGAAATTAATGTGTACGAACAATCCAATTTTCGCTTAAAGAAGAGAGAGGAAACAGTCGAAAGCCAGAATCAAATGAAGTCCATATGGGTGACTAATAAATATTGCAGTCCGAGCTTTTCCTGGTTTTTGAAACATGTAGCGAGTAGCAGTCTTTGTTAAAACTGATCTATGGGACTAGAAAGTCCTTAAGGAAACAAAGTATACACCGTGTTGTGGAGTCAGGTGTTAAGTTTCTTGCTGAATGTAAGGGACTGCACAGTTTTTTACTGCAAGGTGGGGCGATTGGGTTGCTGAAATTTAATTTCCCTCTACATAATTTCCAGTGGCCCTGTTCTTGCCACTGCATAAGATAATGTCCCGCCCCCCCTCCCTCCAAGAGCAACTTGTTGTTGGTCCCTTTAGTGCTGCTTTCTCTGTAGAAAGGAAAATAGAGAGCACCAAAAAACCCTACATCTCAGAAATGTTTGGAGAATTTTATACAGCACCTCATTTTCAGGTTCACAAAACGATATGACCCCATCTCCTTTTGCGCTTACCCAACCCCTCCCCCCGACCGTTCCTTAGTAACAAAACACACTAAATCCGGTTGGAATTAAAAGAAAAGAAGATAGAAAAACAGAAGAGCATAGGGGTGAACAGCACCGCTGCCGCAAGGGATGCAAGGAATAGCACCGGACAGAGAAATGGCCGAAAAAAAATCGAGTAAAGGGGAAAACAGTTTGAAAATAACAACAGAGATGGAATATACACTTACTGCCTTTCCCTTGCTCGGGTACTCTACGTCACGAAAGCCCTCGGTTTCCATACTGCGTAACTCAAATGCCACAATTGTTCAATAAACGTCACGAGTTTTCTTTAAAATTTTGCGAAAAAAAATGATAATTCCAAATACGTTGAATCCGGTATAGTTTACTGATTTTCATTTTATTTTACGCACACACTTGATATTGCACGCAGTAGTTCTGAAATCAGAAACTACTTGAAAGCTTCTACTGTACAATATTGTGCCGAATGACAAACAGTTTCCGCTCGTGAAATTACTTAGATATTGCTTTCAGTAAACGATTGACTCCGACTCGAATAACTTATGAGGTCTTTAAGCTTAAAAGTAAGCATGAGTGCGTGCGTCAAAAAAGCATATCCCTCGCTAATGCAAATTTATGGATGTCTAGGACTTCTTTCACGTCTTTTTCTCCTTCTTTTTAATCAGTTAGGAGTTGTTTTCAGCCTTGTTCTCAGTGCAAATACCTTGTTTCATGTCGCAAACAGTGCCCGATGAACACGACAAACATTAAAAGAAGTCGACATCGCTTTCATTTTAAACACGTCTATTTGCAAAAAAGTGACGTTTAACCCGCTGACATGTATGAAAGTAGGTAAATTTCCCCTGGCCTTTAACACTGTTTTTAATCAAGTTAGGCATGCAATTTACGAATTCTTGTTTGTTCTGTAATACAGTGGACAGTAATTTTGCATAGAAATTATTTACAAACGTAGAATGGCAATTTAACTTAAGTACATCAGAAACGAAAATAGCAGAGAACCTTTCGAAAGTAAAATGAATGACTCGAAAAACCATCTCATCGACAACTAAATAGGAACCTGAAAAATTTACAGTGTGGCTGGTGTTAATAGAGCAAATCGATTGTTAATTGTTAACGCTCAGAGAAAATTATAGTTTTTCCATCGGCATAATTTTATTGTTTCGTAGGATTTTCGAGATAAAGGAGTAAGGCTGTTCAAAATTTCGACTTAAGTGAGAACATCATCAAAAAATCTGTCAATGCTCTGATTTGCTGAAGCCAGATTACTTTCCTTCAGAAAAAACAAAGTTTTCACCTGAATGAGAAACAAGATATCAGGGAACCTTTGAAATTTGCGATCTTGATGGCACCTGTCATAAGTTGTATTCTTCAGTATTTTGATAAAGAGCGCTGCCACCGCCTTCGTTGACAGAAAAAATTTAATTCACTACCATTCAAAACTCTGTGTTTTCTTTTCACACATGAATAGTGAAGTGCCAATGGAACTTTGTTCACCAGCCTTTTAAAAATTGATGTTTATCACTTTATTTCGTTGCAAGACTTGAGTGGTCGTAAACCTAAACATCCAGCTGAACCAAGACTTTTTCTTTCTTGAGGAATGGGGGAGGGAGTGATTTGTAATCGCCTGCTAAGTAAACTTTACGTGTATGTCGCATTGTTCATTGAACTTCCTCAGCAGACATTTTTATTCAAGGCTTAATCACGGAGGAAAAGGACTGATTTCTATTCAAACTACATCTCAATCACCTCATCGACATCTCAAGCCGGTAGAGAAGCATCTTGATTTTCCAATCCCTCTAACGTGAAAGTTGTAAGTATCACACAACTTCGCTTTCTATTTCAGTTTTAAAGGGTGCCAAATTTTCGTGCGTACGGGTGCAGTTAGCAACAGAGAAACGATTTATTGCCCTTCCTTCTTAAATCATTGCGTAATCAGTGTCGCGAACATCGTGCCCTTTATGGCGATCATTTCTAAACGAATTTTAGAGTAAATTCGAGTAGAGGTGTAGCATAAATAATTTTTATGCGAGTGAAACAAGTTTAGTCGGAGCGATATTGTTTATATACCCAACGTGTCATCTGGTCATGTTAAACATCATCAACCCCTTCCTTCGAAAAGAGAAACGCGCGACCGTTGGGTAACAGCAGGGAATCGAAAATAACTACTGTTTCATTCTAACTTCATTCAAAAACTTGATATTTCTCCGTTTTTTTTCAGACTTCTGTGAAAGGACGAGCTGTATTTAATAAAATTGACCGAACTCACGGAAGACCTACGTCATAGCTTCCAGTAGAAGACTTAAGTCACCCTATATACACGTACATATTGTTTTCATTCCCAACGTCAGAGCACCTGCCATCGCACTTTGATCGACGATATTTAGTGAAGCGAAATTTGTCAGTTTTATTTGTTGAGGGAATATATTTCCCTCGCCGGCGCCATTAAAGTTCATTGCGCCTCGGGGATCAGACAGTGGAAACAATTATTCAGCTCTGTTGTTGATATAAAAACCCTGCAGGCCATTTAATAAGTATTGGCTGACATTGAATGACTCACTGGCAGGTGAACTAAACATGTTGACGGAAAATATATTTTGATTGTCCTGGTCCTCTAAGATGAACAAGCTCGTTTTTCGACGGTGATTGGATCTTAAGCTATGACCAAGGATCTTTAGTTAATTTCATCATCTTCAGGGTCAATCTAGACTGAACTGCTGAGCAGTCATGAATGGTTCGCTTACGAACGTGTTTGAAAACGTAAGTGGAAATATTTCATTCATTTCCCCAGAAGTACGCCTGTACAGACAAGTAGAACTCGCTCTTGCCGTCATATTGTGCATCTTGTCGCCTATAACAGTTATATCCAACGCCCTTCTTCTCACAGCGATCTACAAAGATCCTCTGCGGTGTTTTCGCACACCGATGACATTTTTCATCGTGGGTCTCGCCATATCCGACCTGCTCGTGGGATTGACCGTCGAGCCATTTTTTGCAATTTTTTACGTAGTTGGTTTTTCCAACTTCAACGCAAGGCCTGGTGCAGTTTATGAGCTAATTCAAAGGATTGGCGGAATCATTTCTACTATAGCAATCAGCGTGTCATTTTTCGTGGTTCTCGCCCTGTCTGTTTGTCAATATGTAGCGGTCACATACCCACACAAATTCAAGGCCGTAGTGTCCAAAAATCGAGTTCTCTGCTCTCTTGCTGTGAGCAGTGTTTACATCACGGGCTTTTGCATGCTGCAGTTTACGGGAATAGAGCTGAACACATTTTTATTAATAGACCTTGTCATGCACCCTACTTTGTTTTCTATTGTCTTAATCGTTGTTCAGGTACTACTCTATACATCCTTTAACCGCCATCTCAAACGAAAATACACTCTCCGCAGAGCGGCCTCTGTGAACCAGTCTCTCAAAAGAGCAAATTCTTACAAGAAAAGACACAACGAACGCCAGTTTACCATCATGACATTTTATCTTACAGCCATCTTGTTAGTTTCGGCTTCGCTGCACAATATTGCTCTCTACATTTATCTTTTTAAGAAACCAAAAAACTTGGTTGAAAAAGTCAATATCCATATTTGTCTACGAGTCAGTGATCTAGCGCTTTTCATCAAAGTCGCCCTGGACATTTTTATTTATGCATGGAGGCTTCCCTCGTACAGGAGAGCTCTTAAGTGTACTTTATTTGGACGTCAGCGAGTGACGCGTGGCTCGTCTACGACTCTTCGTAAAACAAGCGATGCTCCTACTGTGATGGAAAATGGCCAGAAGGAGACTGGGACAGAAAATTCAACAATGCTGCAGCCGCTGGTAGCTTGTACATAATTTTCCAATTCAAGGATGAAAGAACTGTGCTAACAATTTGCATTTCTGATTGAGCCCTTAAGGCATTGTGTTTACTGAGATAAATATTCCTTTCAGACAAGTCTTAACAAGGAAACTGAGCTATTGTGAATATCTGTGAATTTTCAGATTGTTCCTGTGGCTAAGTTTGAAAACCAGTTGTTAGGGGAACGCCCACAAAGGTTTGCTTATAGCTATATTAAAAAAAAACGATTTTAAAAGCGAAAGGCACTTTTTTGTTGTTTCTTCGGAGAGGACCCGTCATCCAGATCTCTATTTGCGTTCTTCTCTGCCGAGAGAAATATTACCAAATTTTTATTCTTATGAGAATACTTATATTAATTTTCTAAGACTGGTTTCCTTCACACACGAGGATTATATTTTATCATCACCTACGAGAGTTTTCTTGTCTGAATGACATCCCATGTATCGAGTACAATCGCTCGCTTCATTAAATGGAAGGAAGTGTAGATATAGCAGTTTACATGGAAAAAGTAATCAAGAATTAAGATGCAATAACCACAGTTTTCTAAGTTTATCTCTCGACAAACAATTTAAATTTTCCGTCGAAAAAAGTACTCATCATTTTCTTCTACCTGGATATACAGTAGAAAATCATTTCTTTGTCTACAAATTTATACAAACGAAAGCTCATTTCCATAAAAAGAGAAGGCAGCGCAAGTCGCGCATAATAAAGACTAATCCAGTAGAAGTAATTTTTTTGTTATCCCTGGGAGTTTTCTACACAGCCGGAGAGTAACAAGGATAAAATATTGTCAAAAGATACTAGACACATCTTTTTGCACGTTAAGCATTCTTGTAGACAGGGAAAATGTGTTTAAAACTCGGTTTTAAGTTTTAGAGAGCTTCATAGATGATCAATTTGATTGACAATTCTTAATTATTGATTTTGATGCACTTAGACGAGCTACATTAAAATTGTTTTTCGTTTACAGAGGGACACCATTTGCCTAAATATCAACTGATTTAGCCTGCATTGAACTGAGATTCGCTCACAATCTTAAAATCAATACAGAAATACATTTAGGAGCCAGAAGATTGGGTGGATCTTCGGTGCTTATGTTAACCGATATTATTTGCGTCATGGAAACCTTTTGTTTCAGTCAATAAATTGTAAGTGCAATGAGCGTCTTGTTGAATATTACTCACGATTATTGCGTCACTTTTCGTAAAGGCTTTGTGTCTGCCTGTTCAATAATTAATTTTTTTTTCTAGTCTAGTCTAACCTCTGAGGGTAACTAGCATCTAATTCTCTCTTAAAAATGGTATCGCAAACTCATACATTAAGCTCATGGAAGTTAAGGAAATGATCATTAACTTGAAAGACTCTTGATTTTTATCTAAATTCTCCCTAACGGTGCCATGGGAAATCTTCAAATATTTACAATATAGGGGCTCCTTCTTTAATCTGGTTTCCTATGATTCCGTGCCCATTATTTGACAAAGACGTTCAATTAATATAGGATGTCACGCAACGCTTCCCCTAAGAGAAACTCTCTGGGTGGAGCGTTGCGTGACATCCCAAAGAACGGTTGCGAAGGAGACTATCGGTTTTCTGGCTTGTTACTGGGATACCTGTGGTAGCTCAGTCATAAAATGCCTTTGTTTTTTTGTCGTCTTTTTTTTTTTTTCCTCCGCCACAAAATGGAAAAATTGCGCAATAGTACCCAGAGGTCATTGGGCCCTCAACACCATGACAACTAACTGTTATCCAATGAGGTGTTCACATGCTGATCACGCATGTTATCTTGATGATGATTGACGTTGTCATGCACGGACAGGGCCTGGTCACATGACCAGCACGAGATTTTTGCCCATAAAACTCTTCTGTCAGTCGTTTTGTATTTCAACATATTTGGATTACGATCATCTGGAGCAATATGGCGCAAACGCTCAAAATACTTATAGACGCATACGCAAGTCGTATTGTTCGCGGCCAATCCACACTAAAAGATGTTATTGAGCGGTAACTTTGGAACGGACTGAATCGCGAACGCTTGAAAGCCATGAAAGCATCGAATGCCTTGTATGTCTTGTATGCTAAGTATGCCAATGTCTTAGTTGAAAACGTTAACTCGTCGTAAAAAGCAAAATCTGAAATCTGAAACCAAACTGCATATACTCTATGCAATCTATTGAACAACACTACTGCCGTGAGACTGAAGAACAAAATTCAAATGGATGCAAACTGCTTGTGAAGAAAGACGCCATGTTGGATTCACTTTATGCCAGGGAACGTAGCTACGATAACAGTGCGAATGGCATTAATTTCACGATCAGAAAGGTGAATCTTATGTTTGTTTTCATTGTAGTTGTATGGATATTCTTTTTTAATAAATACATGATCCAAAATCCCTTGTTTTTTGTGTATAATGTTATTATGTTAAGTATTGTTTACGTCTTGTCACAGGCGACCCAAGGTCACGTCTCGAGAAAGAGCCAACGATTAATTCACGAACGCGTCACGCGTTGTGTGACTCAGGAATAGTTATGCTAGGAACCGTTGAAAATTTGAACACGTTATAAGGAATAGTGTAGGGAACGAAATATGGTCGATTTACAACGATAAATATTTCGAAATATGAAGATTTTTCTCGTAAAATCAATAGAACTCACTCATACCCTGTGTATCCGTTGTAGTTTCTGGCGATTGTTGCCGTTTTAAGCTTGCTTTACCATCACTATTATTCACGTCATCTACTTTTATTACATTGGTAAAATCTGTACAGACATCACACCAACCAACCATGTTGAAGGCTTGAAATTATATTACGATCGATTTTCGTCAAGAAATGGGCCAGGAATTTTCCACAATAGTGCAAATAATCGTGAAGGCTGATCGCGGAAAAGCGATTGCGTGACGCTCGGTAAGCTGTAAGATGACATGTTACCATATACCAGACGTAAAAACTCTTCAGATTCTCAGTTTGCATTTTGTATCCACTCTGCAGTCTATATTTTGTATCTGATCTGCAGTCTGCTGTCTACATTTTGTACTAACAGGTATCCGTGGCACCAATACAGTTTATTTTTGGTTACATTTATTCGCACAACACACATAATCTACCACAAAATACCTGTGTGTGAGGTAATTCGACATTTTCATTCTTTCCCGTGTTAATAATCTTCTTTCCTTTTGTAAGAATGTAGACCACTTACATTGTTTCAAGTAATCCACCCACCCTACAAAAAACAACTCTTGCATGCATAGCATGCCTATGTTTTGAGACAGGTGTATGCCCTTGGCCAGACTTGAGCTCACAATTTCAGTATACTAGTCCGACACGCGTAGTATCACTACACTTGATTCCACGGATCCAGTACCATCCAGGTATCCCAGTTACCCTGCTCACCGGGTCTAGTTTTTTTGCCGTCTGTTTTTTTCCTCCGCCACAAAATGGAAAAATTACGCAATAGTACCAAGTGGTCATTGGGCCATCAACACCATGACAACTAACTGTGATCCTATGAGGTGTTTACATGCTGATCACGCGTGTTATCTTGATGATGATTAACGTTGTCATGTACGGACAGGGCCGGGTCACATGACGAACCATGAGATTTTTGCTCATAAAACTCTTTTGTCAGTCGTTTTGTATTTCAACGTGTTTGGATTACGATCACCTGGAGCATTATGGCACAAACGCTCAAAATACTTACAGACGTACACACAAATCTTTTTTTTCGCGGCCAATCCACTCTGAAAGATATTATTGAGCGGTAATTTGGAACGGATCGAGTCGCCAACGCTTGAAAGCCTTGAATGCCTTGTATGCCTTGTATGCCAAGTAGGCCAAGTAGGCCAATGTCTTAGTTGAAAAACGTACACTTGTTGTAAAAAGCAAAATCTGAAATCTGAAACCAAACTGCATATACTCTATGCAATCTATTGAACAACACTACTACCGTGAGACTGAAGAACAAAACTCTAATGGATGCAAACTGCTTGTGAAGAAAGACGCCATGTTGGATTCACTTGATGCTAGGGAACGTAGCTACGATAACAGTGCGAATGGTTTTAATTTCACGATCAGAAGGGTGAATCTTATATTTGTTTTCATTGTAGCTGTATGAATATTCTTTTTAATAAATACATGATCCAAAATCCTGTGTTTGTTGTGTATAATGTTATTATGTTAAGTATTGTTTACGCAATTGTCTTGTCACAGGCGGCCCAAGTTCACGCCTCGAGAAAAAGCCAACGATTAATTCCTGAACGCGTCACGCGTTGTGTGACTCGGTGTTAAGTTACGAGAGGAACCATTGAAAATTTGAACACGTTATAAGGAATAGTATAGGGAACGAAATATGGTCGATTTACAACGATAAATATTTTGAAATATGAAGATTTTTTTTGTAAAATCAATAAAACTTATTCATACCTTATGTATCCGTTGTAGTTTCTAGCGATTTCTGCCGTTTTAAGCTTGCTTTACCATCACTGTTATTCACGTCATCTACTTTTATTACATTGGTAAAATCTGTACAGACATCACACCAACTAACTCGCGCGCAAAGTAAAAAGACTATATTGAAGGCTTGAAATTATATTACGATCGATTTTAATCAAGAAGTGGGCCAGGAATATTCCACAATAGTGCAAATAATCGTGAAGGCTGATCGCGGAAAAGCGATTGCGTGACGCTCGGTAAGCTGTAAGATGACTTGTTACTATATACCAGACGTAAAAACTCTTCAGATTCTCAGTCTGCATTTTGTATCCACTCTGCAGTCTGCAGTCTATATTTTGTATCCGGTCTGTAGTCTGCTGTCTGCATTTTGTACTAACAGGTATCCGTGGCACCAATACAGTTTATTTTTGGTTACATTTGTTCGCACAACACACATAATCTACCACAAAATACCTGTGTGTGAGGTAATTCGACATTTTCGTTCTTTTCCGCGTTAATATTCTTCTTTCCTTTTGTAAGAATGAAGACCACTTACAATGTTTCAAGCAATCCACCCACCCTACAAAAAATAACTCTTGCATGCATAGCATACCTATGTTTTGAAATAGGTGTATGCCCTTGGCCAAACTTGAGCTCACAATTTCAGTATACTATTCCGACACCCGTAGTATCACCACACTTGATTCCAAGGATCCAGTACCATTGTTACATGGGCGACTATTCAGAGGAACAATTGAAAACCCATAGATGTAAGATACGAATCTGAGACCCCTGGATGTAACGAAAGCATCCACGATCGGAAAATCTTAAGGTCAGGGGTCTGTGTTGATCGTTAATTTTTACATACAGTGTGTATCTTGTGCTCAGATGTTGATATTGACCTTAAATTGTCACATCAATGTTAAACATAATATTTATACTGATCATGAAATCTGCGTGCAGATTTTTACCTACCTGTAAGTAGTTTCTCTTTTTTTGAGAGATCTGTTTTTATTTAGTCGCGGGAAAGTTAGTCGAACTTTTCAAAATCAAATCTTGCCGAGTGTCGTTGATTCATTCATCCTTCTTAATTCATCATTCGTTTTTTTATTTTTTTTTCTTTCCCAAACCCTAGCTACCTACTTTAGCTTTTGATGGATAGGGCAAGTTTTTAAAAGAATTTTGTTTTGTAAATTGGGTGAAAAAGGGTTTATACATAACGTGTGAATAAGCACAAAGTTGATACCTAACGCGCAAATTTTATAGAAAGGGAGTGTAGGGTGAGATTTGAAGTTTTTCCTTTTCGTGACGCAGGAAATACTGTTCAAAGTACAAATGCGTGAAAGGGGATCAGGACCGCCCCCCTCCTTTGCCACCCTCTGTAAAGACTCTGTGAAAAATATAACAATGATATTAAACCACTTTCAACGACTGACCTTGGAAAGCTGGTTTACTAACTTGGAACAGACTCCCCTCAACAGGTGCCAACCACTACCGGCACCATACAAACGAAGCATTCACGACATTAACATTACAAACGAACCGAACAGAACGACCTAACTTCACTAACGGATCGATACGACCAATCACGACCGATCGATACAGCCAATCACGAACGACCCACGCCACTTGAGTCTTACAGCCAATAACATCACGGCAAAACTGGCCAATCAGTTCATACAAACCGGACTAAGAACATTCGACTGACAACATCTATTCACTTGACTCTGATGATGACTTCCGCTCAGGTTGTCGAAACGTCAGTCACCATTACCGACAACAGTCCTTCTCAGGACTACACTCGCCCGGACGATCAAATTACACTTTTAAATGATATTAAAATTAAATTTACTTCCCACCTTCAGAGGCCGAAAAATCGATTTTTGTTTTATTTGACTAAGCTGAAATCAAACCTTGTATATCGCGCATCACAAAATTCACACGTAGAAGCTCTTTGCTTATAGAAAGATCAAAAGCGGAAGAAAGTTTTTGGTAAAAAAAAAAAATAAATAAATAAATAGGCCCGAATAAGAAAGAAAGAGTACCATTCTGTCAACTATGAGAAAAGAAAAAAATTCCTTTGTGAAAGCGACTTGTACTGCTGGCGTCCAGATTTCGAACAAAGAGGTCGCTGTCAAACCAAAGTTTGCCATACGTCGTGATACATCTCGGAATGGGATAAGCTTTTGTCCCATATCGGTTTGCGGGATTGGGTGTCGTCCAAACAATGCAGAGTAGCACAAGAAGTCAAATTTTGTTGTAAAGCATACGATTTCGCTGTATACTACTTGTAAGATACTGTAAGTAATTTACCGTAACATATTGAAAGTAGTGTAATATGTCATAAAATAATGTAAATGTGGATTATTGTGTAGTTAGTGTAATTAATCGAAAGTAAGTCATTGTCGAGAACGATTTCTTTATAATTAATGATTAATGTTATAAATTGTCACACAATGTAACGAAATACTAGACTGATTGTAACGCGAATAGGAAGATTTCGTGACATGATATTTCACAACGTTGTAAACAAAGTTCAACACTGATTTGCATGCTTACAGTGAACTAAATAAGGGAAAGAAACGTGTAATTGTGAAATTGCAACTAAAATAGGGTATATTACAGTACTTTGGGATTGTGAATTTACTGAACTCGTGATTGTGGGAAAATTACTTTATTTCGCAACTAGAACTGTAAAACGAAGTAGCACTGAATTGTAAAGGCAGATTGGTATTAGATCGTTAGAGTGTTAGTATGTTCAGATTGTCAGGAGTGATGGAAGAAAATAAACGCGTTTAGAAAACAAAGAAGTATACAGTCCTCTTGATTCCGCGACAGTCATCTACCGTAATCAAGTTTATTGTAAACTATACTATAGTAGTTTGTTCTCAGCAAATTATTGTAAGTGACGTATTGTAACTGAGCCCTGTAGTGTATTGTAAGTAGAGTAATGTTTTGTAAAATCCAAAAAAAAAAATAATAAATCACAAAAAAAAAAAAATGTTACATCTCGGTACGGGCAGCGCTGAGCTTGAAGTGAGCCCCATCCAAGGGTTGTGTGTGTTCCTTTGTTGGGTCAAATTGAGATTTAGAGGGGAGACGAGCTTCCTTTTCTTTGTGGAAGCCTTGGTACAAAAACATTAACAATGGCCTCGAATCGTCATTTTGAAAACTATTTGTCGGTTTGTTGTCTCGTTCGATTTTCATCAAATTTCGCCAAAATATTTCAAGAATAATGAAAACTTAAAAAGTTATAATGTAACTTTTGATATTTTAAACAATTTTCCTGTGGCTTCCATTTACGCAACAAGCCTCGCTTATTTTTAGCTACTCCAACTTTAGATGCCGATTTCTAGACAATCACTCAGAATATCGATTGTTTCACGCCTTACCAGCTCCTGACACTTTCTTAAAAGAAAAGTCGCTTAAATTATATTTTTATCGTAAACAGCAGTTATTTAGCTTTGTCCTGATGTGTAGTTTGCTAGAATTTTAGCGAAACTAACGCGTGTGTGAATTTTTATCGCTGAGGACACCCGCAAAGGTGGGAAGTAACCTTATGTAGTATTAAATGATGCTAAGTCACCATGGAGAAAAACATGGCAAAAACCTCAAACTACTGCGGTACTCGGCGAAGTAAGATACTGAAAGAAAATAAATATTTCCATCCACCTAAAAATGTCAGTGATTTTAAAAAAGCAACAAAAGAGGAAGTAGAAATTAGCTTGCGCATGCGTGTAAGCGAAAGGAAGTCCGAGACATTAATCCAGTCTTCGAATCAACTAGCTTTTTCTTTATTCGCTGAGAAATGTATTTAGTTTTTGTAGAAAGAAACGTGTCACAATCTTTTGGTCTGAAATGGGTTCACGATTTAGAGAAGTACAGAGAATGACGAGTAGTACCCCCTTCGATCGCTGTACGTGTTTGGGTGTACGAAAATGATCTTTGACCCATAGAGCGTCAATCAATAGGGGGTATTAATTATTTGTTGCAGCCCGTGGAGCTGTGGCATGTAATATTGAAATTGATATGAAGGAATACTTCTCTTCTCTTTTGCGCTTAGGTCGAAATTTCACCAAAAGCAAATAAATACAATTGAAAGCAATTACGATTATAATTGGCAGACAATAAGCGAGAGGTGCTCGAAACCGTTAAAAGAAATCAACAGCGAAATGTAAGAATGTTGCGTAAGAATGGTAGCTTGTTAGTTAGTTTATAAGTTCAATCCTTTTAGTTTCTATGATCCTTAATTTTTCATGATGTAAAATCGTTGGTCGCCAACTTTCGTTCTTCGTTTCGTTCAAAACCGAAGTTTATAGCGATACACCCCTCGTCTCTTCCAATATTCCATTGGGTTCTCCCGAGAGAGCCTTTGATTGACGCTTTTGCAATCTGGAAACTTTCCATAATGATGCAATTGACCATGGTAAGGTTATAGTTTTTAACTTTTGGAATTGCAATTAGGACAAGTTTACTTCAACCCTTTTTATAAGCAGCCTTAGATGCAGAAAAGTATTTTGAAAGAAACGATTTTGCCGAGGTAAACTAGAAAATTTCCGCACCGCTGACTGGACTGCGCTCTCAGTTCTGCACCGTGACAGGCCCAGACGGATACAAAACGTGTGAAAAACTATTACTCGCCCTCACTTGGCCTTGACGTTCAACGTTGTTGTTGCAGCGTGTGGTAAGTAATACGTTTTCCTTGATAGCTCTACTGATAAGTAACAAAGCGCATTTGATGCGTCTAGGAAAATGTTTCAACAAATCTTGCAGGGCTCCCGAAGGATTTTAGGAGCGTACTTTGAGTAAATTGTTTTTGCGCTTGGAATCGACGCTGGCTAGTATACCCGGAGAGAGCTACGCGCTGTGTAGAAATTTCTTAATTTTTTCAGCGATCGAATCGGCGATGATGTGTATTTTACAGCTAACTAGAACTCGTAATTTTCATGGGCTACGCTGAGTGACATAGGTAGAACTTCAAACTTTTTAAAATAATTAGCTTTGAGGCAACTTTTGCAATGTTATCAGCTGCGCTAGAGCAAAATGAAATATGAAACCTTGTAGAACCTACACAATTTTAGCATTTCCAATAGCTCTTTGTACATCTCGATCGGGTACAGCCTGTAAATATGAACTCTATGTAATGAATAGTAAGCAGAAACTTATGTTTTGGAGGGAACGACTTTATTTTGAAAAGGAATTTTTCAATTTATTGCTACCGTTGAAGTTTTGTAATAATCTATGTATACTCTAAATTAGGACATGCTCAATAAAGGTTATGACAGCTATTGTTTAGCTTGCTTGACCTTTTGTCTCTGTGTAAAAGCGTGTCTCATTGCATGCCGCTGTTTTGCACAAGTGAAGGCGATTGTTTTGTTTTTGTCACGATCGAGAATTATGACCGTTTAATCTTATAAACTCGGGATCATGTTGCATTTCAATACAAATTTGGGGTGTCGACACTGGACAAGTTTGCTTCGCGGCTGTTCCTTGACTCTTTACAGGAATCCTTTCGTGGAGAGAAGTGTTGGGTGACGAGTTTAAGAACGACTACGGAGGAGACTGACTCTAGTCCAGAAAAATTTTATTCTTCACTTTCGAAAACGAAAGAAAATTTCCTAATCTCGACCAGCGGAGAGCATTATCTTAAAAACTGGAATAAATGATCTTCTTCGATCGACACGAGCATTTTTTTTTATGAACATATTTCTTGAAGTGCGATCCTAGATGCTGATTTCAATTCGTATTAAACTGAATAAACATTAAACTTTATAAGGAAGTGATGAATCTGAAAGGATCACAGAATTAGTTTTTGACTTGATGACTGATGGGATATACTTTTGCTCATATTTATAAATATACTTTTACATCTGAATGCAGTCCTTTAAACAATGTATATGCCTTTTTCATCTCACCAATTTTTCAAAATTTTTTTCTGCAGGCTTTTTCAGCCATGAATAACCTTAAACTTGGATTTGTCCTTATTGTCATAATTCAGGTTAGTGGAGTCACTTATATGTTAAATTTCAATAAACATACTCTCCATACTGCTCTCCATATATTTTCTTTGGTGCTGATAAGGAGAATTTGTTAAATGATCCAAGATGTGGTGAACATTCCACCTAATGATATATTTTCAATTGTTTTCTTCTTAGGCTACTCTCTTGAGTGCTGGTAAGTTTTAATCTTAATTTGTTTTTGAGGAGAGCACATTCATAATGTTATTTCTACTTGAACTTTTGAAAATTTTAAATTGCTAATATATGCATTACATTTTTGGATTGCTAGTCAACAAAGCGCAAAGAATTTCTACACATTCCCTAAGTTAGTTTTGGACTCAGTGTAATGTGTAATTTCAGTTGGTTATCACTTAAGTTAGTTTCACCCTATGGAACATGGATCATGGAACACACAGAAAAAATAAAAACCTGTATCACAGATGGTTTACTTGTTAAGTTTTAACAATGGAGAGACAGTGACTTAAGGCAGCACAAGTTGCAAATGTTGTGTTCAAAACCTTGTCAATTTATTGTTTCTTGTTCTTAACCCACACTGCCACTTTGCACTTAGGAATTTAAATGGAGTTGACTAGTAATGGAGCATTGTGCTATTAAGGAGGATTTAAAATACTGTATTTTATTTGATTCAAGTCCTAGAAACCTCCTTAATCCAAATTCAATTGGTATGGCTTACAATTTGTCATGTCCTGTTTTCAGTCAAAGATGGTTTATGCCCAAGGGCATCACCTTATGGCCCCTGTGTCACCACCTGTGGGGCTGATGAAGACTGTGATGGTTCAAAAAAGTGTTGTAGTAATGGTTGTGGTTCTTGGTGCCTTGAACCAAGTAAGAGCATTGTAATTTTTGGTGTAGTTTTCCTTAATGGATCACAGTTTGTTGTGATTCAAACTAGTTTGAAATCTAGTATGATTTGTTCTGTGTATGGTCACTGTTATGAGAGGAGAAGGCACTTATTCCATGGGAATGCCTATTAGAACATTTTGTGTGATAGGATGGGTGCATATTCCATGGAAAATGTTAAAATCAGAATCTCCTACTACCCTGAAAAGAATAGTGTGATTGAGAAAAACGACCTGTTGATTACCACCTACATGTAAGTGAGGTACTCTAGCTTTGAGCCTCAGAAGACCTTCAATTATCAATGTATTATTAATATGACAAAAATTCATAGGAAATAAATTTGAAGTGATACCATAGTATAGCAATGTCTGCTCAGTACTTTCCACCAAAATGGAGACCTAATGTTTATGTTTGAAAATATTCTGAGATCTTTTTCAATCTGTAATGGTTCTGTAGTGGACTGTGCTGTCAAAGGAAAATTTTAAACAGGATTAAATGATATAATATTCAGCAACCAGGGGTATTAATGTTACTTTGAATTATTCAATTTTATATGAATTAATAAATCTGTTTACTTGAAACCCTCCAGTGTGTCCATCTGGTCAACAGCATGTGGACTGCCCTGCCCAGCTATGCAACTACGCTGGGTGCCCTGATAAACCTCAAGAGAGTTTGAGATGTGTGGTGGAATCCTGTGGCAAGTGCAGTGTGAAGTTTATAAACAAGACAACAGGACAAACTGTAAATTGCGGTCCAGGTAGATAAATAAATGAGTCATGTCACTTGACTATTAGAAACTTTTTTTTTACTCTGGCTGAAAAGAAATAAACCAGTTGTTCCAGAAAGGAATTGTAACTTGGTTTACCAGCTTGAATATCCTGCCAGACCCTTCAAGAAGTTATAGTTTACTATATGCCTCAAACTCTTCCCCCTTTGTACCTTAACTTCAGTATGCAATTATTTTTTTTACATGTTTCTATACATTTCCTAAGGTACTGAAGAGGAGAGCCTCTTTAGTTGATGATTATCTCTTTTATTCTCATTACCCTAATTTGTGAGTCAGTGGTCATATTGTGAGGAGAATTCAGATGCCAGAGTCACTCTTAGCCTCAAGTTCTTAAATCAGATAAAAACTTTGAAAGGGAGCTATCAGTTTTATAAATAAACAATATTCACATCATGATCCTTGCTGAAAATTTTATTTTAGTTTTGAATCGTTTGATGTTTTAGTTCTTCCCGTTTTTCTATAGAACCTTTCCTAAGCAAAGAAAAATAAAAATGATATATGGTAATATCATGGAAAAAAAATCGATGAAACAAAGGAAAAAATTTAAAAGTAAAACTTGTGGTTAAAAGGACTCTCAGACGGATTATTAATTTCATGATGGGCCATTTACACTTTTTTTCTAGTGGAAACTTTGTGTAAGCGTATGCTAGCTGCTACTCACAAAAAGCCCCTTCTTCTTGGTCAGTATGTACCTTCCTGTGATGCAAATGGACATTTTATCAGAGTTCAGTTCCACGAGGCATATTTCTTTTGTGTTGATGACAGAGGAATTCCTGATTTTTCCACCAGATCAAGAACTCAGCCCAAATGTCCAGGTATATGTTTATGTGTTATATAACTATTTGAGTAATAACGCACACTTTCTATCTGTTTAATGGCATAATAACCTATGTGGGATATTGGGAGAAAACAAGAAAAGATTGTAATTTATGAGCCTGAGGCCAAAGAGAGTTCTGACATAGTTACTGAGCATGCAGTGTGAACAGTTCTGAAAAGGGCTGTTTTTGATAGTAGTGACTGATGTTTAAACAAATTGAGCAGAGATTATGACTTCCATCAAGGTTGACAAAATCTCAGTCACTACTACTGACCAGCCTCCATATAAAGACTACTCTTACAGGAGTGATCAGACTACACAATCAGGTTCAAACCACTTACTCTAATGTAGTTACTGTTGCTAGCTTTTTTGTTGTTAAAGTCAGTGCTTCACAGCCTCTTATATTTTTAGATGGTTTATAGAAACAAAGCAAAATAAATAAATAGAGTAGCTGCAAACAGTGTGAAACAAATATTTTTGAGGTTTGCTGCAAACAATTTCTTAAATAATGTTTTTTCTTTTATATTTCAGAGTTATCTCTGTGCCAAAAGAAGAGGAAAGAAGCTGAAAAACTTCCTCCATTGGGTCGTTTTGTGCCACAGTGTAAGAGTGATGGTTCATTTAAGGAGAAACAGTGTCATTCATCAACTGGACAGTGCTGGTGTGTAGATCAGAATGGACATGAATGGAGTGGAACGCGAACAAGAGGAGACCTGGATTGTACAACTTCTGGTATATCTAGACACTACTGGCAAAAATTTGCAAATTTTAGCCACAAACATGAGAAATGCATTTTCTGGTTAAAAATCTCTCTAAAATGCAAGCCGTCAGCTTAGTTTAAAAGGCCCAAGACTAATAGGGAAAGCTTTCATTGTAAGAATTTCTTTTTCAACCAGCAAACATTCTTTAATGTTGGCATTTATTTCAATGCCAGTTGCTTTTCTGCTTGTGTTATCAATTGCAAATGTGATATTTTTGTAGTAATTTATTGTTTGTCTCGCTGATTATCAGATTAACAGTTTTTTTTAGGTATCTTCTTAGACTCTCAGGAATGTCACATGTTTTGTTAACATTCATTCAATATTTAGATGACCTTTTCTTAATGCTTTAACTCCCACCTCAAATTTGTAATTCTCCTTACTTTCAACCATACACATCTTATAAAGTTAGTTCAGAGAATTTAGTATTGGATCAACTAATTATCCCCAAATTTACATTTTTCTTTATTCTCATCACTTATCTGGTTGATATTGTATTTATGTTGTAAGGAGAAATTCTGTCTGGGTTACTCCTGGGAGTTAAACAAGTTGAATGATTGAGAAAGAAAGATTTCCCCTGCTCATTTCATGAATTGTTGAATTGTTAGACTATTAAGCTAGAAAATGTTGCATGAATTTCTTAACTGATTGCCAGCTAATGTTTCACTTTCTCCAAAGACATACAATGCCATCAGCAGTGTGCATGATATTCTCTTTTTTTTTTCTGATGATTGAAATTGTGTATCTGTTAATAATTTCTTGTCGTCATGTTAGGTCAACAAATGGCATCTCAATGTAAAGTTTAGCTTAGACACCTGCTCTTGAGGCATCTCCATCCTACCATTTGTTAGTGAATGAAAAGGCCCATTGGGGAGTGGTCATTTGGGTACACATGTACAAACATACATAGTAGAGAGTTTAACCCATAATGTAGATGACTGTATGGTCATTGCTGACAGAGAGATTTGATCTCATTTTCAGTGTGCCCAGTGTCAGTTAGAGGGTTTGACTGTGATCCAATGCTGTGTAATACAGCCTCATGCCCCGCCCACAAAGATGCTACCTGCAGGGTGAACACCTGTGGCAAATGTGAAGTGGAGTTCCTTGATAAAAATGGCAGAAAGGTTGACTGTAAGTATTGAAGTTGTTAGAGAGCAACTAGGTTTCGTTACTTGGTATGCTACTGTACAATTAGATGAAGTGTAGCACACTACTGTAGTGTTATGGTAATTGCTATTAAAGGAAGTGATGGATTTGAGTCCTTCAAGTATTGCCCATTTGAAACATGTATTAATAATTTTTAAAAACTACTTTAGCTGGGTTGAAGATTGAGTGAGACAGAATGTGTAGATAAACTTCATGAATGGATTATCTTGTTGTTCAGGCTAAAATTTTCCCCAGTTGCTTGGCCATTGATGATCTGTGGTTTAATGCAACTTGGTGGAATGGAGCTTATTTTAGAAGTAGTAATTGTCAAAAGAATTGTAAGAAATTATACAGTTGTTACTTTTCCCTATTTTGAAATCATCACTGTGCTTGAAAATTGGTAAATTGGGGTTTGGCATGACAGATCAGAGCTGCTCTAAGCCTGTCCCCCTGGACAAGATGCTAGCTCATGGTAGTGTATCCTCAGCATTTTGTCAGATTCCATGGATGGTTCATGGTTACCATTCATCCATTCCTGGGTGGAGAGAGGCTTTGTAGGAGTACAGTGTCCTTCCCAAGAATATAACACCATGATCAGGCCAGCAGGGATTTAACTTACTCTGCACAACTCAGAGTCCCTTGGCTCTTACTTGCTTTTGCATTTAGCAGTCATTTACTCTCCATACTTTGTTAATTGCTCTGAAAACTAGAGACTAACCATTATTTTTGGATAAATTGGTACATTTTTTGTTGTGTTTTATTTCTCCACCAGGTTTCTCCAAGTGCCAGAATCAACGTCTGAAAGCCCTTGGTACTCGCTCTCTGGATGAAAAACCAGCTCACCCCATTATTGGACGGTTTGTACCACAGTGTGCGGCAGATGGAAGCTATGAGGAAGTACAGTGTTATGGCTCCACTGGCTATTGTTGGTGTGTTGATGTTGGAGGAAACCCTGTGGTTGGAACCATGAATCGTGGCTTACCACATTGTAACAAGACAGCTATGGGAGGTGCTGTAACAGTTGAACTCACATAATTAATTCGCCTTACTAGTGTGAAATATCATGGCTGGTGAAATGACAACTGAGATATAATGAGATACAGTAGATGATCAGAAATCAATCACAGATTTTACCTTATCTTACTTTTGGCATTATAGTAGTATTGTATGAATAGGTCATATCCAAGTCCATGTTTAAATTTATAGCTTTATCTGTATGCAGAGAGAATTGTCTTGTTATCAGTTGATTGATCAAGATTCTGTTCTTCAATTCCATTATTTTCTTGCAATGTATACATTTGATTATAATGAAAGGAGGAATTACTCTCTGTTTGTTCTTGATACTGAAATGATTTACTGATGAGAGCCTTACACAAGTGTGAAACAAAATCTATGTCACTGTTTTCCTCTCTAGTTTGCTCAGGGAAACCCATGTTTACCTGCTTACGCAACTTCTGTCAGTGGTCTACATGCCCTGCCCATCCTGAGGCAAAATGCCGTATTAACCCCTGTGGTGGATGCAAAGTTGAGTTTATTGATAAGAACAGCAAAGTGGTTGACTGTCATGAAGGTATTACCAAATTTTACATGAAGCTTGAACCCTTTAACTCCCAAGATCTCATTAGTAATTCTCCTTACTGTCTGCCATAGAGTTCTTGTGATGTCAGTTTGGAGAATTATGTATTGGATCAATTTATAATCCCTAAACCGATGTTTTTCTTTATTCTCATCACTTGTCTGTCAGTATTGATATTGTAAGGAGAAATTCTGTTGGGGTCACTCATGGGAGTTAAAGGGTTAAATCATTGCATTCTTGGTAGATTATGGTAAGATTTCCATTATAATTGCTCTTTGAATAGGGGTTGAATTTCATATCAGCTGATTTTTTTGTGCAAGAAATGGTTCCAAGACAAAAAGTATTTGAGTAAACTATTGAACCCTGTTCTGGGATGTGCACTGAGATAAAAACCATTCAGCAATTTTCTGTCCACGATTCAGCTCTTTACAATTGAATGATATAACTGAATGTCCAGTGCTACATAAATTGGTTGTTTTAAAATAGGATAATTAGGTTTTATCAACTGAGTTGATGATACAATTTGGTCTTCATGAAGAGTTTCTAAAGCTGACATTTTGAGCCAATGAAGGGTTAACACTCAAAATATCAGCTTTAGAAACTCTTTATGGTCACCAATTTACAATCAATTAAGTTGACAAACCTTAATTATCTTGTATAACCCCCCTCCCACCCCCACCTTTGTAGCACAATAGTTTCTTTAGAAACTCTTAACTCTTTGTTATAAATTAAGTGCTTCTAATTATAGTTCCTGCTACTTACAGGATGATTAAGTGCTCACCATAATTGTTCTGTTATATTTTTAGGTCTCTCAAAGTGTAAACTGCAGGAAAAGAAAGCCTCAGCATTCAGTGGCAGTGGCCTACAACCTGTTGGCAGGTTTGTACCAAAGTGTGAAGCAGATGGTAGTTACTCCAAGATTCAGTGTTGGTCATCTACTGGATACTGCTGGTGTGTGGACAAGAATGGTACTGAGTTGCAAGGAACAAGAGTCAGAGGCATGCCAGTCTGTCCTTCTCAGGGACGTTCAAGTATGTACATGTTTATGCAGGTGTATGGAGCAGCCCAGTCCAAAGGTTTTTTAGTGGTAGGCAAGATGAGTTGAGTAGTAGGCAGCAAAGGTTGAAGGCCTGTATTGCTTAAGGCAGCAGTAACAATGGCTGCAAGAACATTGACTGCTGACCACTTCAGTGGCTAATTTTCATGCAGTTGCCAGTATGTTCAAGTTGTTTCTTGGCCCCATTAATTTCTGCCACTTGGTGCTTGTACATATTTGCTCAAATGATGGGGCCTTTGTCAATTCATTAGAAGAAACGGTTTCTGTTTATCTTTTTTGTTTCTTGTTCACAGTTTGAAACAGTAGGGACATTTCAGTAGGATATTTGTTGTCAATGAAGTTTAGTAGAAAGTAAGCAGCAGATATCTTGTTATTTGCAACAAAATTGCCTGTTGCTGGTACCTTTTGACTGGACTGATGGAGCAGATTTTATGTTCACTTGGTGGTAATATATTTAATTAACCCTTTGTCCCATAGGCATGACCAACATCTAATTTCTCCTTACAATATCCTTGAATTACACCTTCAGATCACAGAAAAATAAGCAATGATCACCAACCAAAGAGGCTGTTGATTGTTAAACAAATTCCCATCGGCAGCAACTTAATTAGGAAATGTTGAGAGAACAATATGAAGAACATGCATACTTATGTTAGGGTGTGGAGGGGTGAAGACTCTAAATTGACATGTCAGTCATAATCAATCAAAATGTTGGGTGGGTCATATGATTGTATGGTTCCATGTTTTAAGAGTTAGAAAGGTTTGTGTGTGTTTAAGCAATTTGTCAACTATTTGTGGCATATGTCCTTTTGAAACAAGAGTTTTGAATTTAAGTGTCAGTATGTTTTTAGTGGGTATTGTGTTATTTGCTTTGGGTATTTGAAAGAAGTCTTCACTAATTTATGTTCTTTTGTTGATTGGTTACCCATAATAGCGCTAGCAACATTATTGTTTCAGTCCTTGGTCAAAATGGGTCACACCCACACAAACAACTTCAGCAAGGTTTATCAATGTCATTGAAATCAAACCCAGTGCAAAAAATTGGGAATGTTACAGTAACACTGATATGTTTCTCTTCTCAACAGAACGATCTATCAAGGATGGCTTTTGTCCAATTGTGAAACAGCCAAGAACTGGGGCATGTTCAAACAAATGTAGTTCAGATAATGAATGCCAAGAAATGCAAAAGTGCTGTAATGTCTCAGGATGTGGATTAACCTGCCAAGAACCTTCTTTTACAAGTATGTAAATTGCCTAAGCTGTTTTAGTTAAAGCCATTTTAGTTGTCACATGATTTTAGTCTTAAATTTTTTTCACAGCATTTCATTCTTGTAATTTTAAGCAATTTCACTGTTTGTTATCATATTGTATCTGCCAATTTTATCTTTTTTTTGGTAAAGTGCACTGGATTATTGCCTCATTTAGCATGCATTATATGAGTTTATAAATTATTTTCATTATTATTATTGTTTCTTTTTTCTTATTTTCTTATCAGCATTCTTTCAACCTACAATTTTGTTATGTCCTCTCAGTAAACTTTGCCCTGGGGGACATTTCTCCCCCTCCAAAATGAGATATAGGCCTCTACTTCCACAACAACAACATCAGTTACAACAGTTACCTCATATGAAATATTGGGTTGGTGCTTGAAGAAAGAGGAGTTATCAGTTTTGCTGAGGGGCTAAATAAATGTTCTGAGCCACTTTGAGACAATAATTATGTTTTCTTGTACATAAATCTGTGTAAAATGTCTAAAGTGGAGTTTTCAAAGAACATGCTTGAGACAGTTGGTTTGCCTTTGTATAAGTAGAAAAACTCAAGAATTGTATTGATTGTATTGTTCATGGGAAATAGTTAAAGAATGATGTTCATTATTTCTCACAAGTGTGGGGCAAATAATGATCTGAGTTAAGTGAGAGGGTTCAAAGCCTAACCATACTTGATTCAGGATCAGATGCTCCACAAACTAATCATGGTTACATGCAAGTCTGTCTTTGAGCCAAGTGATCCATCCCAGCTTTCTGTAACATGAAGTGACCAGCTGGGTATTGACACTCCTCCCTGGATGGGATATTGGGTATTGACACTCCTCCCTGGATGGGATATCATAGTCCATTGCAGATGACCCCATACAATTTGTCACACTTCTCTGACTGTTTTCTGCTACCCACTTACTCTCCAGTGTTGAGAGGGGCTCTGTGAGAGCTAAGTGCTTACCCCAAGAATGTAGCACAGTGGCGGGGAATCTTGCATGCTGATTGCCAGGCTACCATGCTCCCCATTTGTTTTCAACTTCTACACTGATTATGAGCCACAGAAGACTTGTTGGTCATTTAGGCCACACTGATTATGAGCCACAGAAGACTTGTTGGTCATTTAGGCCATATATCAGGGTCACATGTGAAAGTTTTCTATGTGCTGTTAGTACCACCAATATTGACATCATCCTATGCTACATTGAGAGAAATTGTTTAGCTCTATCAATTAATTTAACAAAGATAAGAAGCGATTGTTTAAGGGTGGGACAAAGAAAGAATCTTGTTATCATTGTCATTGTTTCAGCTTGTCCAAATGGAAAACCTTTCTTGCTGTGTCTACACATGTGTCAGTTTGCTAGATGTCCTGCTTATCCAAAAGCTACTTGCTTCTCTGATCCATGTAAGATGTGCAAGGTTGAATTTCATGATGAACAAGGAAATATTGTCAACTGCACTAAAGGTTTGTTCTGTGCCAATAGTCAATCTTGTGTCAAGGGTAAATGTTATTTATTCTTTCACACATGTTTAACCTGTATTCCATCCAAGAGTGTTACATACATTAACAGTAGAACAATCTTAAACTTGTCTGAACTCACCTTTTTTTTTGGAATTATTAACCTTTAGTTGGAACATATTGGGCAGAAATACCCAAGCTGACCTTTCTCAAAGTCCAGACTACTTAGATATTTGTAAAATTTACTTAGGAGTAACAGTTTTTGGCTCATCTTATTGTCTAGGTTTAACTCGGTGTCAAGCTCAGCAAAAATTATCAACTGGTATGCTTGGAGAGTTTGTTCCCAAGTGCATGAGTAATGGAAGTTTTGAGTCAGTACAGTCCCATGAAGGTTACTTCTGGTGTGTTGATGCTGATGGAAAGGAAGTGAATGGGACAAGGAGACGCTTCCAGAAACCAACATGTCTCAGTCAACTGAAGAGTAGTAAGCTATGAAAAATTGCATATCTAACGTTTAGTTGGTGTTGAGAGCATGAATGACCTGGTTTTTATGGTCCGAAAATGCCAGGATGTTAGAATCATTGTCAAGTTCTCGTAAACTCCATTAAGAATTTTTCAGGTATCTTAGGTCATGGTCTTTCAGGATCAGTTGTTTTAGGTTAGATAATCTCCAGGAGTGACTGCATTTCAATCAAAAGCAACTGGTATGGTGATTTGAGGGGAGACTTCAACCCTGTCAGCCAAAACAGGTGCAATCAAATCGATGGATCCCAATAGAACACATGTAATTCATGAACTCACGATTAGTTGATTAGAAGACCATAAATAGAATTATCAACTACCAAGGGCTATCCATGTGCATCAAAAGTTACAAAAAAACAAAATGTCATAATGTGGCTAATATTAAATTTCTGTTAAGAGTGCTTCATGTACTAAATTTCTCAATGAAAACCTTGATTATTTTCTCAAGACTGTTTTATGAATTGGGCTGATTTGGTAGAACCCAATCTGAACCACCATCAATAACTGTAAAGGGAACTATATTTGAGTAGTCAGTGAACCTAATTCAGACACCAATATCCTTCCTTCAAATAACTTAGCCCTGTACGTTGAGTGTTACTTGTTTAGGTAGACTAACTGCAGGTATTGGATAATAATTCCACTGCTGAAAACGTGTCAGTAATCAGTGCCCTTTAACATGATGCTTTTTAAAATTTGTTGGTAGGTCTAACATTGTGCCAGTTACAGACGCTACAAAGTGGTAAGTGTAATTATGAATAATTGGGATCCCAAACAAAATGTGTAAATTACAGATATTCATTGAACTGACCATCATTTCAGGGATGGCTACAAGTTTTGAGGGCCACAAATTATGAACCTTTTGGCCTTTAAGTGAAACCCTCTTTAAATAAGGAGTTAACTTATTTACTTACTAACTAGATGTCAACCTCTGGAAATCTGATATGCAGAGATTTGTTTGTGATCTCCACTCTCATTCCCAAGTTTGTCTTTTTGACTGTACTACCCCAATCTCTCCCCAAAAAGGAACATGCTAAGTGACATGTGTACTCCAAAAAGGAGAAAAAAAGAAAAAACAAATGGGAATGAAAAATAACATATGAAAAATAATGATTGAAATAACCATTTAAAAAATATCACAAATATTCAAATATGTTATTTTAGAAAACCCTGAAATGTTTCTCATTGTAGATAAAATTTACTTTCAATAGACTGAGAGATGTTGCATGGGAGGTTAGGAGACTCATTTTGTAGGATGTTTTCAAAGTAGCTCTGCCTTTACAAGTGAATGTATTGCAAAAGAACCTAAACAAATTTAGTAGCTAACATTAGAACAGCTAGATGGTATGTTTTCAGAGATATGCAATTCTCAATCTTGACCCCAAAATTCTTGTATTTATTATAGCTGAAATGGTATATAATTGGCACCAAAATGTTGCATAGCAGGTGTGTGTGTTTAAACAATGTAGTATTGATAACATTTATATCTTTTATATCTGGAACAAAGGAGAGACTCCTATGCCTGGTCGTTATATACCGCAGTGCAAAGCTGATGGCAGCTTTGAAGAAGTGCAATGCCACCCTTCCACTGGTTACTGTTGGTGTGTTAACACACAGGGGTGGGAAATCAAAGGAACTAAAGTGAGAGGAAGACCAACCTGCAGTAAAGGTAATTTATTTCTGATGATCACATGTAACAGTGCAGTCTGATCATCTGGGTAAGTGTAGTCCTGAGAGGGATTGTTGACGGAAGTAGTGACTAACATTTTGACATTCAGAATGTAAGTCGTCAACAGAGTCAAGTGAATAGATGTTATCAGCTGAATGAACTAAGTCCAGTTTGTATAAACTGATTTGTCATTTGGCTGTGATGTTATTAGCCATAAGATTCAAGTGGTGTAAGTTGGTTGTGATGTGTCAGTTTCGATTTGATCACTGTTTTATGTTCTTTTCATTATTTATAACTGCTAGCTCAAGGTAAATAAATCATCCAACACCTCAACTTTTAGAGTTTTAACATTGTGCTCAAAAGATATGAAACACTGTTTAGCTCTCACCTCTCAGATATAGAATTGACCAATTTTCAACTAAATTTTTAATTGCTCAGGAAAAAAACTTGATTCAATGTTCTGTAAGCTCATAAAAGACTTCCACTATTTCAGTCTGTGCGCCTGTAGTGTGCAGAATGTACTGTGAATTTGGTTGGGCTCAGGGTCCAGATGGCTGTGATATCTGTAAATGCAAAGAGGTTCCCATCAAGCCTGGTTTCTGTCCAGCGGTAGAGCCAGATCAAGTTGCTACATGCACAGAGAAATGCAGCACTGACAATGACTGTCTAGGAAATCAAAAGTGTTGCTCCAATGGCTGTGGTCGTGTCTGTACTGCTCCAGAATATAAAGGTACTTGTTGATCTATCCTTGTATGGTCAGAAATATTTTCAATTAATTCATAAAAAGCGCTAATGTTTTGGAAGTTGGACTCTCAAGCTTCCTGAAATAAATATGCTTTGTATGCTGCTGCTTTGTCACATCTGATGATGCATCAAAAATATGGTGTGGATTTAGTTGCTGATTGTAAGAAGGTCATAGTTCAGGTGAAATTACTGAACCGTTTTAAATAAGGCTTTCAGGTGAAAACTGGCTTTTCTCTAATTATGCATAGATACGATGCTCAACCTTGTTATGGCACAAATGATGGTGGAGAAAGCAACTTATTGGGCTGACTCTCATAGGGAAATATTTTAGAAGCTTGGGGAGTCTGTCAAAAGTCAAAATAGATAATGATTCAAGTTCAATGTAATTACATTGTTGTTAAAACTGATGAGAAAAAAGAATGCCTCTTTCTGGAAGAATCCCTCTAATTGTGAAGAAATAATTGTTTGAGCGACTGAGAAAGAAATTGATTGCAAAATGAATCCATGCAAGTAACTAACAAGTAACTAAAACTTATTCATATGCCTTAAGATTGCATTAAATTGTGACGGTCGTGTGTTGACTGGATGGCACAAAAATAAAATAACTGCTTTTCTTCTGCAGCTAAACCGGGGTATTGCCCAGCAGTTGATATCCACCATGTCGGTATTTGTAAAAGTGAGTGCAGTTCAGACCGTGACTGCCAAGGAGAACAGAAGTGTTGCGGTAATGGATGTGGGCGTGTCTGTAGTGCACCTGTCCGAGAAGGTACTCTTCCTTAGGGCAAAGTTTCTCATTTAATTGTCAGAGAATATTTCCTTCGTAAAGGAGAACTAATATAATTGTAATTCTGGGACTGTATCTGAAAAACAAGAACATTTTGTTGCTTTATATCTTGGTTAGTTTAATTTAAGTCCTTTGACTGCAGATAGTGCGCTACAGTTTATTTTAATTGGCAGTTAGTTCAATTTTACACAGCAGGTAACTGTTCATCCAAAATTTGCTGAGGTGTAAAGTGTGATCCTCTTTTCTTTTCTTTCCATCTTTTGCAGCTTGTCCCCGTGGTGCCCCTTTCATTATGTGTCACAACAACCCATGTGAAAGAGCTAGCTGCCCTGCAAATCCCAAAGCCAAATGCCTTCCGGATAACTGTGGCGGTTGCAACGCACAGTTCTTTGATGACAACGACAATATTGTGGACTGTTTAGCGAGTACGTATCGTGGAATTGATTATTTCTTCGTGCTCGGGTACCTACTGGAAATATTTGTAATTTGTCAGTTAGTCTACCAGTTCAAACATCCTTAGATATGATATTAAATACATTCTTTGTTAATTGTGAGACGAATTATTAATTGATCTTCATGACAGAAAAGTCAACTTGTTTGTCGCATCTTCTGTTTTTGCTAAATGAACCATACGTGTTGTGCTGGGTAGTTTGGAATTAATGTGCTTGAAGATTCTAAGTATGTGAAATGTGAACTGCGGCTTGGCAATCAAGATTTTACAAATGCGAAGGAAGCTTATTGAAAAATGTCATCAAGTACTGCGTCATTTTTAATAGCATTTTTTATCTTATTTATTTTTAGGTGCGACCAAATGCCAAAAGGAATATTTGGATGCAACAGCATCCCCCGGAATGGTAGGCCAATTTGTTCCAAAATGTGCAGCTGACGGCTCATACGCCCCAGTACAGTGTTATGGCTCCATCGGCTTCTGTTGGTGTGTAGATAGAGATGGAAAGGAACTCCCTAACACCAGAGTTCGGGGACAACCAAAGTGTACGTTTTTAAAATCGTTTGCATCAAGAAATAAATTTGTGATTGATGCTTATCTAAATCTCAGGTCTGACGCTGCTGTATGTTTTTCAAAACTAAGGGGAAGAAAATCAAAACAGAAAGCGTTACTTTACGACCAAAATGCCCTTTTGTCAAGTGCACCACACCCCACCGCGCCTGACTCCCCCCCTCCCCGTAACATTGAAGTTACTTTATCTCAAGCCGCTTACAGAAAGGGTGAAGGCAAGTTAGTCGGGGCTTTTAAGGGAAGAGTTGAATCAATCAACTGTTGAGACCTCAAGTTTGAAATTATAGAAATTTCAAGATTTCTCATGGGTTAGAGAAGTTTAATTTTTGTTTCCTTTTTCAGGCTCTACGAAATGTCAAAAGGAGAATTTGAATGCAACTCAAAACCCACCCATTGGCCGGTTTGTTCCAAAGTGCAATGCTGACGGTTCATATGCCCCAGTACAGTGTCACGGCTCCATAGGCTTCTGCTGGTGTGTTGATAAAGATGGAAAAGAGATCCCTGACACCAGAATCAGGGGACGACCAACGTGTGAGTGATCAATCCATTTAGTAATTTCCCTTACAGCAAATCTGTTTCTGCAATTGAACAAGCATTTCCCAACAGTAGTGAACAAACCGTTTTGTTATTCGACCTCTCAGCCATTACCCTGGTCCTTAAGTTGTATAAATTCTTTATGAATTAAATTAATTGCTAATGACTTAAAATAGATGAAAATCGTGTATGTGCACTGTGATTGAAGGAACGGATACAGAAGCGATCCTGGCAGTTATGAACACTACTAAACTAGTAGTTGAAATAAGGCATGAAAAAAATTCAGGCCCATACGGGATTTAAACCTATGACCTCTGCCAATCCCAGGTAGCTTGTTAGCTCAGTTAGTAGAGCGCTGCACCGTTATCGCACCGGCCTCATTTCAACTATATTAATTGCTAACGACATGAAATTGAGGTTTGGGAGAATGCAAAGTTGTCTGTGCTTCCAGGGGGTGTTCTTTTCGGTCGTTCGTTTTCCTTTTCACTCTCTCTCGAATTATGTCGTATGCGTTTTAGGATTTCAATTAGTTCGCCAAGTGTTTGGAGCAAATTCACTTTTGTTTGTGGCGAAATGACGGCGGCGGGGCGATCTCGCTCTTTATGGAACGCTCTGATTATGGGGCGATCTGACAATGGGGCAAAGTAGCCACGTATGTTACATGTAGGTTTCAAACTGAAAGAAAGAAAAGGTATCTTTGAGGTAACAAATGTCTCTTACCTTTTAAAGGTGACGTAAATCGTATTTCCTAAGCAACCTCATTGAGAGTGTACTTAAGAAGTTTCCTTTGCAATTGCAATAAGTAAATGAGTCATACTCGAGACATTAGGAGTGATTTAGCTTTTGATATTTTAATATATTACAATGAGATCGAGAGTGACTAGTGTTGATATCCGCGTTTCCAGCAATCTGATGCCTCTAACGAATTTAACATCTCGCCATTAGGCACAGTATTAAGTCACTGTTCCTTGTAGGTGCCATCACATTCAGTATCGGTCCTTCTTGTGATGACGGCAAAACATGGCAGCTTTGCGGTGATACTTGTAAGAATGCTTCTTGTACCAGCAATCCTGACGCCAACTGTGTAGCCCCCATGGGAGGCTGTGGCCCTGATGCTTGCAAACCCAAGTTCTACAACAGAATGGGCAAGGAAGTGCAATGTAAGCGGCGCCGTACTTTGAAATACAGAGTGGTTATACTGTGGTTTATTGTGTCTATGTTTGGTTCGCTTGAGGTCTCTTCATATTCAAACCATAAAGATTCTGTAAATCAGACCTGAACTCACAGTTTTAGTGTATACACAGGTTTTTTTTAGGAACAGCGAGGTTGATCCTTCTTAATCCATTTTGTCTTTGTTCTCTAATATTTCGGTGGCCTTAATGATGAAATGACGATAGCATTAGGAGACGTTGCTTGCTAGCAGTGATATTTCAAGGGTAGAAAAACTTATGGGTTGTACCTTGGAATCTTTTTTTACTTTCAGGTCTCACAGAATGCCAACAGAAAGCTTATCAAGCCACCCACCCCGCGCTGGTAGGAGCCTTCATACCCCAGTGCAATGCAGATGGTAGCTATGCGCTTGTGCAGTGTTGGGGCTCTACTGGATATTGTTGGTGCGCGTCAGAGGACGGATCCGAGTGGCCTGGAACTAGAGTAAGGGGAAAACCCAACTGTGACGCCAATAAAGGTATAGATATTACCAACCCTGATAAATCTCTTTACTTTTCCTGAGAATTTCTTGATATGTAAAGACTTAATTTCATAGAATTTCGCCAGTTGCTTGATGTATTTACTTTTTGAGGTAGTGCAACTTCTTCTTTCGCCAAGACATGTGAATATGGTGTGGAGTTCAAAATAAAAACGCGATTAAATTTATGTAGAGGTTCCCATGCGAAGTTGGTGTTCTACAGAGGAAGGCTTAGAAATGCACATAGGTTAAGATTTTTCTAGATCATTAGATCTATTTTCTTGTTTCCGTCGCCGTCGTGGTTTTCTAAAAGTCCCTAAAAGTAACAGTTCCAACTGTAAAGAAAGATTTTTCTTCGTGATCCGGAGGTCTAAGTTATTTCTTTTACCCCGCACGAGACAAAACAACTGAGTCCAAATTCATCACCGTTCCAGTTCCAACGTTAATCTGGTTGACAAGGCTTTGAAATGTTCATGGTTTCTTTTTTCCCTATTTCTTCACAGGTCCACAACTTTTGTAAGTATGCTTTCTGCCTTAAAGTAATCGTTCTGTTCCAAATCAAATTGCTGTTTTTTTTTCGGCTGTTGCAACCTCAGTTTGGAATTTTGTTTTGATGGTTCTGTTTTGAGTTTTCCTTTTTTTTCTAGGAGCGTCCATGTTGGACTTACCTTCAACTACAGCCTAGGTTTAGTGAAGGATGTTTTGGGTCAATTTAAAGAGTGAGTACACTGTTCGTTCGATTTTTTTTAATCACTTTTAAGCAATGAATCTGTACTTGACCGGTCCTTCAGCTTTTCGTAGCTGCGTTTGTTTGTCTGTCTCAGCCTTTTTCTATTTTTCTTCCATCTATTTGGCCGTCCGTCCGTTCGTAGTCATAAGTCAGTCAGCTGGTCCGTTTAGTAGATCGTACCGGTGATTGTGTTAAAATAAATATTCATGTCTCGTTTTCTAGATCAGTCAAGACACAGATGATAACAATGTTTTCATTAAAGGAAAATCAACTACATGGCCTTGAGGTATGTGCGCTCTTGATATATACTTGGATGAAGGTAGTCTCCTCCGCATCCGTCCCGTCATGTAACGCAAAAGAGAGCGTGTTGCGTGCAAAGTTGACTGGGAGGAGGGTCTCTGACAAAACATCAAACAAAAACCCCAAGGGTACTTCTTTTGTAATAATATGATTTAAAGTGAGATTTCCACTGGAGAGAATTATGTTTAAGGTAAAAATACATTAATTCATAGCTGTGTAGTTTTCGTCACTGTTTGTCTGTCGCACATGGATTCACCTCTTCGTTCTGAGTTCCTCTCCGTTATATTTTTAGGTGCAAGAGGGAAGTATTTTAGTTGGATTTAGCGTTGAACCAGCCAGCGGGGGAAAAGACCTGAGAGACTTTGCAGATGAAATAACTGAAAAGGTTTGATGATCTCAGTACTGATCTGACAAAAACAAGAGTCAACCCTAGTAAAGTAGGTCACAGGAACACCACGTGGTTCACAAAGAGTTTTGGATGTAGCAAAGGATTTGCGGGACAAATTTCTGGAACAACAGCTCATGTTGTTTTGACTATAACTACGAGTTATTTAGCCAAAAGATCTCTAGAGTGAAAACTGTTTATGTTACTTTGTGTAGAAGAGCGTTCTTTTCCTTTTACAGGCTCGCAATCACGAACTGGTCATTGAATTCAGCGGTATCACCTTTGTAGCTGAACCCGACGTTATGTTAGCGTCGCCCATGTATGTGGAAGAAAAAACTGTTTCCAAAAAACAAGAGGAAACCGCAAGCAGCAGTGTGTCTGTTACTAGTGTTGCATTCATATCTGTCTTCTGCACCTTAGCTGTAGTTGCTGTAGCTCTTGTAGCGTTTAAGGTGGGTAGCCTTGTCTTTCTGAGCGTATATTATACTAAAGAAAAAACCTTTTCATTCCAAGTGAAATTTACTTTTTGTTCTGACGAGTCTTGGTGTCATGGAGGAGTGAAGGCAATGTTTAAGTTCATCATGAAAAGCACAGCATGCCGAAGAGTTTCTTAGGTTGCAAAGAATAAATTTATAGACTCAAAAATAAGAATTGCACCGCGTTCGCCCTCTATCGAGTTCGCCCCTACCTTATACCGTGTTCGCCCCCACACTTGTCGAGTTCGACCCCATCAAGTCGAGTTCGCCCCTTGATTGAGTGATATCCAGATGAGTTGATTTGTGACGAAGGCACTAGCAGAATGTTCCAAATGTCACGTCAGCGACGACCATTTTGAATTTCGGCAATTGCGCGGAACCCGCTCGGGAACTGAGTTGACGGAATCAACTAAATACTCTGCGTGGGATCTGGGGTTACCAGAAATATCTGTATACACTGATAAAGAGAACCACACTTAATCAAAACAACATTGCTTAACTTATTATTCAGACTGGAAAAGATGTAAAACAACCTCGGTTTATCTAACGAACACGAAATGTGTTGATCGTAACAACCAGACTTGAGAAGATGCAAACCACGCTTTCATCGCGACAGCATTGCTTAAGTTGTTAGATTTGTACCTCGTTTTGCTTTATTTATGAAATTAAGACTAAAGAATTTACGAAACCACGATTTGATCACGCTTTTGATTATTTAAGACTTCTTGAGAGAATGCGTTGCACACTTCGTTGTGTTTTAAGGTCATAGCAACCAGACTTGAGAAAATGCAAACCAGGATCGCAAATCACGCTTTCATCGCATTGTGTTGATCATAACAACCAGACTTGAAAAGATGCTAACCACACTTTCATCGCGACAGCATTGCTTAAGTTGTTAGACTTGTAATAAATGTGTAACAGATACTTACCTCGTTTAGCTTTATTTATGAAATTAAGACTGAAGAATTTACGACACCACGATTTGGTCAGGCTTTTGATTATTTAAGACTGACCAAGAGAATGCGTTCCACGCTTCATAGGGTTTTCGTCGAACGACCTTGTAGCCTTTCGGTTCGGTCAAATACAAAAACGGCTCCTGTAGGAGCCACCCAATCTATAAAGGTCATGACCAACGAAAGTTCTCTGTATTTCATTGTTTGACCACATTATTTCTTGTTTCCGATCGCCCCAGCTCCCACGCACATATAAACTTTCAAAATGGCCGTCGGTCAATTAAAATTCAAAACTTGTCTTGGTTCTAACTTGTTTGCAATGTTCGATAGCAACTAATTTAGACATGACTCAATCTGGGGGCGAACTCGACTTGGTGGGGTCGAACTCAAAAAGTGTGGGGGCGAACACAGTATAAGGTAGGGGCGAACTCGATAGGGGGCGAAAGCGACGGATACCAAAAAGAACATTGCTTATTCTGTGCCTTAGCCTTTTGAATCGAGTGCATGGTCTTGGCTTAAACATAAAGCGGTATTAGAACCCTAGTCCCAATGCTTACTTCGCTGTTCGAAAGAGTGTCGGCGAACAAGCATGCTGCATGCATGTGAATGCAACCTCGCTTCCACGGTCCTCTCTGTTCCCCCTTCGAAGTCAAGAAAGAGATGAGACTGGAATGGAGTTGGCGGTAATGGTGAGAAAATTCTGTGTGCAGAATAGTCTTAACCCTTTGATCCCCAAGAGTGATTAGCATCTAACTTCTCCTTACAATGTCAAGCCTGGATAAAACATTAAGGTCACAAGAAGATGGGAAATGATCAACAACTAAAGCTCTCGATTGTTAATCAGATTTTCCTTGTAAATGTATGAACAACAGTATGGAGAATATGGATGATGTTAGGATGTAAAGGGTTGGGGTAATTCCTGGATTACCTCAAACTTCAGTTTGAAGTTGATATTGGGATGAAATTGAATTTTAGCGAACTGTGTTAGGGAAAACAAAATCTTTTCATCCTTGTGAAACCCGTTGACATTAAAGGTTAGGTAGATTCCGATTTTTTCCCTTCAACATTTACTATCTTTGTTGACTTTGTTCCTTACATTTTTTAGTTAATTCAGAAAAAACGGAGAAGCTCCGGTCTGGAGGAGAGGGTAAGTAACGATCTTTGAGAGTAGGAACTTCATCGTTTGATCATTTAAACAAAGTGTAGCCGTAGTTTAACAAAATAGCGTCCTTAACAATCCTCAGTTCAGCTGAACCTTTTATCTGAACATTTATCTTTGTGAACGGTGTCAAGAAGGCCGAAAGCTTATATGGAAGAACATTAGTTTCATTAAATCAATCCTCTTATAGAGAGAGCCTGAGGCCCACTGATCGCGTAAAACCGTGGTGTGGATTTTAACCGGCTCTAAGAATTCAAACGATGACTTACCTTGTCTCGTGTGTTCGTATTATGTCAGTAACATGTGGCTCCTTTTCCAGCGGTACCTTTTGAATTAAACCTGAGGTGCCCCTCATCCTTACCTCTAGGCCAACTTTGTTTACAAATATGGAGGCGCTGAGATGAACACCGCACTCTCAGATGCCTGAATTTTGGACTCGACTCTGAACCGGATGTGTCTCAACTGCTGATTATTTTTGTACAACGTAAAGATCTACCTTCTCCAAGGAGGTTGGTTACAACGTTGCGGAGGGGTTTGATGAAATTTCGGTCATAAACGTGTTTGTGATTGCGTGACACTACAAGTCCATACCTAAGGTGCTGGGAAAAATCAAGGATGACGAAAATACTCTTTCGTTCTTGATCAGTACATTGGAATTTTACTTGAAAAAACATTTTTTTGTACTAAATTAATTCGAGGAAATGATAAGATATATTTTCTACAACAAATAAATAACGAACATTTTATGTTGTTGATTATTGTCTTTAACATTCGCGTGGGATTTTCGCTCAAGGCACCGCGACTTCTGGGTGAAAGAAAGTCGTTGGCATACAACGGATGGTACACGAGCGCTAGGTGTGATGGGAAAGGATAAAAAGTTTTCCTATTTTCCCTTCCCCACGGCCCTCTCTCGCCTACAGCGTGTCTAAAGGTGACTAGCTGTAAAAAAAAAAAAAACAAAACAAAAATTATCTTTGGGTCACACCTCACATTACAAGAGCACATTACAAGAAAATTTGTTACTGATATCGATTTTATTAATTTTTACACAAAGAATTCTCAACGGATTGTTACTAAAAAAGACGAAATCCAGAATTAGAGGTAGAGCCCCTCTGGCGTGCCCTCGTTCTTCCTGTACAACACGTTCTCTTTGGATTTTCTAAAGTCCTCGTTGGTCACCTTCATTCTCCTTTCTCTTAAAGCCATCAGACCTGCCTCTGTGCAAATGGCCTGCGTGATGTAAACAATTCATAAGTTAGTTTGATCTCAATATTAATACTAGCAGCATGTTGGTGAATTGAAATGATCATTCAACTTAAAGAAATAATCATCCAGACAAAGTTTACGTCAGCACTGGTTTAGGCTGGATCTGTGGTCTCTTCAAATGTTGTCCTCAGGATCTCGTTTCTGCCGAGGCGCGGCCATGGCAATTAAGGTTGACTGTCAGCTGTTGGAATTTGCCCACAATACATTTTACTATTTTTACCAGAGATGACTGCTTGGTGGTGAACTAGCTTCATGCACTCTGGAACAAGGGAAATTAACACGCAATAAACTGATATCGCCTTCTCACCTTGATGTCAGCTCCAGAGAGGTCATCTTTGGCCATCACATACTCTTCCAGATTGACATCTTCTGATAGTGTCATGCGACCAGTGTGGATCGTGAATATGCGACGTTTTGTTTTCTCGTCAGGAAGAGGAAACTCAATCTTGCGATCAATGCGACCTTTGGAGGGTTATACAAAAGAACTTGTCAGTGAGAAGACCCAACAAATAAAAAAGCTGAGATTGTATTCCTCTTACAATAATCATAGCAGGGGGCTGACATTTCCCTAGTTCACCAAATTACAATCAAATGAAACTCCATTTATTCCCATCTTTGTCCCTTCAGGCTCGTACCTTTTCTCCAGCATTCGTGCAGGTGACTAGAGAGTGCTAGCCAGTCAGCCTTACGAGCTCATCAGCACGTTTTAACTAAAGTTTGGAGTGTGCAAAGTGGGTAAAAGAATAATTTTTTTCAGTTCTACAGGCATAGGAAATGCAGTAAGAGGAGTGTGTCTGTTCTCAGTGAAAACAGTACACAGGAATCCCCACTTGAGGCTGTACAAAATGGGGTTAGCAAGGCCATACAAAGCTGTAAAGCCCTACCAGTTGTGAAAGGGAGAAAAAGAAAGAACAACACTCATGAGATAAAATTGCGTATTGACTAAAGGACATAAAGATCTGATGGGCAAAATATTTGACCTCTGGCCAAATATTTGACTACTAGCCATATATATTTCCTCTCTAGCCCTATCACTCACTCAAGTACATAACAACAATAACATTCTTTCTATTAAAGAACTATTTTTTACCAGGTCTGATAAGTGCAGGATCCAAAGTTTCAATTCTGTTTGTGGCCATAATAACCTAAAAACAATAGGGCCAACATTCAGTCATTATTAACTAAATGCTACAAATAATTTTGAAAATTACTGTTTTTAAACATTTTGAAATCCTAGATAACTTCTGTTGAGACCCCCAAGATTTTGCTAGGGTCTGTATGCACACCATGTATGGCATTGCTATGGGGTCACATGACCTGATACTTGACCATAAAAAGATTGTTTACTATAATTTATGCAGACACGTTTCAATGTCAGAGGTACAGAATATTCTCTAATACTGATTACATTTTGAATGACATGAAAGTAAATTTGCCTTATATCATTTAACCAGCAGGTTACCAACTCTACTTGAATGTTTACCCTTGGACCACTGAGACTGACTGACCAAAAAACGTCTCCTTATAGTGTTACCTTTAAATCAGAAGTTAAGGTCATGAGAAAATAGGAAATGATCACCAATTTAAAAAGCACCTAGTTGTCAAACAAATTATCCTTTTCAGCACCATATGAATTTAAAAGAGAACTGTGGAGAAAATGAATGCTAATGCTGGGTGCAAAGGGTTACTTAACAATGGTGGACAAAAGAACATGGAAAAAAAAATTAAAAAATAGAAACAATCAGAACACAAGCTGAACACAAGCTGCAAAGGTTACCTTGACATCCCCCTTGGAATCAAATCCATCTAACTGGTTGAGAAGCTCCAACATTGTTCTCTGAATTTCTCGCTCACCCCCAGAATTAGACTCGTACCTAGAGAAAGAGCAATAGTGAGAGTTGATGCAAAATATTTTGGAACCATGCCATTAGAACTCAGCAAACCATTGTTTTCTGGACTTCAGAAGCAAAACAAAAACAAACAAATTAATTAATAAAAAGTTTATGCATTCATGGGATGTGATCATTTATATCCTGTTGTACAAGTTATTAGATGAGCAAGAACAGTGTGTGTAAGTTGTATTAGCATAACACACCTTTTGGTTCCAACAGCATCAATCTCATCAATGAAAACAATTGATGGGGCATGTTCTTCTGCAACTCGAAACATTTCTCTTACTAGCTTAGGACCATCACCCTAAAACAGAAAATAATACAGTGAAAGGTAAATAAAAAAAAGCAAGGAGGCATGGATCATGTAAGACAACATTGAGAGTTTGAATCCTACCCAGTTTCTATTTTGTCATCAGATGCTCTAACAACTGAGTTGCAGACCACTTGCTGGCCAGCTCATTTGGCCATTAACCAGATAAATTTGCAACAAGTATCTTGCAAGCAGCTACACTCCCAGACACATTATTTTGTTGGGATAATAACTACCTCCCCTGCCCCTTTCAATGTTGGTCGGCAAGATGGCATAGACACACTGGCAATTAACACTGGAAGGAGAAGATGGATGACAGAACATCATAGATAGAGAAGTGTCCCAACTTATGATGTCTGAGAGTGTAGGTTCAACCATGTTGAAGTCTTCTTGAGTGAAGACAGCGGATAAAGGATGATTCATTTTGAGTTTTTTCATCAAGAAAAGAGAGATTTCTTTACTTGATGAGTGAGCTTCAAACTCAACATTTTCCATACTCTTCTTCCACATAGAAAGCAACAGTACAATGTGTCACATAAAGTCAATATTACCCTCGCTTTACTAAAATAATTTCTTGATCAAGCTAAAAAAAATTAAGTTGTTAGGAAGAAGCAGAAACAAGATTTTTTCCTTTACCAGATATTTTTGAATGAGCTCTGATCCCACAACTCGGAGAAAGGTTGCTGCTGTTTGATTGGCTACAGCTTTTGCTAGCAAGGTCTTTCCTATGATCATGAATAAACATAAACTTTAGTGAGTAAAACAAATACGAGTGAGAACATGCATTAAGTGCTGAGACAGTCCAAAGATTGACAGAAAAATCACAATGTAACTAAAAATGTAATCAACTTTTTGTTGCTTAGTACTCTGAATCTGTGTGTGTCTTTTTTTTAGCATATCGGCGCCAATCATGGCGGCCACGTTTAGAGTAGCTCTAGTTTCTATCACTATTCTATCCTGTTTAAGCGCTGCATTTCTAAACCATTTATTATCCTTCGAGGCTACTTTTAAATCAAGGTGGGAACCCCTGCACACTGCTGTTCAACTCAAGAAGAAATGCACTTGTATCGTCAAAGATGGTTTTCATCGATCAAGAGTTCCAATGCAGAAGCACACTAAACACGGGTTTGTCTCCTTAGTCATCCCTGGCCACGACCCTCCATTGGACATCACGGTATACGTTGATATTTCGACCAACCCCGGTCCTGCTCAATCTATTATCGCCATTGGTAGCCGGCAGAGAGCCACTAGAGATTTAATTCGGCAGCTTGATTCTCCAATTCGCCAAACAACGACCCTACAGTACTCTCGGCGCGAACTGGTGTCGCTCCGGAAAAATTACAGCCTTCAGGAGAGACGGTCAGTTTTATTTAAGAACATTCGAGCGGATGGAATTTTTTTTTTTAAGTACCGAGGGAAACGGTCCGGAAGACTTACTAAAACACAATTAAATACAGGCCGAAGCAAATATTCTTCAGAAACGAATGAATTTTCAACCTTGAATAATTATTCACAGTCGAACAATCACACCTTACCGGGGCTTTCAGTAATTCCCGTGAGAACAACCACACGCGCCATCTCCAGTAGTTACACAAGACCAAGAACTGTTAATTGCTATAACTCTTCCATCTTGAATGAATCTTTATGGTTCAATAATCACGCTTTACCGAGACTTTCAACAATTCCCGTGAGAGTAACTACACGTGTTTCCTCCAGCCGTTACACAGAAGAAAGAGCCGTCAATTTCAATAATCTGGCTATTATCAAGCCTAAGAGAAACATCGACGCCAGGAAAAACACCTTGCAGTTCGTACCGCCAATAGCTGTGTCTAATGTAATGAGTTTGGCACCAAAAATAGACGAACTTCGTATTTTTTTGAACACCCACGAGTTTGATCTTTGTTGTATAACGGAGACATGGCTGAAAGATTCTATTGATGACAGCGTAGTTGACATTAGTGGCTACAACATCATACGCAAAGATAGGACCCACAAGCTACATGGGGGTGTGGCTCTATATGTAAAAGATTCCATCAAATTCTCAATTCTACGGGACTATGAGTTTCCTGACCCCGAGGGCCCTGAGGTTTTGTGGGCCAAAATCACGCCCAACCGATTGCTCCGGGGTTATAGCTGCCTTATCATTGGTACAGTATACCATCCTCCACCGCCTGCCAAAGATGAGCCCCTCCTTGATTACATGATGGATTCTCTCTCTAGGATAGAGAGTGATATCCCTGGCGCAGGTATAATTCTCGCTGGCGACTGGAACAGGGCAAATGTTTCACCAGTTATTAAGCAGTTCCGCCTCACGCAAGTCGTCCATTTTCCAACAAGAGGGGATCGTACACTCGACAAAGTGCTAACTAATCTTACAGAACACTACGAGAAACCTTCTCCATTCCCGCCCTTCGGACTATCCGATCATTGTACTGTTGGTTTGTTTCCAAAAATTAGATCGAAGGCCAATATTCCTGCAAACAGAACGGTTACTACACGTGCTGTTAACGCTGAGTCCAAACAGGCTTTTGGTCGTTATATGACGGGGTCGACTGGTCATTAATCGACACTATAGATAGCGTCCAAGAACAGTATGCTCACTTTAGTGACCTAATTCACATAGGGTTAGATTCTATCCTTCCCAAAAAGCGAGTTAAGTTCCACCGAAACGACGCACCATGGATTTCACCCAAACTCAAGGCACTTATAGCACACCGTCAAAGAGCATATTACCAAGACAACAAACCATTGTTCCACTACTACCGGAACAAAGTAAACAGGGAACGGAAGCTCTGCAAACGCTCTTATTACAACACTAAAGTCAGCGTTTTGACCGAAAACAATCCTAAAATGTGGTGGTCCGAATGTAGGCGGTTATGTGGAATGAACAAAACATCTACAAGTGTCGCAAATCAGCTCCTAGCAAGTAAACCAGCTACCTCAATCAACCTTAAGATCTTGGCTAATGAAATCAACACAGCTCTGCTAGAACCTCAAGCTTCGTTTGACCCACTTTTAGATAATATCGAAACTGTGAGCACTGAGGGTTTTAAAACTCCCATTATTTCACTGGAAGCTACCTTCAAATGCCTTAGTACGGTCAGCTCCTCCAAAGCTGGGGGCCCAGATAATATCCCAAACTGGGTCTTGCGTGACTTCGCTCCTGAGCTCGCTCAACCTCTTCGTTGTATCATCAATTCCTCGATTAGTCAAGGGACTTTACCGGACATTTGGAAATGTGCAAACATCACCCCTCTTCCCAAAACAAAGATAGTTGAGGATGCGGCGAAAGATTTGAGACCTATTTCACTGACACCAACGTTGTCCAAAATTGCCGAGCACTACGTCGTCCATAAACATGTGAAACCAGCACTTCTGAAACGCCTGGAACCCGATCAATTTGGGTGTATTCCAGGATCCTCCACTGCGCATGCATTGATAAACCTGATGCACAATTGGGCGCAAGCAACAGACGGAACGGGGAACACCGTGCGGATCTTTGCGTTGGACTATAGAAAAGCCTTCGATCTGATAGATCACAGCCTCTTGCTATCGAAACTCTCGACCTACAATATCAACCCTTACATCATTAATTGGATAATAGCCTTTCTTAAAGATAGGAAACAAAGGGTCAAACTTGCACATGATTGTCTCTCAGAGTGGGGATCGGTCCGAGCAGGAGTACCGCAGGGAACAAAATTGGGACCGTGGCTATTCTTGGTTATGATAAATGATTTGAAAGTACCATCAGCCAGTGATTGTATAAAATATGTAGATGACACGACAGTGTATGAAATCATAAGCAAGGGTGGTCCTAGCAATGCTCAGTCTATGATAAACGAAGTAGCTACCTGGTCAACACTTAACTCGTTTCAACTTCATCCGAAAAAATGTAATGAGCTAAGAGTTTCCTTCGTGCGCTCCCCTCCTTCCTACGATCTCATAGAAATTAATGGCTCTAAGGTTAGCGCCGTTAGTGTCGTGAAATTACTGGGTGTGTATTTTCAAGACAACCTCAAGTGGAACACTCACGTTACTGAGATGATTAAAAGGGCCGCTAAGCGCCTTTACTTTTTAACTCAGTTAAAGCGAGCTAAGGTACCATCACCAGAATTAGTGAATTTTTATGTTGCTTGCATTCAATCCGTCTTACTTTATGGATGTCAGGTCTACCATTATAGTCTCCCCGATTATTTGAGCTTAAGTTTAGAGCGTGTCCAAAAGAGAGCCTTGAAAATTATATACGGTTATGATAATCATTATAGAGAAGTGCTTCAGATGGCAGAGCTGAAAACCCTAAGGGATCGGAGGGAAGACCTTTGCTTAAAATTCTTTAACAACATCGTCTCCAATCCCTTGGATTGTTTGTACCACTTACTGCCTTTCGACAACCGAGATCAACTTATGGAGTTACGACGACGCAGACCATTTAGAGTTTCCTTTAAAACAAATCGGTTCAGAGATACTTTCATTCTAGCAAGCGCAAGACATTTTAATTGACATCTATTACAATTGTATATGGGCCCATATGTAAATTAGTTCCCTTTTAGGTTTGATTTTATTGTATAGTTCTATTATATAATTTGTACACCTTTGTAAGTCAGCTTCCAGCTGCTATTAAGGTATTCTTAATAAACGTCTATCTATCTATCTATCTACCTGTACAGATTTCCATTATTTTAAATAATTATAATGTAACACTAAAGGGACCTTCACATACCACCAAACCAGCTCTACAGAGAACATCGTAAAACAAAAGATTTCCCCTGCAGGGCAATGGCTGTGGATGAGCATGTAAAACTTGTATGTTTCTTTAATATTTATCTTCTGCCTAACAGCAGAAGCCCTGATGGACGTAGCAAGACTAACAGTATTCATGTAGAGTCAAACACTATTAGACAATGAAAATGGTAAGCCACAAACAAAATTCTAATGAAAACTGAAGATCATTTTGTGATTAATTCTTGATTAGCAATCTTTGTTGTGATTACTTGATGTCTCCAATGGCCCACATCAGGACTCAGATCTGTCTAGATCTCAGCATAATCACTTCCCTGTCTAGAAATATAATGCTTCTCTTACATTTGGTTGGATTGTGTAACTCACCTGTACCAGGTGGGCCATATAATATAACACCCTTAGGTGGTTTAATCCCCATTTCTTCATACAGCTCTGGGTGAGTCAATGGAAGTTCTACAGATTCCTAAAAAACATGACATAACTCCATCAGGAGAACACTGTTCACAGAATGTTGGAATTATCTCAAAAACAGTTTTCAATCAAACCTTGGGAAATTCTAGAAAAGATGGGTGGTCATACAGTAACCAGATTAAATAATTTCACTGTTTTAAGATGTTAAAACCTATGATGAAAACTACTTGCACAAGTAGCCATATGAACACTTTTTAAATTTTGGCTTGAAAATCTAAAGTTGATAAAATCTCTTGGAAATGAATCTCAAGACAGAGGTACAGAATTATCTGCAAAGTACCTTGATTTCCTGTATCTGTTGATCCAGTCCACCAATATCAGCATATGACTCTTGTGGTGCTTTCTCAAGTTTCATCACAGTTACCATGGGATCTGCATCATCAGACAGAACACCAACAACAGCATGCACCTGAACAAAACATTTCAATTATTCTTTCATCACAACTGCAATCTTTGACTACAATTTAAAGAATAGCATCAGACAAATGAAGTGCTCCAGGCAATTGACAGAGAAGAGTGAACTACATAATAGTGTAGCCATTCTTGTATCCTTTTGCTAAATGTGTTTCAGACAACTAACTCTCTCATGTCTTTATGTTGCCAATTACATAGATCTCAAGTTCATAGCGTTTAAGAAATATATCACTTGATTCTTAGAAATATAATAAAAGCGAGTGGAGAAATGCAGATAAAAATATCTTATGGTTACCTTGTGATTCAGCAATACAGTACAGCCAGGTTCCAGCATATCTTTATCAACAAATGACAAAATGCTAACATAATGCTCTGAACCAACAGAGGTGGATACAATAGCATGGTTGTCATCAATGATCTCCTCTAAAGTTCCCACTGACATGGGAGTGCCCCGTAATTCATCAACCCTCGACCTCTCTTCCTACAATCAAATTTACATCAATGTTTGTATTGCGTGAATAATATTTGAGTGATTTTGTTTCCTTCAAGAGCCATATTAACTGAAGAACTGTTACTAGGTTGATACATAAATGCAGGTTGACAACTGAGAGACACAATGCAACATGTTGTGGAGACAAGTTGCAGTCTACAGTGACTCAAAGAATCTTTTTTAAATCTTTGTCTCTGCAATCAGTCACCTGAATTCAACCAGTTTGAATCTATGAGACTGGTTACAAATATGAATATCTGTTACAGAGATATACATGTACCATAGATACATTTACAAAAAGTTTCAATTTTATACTGGGCAAACTGTCACTCCAATTTCTTCCTTAAACCTTTACCCGTTAGATTACTAGCATGAATTTTCTCTTTACAATATCACCCCTGAATCAAACATTAAGGTAATTAGAACAAAGAAAACGATCACCATCTAACAAAGCTCTCGATTGTTCTAAAAACTCTCCCAGTCAGCACCTTAGGAAATGCATAGAGGTTAAAAAAGAGAATATGCATACTGTTGTTGGGGTGTAAAGGGTTAATTACAGAATAAAGTTTACAGAAGACTGAACCTCATTTTTCTCCTCTTGAGGTTTGAGCCTCTCTTGGTTTTGAATGAACTCTTCTTCAAGTAGTAGATAATCTTTTATTCTTTCCAACTTCAACAACTTCAACCTGCAGTTTCTGTGTGGAGTAACTTTAAAAAAAGTAATATCAAAGAATTTGTTAATGCCTCCAAGTCATAATTCTGTAAAGATTTTTATCTATAAAACTTCAAATAATTCACGGAAAACATAGCCTTATTTGTATAGAGAAATAATTTATAAGCACTTTGTCTGGTCTGCACTAAGCTCAACAAAAAATGTACATATAATTGGGTGACAGTTTTCTTATAAAACCAGTAAAATGTACCACTAGTAGTAACTCTTATGACTGCCAATGATAAGTTAGTAAAAGGATTGCTCTACCTGTTTGAAAATTTATTTTATCTATCATGCTTCAAATAAGGGAGAACACTGGCTAATTTTATTAACAAAGCAAGAGTGAGTTGGTACAGTAGAGGATTTTTAATACCTTGAGGTAATTTGTTGGCTGCATCAGGGCCTTTGGTTTTCTTCTGTTTCTTCCCTACTCTAGTAGGAATTGGTGGTTCATACTTCTTTCTCTTGTCCTAGAAAAAGAGTCCAGTACATGTAAACATATAGCAAGTGATCAGAAGCCTTCTCGTTGGTGTATCTTATCAAACAAATGGTGGAACCTGCCCACCAAGATGCCTGCCTCATATGAATGCTAAGAAAAACTAAGATTCAAAATTAAATTCCCTCAATCTTCCACATAATTAAAGTTGCATGAATTGGTACTCTATCCAAAAGAAAGAATTATTCAACACAATTTTGTTGAACATATTTTTCAAAAAGAAATGCTCTTAGCTAGCTCTTTTACTTGTATACATAAATAATGCTTACTTCTGGGACTCAAATCTTATTTGATCAAACATGTTTGATACAGTTTTGTACTGGCAATGTAGAACAAAATTTGAATTAAGGACAAAGATGAGCTGCAGTGGCAAACAACTGCATTTAAACACGAGTCTTGATATATTTTTCATTAGTTCCACACCTTGTCTCCCTTCTTGTCTCCTCCAGCTCCCCCACTGCCAGACTGATTTTGACCCTGTGTAACAAATCACGATTTTAGTAGAAATTAAATTAAAATTTAAAAAAATTACAATAACACAATCATTCTTCCACAAATAATAATGTGCAGTTATCCTCCACAATACACTTCTTAACAAGATACAGCAAAGCTTATGTCAGCTTAATTTGATAAAATAGATCAGGTTAACGAAAAACAACGTTTGCGAATTTTGCTTCAACAACTCAGTGTTCCATTCTAAAACTCTAATCATTACAAATCACAGAGCATGATTACTTGTGACTTACATTATCGCTTAGCCATAAGTCCTTACTGGACTTGCTTTTCAAAATAGCATGAAAGACTTTGGTTTTGACAGAAAACGTGTGACGAGATAAACGTTTTAGTGGTGTTTACTGTCGAATCTGGCGAGTTTAAGGGTAAATCGTATCACACAAACAAGAAAAGTCACGTGAAGGAACTTTCTATACTATTAAAAAAAAACCTTCCGAAGGTTCTCATCATTCATGATGAAAGAAACGAGGAAGATTCAGTAGAACTCACCATTTTGTCTCTGAAGATCTGCTAGATATCGCAGGCTCATGTTGAGCAAGAGGTCATGCGCAGTCTGTTGCTGACTCACTCTTAGTGCCCAGAGCTCCTCGTCTCCTCATGCTCACTGTAGTACTGCTTGACACAACAGCTGGCTTGACACTCACCTCACCTTTCCAACTAATACTTTTTTATTTTTATCGCAAATTTGAATAATGTAAACGTTTCGGCACAAGCTTCTTTCACGGAAAACGCCCTTACGAAAAGTGTGTCTGTAAAGCTTACGCAATGTTAAGACAAGCATTTAGAAATTGTGAGTCCGGCTCCGGCTATCCCAACAAACCTTTGAAGGTTTAAAACATTTAAAGACCTGGTCAGATGTGATCCCGAAAAAGGTTAGAAAAATTATTGATGTCACTCTTAATCGATTCAAGAGCACGTGACAAGGGACAAAATTAAGTGTACGGGGGTGAATTTCTTTAATGAATCGTAACGGGGTACCCTGCCTCCTCTTTCAGGCTAATATTACGTGGAAGGAATGAGATTTCCTGCTTTGTGGTATGGAAGGGAATAAATTACTTCTCTTCTACCTCTACCTGTTGTCTCATTTCCAGAGGAACATGTGTAATGTGACCTTACCGTTTGCACGTGACAGACCCCGAGTCAAAAGGTCCTTATTCGAGCTCATACCGGGGTCTGGCTCCGATGTTCTTGCGCGAGACACTTCAAATTCACAAAACCTCTCTCTCTCCTGTGGAAAGTAAACGGACTATAGCGAACTGTCTAGGGGAATAAAACGAAATGTTTAGGGATAACCTGCAACGTACATCTCATCCTGGGAGATTGGTCATACAATAATCACTTCGCGCTGAATAAAACTGTGATAAACTTCAGTACAATGGGCCACAAAGCAAGTTTAAGTGATTTTGGGAGCGAAAAGACCAGCATACAGCGCGGCTAGGTTACGCCCGTCTGACTCGTTTTAAACAAATCGGTCTACACCATTAGTAACAAAGGCCTTTCTGAAAAACTTCCCAAGATTTGGGTCATTATTATTGTTAGAAATGGGCCAACATTGATCCTTTCCCTCTAACAAGGAACAGGAAAACTTCATGAGGATAGAATTGTTACAATTTTTTATTTGATCCGGCTTCTAATAATCCAAAAAGAAAGAAAGTGAAAATCATAACTCGCTCCTCGACTGACGATTACAAAACTTAGCTTATTCTAGAGGTTTATTTGGTAAATGGGGCACGTGCCAAACAAAGCGGTGTAGCTGCGCAGAGTGAGCGCATTTTTGTACTGGTCACATCCTGACCTAAGCCTAATCTTCTACCAACCATTACCAGGGCAAAGGAAGGTACATTTCAATCAAAAGAGATCTTGGTTCGAGATCATCCAAGAGCTCCACCTTTTTCTGCTCTGCTCCTCTACAGCCCCCGTTTACAGACTGAGGGACGGAAATAGGCAACGATCGACTCGCCCAGCGGAAACCTCGCCATTGCAGACAAGAGCCTGCCCCCCCGACGAAACGCATTAAGAAATATCTGAAACAAACTCCTATTGTTAAGGAATCTAGTTAATACGGAAATGCAGACACTCTCATGTACCCTTTCCCTCCCCTCTCGCTATAGCGGACACTTCAGTACTTCGTCAAAGATCCCGACTCACATAACATAAAGCTACATTACAATAAAGGAAAATAAAGAAACCATTCTTTAATAGGTCAAAAGAATCTCCTTCTTGCGGTCGCATCTTTTTCCCGTTCGCGAGGTCATGTTAGAAGTTTAATGTTTGTGTAGGTACATATTACTTCATATGTTCGGAGTAAAACAATTTGTTTTCTCTCGTACCCCACTATTACGGACTCACGTTATTACGACCACTAACTCTCCCTCCGGAGGGTGTCCGCAATTACAGGAGTCGACTGTACCCAGTTATGAAATCAGAATAAAAAAATTGTTCGCGCATAGTTGTTTGAAAGTCATGCAACATGCCGTCTTACTTACGCCGAATCTCTCATTGATCTAGTCAGTGAAAGACCTAAGGCGAGGGAGAAAAGCCACCAGCTTGAGCTTGTATTATTTTCGCACGCTTTCGTTTATGTTTTCTTTTATTGGCAGCGTTTTTAAATGATGAAAATTATTTGTCCATTCCAACTTTCTGCGCTTTAAAGTGGGATTTACTAGTAGTCAAGTCGAAAGAGATTTGTAGAAAGTAAGCCACTAGGAGACATAAAAGAGACTCAGGAAGCGCGGATGGCGCAGAGGTTAGAGCGCTCGCCTCTCACCGCTGTGGCTCGTGTTCGATTCGCTGGAATCCACTTCCCCCTTGTGGAACGTCCACTGCTTAATTCCCATAATAGACTATGAAAACTAGAGGGAAATGCTGTAAGGGAAAACGCCTCTTCGAAATCTCGACCATTCTAGTTACGACAGAGTGATACTCTATCCCACATCTGAAAAAGAAAGTGGGATTATGGTAAGGAAAGTCACTCTCACACTTCTGGCTGAATACATGTAATTACAATGGTTTTACCACAACTCAAAGGTTTTACAAAAAGCACGACTTCCACAACCACAAAAACAGAGCGAAAATTTTACAGTTAAACCCTGGTACATCGAACTGCCAAGGGAAACTGAAATTACTTTGAGTTATCGCGGTTATAGGGGTTTTGTCTTTGAGGGGAAGAAGAAACGTGTCATTGTACTCAAGGATGAACTGGGCAAGATTGAAAAGTAATGACAACATATCGATTCCAGATTACGCGCCATTATTTCTCTTCACTGGGAAGAAATATCAAGACTGTATGTTTACGGACATACAAACGTGTTTGTAAACGTGTAATGTAATCTTCCGGTGCAAAATGTTACGGCTCGTTAGTGAAAATCGACTTCAAGTTATCGAAGGTAAAATTACAAACAAACATAACTAAAGGGAAGTGAAAATCGCTTCGAGTTAGTTGAGTTTTGAGTTATAGAGGTTAGAATTAAAGTAAATATATGTAAGGCAAATCCAAGGGAAATCAGTTTTGCTTCGATTTAGCGGAGAATTCGAGTTACCGAGGGTTCGAGTCATCGGAGTTCAACTGTATTGGTCGTGTTACATCACTGTCACCCACCCATACACATTTGCACTATACTAGCCTAACTCTTCATTACAAGTAGTCCCAACTCTGCTTCGATTGAAATTAAAGCTTCAAACAATAATACAACCCTCATAATGTTGTGGCTGCACGACTTCTGTGCATTAAAAAAAAATGATCGTACCTAGCTACGATTTAGGAAAAAAATCAGTAAGAGCCTCATTCCCTTCCCCTTTTCCCTAGCGCTTTCACACCCAAGATTTCATAGGTAATTCTCCTTACTGTCTGCCATAGAATTCTTGTGATGTTAGTTAGAAGAATTTAATACTGGATCAACTAATAATCTCCTTACTGATACTTTTCTTTGTTTTCATCATTTGTCTGTTTGATATTGCATTAAGATTGTGAAGAGAAATTCTGTCTTGGTCACTCGTGGGAGTTCAAGGGTTAATTTCATATGAGTGACACGAGAGTCCATAAATGATTTACAGTACATAAAATGAAGTCTCTGTATCTAAATATTGACAAGAGAGTTACCTCGGAGGCTGAACCAGCATCAGTAATGGTTAGGTAACAATTCCGCCAATGGATTGGATGATGACTGGATGGCCATGAATTTCTTAGTCTGTCCACTGTGCTTCAAAGAAACTATCTGAAATGAAAGTGAGGAAAAATTGCATTACCACAAATAGGACCAAAATAAAGCTGGAGCTATATCCAGAGAAAGAAAGATCTGTTAGAGGAAGAAAAACGTAGAGGAATCGTGAGAAAAATTGATCATTTTTGTTACTGTTTGTCATCAGAACACCTTGGATGGACGTTTTCATAGCGAATCATGGTTCACGAGAAACACAACAGATTGATTCCGTGCGACAAGACGATTACTCACGCTTTCGCTGCCGATAATGACATGACATTGTCTCGCCGCGAAGAACGTTCCCGAATTCTGACACGATGATCACTGGAACGCTTTACCCGACTAATATCCACCGCAGGAAAACGCTTCAAAGAATGGTTACGATTCTGACACGATGATCAAGGGATGCCACACACAATTAAAATCCACGCCAGTAGAACGCCTCAGAGAATGTTCACGATTCTGACTCGAAGATCACGGGAATGCCGCACAAGTGTTATCCACCGTAGGAAAACGCTGGAAAGAACCTCACGATTCTGAAATGATGATCACTGAAATTCCACAAGTAATTGATATCACAGGAAAATGCTGAAGAATAATCCTGTAAGTACTGGACAACGTAGAGGAGAGAAGGAAACCGGCAAGGATCATCTAAAAGTTCTCCATCTATTTTCTTATAGACTTTAGACAAAAGAACACTCTTGCCAGTGAAGTTTAATATTTGTTTCAGACAGGTTTGAAAACTGTTCTACAATTTGCATCCGTAAATATTGTCCCTTACTAAGATATAGTAAATGTTACTAACAAAGATTGAATTAAACGCAAATAGGATTTACATAAGACATTAAAACACGGCAGAAACTCAAGAAAAACCAATCTCGAACCAGTTACAATTAAACACTTTTTGGCGGGTAATTGACAGTGTCTTTAAAAAATTATTCTAAAAAAATTGCATTATTAGGGAACGTAAAAAAAGAGTAACAGTCAATCTGCACGATCCTCTCAGAGATGTTTTCCAAGACATACAGGTTCTTCAAAACCGACCGCACAACGAAAGATTATTGCTCCGTCAACCGCCCAGGAATTCCAGACACTTAATACCTGAGAAAGAAAAGAAACCTATGGAAAATCTGCAAACGGAGCACAGAATCTGCTTAACTCATAGCCATGGTAGCTTTGTAGATATGTGAGAAAGAAAAGATTCCCCCATTTAATTGGTCGAACTTCGGTGGCAGATTTAACTTTTTTTCACGACTCCTAACAAAGTAAGGGACACAAAATTTCAACACTTCTTTGTGGCAAATTCTCCCACACCAAGTCAAATATCAAGAAATTAGATGAACCTTCGCATGTACAGACAAAAACCTCAATGAAATTTGAACGAATGTTTTCGGGATTACGAACAGATCAGATTTGACGAAAACATGATATAATTCAAATGGAAGTAAAGATGCCTCAAATTTTCACTTTCAATTTGTCATACTAGAAGGATAAGACACCTTAACTAAAGACGACTGCAAACAACAGACAGATAGACTCGCAGTTTTTTTTTGTTTTGATGCAATTTTTTATATCACTAGCAGGTTCCCAGTCAGCTATTGCACATGTTGTTTCCAACAAAGTCAGAGCTACCTTTTTTTAGAAGCAAAATTTTCATTCCACACTGTAAAAACATATTCTGTACAAGAAGCTGACTGGAATATATTGAATTTCCTGGAAATATTTTGACCCTCCCATTGGAGGGCCCTTTGAAGGAGTGGTTACATAATCCAACGCTGTGTAACCATTTACACTCCAAAAGACAAACTAAAGGTTGTGTGATTCAGCCAAAATATTTTTAACAAAAAACCAATACATGTGCATTTTAAGTCAAATTTTTCTGTACATTTCCCTTTTCATCTATTCTTAGGAAGAACTTGCCACAAGAGAATCAACATAGACAAGTTAAATAAAGACAGCAAGTGTACCTGCGAGTTCCATACCCATCGCGAGGCGTTGGGTAACCTTCATAAGCTCCAGTATATCTGTGAAAAAATAAGGTCTGACAGTCACAAACTTGTTTGAATGAAAAGCTTTCTTGTTACACCATAGCTTTTTCAAAGCTTCAATGATGACTAATTGAAATTAGGTCATTTAACAAAATCACTCAATTAATCAGCACTACAGGAAATATGCAATGCATTGGTAGTCTGTAGTTGAGCCATGTGGCCCATTTAGCTGCAGCCTATCCCAGTTTCCATAGTATGAAGTGACTAAGAGTGTTACTTCCCCCTTGTGGATGAGCGATCTCCCAGCATTTCACCAGGCTTCCCTGACAATTGGTACCTTGGTAATCAGTACCCATTTAAACTCATGGGCCCAGTTGTTTGCAGGCCAATTAGTGTTAACTCACAGTTAAATTTTAATCAAGGTTGCTTTCTTCTTCTATTCAAGAGTCTTTTTGGAATAATTTTCTCTACTCTTTTTAGAATATCCTATCATCAAATTGTAGGCAAAAAGAAGTGAAATGAATTTTCTTATAAAGCTTTCAGATCTGAAATAAAATTTCATAACCTTTGGATATCTTTACCCAGCTTTGAACAATCCACCCTAGGTGGGGAGTGGCATTATGGGAGTAAAGAGTTTTGCCCAAAAACACTACAAAGTCCCCTAGCCAGGTCTCCAACCTAGACCACTTGACCTTGAGTCCACCACATTTTCAACAAATAAGCAATCATTCCAAAAATTCTAACTAAAGAGTAATGGCAAACTAAGGACACAACAGCTGAGGTGGAATTCAGTGCACTTTCCTTTAATCTGATTGGTCCCTGTTGTGTAAACCACCCTGGAAACAATTGTTGCACTGCATGAGATGAACATTCTCAAGGCTTGTGTGTTTCAGTCTAAATGAAAGGCTAAGGGTACAAATATTTTGGTTGATCAATACCTTGGAGGGGACCTTGGAGGGCTGCGACCTCTGTAATAATTACCATAACCACTATAATAATCTCTGCTAGGGGGAGGGCGTCGATCCATATAAGGGTCATAATACCCTCTTGGTGGGGGCCGGTCATATGGTCCTCTTCTGGGAGGTCCATAATCGTATCCACGATAGTCGTATCTGTCCCGGCGATCATCATACCTGTACGTACTAGCAGAAAACAAAAACAAATTATAAAACCAACATAGTATCACTGGCAAACAGAATTAGACATATTATGAGCGTAGTTCAAATTTAAATCTATTCAAAATCTGAGAGAGCTTGACTTGTCAAAAAGTCTGAACATTATGCATGTGAGATGCCACATTGTTTGTTCCCAAGGAATAGATGTTTCACTGGTATTAAACTGAAAATCAGAAAAAGGTACTTGTAGTCATGACACTATGTTTTAGTTTAGCTGTAAAGTTTATTTTTCTTGTAACTTGATAAAGAAATGTTGTGCTTAGGCTGATGGTAAAAATAACTCGCACACAAAAATTTTTGTATCTCAATGAATTATAACTTGGACATGTACCTTCGCCTCTTTGGACAATCCCTTGCCCTGTGGATTCAAAATTAGGAAGAAAACATCAGTCAATGAATCTTATAACCAACTATACAAATACTTTACTTTATTGAAATTTGTTACATGTACAGAATAGTATTGGCAACTGGAGAAGAAAAAAGGACGATGTCCCAATTGATATTCAACCCCAGACAATCCAAAATAATGTGTGAACAACTAAGTAAATCTCCTTACTGTCTGCTGTACTGTACTGTACTGAAGTTAGCTCTGAGAATTTAGTATTGGATCAACTTGTAATAGTCCCCTTGTTTAGATTTTTCTTGAGTTTACTCTTATCTTGATAATGTATTCATATTGTAAGGAAAATCCTGTCTAGGTCACCCATGAGAGTTAATCCTTTACACCACAACATCAATAATATTTTCCATACCCTTCTCTTTACATTTCTTTTGGAGTTGGAAAGGAGAATTTGTTCACATTCAAAAGTTCTTGCATTGTCCACCATTTCATTTCGTGTAACAATCTTACTGAGGAGGGTTTAAGTTATATGTTGTCACAGGAGCATCCACACTTACCAATGTCCATGTTTACCACACTGAAAGCACTCATCCTCAGATGGCTTCCCTTTACTTTTTGCATACTACAAATAAACAGTGCTCACATGACCAATAATTTGAAAACATGTACAATCAAGCAACTTGCATGACACTCGTATATAAAATTAACTCATGAGAATTTTAATTTAAGAGAAGAGCTATCATGTTGGCTAGTAAAACCAAGATGTTTCGAAAAGTTGTGAACAAAAAGGTTTATGAAAATGTAATAAAAGTAAAATGCAACAGTTGCATTTTCAAGTTATTTCATTTGCAGAGTGGTTCCCAAGGATGTAGTTTTGGCAAACAATCTATTTGGTCTGGTGTGCAGAGTAGGCCTTACAGTAAGGTGAAATTTAGCAATACCTTCTCAATTGTTTACTTCCCTGAAAGCTCATGCTAAACAATAAGTGCATTGAACCCATGAGAAAATGATCAATTTTTTCCATGGAAAAGGTCAAATTGTATTTAACATGTAACTCAGGAAGAAGATGCCTTTTCTATTGATAAGAACCTTGTTACAGTTTTTCTTAGTCTACCAAAAAAATCAGTCCCCATTTTTTTAACCAAATACATTTAATTTTCTTTTCAATCTCAATGACACCACTCCCAGTGGTTGAAGGTCATTTATATAAATAAAGATTGCTCTAATGTCTTACTTGTACTTGTATGTGAGTTCCTGAAAATTCTGAATCATCTAATTTATTAACAGCCTCTTCTGCACCTTTTTCACCCACCATGTGCTGAAAATAAATAAAAAAACGAAATTGGCAATCAAATAGGTAGTGAACAGTCCATGGTGTGACCCCAAGAGTAACATTTGAATTTGCAGTCTTTAAAAAAATGAACCAGAATTAGAACATTCAACTAACAACAACTATGCACTTGAATCTAATGATGACTTCTGCTCAGGTTGTTGAAAGGTCAGTCACTTCTCAGGACTACTCTCACCTGGATGATCAGACTACACTATCACTTAAATCTGTATATGAATTTTGGAATAAGGGCCACACAAAAGTTGACAGTTACCTATCCTTAAATATCAACTGATTTAAAGTGAAAACAAAAGACTCGGAATTATACAATTTTGCACCACCAACATTAGTGTGACCAACTTTCCATTGTCTATACCACTAATACAGATATAGTCAAATGTCACGTGCAAATATTTATTGATCCTTAACTTCAAACTCACCACAAATGCAAAATTCTTTACTATATCGCATTGTGAAACCTTTCCGTATTTTTCAAACAATTCCTGCAGAGACGCTCGTCTGCAGCGGTCTGGAAGATTTCCAACATACAACTTCACTTCTTTCTCGTCTTCGTTACTATCTTTTCCGGTGGTTTGGGTGTCATTGCTATCTTCTTTAGGTTCCGACGTCGTAGCTTCGTTATCTTCTGTCTTCTCATCTTTCTGTTCATTACTGACCTCCGCAGCATCATTATTTGTGCTTTCTTCACTGGCCATATCTCGAGAACATATACTTTAGATGAAGAACGACAATATGGTAGACAACATGTGATGGAACCAAGCCGTCCCGTCAGACTCTGCGATTAGTGAATAAACGGGAAAGACTGGCACCAAGTAGGTAACCACCGGAAAGAAATTGTTTACTGGCAACGGAAAATGAGTTTAAATAAGTGTATTGGTTATTTGGACAAAAATTACGCCAAACTACCCGATAACAGAGAGATTCAAGATATCCAAAAGGCCATAGAGGAAACAGTTTCCTTGCTGCTTTTAAATGTGGCCTCTAATGATCCAAGATTCGAAAGCAAACTTGAGCCGTCAGGTAGTTTTTACGAGGGTACAAAAATCAAGCAAGCCGATGAGTTCGATTTTATGGTGTGCCTTTCCAAACTTGCGGGAAAATGTGATGTAGTTTATAAGGATAGAAAACAGCGTTACATCTTCTTGCGTATTCCAACTCTTGACGAGGATGAAATACGTAATTCATGGTCAGAACTTTGCGAGGAGGTACACAATGTTGTTGATCCTTTCGACACCGCTCCTACTGCTGATGGCCACACCTTTCTTTGTTTGGACGGTAGCATGCTGAAGCAGAGGTTTTTTTCCTTGCTAAGAGAGGCATTTAAATCGATAACCTGGCCTTCAAATATAAAGTTGCTTTCTTCCACTGGTCTTACCTTTGATCGGTTGAAATTAAGAGGAGCCATGCAAATTGCAGCTTCAGAAAAAGTAGATCTTTTGTGGAAAGATCATTTTAAGGTGTCTGTAGATTTATGTGTGGCTGTAGAATGCAAAGGATGGCCTTTGCTGTCTGGAATGTTTGACAGTTTAATTGATGAAGGTCATCCAGCCCTCTTGATCAAAAATAAAATTAAGAGCTCAGGCTTTCATGCAGTTACAAAGGTTGGAACTATTTGGCGAATTTCTTGGTCCAGAGCCGAGATAACTATGCTGAAATATATTTTCAGTGAAAATGAAAAAGCTGCTGTGGTTTATCGTGTGGCAAAACTGATTAATGAAACTCATTTTGTCGAAGCTTGTGAACACACATCTATTTCTGCTAGTATAAGCATTTGTGACACTTTTTCTCTGAAGCATTTACTCATGTGTTACTTCATGTCCAATTTCTTATGCTGTGAAAAAGACTGTGGTGAAATGCTCTTGGATCTTCTTCATCTTCTACTGGATGGTCTTACCACTGGAAACTGCCCCCTTTTGTTTCTTAATGATGCTAGTAGCTTAAAAAGTGGACCATTACTTCAAAGTAAAGCAGTGGCATTAAAACAGTGTATAAACAATCTGCTCAGTATGCAAGTAGCAGACATTTCTCAAGTATCAAAGATAAGCAACAATTTCTTTAGTGGGAGAATACGTGTGGTAGTGCCCAGTCCCCCAAGAAAGATCAGGAGTTATAAAATAACCAAGATACCCTAAATGTAAAATGATAATGATTACAGGGATTAAAAATCTCCATGCAAGTAAATTTATTTTGTTTTTGCTTTTTACTCTTTCATCAACCTAATCAACCCCAAATGTTCCCACTTACAGTGTTTGTTCTTTGAGATATGTTACTGAAAGCATAGTCTGGTCATATTTGGAATCTTTACTTTATATCAGCTTTTAATTTCTGTGGTCTTTTTTAATCCTTTAAGTTCTATTAAGTTAATTTTCTTGATGTCATGAATTTCTAAAGCAAAGACTTCAAATCTGACTAGGGAAGATGTGGAATCTACTCATCATTAGAAGTAGCTGATGTCAGGGATTTAAACCTCTGGATATCAATATACTGGTTACTTGCTGTTGCCCTGCATCCTGCATTCTTTGAGATGGGAACACTCTGGAGGATCATCTGGACTCTCCAGGGTTCATGTTTATCATCATCCACTTAACAGTATGCACTGAATGGTTGGCAGAAGTCCAAATGGTGTGGGTTGATTTCAAAATTTTATTGTCAATGATTGTCTGTATAAAGTGTTTGCACTTTGTACACGTAACAATGGACCATGTTTTTAATGGGAAGTGGGGTTCCCATTTTTGGTCCCATTTCTCTGTTATTCCCCCAATTACACATAAAGAAACTTGTTCCTAGACCTGAACATTATGTTTTTTATTCTTTCTATTAAATCTTAGCCTAGACCTCTAGATGAGGAATGGGGTGCCTCTTTCTTTGGTACTATATACAAGTTATTGTCCTTATTCCTGACAAAGGAGCCCACTCCAGACTAGCACACTGATTATCTTTCTGTTTTCCTTTCATTTATTTTCTTTCAATAGCTGAAATGACTGGATAAATATCGATTCTTCACGTACACAGAGAAAAGTAATGAAATCTTGAAAAGCACGGACGATCTCAAAAAGAACAAACTTGGGGTTGATTTACCGTTAAGTAGTAATGTGTTATATGTGATTTTCAAATTTTCAACTTTATTAGTATTCCACAGATTGCCAAGATTTAATAAGCCTGGTTTACTACCTTTTAGACAGCTGTTAAAACAAATGACGCAACAACAATTTCGGGAGGAGGAGTTGAATTATTTTAAATTTTCGACCATTGTTTTGGAGAGGTTCCCAAAAGCCTTACATCAGACATTGAAGACTATGTGGGACAACAACTTAACACATCTTCACAGTCATCATCTGTGGGATGACTCCACTGCAGTGAGAAATTTCTTTCTCGCTTTAGAGGGTGGAAAAATCAAAGTTCCCACACACCTCTCCTAAGAAAAATGGGATTGTGCCACCCTGTTCCAGGCCCGAGCGGAAACACTGCTGAAACGTTGGCATTAGCTGTTGATCAATTGCGTCTTTTAAAAAATTCGCTTATTCACTCGCTGTCTCCTGAAATTGTGAAAGTCACTTTTGATCAGTAGGTGCAGCACGCTACAGAAGCATTTAGAGCTCTTAGTGTCAACCCTCTTTATATCGTTGGTGATTTAACAGGGTCAGAATTTCCCACAAATGAAGTTCGTAGACTAGAACAACGTATCAAAGGGGAAAATCAAACTCAGATAAATTCCCTACAAAAGCCGCCGGAGAGCATTTACTCAGATGTGAACGCTTTGAAACAAAAAAGGGACGTTAGATCAACAAAACACGACACGGTCAAGATTCTAGAACCAATTATCGAAAATTTGAAGCATACGCCAGCCCAGGACAAGCCAGGTAAACGTGTATTCAGCTTGGACGGCAAATGTTGGATGTTTTTGGTTCTGGTACAAAAAATGTTTCCATGTGCAGACGGTGGTTGAAATAACGGGTTTGTATTGCTGTAAAAAATGGAAAAAGCGGTAGGTTCGAGGAAAACTCTGCTTCCTTACGGAAGATATCCTCCTCTCAGCAAACTGTGAACTATAGCAAATACGCAGACGCCTACATATACTTCCTTCAAAATAGACAGTATCGCAGGCAATCTTGACTGCAAAGCCTAATTTTCTAACTTCCTTTTCACCGTATCGTAAAATAGGTGGTGGTTTGTCATCGAGGTAAAGAACTCTTTCAAAAAAGAAATATCATCGTTTTTCTCACGATGCGGTCAATTGGGATGTGGATTGCAACGTTTCGACTACATACTACTAGTGCTCTTCAGGCAATGTTTCCACTCACAAAATTAACAATACTTTAAAATTTTGTTTCTGAGTTGCTTATGTTAACAGTGTGTTTAAATTTAAGGTTATCGGCTCGAATCATCATCGTGAAATTAGATTTGCTCACTTCTAAAATGTAAATGTGTTTCGATAGTGTTAAGATACTTTTGAACTCTCTGTTAATTAGGTAGTGTCTTACATTTTCCTTGTTGTTAGCTCTATGAAACGTAACTTTTTCGCAATTTTTTGGCAACTGTTACAGAGGTCGTTCCTTCAGAGATTCTTGCAAGGGGACGTATGGCTATAAGGGCCTTGAACAAGGCTCTTGCTGGAGGGAAGACTCAAAACAAAAGGGTTCCGATCATGTTGATTCGACAAGACCGCTCTGGAAAGACCAGCTTAAAAACATCACTTACGGGCCAAAATTTCAATCCACTTGAGGACAGCATTGTTGGGATAGATGCTGATCCTTCCCATTTTTAAATTGTTTATGAGGTATGGAAAGCAGGAGAAAAACACCAAGATGAAAATGTTGCAGCAGCCTTTTCTTATGAGCACAATTTCTTTATCTCGCTGATGAATTGAAATGCTTCCAGCCATCACAGGTGACGTTGTGTATGAATGTCAGCAATGAAACCTTCGACGAGACGTTTGCTCATACAGTGTGAAGACATTTGGGATCAGTACTTGAGTCAATGCGAAAGGAGTTCTCTTGGATGAAGAACTTGAGATTTGATGTGAGTTTCATGTGTCCGGTCAGTTGTACAGGAGGCTCACTCAAGTACTGTCGCACACATCGCACAGGAGATTGCAAGCAGGAGGATTGTCTCCATTACTGGACGAGTCTGAAATATGCAGTGCAAAGAGAACCGTTCGTTGCAGGAGGTGTCCCACTGCACTAAACAAAAAAGTTCAGGTCGAGACATTTTCGCCATGATTGTCACCAAATGAAAGCCAGGTAACGATCTTTTTTCGTCGTAACATTACCTTTTTCTCAGCTTTTGTGCTGTACATGAACTTTGAATTAAATTTCTTCATATTTTTAAGGCGGCACAATTTGTATCACGCTTTGACCTGCGATTCACCTTACTATCACGAATAAAAGTTTGTTTTTCGTGGTAACGAGGTGGTAATTTAAGGGTGGAAACTTCATCAGGTTACTGCTGGGCCTATCTTTTCAGGGCTGAAAGTGATTGAATCTCGCACGCTCTCTGTAGGCGGCATTACCAGGATAATTAACAATATTTCATGTGCCGAAAAATGATTATTTCTGCTCATATACCACAGCTGAAAGCTGATGAACATGACGGGAGAGAGTTGGTTGCTATGAAAGGTGACTTGAGGTTATTTTTGTCTAAATTGTTAAAGCGGTATTTCATGTATACCTTTTATGTGCAAATGAAGCAGCTAAATTGGACCTTAAGAAAACTGTCGTCTCAACACATTCGATCTCATTTCACAGAGGCAAAGCATGGAAGTTGCAAATTTAACATTCTTTGACTTCCTCAGATATACATACTAATGAGAAATACCTTTTAAGGAAAAGAAAAATAATGACAATTAAAGTAATCAGCAAACATCACAATCTTTAAGAGAAAATACCTTTATCTTTCTTGTTTACTCTTAATATGGAATTTTCACCTTGTTACAAAATAGCCGATGGAGATGTCTGGCTTGAGGTTGTCCGCAGTTAATTCGACGGTGTGCAGAGTGAGGCAACCTGTAAGGACAAAGATAGGAAATGAAAAGCAGCGGAGAGGAAAAAATGAAATCTTTTCTAGTCACCAAATGAACCTATTGACCAGTGTTTCGATCCTTATTTTTCCATGTAAGTCAGGGTTTAGGGCTAATTGCAATGTAAATTCTCCATTCCAGGAAGAAAAGTTTCACGAAAGAATAAAAAGAATTTGACTATGATGCAACGTTTTCATTTTAGATTCTGAGAAAATATCCCTTCCTGCTGAAGTTCAATAATCACTCATGTCAGCTTCGCGTGGTGCCAAAGAGGTTTACTACGACTCAAAGCAAGTCTGAAAATAGATCAAGCTTCTCTGAATGAGCCAGACCGTAAAACTAAGATAGTGATCTCTTGCTTGGCTCGGATGGCAAAAGAGTCAAATAGGTTTGACGTGTTCCAACACTTGAGGCAGATTGCACCTGCTGGGGCTACTGGTGAGTCAGATATTCATCCAAACTACATCCTCGGCTTGGCTGATGAAAAACGATTGTACCATGAAAGAGCTTCAATAATTTGTCAAAGATCACCGTCTTAAAATACGATCCTCTTTTTTTCTGGTAAAGTTCGAATTATACTGAAAAAATTCACTTAAATCGGTAGCTATTAGACGAAGGAGGAATCTTCTGAGTTTGGTAGCCAGAGACATCGACGCTGTAAGCTGACAGGTCTTTGTAAATTGGTTACTGTTAAGATTTTGTCACTTTCGTACCTATTGTAAACATACAGTCAAAATGAACGTAATGTGACATTGCATTTACCGCTGGTTCAAATTCAGTTTACTAAAAACGGTTTGTGGTCGGCAAACCTTTTAGCTGTAAAGGTTAATTAGATTTATGACCGCTTCTGACCACAGAAGTATTCTAACGTATCTAGAACAGTGGCATGCTTTTATTTCTTATAGTTTTAAAACAGTTAGGAGTTAACAGTTAGTCCGAGACTATGAACTGCTTAAACAATAGATATACGAATATCGCGAAAAGAAACAGAAAGGAATTGTCAAAATCATTCAACTTGATGGGCTCCTGGGAAGTCAGTGATAACAAATTATTATTGGCCATACTTGCTAACAAATTTTTAGATTACAGATTTCTGTTTTTCGTTGGAAAGGATTGATCAAATTGTTTGTTGATCACTTTCTTATTGCATCGCAATAGACATAGTGTCACTCCCTTAGGCTTTGGTCGAACCACCCACCACTAACCTTTGAAGATTGCGTGATTTTCCTCGACCAATCACAGAGTGAAGTTAAACAATTTAAGTCAGTGCGATAACAGATTATTTTCGACGCTCAACTGAAAGTTTCTACAATAAACTATAGTTACCAAATGAAAAGTTTTGAAAGGACATACAATCGGTCAGTTTTATGAAGAGCATTTCCACGTACTCAGTCATAGTCTGAACGGGAACCTCTTGCATGAGAACACAGCTCCACGACTCCCGGACATCAACACAATTAAAGAGGTTGAAATCGACATTTGAAGAGGTGGATGTATTTTTTTTGAGGAGAAATTGTTTTTAAGTTCTAGATTTAAAAAAAAAAAAAATTGCTGACCACAAACACTCCAGGCATCAGTGTCGACATGGGTAGCAGTGAGCAAAGAGCTATCCCGTTGCTAAATTCCTATTAATTCGTTTTCTTTGTCTAAATTTTTAGTCAGCCTGTCGTTGGTATCAAGGGGGTAAGTTTCTAAAGAAATTGTGGTGCAGCGTCGGTGGGAGAGTATAACAGGTAATTTAGTGTTAACAACTGAGTTGCAACGTAAATTGGGCACCATAAAGAGTTTGAAGGCTGACATTTCGAGCGTAACGCTCGAAATGTCAGCCTCTTTATGGTGCCCAATTTACGTTTTCAACTCAGTTGTTAACACAAGATTACCTGTCGTTGGTATCGTTTAGCATAGTGTGTTTATATCATTGTGGCTCGAAAAGTGCCTAAAGAAATTTTAATTATCATTGTGAGACCGTGATAATAAATCTCTACATAGGCTGCACCCCGCTTCGGAAATGGTAAGTACTAGCGTTGTACCCACAGCTTCCTAGGCCAAGAGGTTGTACATTTTTTATACGATAGGATCTGGGTACGAGACTAGGTAAGCACATTCAGAGAAGGAAGTAGTTCTGGCAATCTTGGCTTTGAATTTTAACGTTGCGGCGAGTTTGATAAAATCTAAAAAGTGCTACAAAGTACACCATGATGATTGCCGAAGAAGTGGGGAATGAGGTAGAAAACCTCACTGGAAACAGTTCGAAAGCATAAATATTGACTTCTGCTTATAAAAGGATTTCTGGTTCGCTAACCACTACACAGGGGTGCTTTTCTCTTTGGTTAAAGATCTAGTTGAAAAAGTCCCAAGTAGTCGCAGTCACCTTAAAGTTAAATTTACAGGTTTATTGGCTGTAATCAATCACATGGCGCATTATGATATGAGAAGACAGTTGCTATTTTCTTAAAACAGCTTTGGTGTCTGCGACACGAATAACGACAGATTCGTAATAATAATATTTAATATTTATATAGGGCAAATTAACATACAGGAGGATATTATCAAATGCGCTAATTCGAGTCGGTTCAACTCACGATCTAAAAAGTAGAGGCCCTCTCACATGGGCTGCCTGGTGGCGCCAGGGTCTTGGTGTTTCGTAAATAACTAGCTAACGGAATTAATTTGTTATAGTCATGAGAAGTGATTCTGTTTGAAAAAAAAAACCTCCGCGAGGTTTTCAAAGTAGTAGGGTTTGAGAGGAGAAATACTCTCTCGTAGGATCTACTATTCTTGTTCCAACCCTCTATTTCACACTTTTAGCAACTCGTTTGTATTTCAGACATAGTTTGAAGCTACACTGGTTTGCAGATTTAATGAATGTAACCGAAGAAGTTACAATTCATAGACCTTCTTCGGTTACATTCATTAAATCTGCAAACCAGTGTAGCTTCAAACTATGTCTGATTGTCCACCTGGTTGCCGTGTGAACTTTAATATATTTCGTTTGTATTTCTTGTGCAGCTTAAGAAGGAACCGTTATGCTAGTGCATTTTCCGCCGGCCTGGGAACAATGCTTGCCACAATTGAATTATGAGATGAACTTTGCTGTCTAGTACCATATCTGACATTACAATCATCTACTTTATGAAGAATTCTATACACTTTTTAACTTCTATTTTAATGTTGTTATAAAAATATTAAGTCGCAATTGAATTTTCCTGGTCTATTTCCGTCTTGTGCTTCGGCGTCGCAAAGGTCACACGGGTTCGATCTTGTCGCAGCCTGTATTTTTTCCTTTTTGTTTCAGACTATAATAATTTTTTGCGAATTATCTCGGGAGATCATTAATAGCGTGAAATAGTCCTTCTGTAAAATGTGCTCGAGTTATCTGTTGGTGTGCTTAAAATCAGCTCACAACAAGAAGTCGCTAGGTCTTTGACAGCCTACCAACCCAGGTAGAGGAAGATTGGGGAACAGTCTGATGACGTCATACGGCGGCAATGGCGGCGTCGTGAAGGTGGGCACATCCGGTGGAATACACCACAAGGTGAAAGCTCTTCCAGCTTCCTTGTTGCTCGACTTTCGGAAGTAAACGTTCAGACCTAGTCTCTGTCGAATGGTTGCGAGAATTTTCGATCCAGGAAATATCTTTCGAAGGATCGTCTCTGGACTGAATTGTCTTGATTCAGCGGCAGAACGCCGTGGGTGCGGTGATTTGGAAACAAACTAGCCTCAATTTTTTCAATCAGTCATCATTTTTTGAATTACGATCGTTCTGTAACATATCAGATCATTGAATTGACGTGAAACGATTATTGCCGATCGTCCTATTTCAATATGAGGTAAGTATGCTTTATTTTATTGATTTTGATCCCCTTTTAACACGATATGACAGACGATCGAAAGCCTGTTGAGCATTCATGAGGACTGACTCTACCGCCGCGGTGAAATCGGCTTAAAATTACAATATTCTAACTCTTATGTTTGTATTTCATTTATTTGTGTTTCCCACTGGTTTGTAGCCCGTTACCTCTGCTCTTGTCATTTTTCCGTTAAACAATCGAATAATCTACCTTGCAATATTTCGTTGGTAATTGAATGATACTGCATTGGTATTTCGAACTTTTAATCGCTTCGAAAACATTGAGTTAAAATGTCGCGTTTGTGTTATTTTCCCCTGGACTTCAGTGGCCCTGGGGCAGTATTTTTGTAAACTATAAAGAAGTGATCTAGTAGGGGGTTATAAGGAAGTAATCGTAAGGAATATTTCTGCGTCTTGATGCTCTACATTTTGTGGGATTACTTGACTGTTGACTTTTATTGGATCAACTTCTTCCAATGCACGGTTCGAATAAGCTATAACATGTGTCTTGCGTAGAAGCATGTCTACATGTAAGCCAGCTGAAATTTTGTCTTATTCTAGAAGTGTTTATTTTTCGATGAAAGCAAATGTAAATATATTTTTCACTTTTGGTCATGTTCATTCGTCCAAACCGCTGAAATTGAAAGTTACATTTGTGAAAGCGAGATATTTGTTTTCTTGGTCGATGGTTGGTATTTCAGGTATTGAGTTTCAATTTTGTCAATGCACTTCTCGGCAAATCTTGTAATCTATATTTTATAAACTTGTCAGTGTTCGTTTGGCGGCCTTTCGGAGTTATATTGCAAAGATGAAGGTCAATCAAACTGCGAATTTGTAAACATGTATACTACGCACAGGTTGTATGTTGTAGTGCAGGTTTCTGCGACAAATTCTTTAGATAATGCAACGATCAAATCCCCACAAAAAAGCGAGTTCTTGAGAACTTGCTGAAACGTTGCGGTAATTTTTTGCAGTAATTAACCCCTCGTTCCTTTCTATGAATACATCGTTTTATTTTGGAGCGTACGGGTTTCATGTCACGGGGATAATTATAGTACCTGGTCGTACTTGAACTAGTGTGAAAACTAAACAAGACTGTTTGCAGGCTCTAGCGCATAAAATGCTCTGTTTGTCTGTGTAAACAATGTCGAAAGACTTGACGTTGACGAATATCAGGAGATAGTACTTAAGATTTTCAAAGTATACGACTTTCTAAAGATATATTGATCAGTTCGATGTAATTAGCTGGTAGATACCATAATTAGACTGTTCTATCCCGCGCGTGTATTTAGGTGATAAATATACTGTAACATATAAATACTTTAGTTTCCTCAGTACTACCAAATCTCTCTCCTAAATTTTCATTTTCTAGTGTAATTGACTGAATGATGATTTTGATTAAATAATGTATACACATTGAGAGTTCAACTATTTGCATTGACAATATACACATTTGCACTTGTGAACAAATTTGATAATTTCATGAATGAGGGGTATTTCTTTGGCATTGGAATATTGATGACCAATTATTTGCTTACGTGTTGGATCAAATCTCCCTGACTAGTGTTTTTTCCTGATAGGACAGTTGCCAAAATAAATATTTTCGTTTTCTAACTATGTTAGATCATGACTCTGGAGATTAAATAGGACTCTCTTTCCTGATTGCAACATCACATGAATATCAACACCAGTGCCCTTCAATGTCTTTTGAAGTATAGGCTTGAAACAATATAGTTATTTACTGGGTATGAGGTCCGTTTAGGTATTCAAGTATGAAGGGAAAGTGACTGTTTTATGATTCCAGCCTGCTAAGATGTGTCTGAATGAAAAAACAAAATTTGTTATTTTCTCCCAGTGTTGTTCTGTCTTTATACAGAATTTGTTTGTGTCGATGTCAAAGACCAATTCTTTTCCACTCCTATAATAAAATAATAAGGAAATTATCAGTAAGTTTCCTTGTTGTTGCATTATTAGTGAAGGTTAATTTAAAGGGATAATTACTAGTAAAAGTTTGCTATATAGTTTAAAAGATGATAAAGAGGAGTAAACAAGTTTCCTAGACTATAACAATGCTTCAGTGAAGACTCAGTTTGGGAGGCTATACTTTATCCATAACTACATATACTAGTGTTTTCATTTATCTGAGAGTTAGGTTCAGTTGTCTTCTGTATAGGTTTAGTTCATGGTGTGGATACATACATACAGATAGTACAGCATGGAAAACAAACTGTATCTAGAACTATTTTTATCAAACTATTGTTATGGAATATTTAGTGAGTAAACCCCTTCAGGCAGCTGGTATGTCAGCTGATAATGTTTGGGGCTGAAACATGAGGCAAAATGTGAAATTTTGAGGACAATCTTTCAGCTGAGGTTATTATTAGCTGACATACCAGCAAGCCACTATCACTGGACTCTAAAAGATTAGTTTGTTTTTCTTTCATTTAAAAGTGTTAAGATGTAAAAGTGAAACTCTAGAGCTGGCTTTTTTCCACTGGCCAATGATACTGGCTCAAGGCTGAAACATGTAGGCACGGTATTACAAGCGGGTGGATCTACAAATGTACCTGTTACTCAGCTGTTATTGAAACCCCAGTCTGAGAATCTAAATACTAGATTAAAAAGGTCTTCAAAAGATTATTACTTTTCTTTTTCAGCGAACAATCCATTGCTCAGGCACGGGCATCTGTAATGCTCTACAACAATGACAGAAAAGAATGGGAACACTCTGGAGGATCATCAGGGCTCTCCAGAGTTCATGTTTATCATCATCCAGTCAACAATACATACAGAATAGTTGGGAGAAAAGTACAAGATCATACGGTATGTTGTGAGGTTAAAACATCACTGTTGGTGACTGTCTGTAAAAGTGTGTGCACAGTGTAAATGCTACAATGGAACATGTTTTTTTTTCATGGGAAACGGGGTACTCCCTTTGGTACAATCTCCCAGTTATTCCCCCAATTCCCTACAAAGGGGGGATTGAGACCATCAAATTAATTTTTTATTGCCCCAGCTAAATCTTGGACCAGGCTTCTTGATGAAGTTTTGGGTGCCCCTTTCTATGGTACCATTTCCCTTTTACTTCCTGTAGTACTCCCCCCTCCCAAGGGAACATGGTAGCTTACTCCAGCAAATCAATTACCTATTCACCAAGTTATATCTAGGACCAGGCCTGTTAGCATGTAATGGGTTGTCCCTTTTTTTGATACCGTTTTCAAGTACATTTCCTCATTCCCATGAAAGGAACCCATCCCAGACTGGGACTTCAAATTTCTCTGAGGGAACAAATGATGTTGATTTGCCATTCATTAGAGTACATAATGATGATAGTTACCAGAAAATTTGGCCTGTGGTCTGTAAGCTTTTGTTTGGAAGTTTTTCATCTATGTGTACCTACTGGTCTTTACTTATAAGCCCTCTGGGTACTATTTTTCTAATTTAGTCCTTGAATTCATGAACTTTGCCTCTGAAAAGTATGCAAATGTGGGTACAAAAAATTTTAAATTAAAAATCAAATGAACAGCTTTCAGTAACATCTGGTCTGGGAATGAATTCAAAGTTACTTTGCTGTTGCAGTTGTACTGCATTGTATCCTGGAATTCAATCTACACTTCTAATCACTTGGGCCAATTTTGAAATTACAGGTTGTTATAAACTGTGCATTAGCAAAAGGATTAAAATACAATGAAGCTACTCCAACTTTTCATCAATGGAGAGATCAGAGACAGGTGTATGGTTTGAATTTTCCAAGCAAAGAAGATGCACAAGTTTTTGGGTCAGCTGTGAATACTGCCTTGGAAAACCTCAAGAGTGGTGGCACTGGTATGTCAAAAGAAAGTTAAAAGTAATGAATTTTATATTCAGTCACCTTTTGAATATTGTACCTAAATTTGAAATTTAACTTGTTTCAGAGAAGGCTCTCAGATAGATAAACTGCTTGAGTTGGAGTGTTAAAATGGCAGAAGGCATTGTCATTTGGTGCCCAGCAGGGACTCTTCATACTCAGCCAACTGGTACCCAAATTTGGACAATTTGTACCCAGTTTGTGCCAGTCTGTACTTTATGCACTGTTTGATTCATACCCTTCCAAACATTCTGTGACCAAAGTTAATGCATGTTGATTGTTGTGAACAACAAAGTTAAAGGTCAAGCAAGTAAGATACAATTAAAGTTCTGTTGAGTGTACATATGACCTTCTTAACCCCAGTAACAACTAAATTGGTGCCTCATGCAATGCAAGTGTGATTTTTTCCCTTTGTAATTAACAGTAAAAAGTAACTGATGTCGCTTTATACCTAACATGGAAAACATAGCTTGGCATGAATTGACTGAGTACAAAACATATTTGGGTACACACTGACTGGTAATCCTACAAGAAAATTTTTGGTGATGATAATAAGTGTTGTCTATTGGTTCACAGCTGGACTTTCTCACCAGCCGCCCATGGTGCCCCAACAACAGCCCCAGTATACAAACAGCAGTAGGGGTATTGATCATGATGAAATGGTGAATCGAGACCACTTTGATGGACATGACCAATATTCACGTGGGAGGGTCTCCTCAGAAAACAGATCTCACCGCCCTCAGTATGATGCACCTCGTGAAACAGAAAGCCCTAATGTAAGTATACCTTTCGGCTATAGTAGTCTGTTCTCACCTGTTTAACACTTTGACCCCAAGGAGTAGCCAACGTCTAATTTCTCTATGAAATACCACCCCTGAATCACATGATAACGTCAGGAGAATGAAGAAGCTCTGATTTGTTAATCCAATTCTCTATGTCAGTGGGAAATGTATTGCAAACAGTGTGGTAAATAAAAATGCATATTTATGGGTGTAAATGGTTAATAAGGTTTGAATGGTTGGCTTCCTCTTGAACCACAGATAACTCTATCACTTCACTAAGGTGGTTTATTTTTTCTAAGAAGGCTTACAACTAAAATCAAGCAATCATATTTCTTTTATCTTTTATCCTACGAAAGTCAATATTTTCCCAGTAATGGACTAGGCATTGTTTGAAATGATCTTGCATGACTTTCCAAAACATTTGAAAATTAAAATAGCACACCATTTAGAAGATTTTCCATTAAATATGCTATAAACTACAGAGTGCATAGCCAAAAATTGCCATTTTGACCAGGACTGTGAATCAGAAGAGAAGTGTCATGAAAGCATTAAAAAAGCAATTTGCTGTTTACAAATATAACTCTAACAAAGCTTGCATGTGATGTGCTGGGAAAATGTTAGATCTCATTCTTCTCTGTATGGACATCTGGAGGCATTGTGGCCCAGTGGTTAGGAAGCTGGGCTTGTAATCTGGGCCCAGTTGTATACAGGGGGGTAACACTATCCAAAGGATAAATCACTATCCAGCAGATAAGTTATTACAAAATGTATAGTGTTATTGAATGGATACAGCTTTGTCTGGTGGATAGCCTTATCCAACCTTTGAACAACCAGGGTGTGATAGTTCCTATTTCCAGTCCTCTGTTGTGCTTTGTACATACAGCCTACTGGTCTGCCTCCAGGCAGTCAGGATTTTTATACACTATGTTTATTTACAGTGACTGATTCAATTTATTAGTATTGGCCCTGAAAAGTGCTATCAGGTGTGTTCAATTAAGTATACATGCATACACACACACTTCTTTGCCCAGCTCATCTGTTAAGGTCTCGTGCAGATATTTTCCTATGATGGCAGCTTGGTTAGCACTTTTCTCTACATACCGTGATTACATTGGCTAGAAATCAAATCGAACTTATCAACCAGTAGATAATGGTCTGTAATTAATTTAAATGGTGCATTTAAGGTGAAAATATCAACATATTGGCTTAGTTTTCCAAAATAACATGGTAACATGAAGAGTGTTTTTTGCTGAAGCTACATTGTATATTTTCATATTTGTTTCACCAGTCAAGCACTATTTCCTTGTCAACATCTCCTGGACCACAGTCGCCACCACAGAGTAGGTTATAAATTTGGAATTTCTACACACTTGCAAGAGTTTTTCTATAGAAAAGAGAAAGCTCTAATTTAAGTAGTATCTCTGGGCAATAGTGGTCTGTTGTTTCAATTAAGGCGTTAACTCCCATGAGTGACCAAGACAGAATTTCTCCTGACCATATCAATTTAACATTAAGCAGACAAGGGATGAGAATAACGAAAAATATCCATGAGGGGAATATTACTTAAGATTGGATACCAAATTCTCTGAACTAAAATTGTAAGGATTGTACAGTAGACAGTAATGAGAATTACTGATGAAATCTTGAAAGTGAGAGGGTTAAGGGGCTTCCCTTCAAAGCGATGAGGTGAAAATATGTCCTTGTTGTTGTCCTCTTGAGGGAAGACCTTCAAGCTAATAGTGAACATCATGCAAGTAGGAAAAAAACTGGTGATTGGCTTTTCACAGGAGTATCAAACTAGTGAGAGAAATGCTAGATGAAATACAATAAAGTAGGTATCAATTCTTGCTTTTGTATAAATGGTAAACAGAGTTAATTATTTTCCTGTTGTGTTGATCTGTTTGGCAGATGTACCCCAGGCACCTCCTGTTCCATCAGCTCCATCAGCTCCACCTGCTCCCCCAGCACCCCCTGCTCCACCTGCTCCCCCAGCAGCTCCTCCTGTTCCTGTTGGGGGACCTCCTGCACCACCTCCTCCTCCTCCTACACCTAGTGGTGGAGGTGGAGGCTCATTAGCAGATCAGATTGCAGCTGCAAAATTGAAGAAGGCAGCTAAGGTAAGATTGTGGAAGTTATGTACCTTGTTCATGCAATAGTAAATGTGGAAAGATGTTTTTCATCTTGTCACAAGGGTGGGACAAAGAAAAAAATTCTGAGTCCCCATAAGGAATCAAACCTCAGACCTTCGGATGCTGCACTCCAATGCTCTACCACTGAGCCACAGAGACTCTATGGTAAGCAAGGTCTATTATGAATTTCATATGACACACTTCCTGCATACTGCTAGGATCAGCAATGTCAATAGCATCATGCTTGTAAATAGAATACTTGAGAGATGGTAAGTTTTGAGCTTTGTAAATAGAAAGATGTTTTCTGTCTTGCCATGAGTGTGGGACAAAGAAAAAAACTTGAACTTTGTAATAGACCTTGTTCACTGTAGAGTCTCTGTGGCTCAGTGGTAGACCATTGGAACACAGAATCCGAAGGTCTGAGGTTAGATTCCACATGGGGACTCAGAATTTTTCTTTGTCCCACGCTTTTGACAAGATGAAAAACATCTTTCTATTTCTTTACTGATCGAACTCAAAACTTACCATCTCTCTTATTCTATTTAAAAAAAGTAAATGCATTGAACATTCAAGAAAAGGGAAAAATTTTGAACAACCTCATTCTATAGATGTCATTTAATGCAAAAAAGAGAAAAACTTCTGTTTCTCTTGCATACACTGTGTTAAATCTCACTGCAAAAAACCAAAAGTTGAATATACTTTCATCAAGTGAGGGAAAATCAAGTAAATTTCATCTCCAGGATAAATTTCATTTGGTTTATGTTCAAGAAGGACTGCTTTTACCGTAAGTTATTTTAAATTTTGGATTGCATGCAATTGGACCTACATTTATTCTAAACTTTAATGTTTGGGGAGGAACTGGAACCATGTGCAATACAGGAGGAGGGGAAAGATCCAGAATCAAACATCTCCAGATTTCAGATTCCTAGTTGAAGTAACTGATTTTATTGACAAATTTGATGTTTACTTCTATGTTATTGTGTAGGCTGAAAATGAAAGTCCGAGAACTGAACGAGCTAATTCAACAAGTCGAAGTAACAAGTCCATAGGTGGGGGAATGGACATGATGGCAGAAATGCAAAGAAAGTTGGCTGCAAGGTGTGAGAGATTCAATCAATTGTTGTTATGCAATTCTGGGAGATTTGGTGGCTCAGTGATCTGCATGATTGTTCAACTCCAGAGCTGGAGATTTGAGTTCTAGCTCTGGCCAAGTTACTGTGCTGTATCCTTGAGCAAGGCATTTGACTTTCACAATACTTCTCCACCCAGGGGTATAAATGGGTACCAGTGCATTACATTCAGTTGAAAAAAGGCAGTATCCTATTTTAGTTGATAATGATTTTAAATTTATAGTTCCAGGTAGATAAAACCTTTACCCAGATGCAGCGTTAATTGTATTGTACAAGTTGTTTTCCATCCTTACATTACACAAACTGTAATAAACATGACATGCACTTTTATCATAGGAAAGCCAAAGAGGAGGGAAGAGAAATCGAGGTAAGATTTTTCAATACTTTAAGGGTGTTCCATCTTAAGCACTATTTTCATTGTCACATCTTTCATCTGTTAAGATCTCAGTATTGATTTTCTTTACTGTTTGTCATATGTTTATCAAATTTTTTGCTTTAGAAAAGGTTTGAAATCAAACAATATCCTTGGGGGAATATTTTTCTTGAATATCTTCATGCCTGACAATGTACTCATCTGTTGAATCTGTAAGGAATCGAGTTGGCCAAGAGCTTTGGGTTTGACCTGGGGTGGGTCATTTTGTTGTCTTCTTGGGCAAGACACTTTACTCTCATTGTTCCTCTCCTAACATATGACAGTAAACAAGTACCAGTGAACTACCAGAAAAACTTTGCAAAATTCTGGATAGGTGAAGGGGGTGTGTGGAGGGGGTTGGTAGCTTATAATGGACTTATATCCCATGCAAGTGGAGAAGTGACTCCAAATCATGTCTTACTTTGGAAACCAAGATAAGGTCTGATGCCAGGTGGGGCAGTTATGGCTCCAGAGGCAACTAATTTTTTTAAGCAATCAATTAATGCATGTTATTTTCCTCCATTTCACTTGAGTTAGTAATTGCAACAACAACAAATAAGAACAACAACAAACACAATGATAACAATATTTATTTTCCTTAACAATCCCAACCCGCAAAATAAAGAGACACAACAGATTATCACAGAGGAGTTATGAGAGGAAAATGTACAAATTGTAGTGAAAATTTTAATCAGGGTCATTGATTCCATAAAATTTTTTGTTTGATAATCCTGCAGTGACTGTAAACCTTACTTGTTGCCGACTCCAATATCGCTTTGAATTTGTTTACCTGTTTAATTTTATGTTTAATTTTATTTTTAGCCTGTCAGAGAGGAAACTGAGGCAAGAACAGAAAGAGCACCTGCTGGTAAGTATTCAACCTTTTTGATGTCTCATTATCTGTTATAGCTAAGCCTTCAAAAGATACTTTTGGACATGAGCCTGGAAAACTGAATGTAGTAGACAAAGTCAAGACATACTTGTAATCTTTCTTGCTGAAATGATACCTAAAATCTTCTTTCATGGTTTGATAAACTCTCTTTGGTTTTCTTTCCTGGTCAAAGCTCTTGGGAGAAATTGATTTTAGTAGATGATGCGAGAATATTGTATAAAGTGACATACTGTAAAATAGGAGATTTATTTTTTCATTGCTCTTATTCTATAATGTTTGCTGTTCCACCTTGTTCAATTTTTCAGCACTTGAAACATTTTCCTACATCAAGTCACATCTCATTTTTCAATCATGGAAATTTTTTTTTTTATTTTCGATGGTCTTACATGTGTGGTTAAAATTATATTAAGGGATTAGGAATTTTGTTGAGACAAGTTTCTCTATAAGGTGTTATTCCAATTTTAGTTTGTTGACTTATGCTTTATTTTTATGACACTACTAGCACCTCGCACCACTGTAAGCAATCCACCCCCAGCTCCGGCATTTGGAAACAACAACATTAAACCAAACTTCTCGTCAATAGGGAAACCAACAAGTAATGGTGCCAGGTAAGGGTGGTCTTAATCAAGGAATGTTGAGAAAAATATTCGAGCTGTGAAAGGTGGAAATATTCTTTTTGGATGAGAGACTTAATGCGGGCAACATGAATTATGAAGGTTTCAACAAGTAACATGAAACTTGATAGTTTGGTTTAATTAGCTGAGTTAATTGGCCAGTTTCTGAAGCTGACGTTTTGATGGTTAGCCCTTCATTAGAGTGAAGTGCTAATGTTCCTAATTAGATGAAAGTCTGTTAGCCCTGTTAATCCAAATTTTGACAAAATTCAAGATGAAGGTAAAGCTTCATGCGTACTTCATCTCATTACGTCGGAGAGAAATTTTTCCCCTGACAAGAAATCTTGTCTGCCAGTTATTGTTGTTGATATTTCAATTATTTTAAATGCAGTTGTGTGGCATTTACAAGATCAATCTAAGCTTGAGGTTTGAATGACACAAGTTTATTTATACCATGAAAAGACAACTTTGAGAGCAAAAATCACTGAGTTTTAAATTGTTCTTTCGGTTTGCAGGAAAAACAGCAAGTCAGAATCCCCCTTAAGTAATGATCAGCTTGAAGAATTAAAATCGGTAGGATTATTTTTGTGATATTCTAATGGTTAAAATGGAAAGCTAGAGCATAATTTATATATTGCATTTCGATCTCAAGATTTCCAATACACAGTTGTATTTTGCTGGAAATTGACCCTGTATATTAACTTTGTATGTTTCTCATATAGGAATTACTAGCTGAATTTAAACAGGAATTGGATACTGCCAAGAGAGAGATAATTGAAGGTTAGTGGTTTAAAAGGAGGGCAAAAAAGGAAATGAAAGGAAAAACAAAAGACTTACTTCCCTATGGCTACTTAGAAACTTTCAGGCTTTAGTATATTTCGCATGGATAAAAATTGCAAAAAATAACTCTGGAGCTGTGTTTCTCTTGCTAAACAAAAGTCACATACTAAAAACTTAGTTCATTATTGCAGCATGTACCTTAAACCATTTGAATTTTTTTTGTGACCGTAAGTTCTTTGCAATTTTGGTGAAAATGTTTCTCTTTTCTCCTCTTGCAGCTGTAAGACAAGAAATTGCTCGCCTTCGGTGAGTGGGTGTGGAACTAGTGTACCAATCCAGAAGCCACTAAAATAATTGGGAAACTCCTGATTGATGGAAAGAATAACTTCATGTATTTGTTCCTTTTGCTGACATCATAATAAAGATTTGGGATATAAATGAAATTATACACAGTTGGCTCTGGAAGTACAGTTTTAATTGGCAAATGAAACAAATGACTTGTGAAGGTGTGTTATAACCCTTCTTAATAAAAGGACATTTTTAAACAATAGGGTTCATTAGCCCCTCAACAAATTTGTAATAAATATTGCATGAATGTGATGCAATGATTAATCATCAGGGCAGAGCTGTGCAAACATGATTACCAGTAGCCCTTATTTAGATAGAACGATGCATTGTGTTTGTATCTAGTTATACCAGAATTTACATAAATCAACTTTGATTAATTATGCTGGTTACACATCACCTCAAGAGTGAAAAGTTCTTACTAGATTTATTTGTTTTGGGGAATTCATAATCTGCTCCATAATTCATTTGTTTTCAATATCTGAAGTGTAATATTCACAAATATTTTTTTTGAACGCTACCACTTTAAGATTGGTTGAAAAATACTGTAACTGTTTTGATTTAGAATGGGCTACTGTAGGGAATTAAACAAAATGACCTCTTAAGGTGTTTCATGAAAATTTTGCAGAATTTAATTTTAACTGAATTTGGCAGATAGTCCTTAATTCAGAGATACTCAGAAGGAAAATCGCACAGTTTACTACCTCAAAACTGACTACCTGCTTCAAATGAAAACAAAGTGAGATTTATTTCCTAGTCAGTGGTCTGTTACTTAAACAGAAAATCACAAGATTGGTTCCCAGGGAAATTTCATTCATTTGGAATAACAAAGGCTTGAGTTTTCATTGCATACCTTGTTTAACATGACAGTCTCTTACCAATCTTTAAGGCAAATTCATCTTAAGTTTTCCAACAACTGGCACCACTGCTCTCCATGCAACCTTTGGGAGCTCTTCATAGAGGACATTAGAAATTGCCTTAATAAAGAATTACCAATCTGCAAACTATAACTCTCAAAGTTTTCATGAAAAGGGCACCATAACATAACTGAATACAAGGAGGACTATGTGCAATATGTGCTTCAGGAGTAAAAAGTTATAACAGTGACTGGAAGATGCAATAGAGGCATGGTTTCAATTCCTTGTTTTTTTTAATTTAAGTTAAGTTTAGCAGCTTAGTATACTAAATCCCTGCTGTATATTAAAAGTAATTACTCATTGCTGCTGCAATTTGTTTACATGAAGGAGTAAAGTTTGAGTTAATTTGTTGTTTGGCTCCTGAAAGCTTTATTTTTTCTCTCTCTCTTTTTTTTTTTTAATCTCTAGTCTTTAAGTGAAAGGTGGCACAAACTTTCCAGCAAAGTGAGGGAGAAAATAATGAAGGCTTCCCTCTACAAGTACTTTCACATTTCTTTTTGCTTGGAAAATGCCATTTAATTTTTTCATTGAAGTGTCTTGACCCTTAATTCGTTAGTAAACGTGGTGTTTTGTAACCCTCTACACCTTAACTTCAGTACCGTATTCTCCATATACTGGTCCCTATACATTCCTCAAGCTAACAAGAATTTTTTTTAAAATCAAGTGCACTTTTGTTGGTGATCATTTCCTCTTTATTGTGACCTTCATGTGTGATTCAGGGTTGGTACTGTAAGAAGAAGTTATGTGCCAGTCTCTCTTTGGGGTCAGAGTTAAAAATACAAAAATTTTGACTGCCATTTAATTTCTTTCAAGTGCCAATAGGTAGCAGTCAGATTTTGAAGCAGTATTTCCCTTCAATGGCAGATGTGATCCTCCTTTGTTACCTTACTTAGCCAGCCATATCTGGTGATTATAATTTGGTATTTAAGGGTGCACAGTCAGTTTGAAGCTACCTATCTTAGTTGTTACTTGGTGAATTTATTTGATCTATTACATGACTAGGTAGTCATTGCCAAATTCAACCTATCAGATTGTCATTACTGGTTCTGAGAGGATCACTATTATCATTAATCTCCCAGTGCTGGATGGGGCATTGTCCTAACTTTTTGGAAGTGAGCCAACAGTATGATGTTTGATCTCTGAAAGTAAGGTGTCAAATATTGTGGATGATATTTCAGAATCTTTTTTCTCAAAGATGTCCTAGCAAGTTAAAATGTGAGGTCATGACTCAAAGTTTCAAGGTATGGTTGGTTTGTGAATCGAGCATACAGATTACTCATCAATTGTTTGGCTAAAGAAGTTAAAAACAAATTTCAAATTTTTATGAGTAGTAACCCTTTTTCATTCACTAAAATAGTTATTCATCATGTCATGTGTAATAGCTGCCATCTTGTGCAATGTGACAGAGAAATGGTGGGAGAGAAAGAAACTTTCAGAGGGGGTCAGACTTCTTGGGTGGGAGGTTTTACCCTTTGACTCCCTAAGTGTCAAGCATCTAATTTCTCCTGACAAAATCACTCCCAAATCACACATTAAGGTCTCAAGAATAAAGGAAATGATCACTTAAAAGATTCTAAATTGTTAAACAAATTCTCCATCTCAGCACTTCAGGAAATGTATTGAGAACAGTATGTAGAATATGCCAACTGATGTTTGGGTGTAAAGGGTTGGGCAAGTGGGAGTACAAGTGTAACCTTTTCCTGAGATACTAGTTTATGGATTGGTATAACACATGGCACTCGAGGATAATGATCCTGAAAAATAAACAGGAGCTTGAAGCTGCATGCCAGATTAATTCTGGGGACTGAACCAGCTTCATAAGTGGCTAATTAACTAACTAGTGGTCAGGCAGTAGGGTATACTTTGTGTTTCCTTTGTCTTGACCTCTAAGAGGGACTAGCAGTATCACCCTTGAATCATACATTAAGAAAATGATCACCAATTTAAAACGCTCCTGATTGTCAAACAAATTCTCCTAGTCAGTACCAGAGGAAATGTAAGGAGAACAGTGTGGAGAATATGAATACCACTGTTAAGGGGAGAAAGGGTTAAGTTAAATCAAAACAAACACTTACATAAATCAGTGTGTCACTAAGTATTCTATTCCACTTTTTTATTTTTGGTGACATCTTTACGACCTTTAGTAGCTGAATGAAAACTTTAAAAATAGTTGAGACTGTAGCCCTGGAAACCTCACAAATCTTTTTGGAACACTTTTCAGTTCAACTGAGAGCCGTACATACCTCTAGGGGTTCCTTTAGTGTTGAATTTACTAATAAAGGGACATTCCAATCTATGGAGTCATCTTTTGTATTTTGAGCAGAGCTGGGATTTTTCTTGGGTAAGACATTTTTGTCACTTCTACCCATTCCCTAACAAACCTGTGGTCTAACTGTGAAAGTCAGTAACAAAAGTTTTACTTGTCTTTATTGGTTCACCTCCAAAGCAACATTTCCACTTTTTTGTCATATCAATTTCAACATGAAGGCTATATATTTATTTTTGTCAGTACTTCTTACACTATCTGAGGGCTATAATATTTCTGGATGTAAATTAATTGCTAGGATGCAGATTTTTGTTACATACTGGGTAAAAACATCCCACATACGAACTCAAAATGAATCAAAACAAGTTAAAGAATTGTTTTGTTACCCAAGATACAGGTCCTCTATTTTCCAACACTCAGAGAATTTTGGCAAAATGGAGAGTCTTCTTTTAAAAAAAGACACCAGCCTTGGTATGGCTGCACAGACACACTTGAAGTGTCTTTGTTATGCATGGTGAAACCTGCCATTCCTGCCACAAGTGTAGCAGTGTCTTGCAAGCCAGCTGGGTTTTTAAGTTCAAGGGGCACACTAATGATACCACTTGACAACTGGCTCATGGTCAGGACCCTGTTTGTGCCTTCCAAAAACTCTGTTATCCACCCTTGGTATTCAGGGCTTCCAGATCCGAACTCTTTCTTGTAAGAAATGATATGACTCCACCATTTCTTGTCTGGGTTCCCACAATAGGTAGCCACCAAGTTGTTAAACACATTTTCCACAGCATTCCACCATTCTGTCTGTAAATCAAGGTCATTCTCGATAGGTTCAAGCAGTGCTCGCAGCACCTAAAAAAGGATAAATGAATCAGTTATTTAAGTGGGTATATCTAGTGCACTACTTAGCCATCAATTATGTACAAAGTACACAAATACTGTGAACAAACCTGACAAAGGTTCAAACTTCCAACTAGTGAGGGGCTGGCTTGTGAACTTTATAGAAACTAGTTCATCAAGGTTATTTGAGGACATGTGCTTGTCAAAAAAGCTGAGATATGTCTGTTTGATCTTTAACAAAGAGGCTGCCACATTCCTATGGTGACAACTGTGCAACCTTGTGGTTTCAACAGTTTTTGCAATGGTGGTTGTGGAGGAGGGGTAGAAATAAAAATAATTTGCTAATGAAACTGTAAGGTCTCTTTCCCTTCCCTTTCTCCTGCACTTTTTTACAGTTTGCACTGCTCACTTCAGGATTTTTCCCCATCATCAAGTACAAGTGCCCTTAACTACACCCTTGTATGGGAGTGAGAGTATTAGGGTCAGAAGGAAAAAATCTGGGACTTGAGTGGTCCAAAAAGCAGATCGTGATAAATAGGTTAAGTTTATCTCCTATCACTGCAAGGCAAAAGGAGGGGGGTTAGGGTTTGGGTTAGGGTTAGGGTTAGGGTTAGGGTTAAGGGGGGGTGCACACAAGGATCTAAGGTTACCTTAAGTTTGGACTTAAGTTTCTTCCAATCGTCCTCAGTGCCCAGCATTTCCACAGCAGGAATGCCACACGCAAGCATCATGCTGTACTTAAAATATTCCTGAACCGAATGCATCAACACAATCTGCGAGACGACTTTCTGCACTGGTGTTGTGGTGCTAAAATCCGCCGTTACTCCATCAACGAACTCAGGTACTTTAACGTTCTTTCGTATTCCCTTTGCCATTTGATCAAAGAACCAGCTGTAGTCAACAGTGTAGATGGTGGTGTCAGGTACTTCCACTTCAATTTCTTTTTTTCCTTCGTGATCAACAAACATCTTACGTACGGAATCTTTCTTGGCGTTTTTTTCGATAGCACCTGCCACTCGCCTGATCACGCAGAACCACCAGTCATCGGGAGACGTTCGAAGTGTCCAGTGGTTGTTGTAGGCTGTTAGAATGGTTGAAAACAGTCCGCAATCTCCGGGGTAAACCATCTCTTCTGAGCCTATAGCGGCTATCATTTTCTCTTTACTACCATACTTGGAAGTTTTCGGTAGAAACTCTCTCGCTTCAGTATTTGGGGAATACTTCTTCAATAACTCTTTCGCTTCCATTGCCACGAACCAGCTTTTTACTTCAACGGGAACAAGATCAGCGGCTAGTGGAACATATTTTGGTTCTGATCCACTACTGGTAGAATTTCCACAATCGCCAATGATAGTAGCAGTCAGAAAAGGATTGCTTTGGTCTTCGGCCATTTTGCAAGTTTTGTATCGAAATAGTTTATCCGTGTTGGGCAAAAATTTTAAATTCAGTTGCTTATATAAAAAAAGTAGAATTACGTCATTTTTGTTTTCGTCAGGCGTTTCATCACTGGCTGCAAGTCAGAAAATATCATACATTATTTAAGAAGATAAAATGCTTCGGTTTCTACAGAAAACGAAAAGGGTTACACATCTCCGCCTCTAACACGTCGCCTTTCACGTTGTCACTTACACGTTGTCACTTACACGTTGTCACTTACACGTTGTCACTTACACGTTGTAAACCATTATGTGTTTCGAAGAGACCTTTTTTACAGTACTAGCGACTAAATACAGGAATGGCTCCGACCCGTGATTGGATGATAAAAATAATAAAAGTTAATACTTATATCTTAACTCCTTGCTCGTGAGTATGGTTAACCGCGTGTCTCGAAGCGGAACAATGAAATATCAATGTGAAAACACCGATAAGTCAATCAAGAAATGGCTACTTACATAATCAAGGGAAGGCAGAGTCTATCTTGATCAGCGAGGTCGTTCAGCGATATTCCAGCGATGAAAAAGTCATCCGCTGACAAAACTCATTAAGTCAGTTTAGGCGGACGACCAGGGACTTGAGCCATTCGTGTATTTCACCGCAGACAGGAATAGCTCCAACTCATGCGTATATTAATTTTTTTTTCGTTCTGGCTAAATAATTCATACACTGAGATAAAAACTGAAAGAGCGATTTATTAGATTCTTCTTATGTTGAAGTCTACAGTGCTTGCAAATGAAGTCCTCTTTTATTATTACAGGGCCATGTAGTTCCTAAGTTTTAAAATAATGCAGCAACTGCATCTCACGTTTGGAAAATCACGCAATGTTGCGCCCGATGTTTTTAATTTACGGTATGCTCTGCCGGAGAAATATGGTTTGGCCACAATCGAGGGAGTTTTTTTTCGTGGAAAACTGATTTTTTGGTAATTGTTCACATGAAGGACAAAACCATTCATCGGGCTCTTCATCTGTTTTAAAACTACTGTTCGCCCATTGCTGCTCACTGGTTTAGTTTTAATTTTTTTTTCAAAAACTGTTTAAAAATTTATTGAAAAATCATTGAAAAAAAGTTATTAAACGTTTGAGTCGGAGCTATTCCTGTCAGCGATGAAATACACGAATGGCTCCAGTTCTCTGGTTGTCCGCGTGAACTGACTAAAGGAATTTAGTCAGCGGAGCTAGACAGCAGATGACTTTTTTATCGCCGGAATATCGCTGAACGACCTCGCTGATCAAGATAGACTCTGCCTTCCCTTGATTATGTAAGTAGCCATTTCTTGTTTGACTCATCGGTGTTTTCACATTAATATTTCATTGTTCCTCTTCGAGACACGCGGTTAACCATACTCACGAGCAAGGAGTTAAGATATAACTTATTAACTGTTACAATTTTTATCATCCAATCACAGGTCGGAGCTAGCGCTATATTGGAAATGCAACCGCGCACACGTGAGAACGAGGCTGGGGGTTAACTCGTGTTAAATCTCTCTGAGCGCTTTTGATGAAATTCACATTTAGGCAGTGAAATTGTTCGATTTTTAAGGAAAATGGATGGTCCTAGCCGAAATCTCGATAAAGCTAATTTTTCTCCCAAAAAGAAAGGAGAGTAGTGTGCCGCTTTTGGTTGTTCAAATACATTTTATGGCCCCAATGGTTTGCCTACGAGCTTTCACTTCTTCAAGTTTATGCACAGAGGCATGTATTTTTGCTAGGTATTTATCGTTCTATACTTATCTTATTCTCTGTGAATTATGGATGAGGGTGACTATTGTTGCAAAATTAGTACAAATTTTCAATTAGGTACCTGAATTGTTTTAAGTTCGATAGATTTTTTTTTTCATTGCGGCAGCAAGTCAATAAGTTCAGTACTACTCACCTGTTTACTACATGGCTTTCCTAAAACACTCCTAGCAGAGAAACTCTTGGAAAGTAATTGCTTTTAATAAAATAACCAAGACACTGTATCTTCAGAGTTTTCACTTATTATGGCAGACCCAGAAAACTGACACAAATTTGGTAGCAATTGTGACAAAAGCAGTTTTCAGTAGTTGTTGTTTTTGTTTTTCATGATAGCATAGTAATCCACTATGGATGCCACATGGAACTCTCACAAAATATTTTGTGTGCTTTATGTATCAATCAATTGTAACAGTATAAAATGAATATCTTGATTTGGATATATCTCTCAATCTTTTAAGTATCTCAAAATTATATTATCATAACATTGGTTAACACAAGGCAATAAGTACTAGTATAGCAAACCTTTGCGCCAGAAGGCCTCTGAGTGCTAAGAATGGGAATGTCAATTCACTAAATGTTTATCACTGACAGAAACTTAAATGTGTGTGAAGGACTAGTATTGCTGAGATCAGTAGCTGAGAGGAAGCATTTCTGTTCTCTTACTTTAACCCTTAAATACCCAAGATCTGATTGTTAATTCTCCCTTCTAGTTGCTACACATTTACTTGTAAATAAGTTATGAGAATTTGATGTAAGATCAAGATAACTTCTGCCTGATAAGTTTCAGTATTATCATTATCTGTTTGCTGGATAGTGTTTGGATATTATAGGTAGAAGTTACATGAATCAGTCACTTTTGGGAGTTTTTAAATTGTCTAATATTTTGGTCTGATTCTTTCAATGCTGTCTTGCCATCTAATAAATTACCATGAGTGCAAACTCAAATGGTTTTCAATGTATCACGAGCATGAGTTGTCCTGGGCCAGATGGGTTTCAAAATATTATGACATCTGTTAGTTACAGTTTCCCTCATGGGTTGATAGAAAGAAGGTCATAATCAAGTGGCTGTACAGGCTCTATTGTATAGTTTCCCATAAGATATAATGTACAAATGGCAAACTAAAATACATCTTGGTAAACAAAATGGGAACAACTTTAACTGAAGAATATGGTACAACAACAAGTACCACATCACAACAGCAGCAATAACAAATCTCCTCTACCTAGAGGGCTACAGCCTTTGCCTCGCTTTCTAAGCCATACTGAACAACTTCTGTGGTACTTCCTGTGATGCGTTCCTCTTAACACGATGTGGCGATATTCTCGTGAAACAACAAGGTAATCGTAAAGCTGAATGAAATTAATCTCAGGTAAACTACGGAGATCGCTCGACCATCCAAGGGCTGAAATCCTTACCACAGTTGCTTGGTATTTGAAGTCGCTCTGGTTTTGTTCTAGGTCCTGGGCATCTGTAAGAAGTTCTCGGTTTTCTCCACTACTTGATGAAAGGACGTGTCACATCAGCAAAGCATAAACTTTCGACACTAAGTCGGCTCTAATTCCGCCCGTCGATTTTGAATTAGATTTTAAAATCTCCCTGAGATCATTTTCTTCGAGTTTCTGGATGTCATCTTATGACGAAATTTCCATAGTATTGTATTAAAGAACCATTTTGAAGGGAGAAATCGCATTGAAAAGTGCATTAGAACGTGAAACGTGAACGTGGTTATTATTCCAATATGGCGCCGGTGTCCCAGCGGATTTGGACCCCCCTAGAATTGGACCCCCCGGTCCAAATCCGCTAGCGGATATGGACCCCCCCCGGTCCACATCCGCTAGCGGATTTTGACCCCCGGGGTCCATATCCGCTAGCGGATATGGACTCCCCTCCGCGGATTTGGACCCCTTTAACAAAACTGAGTAAATAGTTTTCACTATTATGACGTACTTTACGAAGTAAAGTAAGAGTAGTACTAGTTTCATACTTGTTCTTCAGAATTGTATTGCAACAGAATAAGAAAGGATTTGGTATGAGTTTCAATAGTTCGAATCCAATAGTTTGTTGTCATTTAATTCATGCGTAGGCTATTCTACCAACTTAAATAAATGTGTCAGAAATGAAACGATATCTGCCCTTTTCTTCGTCAATTATAGTTCGCAATCTTGTGTTGAAATTTTAACGGACATCGCCTAAAAGCTCGCAGTTGGAACAAGTTACGAAAAAGGAATGTTTAGGAAAAACCCCCGGTCCAAATCCGCTAGCGGATATGGACCGGGGGGGTCCAAATCCGCTAGCGGATTTGGACCGGGGGGTCCAAATCCGCGGGGGGTCCAAATCCGCTGTGACACCGGGAACTGTAAAAAGGGCTTGACTTAAGACCACAGGCAGCCTAAGCTCCAGATGTGAGATGATCATCTTGAGGAAGAAAGGAACGTCTTTTTACGAAATTACTTTTGACTAGAGGCCGTTAAGAGAAGAAAGGGAGATGAGGCTTGCAACTTAGTGGCCGCTAGCTGCGACCATTCCACTAGTAACTTTCGTAAAAATTGCAATTTCAGAGCTTATTCATAACCCTCATTCTGTCTGTCGGTTTACGGTCATTTCGTTCCATAGTCAGATCGTTCCAAGTCGGATTGTTCCAAAAATAGTCAGTTCGTTCCACAAAAAAGTCAGTTCGTTCCACATTTATTATATATATTTTCGTAATGTGTAAATGTGATCTGAGAGAAGAGAAGCGATCGGAACATTGTCGAAAGTATTTTCAGAACTATTTACATAATAGTGAAAGCGTCGTATGTTAATTTCAGTGTGCATTGCGGAACAACCTGAGAACTATTCACACAATAGCGAGAGCTTATGTTTGTCAATTTTTGACCACAACACAGAACAAAGGATATTCAATGAATTACTACGTGGCCTGCGTATCTTTCAGCGCGCTCGATGTAAAGTGGTTTTAGATTAATCAGTTATCACTAGCGAGAGAAACTTGTTCTGATTCACGCCCGTTTCCGGCACTACTTGTCGATTTCCAGCGGTACGTTCGAGTTCGCTACTAACATGACGAATTCACTGACTATATTAATTCACAGTTTTGAGGTCGTTTTTATCCATAAACCAAGAGCAAGATTTATAATTTACACCTCTTATTTCAGTTTTAATCCTGTTGCCGTAAAAGATGAAGTTTTTGATGGCCGCAATAGTATTTACTTCGGCAATTACGGTGCGGTTTTAAATTTTAGACATCTGGGCCCAGTTGTTCAAGGGCCGATTAGCGCTAACCCAGGGTTTAATTTCAATCCAGGTTTCTATATTTCTCTGTTCAAAAGCCGTTTTGGAATAATTTTTCCCATTGTTTTTAGAGCATTCAATTATCTAATTGTAGTAAAAAAGAAATAAACTGAATTGGCTCTTCAAGCTTTCAGATCTAAAATCAAATTTCACACTAACCCCAAGTTATCTTAACCTAGCTTTGAACAGTTTAATGTTAATGTTTCTTGCAGTGTAACCTCTCGTTTAGACGTCTCTTTACAGGCGACCATAAAAGTTACCATCAGAGAAAAAAAATTGTTTTTGTCAGGAGACAAACATATTTCTCTCGTTTTACAACGCCAAGTTTCCTATCACGCATGACGCGTCATCGAAACAGGTGATCGGCCCGGGCGGGAACAAACATATTGCCGGTAGGAACGTATTTTTGAAGTGAGGGGACCTGGCAGTTGTAGCGATCGTAATGTATTACAGTGGGCCGGGTCGGGGTCCGGGGGATCTTTTCCAAGAAAGTTTTAATAAGCTCTAGAACAAATTCTCATGCCATTTTGCCCATTTTGGAACATTTTCGGGGAAACGTTTTTGCCTCTACGGGCATGAATGAAAAAAGCTTGTTACAAAGAACATCTAAAGGTTTGTTTGATCCATAATGCGGACTTCTGGCTCTAGTGGGACAGGAAGGTTAAACCCGGATTTTCTCCTTAACGGAAGTTTCCGACTTGTTACAACATTGGGAGACGAATCATATCTCGCCTCACTAAATAGCCTCGGCCTTAGATTGTACAAGTTTGTGCTAGGCAACGATGGCGTAACACTTCTGACAGTTCCGTCGCGTGGGGACCATTCTTGTCGGATGTCACGCAAGCTCAGTACTTCGTAACACTTCTGTACTGTACTCGCTGCTTGCTGGTCTTGCTCTCTTTCTGTGTGCTTTAGGTGAAATCTCTCTGCCCTGTGCCGCTTTGAAATCACTTCTAGCTTTTCCTTTAATCTGGCAATAAAGCTGTGTAAAACTTGCGACATCTCGTTCTTAAGGTCCTTGCTTTTAATTAAAACTGCGAAAAGTCAGAAAGGTTCATCATTAAAAAATGTTACGTTGTTATGGACACAAGGTTCTTGATCATTCTAACGAATAATCGTGGTGATATAAGCCGGGAGTAAGCAAAAACTTGTTGACGTTGTAGAGGCGACTGTCTTCCTATAGATCATCAAAATGCGTGTATTATTTAGCTCATCCGTACAACTCGTCATAGAATTTTTTGGATCAAAACTAACCTTCAGGTTTCTTTCGTCGCCTTTCGTAGACAACTCCGAGCACACAAGCTAATATCAACAGTGACCCGATGATCGAGACGGCGATGATGAACTGTGGAGAGGTGATACTGAACAGCTCTGTAGAACTTTGCTCGGCCGGGCTATGATCTGGTTCCTAAAAACAAACAAACAACAAAACAACAAAACCCGTTTACCACGTCATATCGAACGCGCCTTTACGAAGTGTTTGTATTTCGATAATAACCTTCATCGAATAGGGCAACTTACGAAGTCAGTATCTGACAAGAAAGGTTGCCCATCATTGATTTCATATTTCAACCGCATAATGTTTCATTTATATTCTCTTGTTATAAGATTCTGAATAGTGGATCGAGGCCTGGAGCCAAGCTTTTTTTAGAGAAGAAAGAAAGAAAAAACTGATCAGTTTGTTACACTTGTCTAAGCTTGGAAGAGTTTGGATGAGTAGCATTCAGAAATGGAGGAGAACATACCTGAAGAGTCAGGAAGGAAAATTGGAACAATTTCTGTGATCAGGGGTAATTGAAAAGCTAAAGTTTATGAAAAATGTAAAATTGTATTCGGTGGACTATTGCAAAAGAAGGAAGTAAGGAACATGGACCCCTCTAACTAACTAACTTCTAGGGGGCTCTCACAAAAGCTAAAATTTTCATGCAGTCGTACCCTGAGAAACTTGATATTGTCTTCAATTTTCTGGAAAACACTGCCTGAGTAAGCCTTGATATGCTCGGTAAAACACTGCTCCAGCTTCATAGAGTTCCCTGCAAGGACCACCCCATAACTGGTCTTGAAATCGTATATCCGAACGATCCTGAAGCGAGGGTCATTAAACAAGTGGTTGTGAGAGGACAGCACATAAAGGTCCACCAAAGCGCCTTTTACTTCCTGGTCTGCCAAAGCACGGCTAATTTCCTCATAACTCTTGTAGTTACGGACTAGAAAAATTTTAAGGAGGAAATTGTGAAGTTAGTGAAGATCAAAGGTATCACGGGGACAAGCTGAAAGAAAACTCAAACTCAGAGAAGGACTTATGCGAAAGGTACACTGCAGACGTTTCTTCAATTGTTTTTCTAACGTAGAATGAACAACTTCGAGAAAAAAATGAACCTGAAAAGACTTTGTTCCTTGAAACGAATATTTACCTGTGTTCATCCGTGCATTCTTCCGCACACCTAGTCGAAAATCAGAATTGTTCGCAATAGCTGCAACCTAGAGGCCAAAATGTATTGTCAGCAAAAGAAATGAAAATATATATGAGCAAACAAAGAATAATTTATCTAAGAGATTAATTTTGCGAATTTCTTATTTCATATGTCAGAGCGGAGGATTTCAAGGCATAGCTTTGAAGCACGCCCTCATTATCAGCGCTGCAAGATGTGCGTTTCTCCGCCCAAGTTTTGAGACGGGTCACCGGAGTCGGAGAGAGGTTTGCGGGGGTCTGGCACTATCAGTGCCAGACCCCCGCAAACCTCTCCCCGGCTCGCGTTGCCTAAGGCCTCACAATTTCGAAGAAATGATCTTCCCGAAGCGCTACCCATGAGGGCCTGCGGACAGGCTATACAAGACAAACTAAAACACCCAGCACCTGGTTTTTCAGGTTATAATTTTGAAAGAGGCAAGGCTGTCTTTGTTGTGCACTTTTATCGACTAATACGAGTTGTTAATTATCGAGCACACTAACCCAACTCTGTAATTTTGACTAAATGACTAACCTCTGCACCATAGAGTTGTATGTAGGGCCCTTTATAACCAAATTCCGTGAGAACTGTGGCGACTCTTCCAGTTAAAATGGCAATAACCACCAAACCACTCAATGTCCAAGAAATTGCAAATAAGCGAGCAAACACTCCTCTCGGACAGCGGTCACCATACCTGCACAAGAGCCAAATTTCAAGATATCAGTGGACGAAGAACTACTCTTCGGATCGTGACTCTACTCCTAGGTTCGATTTATTCTATTCACCTAATTACAGAATAATAATTCCGGGAGGGATGAAGTGGTCTGGGTTCGAATCTGGTTATCATCATTGTCCACTTGCCGCTACTCGAGTAAGACACATGCCTCCATCCATCTCGGAATCGAACCCGGGCCATAGCAGAGGGTTGCGAGCGCTCTCACATCTGCACCATACCCACTCCACTATCAAGGGAGGGAAGCAACACTCTAAGTTGCTCTATGTTAAGAAAAAAGTTCAGATAGTAATGGGCGATGAGGTATATAAGACATGACCCATTTAAAAATAAATTTTCATTTCTGGTTAGAAGAAGCGACGCGGCCACAGTTAACGAAAACAAAAGTTGACTTATCAGGTCCGACAACTTTATCAGCTGTGTTATGTAAAGACACGTACGAATTGTTGATAAACTCGCCTTACCCCACAGTCGTCGATGTAACAAAGGCCCACCAAAGTCCCTCAGGGGCCCCTCGGGTGAAAGAGCCTGGGAACTCTTGACTGTTAGATCGGGCGTCCTGAAGGAAAATATATCTTGCATTTTTTTGTTAATGAGGTCTCTATTGTTTATGTAGGATGAAAGTCAGATACATCAGATTGGTTGGTGAAAGTAAAAAAATAAAACTCTGCGACAGTTGTATTATACTTTATCATAATAGAGAGTAATGTTATGAATATTTTGGGTTCAAGCAAAAACAAGGGATTTAAACAGCTAAGACAGAATCAGAGCACAGTCACTGGCGTATTTCTACAGACATTCATTCCAGTACTGTTAAGAGCCACCCTAAAAGTAATTTCTCAAACGAGCCTTATATGGCTCTACATACCAGCAACCACATTATAATTCCAACTGCGACCATCATGATTATGGAGAGGAGGAGCAGCGGCCATGACCGAATAAAAACATTTGCAATTGCGATGGCTTTTTCGTGCGGATTCATCACAGTGATGAAACCCACTCCGGGGGACTCTGCTAGTTTAACGTATCTGTACAGAGAGTAATGTGTCTGCCCGTGGAACCCATTCACTGGCGTACTGAAATCGGTCTGTGAATCGATGCTGCTAATCAGAGCCTCGACGCCACTCTTCTGCGCGAGGCCTCCCTTTCCGTCAAGCACAAAGTCGATAGTAGTTGCGGGTTTGCCATTGGCGAGGACACAGTCACTGCAGCAGTATTCCACCGCCCCCTCCAGGATTCGTGGGATGAAGCCGCCCACGGTGCCGTTTTCGTATGTGATATACGGGGGGAACGGGTACCAGGTCGTTTTAAACTCTCGGGGGCACCTGCAAGTCGCTGAAAAGCAATTAAGCACATTATAAACACTTCGGAATTTCCTTGCCGTCAAAAGGTTTTCAACCGACAGATCAACGCAAAAGAGTTGCCACAAAAGAAATGCATTATTTCTTTGGATGACGAGAAAAGTGGTTGGTGACTAAATATATGAAGATAAGTTTGGCAAATAAAGAAACTGGGCGCTTATGGCTAATGAGTTGCACATCTCAGTTTCCTGTTTTGACGACTAAACTTAAGAGTCTGGATCATGTTTACTTTTGGTAATCTCTTTTTACAAGTTTGACTCTCCCTTTCCCCGCTTTTCTTTTCAGCGGGTATGTTGTCAGTCAATGAATATCACCAAAACGAGAACTTACATCCATCTTTGATATCGGTCAACACTCCTACTCCTTTGATCGTGAAAGCTGCAATTTGCAAATCATAAACTGCAAAGTTTTTCAGCATCGTTACTGTGGTGTTCTGTTCCAAAGGTCCAACAGACACAGCCTCCGTCTCAGAGGTAGAGGCTCTTCCTAACTCTTGCACCTTTCTATAGTAAATGCGGTATCCCAACAGAATTCCATGTACAAAACCATCCGGCACTGGTTCCCAACTGACATCCATTTTGAAGTCCCCACTGCGGGATATGGGAGTAAGAGACGCTGGCGGCATACTAGGAACTGCAAAAATATTTCAAACATAAACAATGACGATCAGAACTCTAGAGTGAACGAAGGTTATTGCGGTTATTAGTGTTGGATTGTTCTGTAACAGTAGTTAATACCTTGATTTTGCCGATTTTCTTTTCGATGAATTTATAAAATGTGGGAAAACGACCATGAAAAAACCCTTTCAAATATGAATTGACTAGTTCCATGCACCACTCAAGCTAAATCCGTTTGTGCTTTAAGGCAATTTACAACTTAGCTGAGTGGCTACAAAGGCATTTTAGGTTTCTCAACATCAATCAGTTGTGGGCTATAATCAACGGCCAATCACTGTGCATATTCTAAATTATTGGACCAACCAATCATTGGCGTGAGGGTTTCTGTCACTCCAGTCGAATTAAATAAGGAAAATGTAAGTAGCAACTGGATGAACATAAATAATTTCCATACTGACCATCCTCATCCGTAGATACAATAAACCTGTGACTAACATTTCCATCTCCTTTTGAGGTGAAACCCAGTATTTCCACAGAATAGTTCGTAAATTTCTCGAGAGACGTTATGTTATAGGAAAGAGCGTTCGGAGGTAAAGTAATATCGGTGTACACGGACCAGTCGCTCACGATCGAACGCCTTGCGTGGGACCTGAACACTATGCTGTTGTCTTTTGGTGCAGATCGATATAAAAGCTTGATTCCCAGGAGTTTACCATGAACGTTGTGTTTAGGGATTGGTTTCCACTGAACAAATATACTTGTGGAGCTGGAATTTTGCAACTTGATGTCTTGAGGAGGAAGACTTGGAACTACACAATGCAAAATTTGGACCCTCAATGATACTAATTGGTTTATTATATCACTATGGTCAATCGTCCTAAAAAGAAAACCTGCCCCGAGATTTTTTGTCAAACCTTACCTATTGGTAGATGGTTATGTAAGAACTTCTTAAATTTTGAAATAAAGGCGGATGATAGCAGACATCTTATAATTCCATGTCATCAGTTATATTTACGCGGATTGCTCTGTGAGCTCACGTTTTCGATCATTTATCTCTTTCTTCTTTTTTTTCCCTTTTATTGATTGACCTCTCTGTAGCATGTAAAGCAGTGGAGGTCTCATACAGTTTTGGGCTGGTTTTGCAACTTTTACGGATACGAAATGAAATTAATCTGAGGAAGGAATCAAGGTACAAGTATACTAATGGTCAATTCAATTATATAATTATTCATTCATTTATTTCCTCACTCATTTCTTTTTTCCTTCCTTTTTTCTTTCATCAATCTATTCATTCACTCATTTGTCTGTTAATGAATCAAAGTCCACCGAGGTATATCAAGGAATTAAAAGGAAAAGCTTAAACTTACTGTCTTCATCAGTGGAAACTATTATCGGTTCCGTGCCTATCCCTACAAACTTTGTAACTCCCATAATCTCAATACTGTAGTTGGTGTATTTCCTTAGGTCAGTTAATTCAAATGTTAGGTTCGCTAGTGGCACAGTTACGGTGTGCGTGGTGTTGTCAGCTGTGTCTAATTCGCGATAAGCGATGTGAAAGTTTCTAAGTACTCCGGCGACGTCCATGGCAGAAATATTACTCCACTGCAGTGAGATAGAAGTTGAACTTGAATTTATCCCTTGAAAGGTTGTTGGTGCTACTCGAGGTGCTGTAGGAAGGACAAAGCATTGTGAGTGCAAATGTTTAAGTGAACCAAAAAAATTAAGTAAAGCGCATTCCGATTGAGTGTTGTAAAACCAAACCAGAGTAATCATAACAGCCAATCACAGGGAAGCAATTCATTACAAGGAACCAATGAGATCGCAAAGTAAAAATGTAAATCACTGGAAGTGCCGGAAAACGCTAGTGACCAAGTCGCGATTGCCTGAGTTTTGAATCTGATTGGTTGAGAGGATGGCGCGCGTTTTCTGGACCAATCACATAGCGAATTAACTCAAAACTAAATCAATCTAAGATTATTTTCGATGATTGAAATCACCCTACCTAGCAAAGTTTGGTACAAATTAAATAACTTTTAAACGGGGTAGGAGAGAAAGAACGGAGAGAATAAATGAAAAAGAAAGCACAAACAAATAAAGGAGGAAAAGAAAGAACAAGCAAATCAAGGAGGAAAAGAACAAACAAAAAAAACAAGGATGAAAAGAACAAACAAAAAAACAAATTAAGGATGAAAAGAACAAACAAATCAAGGAGGAAAAGAAAAACAAACAAACAATTTAAGGAAGAAAAGAACAAACAGACAAATCAAGGAGAAAAAGAACAAACCAACAATTCAAGGATGAAAAGAACAAACGAATAAATCAAGAAGAAAAAGAACAAACAAACAAATCAAGGAGGAAAAGAACAAAGAAATCAAGGATGAAAAGGACATACAAACAAATTAAGGAGGAAAAGAACAAACAAACAAATTATAGAGAAATAGAACGAACAAACAAATGAAGGAGGAAAAAGGAAGAACGGACAAATGAGGGAGGAAAAGAACGCACGAACAAATGAAGGATCGAAAGAACGAATTGACAAATGATCGAATGAAAGTGCGAACTTATAGAAAGAAAGAAAGATCGTATCCATTTCCATTGCCATTGCCATTGTTTTCTTAATCCAGGAACTGTATGCATAATGAAGCATGCATGGGGCTGTGTCCACGTTTCTGAATCTATAAATCATCAGTTATCAGGTGATGTCGATTTCCCTTACCTTCCTCCTCAGTTTTCACAAGTATATCTGAACTGGGTGGACCGTCGCCTTTGATAGTAAACGCCCTGACATTGCATGCGTAGGTCGTAAAAGCGTTTAATCCATCTAGTACTCCCTCAAGGACAGAGCTGTTGAACTGCTTTTCAGTACTAGGCTGGTTTCCCTTTGCTATCCGGCAAGATCCTTTATAGCCCATCAAAATTCCGTTAAGGTTGTCTAGAGGAACCGGCCGCCATAGTAACTTTATCTCTGTCTGACTTACGTTATGACCGGTTACAGTCTGTGGTGGTGCGTCCGGAACTGAAATGAAGGGTTCCAAAGATAATTTACACTTTCAAAAACTGATAGAAGTGAATCTTTTTGCATATTAAACCTAACGTCATCTTTAAGCTAAATGGACCCAGGGAGATAATTTTACAATTCAAAAGTAGAAACCACTACTCAAATAGGACGGAAGAGAACAGAAGGCTACAATAATTTTTCATTGATTGTTTCCCAGTTGTAGAAACAACGACAGAGATTTATTTAACATTATTACTTAAACCAGTTTTAAATAAATAAAAATCAGAAATAGAAAACTGAAATACCCAATTCTGTATAAGGTTCAAGTAATCAATGACTTTAATTTTCATTGCGCTCAATTGGAAGTCTACAAACATCAATTTTAAGCAGCTTCTATCAAGAAAACTATTTCAAACCGTGATAATTTGGTTTTATCAACTGAGTTGATAATGTAAATTGGCCTCCCTTAAGAGTTCAAAAGCTGACGTTTAAACGCTCGAAACGTCAGCTTTAAAACTCTTTACGCTGACCAATTTACGTTATCAATTCAGTTGATAAAACCAAATTATCTTGTTATACTCCCCCACCGATGTAGCACCACAGTTTCTTTAGAACCTAACCCCTCTCGTTTCAAGCTGTTTTTGACAAAACAGCTGTTTAAGCTTTGGTTTGAATGGGGTTTCGGTTTTTCTAATAAGGCCTTAAAATTGCATGACCCTTGACAAATTTAACGCACCATCCTGATCGGTAGACGCTAACGTTGAAACGTTAGCTCCATTTCCTTTAGATGTAAATGCGACAATGGATATCTGATAGGTATGAAACTTTTTCAGCTTCGGGAACCGTACATCAGACCTTATAACCGTTTTTGTTATTGTCACCGAAGTGTTGCTTGGGTCTGTCAATGTTGCATGATAACCTCGAATAATTCCGAGCCGACAACATTTGGGCACAGGTTTCCAAGTGGCAAAGAGTATGGTGGAACTCTCATTGTAAGCTGTGAAATTAGAGGGCGGCTGACTCGGAACTGCAAAAGAGCAATGCGGAATAATAAATTTTACCAAAGAAAGTCTGTCTTCAGAGATTTTTTGACGTCAGCCACTTAATCGGCATTTTAGTCGATATGTCGACCGTTCTCCAGTAAGTCAATTTGGTGAAAGGCAGCCATAAGAGGAGTCGGCCAGATAGTACAGTTATTTTGGTTCACACAAATGTCTCAGAGAACTTCAAGAAAAAATCAGGAGGATCACAAAAGTAATTCTTTTTGTTTGTGGAAGGCAACAGATAAATTATCTTTGTCTAATCCTGAGAGGAAAAATGAACTGTTACTCACATTATCACCTGGTCACTAGATCAATCGGTCGATGGAACGGTTAGTCAGTCAACCAGTTATTCAGTCAGTCAGTCAATCGGTCAGTCAGTTACTTAGTGAGTAGGTCATTGAGTAGGTTAGTCAGCCAGCCAGTCAGTCTGTTAGTCTGTCATTTACTCAGTCAGTCAGTCAGTCACTTAGAGAGTCAGTCAGTAAGTCACTCAGTAAGATCGTCATTTAGTCAGTCATTTTGTCAGTCAATAAATGAATCAGTATGTCAGTAAGTCAGTTAGTCAGTAGGTGGGTAAGCCAGTCAATCAGTAAGGTAGTAAGTCAGTCAGTCACTCAGTGAGTTAGTCATTTAGTTAGCCATTCATTCAGTCAGTCAGTCAGTCAGTTAGTAGGTTAAAAAGTCACTTAGTCCCTTAGAACTTCCGTGGGCCCGTCCGTTCATCTATCAGTCAGTCGTTTGGTTTGTTTGGCTGTTCCTTTATTTCTATTTCACTTTCATATATATAGGTATTTCCTCGGGCAACTGAATAGCCATAACTGGACCTTCGATTAATTTGACAGAAGAGTACTAGTATACACTAAATAAAGATTCAACTTCTACTTACCGCTCTCCTCAGTAAACAAATCCACAGCCACAATCGGACCGTCTCCATAATTATTAAACCCCAGAACCTCTATCCTGTATTTGGTGAATATCTTTAGTCTTGTGAAGTTGGTCTCCATTTTATCCAACCCGTAAGTGCGATTTTCCACAGTTTTTGAACCATTACCTGTTAACTCGTATACAAACAGCTTGTATCCCAGCATGATTCCATGCTGTTTGTCTTCCACTATCTCCTGCCATCGGGCATATATGCTGGACTTACTTGTGTTGTAGGCAGTGAGAGCCTGGGGGGAAGCTCCAGGGACTAACCACGGGAGACAGAAAAAAGAGATGTACCAAGGCCTGTAGCTCACAATCAAGTTTAAATCAATTCAGGGCTGTGCGAGAGAACCTACATGAGTTCCGAGGTGTAATAAAGGTAAATAACAATGATCGTGAAACGTCGAGGGAATCATTTAGCGAACAACGCTTGTCGGAAGGCATTTTGAGTCTTTACTTGTCAGAATATTTTACCGGTTTGAATATGAAGAATACGAAAAATGATTAGTGTAGTCTTCGAGGTGCACATGTGGAGAAGTGGCTTCTTCGAGAAAACGTCAGTAACAGCATTGAAAGAATATGAGAGCTAGAACTTAATTAAACAAGGATCCAACCAAGAGCGCTGAAACTTTAAGTTGACTCAACTAACCTTCACCGTGAGTTCGGACCACAAATGACTCGTTCGTGGGACCTGTACCCTTGGCTGTCCGAGCTGCTATAGTAATGTTGTATAGCCGGTATATTTTCAATTCTGCGGCGATCTTACTTCGCAGAGTTTTGTTACGAGTTTCAAAAGTCTTTAAGTTTGCCTCTTCTGGGAAAATATCGCTGGCATTGGCCTCCTGAAAATACAGTGTGAAACCTTGCAAGCGGCCAAGAACCAGTCTAGGGTTATCATCGTAGTTCCAAAGAACTTTAATTTCCCGTGAGCTGACATTGTAAGCTGTCAGATTGACAGGAGAATTTATAGGAGCTGGAAATGAAGAGAGAAACATAAAAAAAAATTTAAGGAAAAGAAATAGTTTGTTTCCTGAATTACTTTAGTACAAAAACCGAGTCCAGGTTACGAATCCTGGAATGAAACTCGCCGAGCTGAGGCTAAAAATATTTTTGGACTGTTGGAGCAGGCTAGCTCGAGCTCCACGCGATCTTACTGTTAATTTTCATCCTGAACATGCCTCTACAAGGCATCTCACCTTATCAACCATTTGTTGGCAATATAGCAATATAGCATGAAGAGGCCATGTACTGATAAATTCTGACGCCGCCATTTCACTTACTTGATTCATCCGTCAACTGATATACTTTGTTACTCCACGGCCCATCACCTTTTCTGGCGTAAGCCTGCATCTGTACCGAATAATTCTGGAAGATCGAAAGACTAGAGAAAAGGAAATCATGGACGTCTGGTCTGACGGTCATGTTCCACAATAGCAGACCGCCATCTGCATGGTGAAAGCGAACACGGTAACCCAGAATAATGCCATTTTGGTGAATAAAACGCACATCTTGCCAAATAGCATTTAAAGTAGTTGCATTCACCATGTGAAGCTGAATGTTGTACGGTGCCTCTGAAGGAGCTGTAGAAATACCAGAAATAAAAACACAAATTATCCAAGTTTATTACAAGGCTGGATTTGCTCTAACATTGGTGAGACTCGCAAAAATATAACTACATTCTCATAAGTGCTTATCAAAAAAAAAAAAAAACTGAAGGTGTGCACTTTGCCCAAGCATCAAGTTGCCTCTCAAAAGATTGCTTATAATTTACTGTTTGATTGTTAGGATTTTTTACCAAAACGATTCATTCTCTACGATGGAACCTTTGGCATTCTTTTGAATCCTGTGAGTTCATGGTTAGAAATAAGCGAGACACCACCGAAAAAGGCCAAAAACTGGTTAAAAAAATTCAGCTTTGGTGATGGAAACTGTAATGAGCAATTGATTTATCTGTTTCTGAAAAAGTGATGTCATGAAAAAGACGTCTTTAAAAAGTTTTTTCCTGTATTTCAAATTTACTATTAAAACTTTTATGCAGTAGCGTAGTTTGATCGTCCGGGTGAGTGTAGTCCTGAGAAGGGCTGTTGTCGGTAGTGGTGACTGACGTTTCGACAACCTGAGCGGAAGTCATCATCAGAGTCAAGTGAAAGGTTGTTGTCAGTCGAATGTACTTAGTCCAGTTTGTGTACAATGTTATTGGCACTAAGACTCAAGTGGCGTAGGTCAGTCGTGATTGGTCCGTTTGGATCCGTTAGTGAAGTTAGGTCGTTCTGTTTGGTTCGTTTGTAATGTTAATGTCGTGAGTAAGTCGTTTGTATGGTGCCGGTAGTGGTTGACACCTGTTGAGGGGAGTCTGTTCCAAGTTAGTAAACCAGCTTTCCAGGGTCAGTCGTTGAAAGTAGTTGGTGCTGTAGGTTAGGCATTGCGCAGAGTCCCAGTCAATAGTATGGTTCGTAAGTCGGTGATGTTCAGCAATGTGATTGTTGACATCGCCTTTCCTCGTCGCTCGCTCCAATAAAACTTTTATTGGAGTCAACCGTTACACGAAATTTCAATTAACGAGAAACCCGATTTTCTTAAAAGAAAGTGCTCAGTTTAAAAAATTCTCAAATATTTTCATTTCAAGGACTACAGAAAAACACAATTTTCCGAGCGATTCCGACGACTACGAAAACATTCGGAAAAATTTCGCGAAGTTCTTACCATCGTCAATGGTTGTCACTTTCCTCAACGTCCGTATTCCAGCTCCTTTCGATGTTCGTCCAGCCACAGAAATTGTATAAGGCCAGTATTCGTGAAGTGAGGTTATGGTGTAATTTGTGGTGTTAAGCTCAAGATCTTTGACACCCTTTGAGTTGTAAGGGTGACCATGGCCAAAACGTTCGTCATCCCAATGGACTGTGTAACCGATCAAAATGCCATTGACTTTATTTTCTGGAATTGTGTGGTTCCACTGCACATAGATTGAAGTGGGGCTGGTGCTTCGGCTGGCAACAATTTCTGGACCAGTGCTAGGAACTACACGTCATGAAAATGGGAAGATTTGGTTAAGGATAATGCTGAAGTAAAATCAACTGAATCACTGTGTTCATTAGTCATGCGAAGGGGACAGTCAATACCCGATACAAGCAACCTTACACTTTACTTGTCTTCAACAAAATGAAGCCCAGATATCTCAAAGCAAAAATCCTGGTTAAAATACTTCATTCCTATCAATCCTTGAGGCAATTTCGAAGCTCATAGATGTCGTTACACTATATATGTTCCCACGATATTTGCTTTGTAAAGAAGAAGTATGATTCAAAAGTCTTAAAATTTCGAGATGAAAAAGTGAACAAGAAAAACTAAAAAGGAACGCGTTTTGAGACTCAAAAGAGTAACGTAACCTTTCGAAAACTATACTCAGTTGTGTGAAAAAATCCGACTATGAACGCCGCTATACTGAATCCTGCTCAGCAACCTGGTCGCTTACCTGTGATACTTCTATGTTTCATTTCTCTCTTTCCCATTGTTTTGAGCTTTGTTTGAATGAATACAAACTGCACAAAATGAGTATTGTAGACTAAAATAGTGATTTGTTTTATGATACCTCGAGCAGCGGCTGTGTGTGAACGAATTCTTTAACGTTAGAATTTTTCGGCCCTGACTTCGAGTTAAATTCAAATATGGCGGCGTGTATGGCTGAGTGCATTCGATGATGATTTCCTAACAGTCAGGTTACGCTTTAGAATCTCCAAACACGATGATGAGCTTATTTTCATATTTCCTTTCTAATGGCTGGATGAAGATTATATATTTTCTGGAGCAAAATTTTCCCTAAGAGGTGATTGTCTACTTGTTCCACAAAACGCTAGCAAGTTGTCCTTGGAAATTTTTGTTTCCCTATCAGGTATATCGCTAACAACTCTTTCGAACCCTTGCCTGACAAGTACTTCGTTGACAGAAAAGTTCACAGTTAAAATTCAGTTCAGTATATTGGACAACAACTCAAATTTCATAGTTTCTGTGCTCTAATTATTTTTACTATAAGCCACCTACTTGACTCATCTGTCCTCAATTCAATAGCTTCCGAGATGAGGCCAGCAGACTTGAACGATGCCGCAAAGACACGAAAGCTGTATTTCGTATAGCTTTTAAGTGAAGAAATTTTGTGCTCAACGGGATTTGGTGGCAAATAGCGGCGAATATTCTCTTTAATGGCCCAGTTTGAGTTGGGATCATCCAGATTTTTATACAGGACTCTGTATCCGAAGAAATAGTTTTCGTGCGGTTCAAGGAAAACTTGGTCCAATACTATTTCTGCTGCGGATGCATGGACCCTTGCTATGGTAAAGTTTGCAGGTATCTCACAGAAAACTGGAAAATTCAGAGAATAGGCTGGATTTAGTCTTATTGTTATCTTTTTTCACATATGATTGATTAAGTCTACAAAACAGAAAACATCTTGGATTTATCACACATTGTTAAATGTAGTTAAGCACCGTCTTTAATGAATCGTTAAAACAGTTCCACTTAAAAAACTAAGTACTCGCCCAGAAAATTTCAGCCCTCACTATATGTTCAAAAACATCTTGCACAGTCCGCTCCAGTCCAACTAAGAATGGGAATGAAGTGCTGCAGATCTCGCCTGGAGAATAGTCGAATGAAAAATTTGGGAGCGATTGCATAGTCACCTTGACCAGCGGCGTCAGGATGATGAATGATTTTTTTGGCAGTTCTCTTTACATCACCCTACGAGTGTTTTCTTATTTTTTTATCATAATGGGATTTTCTTGGAAATCTTTCGATACTGTTTGGATAAAAGATAGCCTACGTCGGCAAGAAAAAGAAGCTTTTTCAAATTCGTAGGATTACATTGAGTAGAGGAGGTCTGAATGACCTCAAAAAGTTCCTTCCATTTGTGCTTAGAAATCGTCAAGAAGCAGACCAAGGTGATAACGTGATCCATTGTATACTCATTATACAGTTCAGTTAATTTAAAGATGACCTTTTTGAGCTAAAAAAACTGGAGAGATTCTAAATTAATCAATTGGTTTGCTTGTTAGCTTCCCGCCCTACCACCAGTGCATAATTCATACTCACAATGGCTGTCATCAGTGTTCTGACACGAATCCTCATCAAAGACGCTAGGAGACCTTAGAAGAGTACCATTTTCAATTGCAAGTTGTAAATTCAGGATGGATTCCCAAAGGTCTTGAGTGCGATGAAATTCCAAAGTAAATGATACTGCTGTTTTACTGTCATCGCTGCGTCACACGAAAAAGTGTGAAAATACAACATTAGATAAAAGCCATATTAAATTTACCGATAACTAAGTAAATTAAAAGCTATAATGGGCGACTATCGTACCCTAACGGTGTTATAAAACTAAATAGGATATGGAAAGAAGCTTTGACAAAAGACGTTACCTTTGTGAAACTGAGACGTTCTTGATGTCTCGAAAATGCGTGTCGTTAATGAATAATTCCTTAACCTGTGTTGAGAAACAGGCAAGCAACTGAGGAAAAAGGTTAAAATAATAATTTACCTGAGGAACTGAATGATTTGTTACAAAAAGCAAGGAATGCCATGGGCGCATTTGAGTCACATTTCTTACTTTTTTGGAAAATTCGTCCTGATCAACGTCTCCAGCCTTGTATTGCAGGTAAGGGAAGATAATGGTCAATTGTATAACCGTATATTGTCCACTAACATCTGTGAAGACAAAGGCAAACGTAAGCAGTTTGGGTGATTTCTTATGCAGCGTTAAAACATCTATGGAAGGGAAATTCATTTATTACTAAGAAGGCTAAATCAAATTTATTTCCTGAATGGTAAGCCATAAGCTAAAAATGGGTTGACAGGTATTATTTCATTGTCAAACCCACGGCCTTATAACCGAAAAAAAGGTTTCTGAAGCGTCACAAAGGACTCTTTTGTTCACACTCTTTTTGCTTATTCAGGGATAACGCAGTCGTCCTTTGATGTCTTTTTCAGTTGTTCTCGTTCTCTTTCACTTGTTCTCTGTTCACGTTCTCTCGTTCGGGAAGACAAACTAAATGTTTCCGTCGGGACCATACTTTAAGTGTATAATTATTATCTAATAATTTAGACAAAAAGGTACATTCTCTTAATCTCCTTAGTTTTTAGCATGTGATAAGTACACCTAACAAGCCAGACGTCTGCACCAATCTATTTTTGTCTCTTTTTAATCTGAACTTCTGCGGTTTTGTTATACTTTCAATATGAAAGAGGATAAATGTAATGACACTACTGTAAATTATCAATTTACGCACAGTGGCAAACTTACCAAATGCTGCTTTCCATCTCTCATCAAAAACACTACGAGACTGTTCGGAATACCAAATCTCTAAATTGTCATAGTACGCAGTAGGGTACGTGTATCTGCCTAGGTGGTACGTGCCATTCCTTACCAGTCCGTCGATTCTACCTCCACAGTGGTAATAAGAGACAGAAAAGCTGGACAAGGGGTCATAATACAAACCCAAGGTTCCTACCCTGTTCCAAACAATCCCCAGATAAAACCACACTCCTTGGGGTGGCTTTATGACGTATTTGCAGTAAGTAGTATTGCCTAAAACTTCTATTCGTAATCTGCCATCTTGATTTTGGTATATGTTTACACCTTCGTACAAAAGTCTGTCCACTTTATTCCCAAAGTAAAACTGCACTCCGAATTGGGGAATAATTTTCATAAGAAACCCGATGGTAAAGTCACATTGCGAAGGTTTTCCCAAACATTGCTCTTTGTAGCCTTTTAGTTTGACGTAGGTGTCCGGTGATCCATCAAGATAGATGCCCCATCCTACTGGTGATGGCTTCGATGTTACGATCCCTTTCTTTTCAATTTCATCGTCGTTATTATTTAAGGTCCATCTTTTATAGGAATCTGAAGAAGAGAAAAACGGGAATAATTAAAACGTGGTAGTATTTTCTTAGCCTTTCTCCCCCCTTATCCATTGTTTTAAGCCAATGCACATAGAAAGGGGGGATTGCTTTTTGCTGGCCATTTCGAACTTCGGAACTTTTACCTGCTTTGACCAAGAAGTTAACCGCTGGAGCAAGAAGATTGTGTGATGCCACGAATAGAATAAACGTTACCTGGAAAAGACAAAATAAAAACATGGTTTAAGTTATTAATAATATCCATAATATTTCTTCATCACATTTTATCTAATTACCCACATGACTAAACGAGGTACAACAGATGCGAAGTATGAATGTTGGATGTAATTTTTTTGTGTCTGATTTCTACCACTAGGGTAGCCGGCATCTTTTGAAAGAGTCCCATAATCCATTTAGCATTAGTTTCCTTCACCAACTTTTTCTATAAAATTTTCTTTTTCTTTTAAATTTTGTGGATTGTCCTCGACCGCAAAAATGAGTTTCACAGAAAAAAGCTGTTAGATAAAAGGCCGTAAATAACTTACAGCCCTCAATCCAAAAAGATTCCTCGTCGCTCTTGTCACCACGCTAGTTTAGCATGGAGTGAAAGTCAAAAGAGAAATCTGTGACCTGGCGCCTTTGTATGCTTGGTTAATTTACCTGAATAAAAGTAACTACTTGAAAGATGAAATAACGAGTAAAACACTAAATACCAGCAGGATACATATCGCCCACAGAAATGATGGTCCAGAATTAATGAATGAATTAGATCATTACAAGGGTGTTTACATTTTTTTAATTAGAGCAATTCATTCACGCTGACGAAAATAACATTGGCGTAAGTTAAGGTGCAAACTTTTAACTAAAATTAACATATCCTCCTATACTGCATGCCTCTTAAACTTTCCTTGCTAACTTCTTTACCGCTGCTTCAGGCTGTCTTTGAGCTAGTAAACTGAATCTAGATACAATTCAATCATATTTTGCAAAACCAGTGTTATTTATATGTTCGTTCGCCCAGTACTCGCAGGGAAATAATTTTCAATCGTTATGTTTTCGTTTGTTCTGTACAGTGCTCTGCTCACGCAAGTAAGCTTTCTGAAGAATTCAAGCTTTTCAGAGAAAATAATGGTAATGAAAACTTCTCATAAATTGTTATGTAACATGATTTTGGAAAAAAAATTATGTGATTAAAACATCGAACTCCGTATGAAATTTTCAATCCCCTCCCTTTCTAGGTCACACAAAAGATCGTTTCAGTCTTTCAGTTAACAGTTTTACGGGCAGAAGACACCTGTAAAGATGTGAAAATCCTTCGATAACGCAGCCTAAATATGTTGAAAACCCTTGAAATTCTCATCTTCTACCAAAGCACACACACAGGAAACTCTGAGGAACTCAGTTCAGTTAAACAAACTTATGAGTCACAAAACTTCACTCAGTAGTCTTGACCATGTGAAAATACATCGAACGTCAAATCTCGTTCAGCTTTCATAAACATAGACTTAAAGTTATGATAAAAATAGGAATAGGAATTAACAATTCCTAAAAAGGAAAGATTGTAAAGTTATGACTTATGTGACATACCTTGCATGAAAAAGGAAAGTTTTTCCTCAACCGATCCATTACTTATAACGTCTCATTAGAATGGTAAGCAGTCACTTAGCAGAAATACATAACACAATCCCACGACAGCTGGTTTTCTAATTATTGTGCAATGAAAATGGCTTGCGGGGTTTCTATCGTGATGGATCGTGCCGCCTTTTATGTCTTTGTCAGAGGAAACAAAAGTGTTATTTGTTGGATGGTGAGAAACCCTCAATGGGGTTTCAAGTTTGGTCTTTCGCGAACACAAGAGATCTGTTTTTTTGGCAATTTAAATATTTAACCACTGTCATAATTATTATTATTACTACTAACATTATCATTGACTTTGTGAAATATTTTGAATTACATTTTTTATAAAAATTGGACAGGAATGAACTGGATCCCTGTGCTGGAGGACTGGAAGAACCCGTGACTCACAGATTACTGTTAGCCAACAACTAATCGTACTTCTGAAGCAAAAATTTTTGGTTCCACTTGTGACAAAAACATCCACGCAAACAAGCCACGCAGGTGAAAATACCGTCGAAATCTCACATGATTTTTGAAGTTTTTTCTGTTTTTAAGATTTTTTTCTTGAGTTACTAGCGTTGGCGCCATGGCCTGAAGCACCTGTCTGTGATGATAACAGTTGTGTCATGTAATTTTAGCTGAGTAGAGATAAACTTCGACTTCAAATGATAGAGCAAGGTGCCGACATAGTAAGTAATTAAGTGATGTCTTTATGAGGGTGGCACAATAGTTAAAAACTACTAAATTAGTAGTCCTCAAGCTTTCTAGTCTTATGAGGCGGACTGAATAAATGTTGTCAGCTCTCATACAAAAGCAAGACTAGAGAAATGTGTTTGTTTCTCGGAATTGGTACCGTGATCACCTGGTTTGGTCGAGGTTTATTCTGCTTGAGCGCGGTCGACTACGAAAGGTTATCAAAGTGGCACTTAGGGTGACTCCTCAGAAAAAAAAGTTATCGAACAATTTTTTAAAAATTTCCTTAAATGTTTAAAAAAAATTGTTCGATAACTTTTTTTCCCGAGGAATCACCTTAAATGCAACTTTGATAACCTTTCGTAGACTACCGCGCTCAAGGGAAAAAAAATCTCCACAATCGTTCTAAGCAGCATATGATAGCTTGCGGTTTTTTCTTACATCTAGGCAGTTCGGAAAGCTGCAAAACTTTACAACAAATACGTAACTTTTGAATCGCACTCTACCCCACAGTATCAACGAAGGCTTTTCATTCAAATTATTTATTCTTGTTTTTCTCGTTATCATGTTCCCACCAATAGCGTAACTCCATTATCTGCCAAAAAATACGATGGTTGGTCATTTAGTTGGTCAACCTTTATTTGCTGTGTCACATTAGAGAGAAACCGCTTTCCCTTTCTGAATTAACTGATGACAAACCTCTCCTGCTCGGCCTCGCCACTCTTTTCAATGGCTCCGCCACTTGACGCTTCAAAGCGCATACAAAACCGCCAACAATGCAGGCTGTAACAATTTGGCACAGTTGAACTCGTTCATCGAGGATGGGCTACCTGTGTCCGTACTTGTTTGCGAGTGATGGTAGAAGGATAATCTTTCCGTCCGCTATTACACGTTCTATTTTCTCTCTGCGCCTCGTGCCTCTCGTTCGTGCCGAAGCTGCTACATCATAAATACAATAATTTTTCTTTTCAACTAATTAAAAGCCGATAAAAATCAATTGATGCCCTTAGAACCACCCCAAAACTATGAAAATGACACCTACTCACTGTATCACTGAGGAGAGAATTGCATTGGAGCTAAAACAATCATAATTTCAGCTGCTTCCAACAAAAAGCACTAATTTCAGTCGTAAAATTAACTTGATTTTTGTTTTACTTGGAATGGAGAGGCAAGTCGCTCTCCTGCTTCAAAAGAACATTACTGTCAAAACTAAATGACACTGAATTTATATATTTTAACATGATCCAGATAATTTTCGCAGAGATTTTTTGTTAAGTTCAACAGGTGTTCGCACATTTAAAAGGCGTCTGTTTGTATTTAGTTTCTAAATATATCTGCGAAGGCGTGGTCGGTCGATTTACCATTTGTTTGCAATCCTGTATCATTTCTTTCATTGTGAAATTCGAAGGAATGCAGTCCTCTTCCACTACAACTTCTCTTTCGGGATTGTCAAGAGTTTCTTCTTGCCTCATAATTCCTCCATCTTCTTGTTGAGAGGACGGTGTTTTGCTGTCAGAACCTGGTTCACTGTTAACCAACTTAGACTGTGTTTGGCAAGGAGATGTATACACCATTCGAACTTTCTGCAAAAGTTCTGTTGGAAAGGTGTCCTCTGACAATACCAACAGTCTATGATCGATCTCTGTAAGACATTTCTTAACATAGGCGCACCCATCTTCAAAGGTCGTTCTTTCGCAGTAAAGTTTCTTGGGTTTTTTCCAGCCAAATAAATTAGAAATGCCTCGAAATAAATAATTAATCATAAATTCGGCCAAGTCGAGCTCATCTGCCACAGAATCTAGATTATCCTTAACCTCCTCCAAAGCGCAGTTCAAAATGACGATGATAAGATTGAGGAAAAAGACAGTCATAGTGCAAATGTAAAGGATGGAAAACAAAAAGGAAAGAAAAGGGTTTACTTTTGCCATTTGAAAAGTGGGCATAGCCTTTCCGAGTAGGAATTCAAACTGAGCCACACAAGCACGGGGGAAACTGGAATAGGACTCCACAACAGATCCAAATGCCATCATACCAGACATGGCAAACGAACAGAAAATGATAATGAAAACGAACGAGAAGGACAACAGATATTTTCCAGCAAATCGAACTGTTATCGACAGGAATACTGTTTGCTTGCTAAAGCGTAGGAGTCTCAGCAGCTTAACTGTCGCCAGAAAGATGACGATGGACAGAGCAGCAGTTTCAAAGTGCATTAAACGTAAAGATTTGTGGAAGCCGACCATGGCATAAATGTTCTTCTGGAGTTCCTTTATGATGTCTTCCATGGCCTTCTCGCGAATGATGTGAAGAACTACAGATGTTATAGAAGTAATGATGAGAGCAAGAATAAGCCAGTTCCAAATTTTTTTGAGGTATGACTTTCTTTGACGATACATTTTGACCACTTGTACTACACTGAAGGCAATGATCATGATCAGGAGAAGAAGACGACATAGTAAGACAAGCTGCACTAAACCAGTCTCTGTTCCATACAAGTTCAACATTTGCACACTTACGTACTTGAAAACACCGCCTGTTGGCAGGAATTCGAAGAAGTACTGTGCGACCACGAGGATGTTCATGTTGCTGTTGAAAATATTAAATTCCAAGACGACAGCTCGAGTTCGCCGATCGATCCAGCTGTTCTCATTTAAGTTCTTCATAACGTTTCTTGCTGTTTGCAAGTCGTAGCCTAGATCGGCAACATAACCACCTCCTCCATATGTTCCTCGAGGGGTTACTTTCGGTAAATTATTTATTTCTTCTGAGGTATGATACAGCCAAGGCTTTGGACATAATATATCGAACGAAGAACGTGAAACGTCAGTTGGGGGAAGTTTCCATTTCGGGAGGTACATTGGTGTTTTATCTTCGCAGTAAATGGCATAGTTAGGATAGCAAACTTCAGTAACGTTATAGATTTCCACGAGTATCTTTGGACAAGAGACTGTCGATCAAAACATGCACCAATGTTACTACATTAAGCACAAACAGAAGTAAATTCAACGCTTATAGGAGAGCAAATGCAAAAAATAATCCTCATCACGGGTTTTGATGAACATGTTCCTCTTAAAACCCAAATTTTGTATCAGAGCAATCCAAACTTGCCTGAGTTACTTTCATGCGCCTTTCAATAACATGCTGACGTTGACCAAACGGAATCTGCGATTTTATTTTTTGCTGCCGCTAATCATGACCGCAATAATTATCTAAAAGCAATAACAAAAAAAACATGGATTGAAATCCTCCTTTCAATAACCTGAAAAACGATCGTTGAACCCGTGAAACAGCGCATATTTTTGAAGGCCTTGATATTGTTATTTTTAATGAGGATATTAAGGGCAAATTTTCGTTGAAAACAAACTTAGATCCTAGGGTTGAACCCTTCGAAAAACTAAGAAGTAACAACGTAGATCCCAACCCCAAATTTCCAGCACTTCGGCTTCCTCTACATTATTTTCTATTTTTCAAATGTAGGGCCCTTAGCAGAAAGAAGGTGCATTGTTTTAATATCACCATTGCCATGTGATATTTATCCTGGAAAGGAAAGCTTATAGCCCTATACACTTATAGCCCGAAGCCTAGGCACAAAAAACATCGATAAATGAAAAGATGTGTGGAAAGCTAACTGAGTAACAAAACTAAACTACCAAAGTTAAAAAAACTCGAAGAACACGAACAAAACCAAAACTGTAACTCGTTGTCCTTGAAATAGCTGGCTTGATTGACAAATGAGCAGTGGAAAGTAACGTGGGGCAGAGGAAAAATAATATTTTACACCACGCTTACCTCTTACGATCCTCAGTTGTCTGATCCTTGGCATGCCAATCAAAACAGAGCTCATGTCACTGATGTACATCTCGTTGCTGTCCTTATCGCCGTTGTACCAATGGGATGTGTACATAGCAGGAGCATAAATGTTAATCAACCACGTCCACAATCCCAACGCCTCATGTACCTAAAAATATTCCCCCCCCATAAAGTGTTATTGATTAACATGTAACTGTAAACTGGTAAACTGTGAATATATTACCTTATTTTTTTCTCAGTTCGTGAGCGGGCGGTATTTTACAAATCTTGCAATCTGATTTTTTCCGAGAGCGGGCAGTATTCTCCCCATCCGGCCCGCTCACAGCGGGCGGTATCCGAAAAAATGTTTCGAAGTTTTCTTGGAAGCCTTTTAAATCACCTTTAAATACCATTTCGCAAATAAATATGTTTTGATGAAACCTCTCTCTTTCATTTGCATTGCCCTTGTTTTCTCTACAATCTACTCGCTCATAAATTGTTCCGTTTATGGAGAATCTTGCCGTAATTACAGCCCTTTATCATTCAGGTTCTTTTCAGAACCATTTGTTAGGTTTAAAAAAAAAATAAAAATGTTATTCACCAGCCACGGTCGGTTCGTATTGGGAAAAACTGTGCCCTCTGTCTCGTGTACCGCCCGAGGCCGTATCCAAGACCTCGGGCACAGTTTTTTCCAATACGGACCTCTCGTCTGGTGAATAACATATATATATGGCATTTAAAACTTCCACTACCTAAACGCAAATTCGCAATTGCTTATCATAATTACAAGATCCTTCTTATCTAAATGCGTCATGTTTTTGATAGACGGTCCCACAGATCACAGAGGTTCTTAACTAAATCAGTTGCGAGGGAACTAGGATCATAAGATTGCTGAGTTCCTTATTTAATAACAGAAGAATAACAGAAGTACCCAACAAAAGTATTTTCTGCGATGCAAAATATTTTTCATGTTTCGTAGTCAGTGTCTTTTCTTGACAACGATTTCTACGTGATGCTTTCAGATGAATTTGAAATTTAGGCCTCAGGAATTAATGTGCTCCATACAGTGTTTCAAAAATTTAAGCTCTGTCGCATGAAAACTGTAAATTCCGTTATAGATATGAATATAATCTTACATGATTAAAATATGTCAAATCATAATTGTAAGAATAACTTGCCTTTTCACTTCGTGGTAAAAGGGCCTTGACTTCTCTACCTATCAGATATTGGTGATAATCTTGGTTTCCATAACACACAATACCAAGTATCAACAAAAATGAAACAAAGGAAATCAAAGATTTGAATGCTGACATGGTTTTCTTCTCATTGACTCTGTACTTTTTGTAACATTCCAGTTTCATGGCATCTGGTAAGGCACCCTTAAAAATGTCAGGTGGTTCATCGTCCTCCACTGCCATGCAACTGCAATATAATAATAAGTTAGAAATTTCTGATGATCTCTAAGTATAATATTTTTCAAAGATCATGGAAGAAGGGTTTTCGATCGTGTTGGCCTGAAACCAGATTGAGAGAAAAACTCGTATGAGCAAATCACAACAAATTAAATTTGAGCATGAACCAATGGATCAACGGCTTAAAAGACGCGAAAAATTTATCAAAGTAAGTGAGCATTGTCTTAGTTCTGCTCTTGATTGTGCAAGAATTCAGTGTCCTTGTATTGGAAACGACAGCTTTGTAGTCGTACTGCTATTTCGCTTTAAATGAACCCAAGTTCATTTTTGTACAAGAAAAGCTTACACTGATAGCATTAGCAATTGGGGATTCTACGGCTACCTTTTCTTAGACGAGAGCTTCGCTTTTGTTCTATTTGCTCTGGTTATTATCATGGCGGCGGTAGCGGCTAGCATAACAAGACGCACAGGTTGAACCGCAAGGATGTCCATTGTTATGGACATCAGGATTGATGAAAGCCAATTATCAGCCGTCTCTTTACCCCACATAAGACTGTAGAAGAACACGACTGTGGCAGAGGTTATGGCAGTGGCCAAACAAAGAAACCAAGCAACGTAAAGAAAAATATGGTGCAGGGGCTTGTTTCCATCGTCATCCACTTCCACGGAATCTTGATCTTCCTTTTCACTTGACTGATTGCAACAGTACTTGTCGAGTTTTGACCTGGAGTTTTTGAAGAGGGCAACAATGAGGAAATTGATAGGAGCTATTATCAAGCAGCTTTGAATTGTTATTGTGATTTGCTTCATCGAAATCTTTAATGGACCAAGTTTGATTGTACTCTCCGTAGGTTCACCGCCCAAGTTAAAAAACATTGCATTGGCCAGCATGGCGTTGAATATGACGGACAAACAACACGTGACGCGTTGAGTGCGTGTAAATGAACTTCCCGGTCGTTTAGTAACTAAAGACATCCATAAATGTTTTTCATACAGCGTACCAGACAGGCGCGCGCGGAATGCCTCTTGAAATTCAGGAAATGAGTTAGTGGTTTCGACCAACAACTTTCTAGCAATTTTTCCATCGTCCTTATCGGGAGAAAACCACTGATTGCATAAAAATTTCCATTTTTGACTCGTTTCTTGTTCTTTAACAACAATGTAGTCCAGGAACCAAGAAGGACTTTCTCCGGAATTGTCATGCCAAACATAAGCGTGGCTTAATGTTCCAAGGGATCCCGGAAGTGAGACAAGGTACTTGTTGACACTACCGCGGGAAAGTAGCAACCGAGAAGGATGAAGATCCCCACGCACAGTAATTGGTCTACTGTTGCCATGGCTACCGTAAAACACCATGGTAACTTCGGCTGTTGTACCACTATCTGACCACACACCTGTACTGATTGTGAGCTCATATTGGCGGACGAGAGGGGACTCCTCTGTTTCCAACAGAATCCGGGACCCGTGCTAAAAAATGAAAGAATGGATTGGTAAATTCTTATTTTCCTCTTGAACACAATAACACTGCCCGACTACAAATGTACGTGCTGTCTCAAAGTTTTTTGGGAAGTGGAGAACAATCTATTTTCACGTGACTAAGAAATAGATGAAACCCATACCATCTACCATTAAAGTAATTCTTATCTTTTCTTATCTTATCTCCAATCGTAGGCTAACCCCTGTCAGTGTTGCTTTACTGTACTACTTAATTTGACAGTGCGCTATCAAAGAACATCAACAATTTAACTCTAATAGACAACAATCAATTAAGTGAAGCAGGAGGGTATTAGTTTTTCGTCGTTAGGAAGGATAGATCGGCTTGCACAGCCTTTTCATGAAGTTCTATACAGCGAAAATTATTTTTTTCCCCTTAAAAGAATTCTTCTTTGCTAACATTGCTTGGCAAAATCTCTGCAAATTTATTTAGACATAAGGACAGACAACGTCCCCACCAACCTTGAGTAGTATCAATAAGAACATTAGAAAACATGACCTTAAGGAGCTTGCCAGTTAGTTTAAGTTTCAGCCACTCATTTATTCCTCTTCTAGACTCTAATTATCAAGTTTTCACAATCCCATAGATTTTTAATTGTAGATCGAGTCATAAAAGTTATATCCATATTCAGGTCTTCTCTTTTTGAGTTGTAGTTGTATAGATAGGTCTGTTTCTTACCTACATATTGTCTCCCCAATTAGCAGAGCTTAAAGCTTGACTTTGAGACCGAGATTCGAATGAAGTTTTAGTGCAAATGGGAAATTGTGGTTGTCTTCTATCTTAAGGTGTTGAAATTCTGTAAAAAAGGGGAGGATTTTGAAGAAAAAGCTACTGATTAAATCCTTACCTTAGCGAGATCTCTTCTATCCGCCCTCTTGGCGAAGACGAAGGCGATACAATACAACATGAACGTAAGAATGATCGTAAGCAAGACGCTAAAGTTATCAGTTTCGTCAAGTCGGCTGAGCTCTTTAAAAACGGTATCCATGTCAATTGGGTTGGGTGCTACTAAAAGGCCTCCACCGAACGATGTAAGGTGGTTACAGAGACAACGAAGACGATGCTTATTGGAAAGAGGTCCGACCTGGAGCGTGAGGGAATAACAATTTAGTGATTATGGTTACTTTAACAAAGACATCAGAGGGTCATCGGTTGAGAGTATAGAGTAATCCAAAATTGCTTCTTTTTTTTCTTTACTACGTTTTATGATTGGTATCAGAAATTCTAATCAATTATAAAGCATTCCATTGTCACAGTGCAACCAATTGCGACCTTTGCATAAACATTTAACTCGCTTGACTCTGATCAAAACAATTTAGTAATTTCAAGTGTACATAAGTTAGGTTGAGTCTCTCTAATCTTATTTTGGGTGGGACATTTTTGAATAACACTTTACCATGTTGCACCTCAGCACCAGCCGAATACCAAACTACCGAAGAAGATTAGGACTGAGAGTAGCGTGAGAGTTAGATTTATTTGTCCTCGGCATACTTTTTCCAAAGTTTTGACGAATAAAACGTTGATGAATTTTTCTAACTGTTTAATGCTCGGCATCGTTGTTGGGCCAATCTAAATTTAATCACACCGCAAGCCTCTTTATCTGAAATAAATTTAAGCAGCATACCTTGCAGCCCTCCGTTAGCCATTTCTGTTCTTTATGTGACCAAAATCGGCAGCTGAGTTCATCAGAGACAAGTGTGTAGTTCACGCCAACGCGCGGATCATAAGCTGATAAAACTCCCAGAGGGGGTGGAGGGTCTTTTGTCTCGACACATGACCGTTTTTGCCTGTTGGTGCTAAAACAAGACCTCCGCATACGATGGGAATTGCTACCAGGGGAAGAGTGTTGGGTATAAAGGATCCCTACAAAATAAACTCCAGGTTTTTGTATTACTGCATTTGTCAAAAGCAGTTGATTTGGATGACGGCTGCAGTTATACTCTTCATCATCCCCATCGATTCTAAAGTTTCTCGTGCATGAAGAGTAGTCTGGGACAGTGAAATTCGCATCAAAATCATTCGTTGTTGGCTTGCTATCGTATTTCACCAAAACGTCGAAACTCCCTGAAGACTCCATTGTTATGAGGTATGAGGTTCGTTCGCGATTCACTTCAATTTTGTGATATTTGATGTTCCCTGACTTGATAAAGAATTTGTTTTCATGATCAAAGACAGAGTCATTTTCAGGTGAATTTCCATTGCCGTTGAGGAGTTCTATTCCTAGTTGTATGTCGGTGGTAAGGTTCCGCACATTAAGGACTTCGCCAGACTCTCTTCTTAAATCAACCTTAACAATATATGATGTGATGAATGACGAGGTGGTACTCCTGTTATAATAGTTGACTTTCGACGAAATTACCTGAGGCGGAAAAATGATCAATGTTGCTTTTAGCTTGAGTTTTTCGCATCAGCGAACTAATATTCTTTAATTTTTGAGCACGTCGAATGGATCGAATGCAAGCTCCTCTTCTATCTGTTAATAAGCTTTGCAAATGGCTCATCCTACTATTACCTTTTAGAGTCAGATTTCAGATCGCAAACCAAATATGATAAACATAATCATACCTCTATGTCAACGTACTCCCCAGTGTCAGCAAGCGTGTCTCTCATATTTTGTGACTCAGGAAACTGAATGTGACACGTTTCTAAGGTAAGTACAGAACCTGCCACATGTTCTGGATGACGTCTTGCGACGAGAACCTCCAAAGGTTCCGTTTTTATTACAGTTGGGTCCTCTCCGACAACATTTCTCTTCACCACAGTCTGCAACATTCTATGCATAATTTCCATAGAAGCCTATATTGAAAAACCAAACATTAACGGAGCTGTAACCAACTGGAAGGGTTGTGGAGGTTTTAATTAACCTTAATCTCACAGAACTAAAGGAGTGGAGTTACAAGTATACCAGAATGGTTTGGTTTTTCTCGCTTTTGAACCCTTCAACCTCGAATACATACGAACGAATGAAAGGACAGGCAGAATGTAAATTAACTATCGTTCAAGAAAAACATTCAGTAAAACAGTCTTTCTCTCAAATGGACCGTGACTGAAAGTTTCACCATCTATACATTCAGTTTTTAGCGCTGATTATTTATTATTCATTTGGGTCTGGTTAGTGAAACCACAACACATCGCCTGTATCCTCTGAGTAAGAGGAATTGATCGCAAAAATAGCGCGAAAGAAAAATGTGTTCGTCGAGGGAAAGAAAAGAGAACCGTCTCGCAGTTCTCGCCGGTTTTTTCGTTTGCCTCCTTTAACCGAAAGCCTTGATCAGGTTTTACAAAGATAACCCTCAAATCTTTCTTCGTTAGGGGCTATTAAGGAGGATAAACAAAGAGGGATAAGGATAGGAGAAAGCACAAAGAGTTCCATGTCCATGTTGAAGAAGTTGTAAAGAAATTTACGCAACATTTACTCAGTCAGAGACTAAAACGCTATTGAGAAAAGAACGGGTGCTTGTTAATACTTACAGTTATGTTTAGGGAACTAGAGCCATCTATAACACCATTGTCACTAGATAAAACTTGAAGCTGTTTTCCTATGGAGTAAACCAGATTCTTCTCGGCTATGCGAGAATAAGGCACATCAAATGCATACCCTCTTGCACTGATATCGTCAAATAACTTTGTCATCTTCTGCACCATCTCCATTATAAGTTCCTGCCGGTCGAGAGAAAGGTTTGGGTTTTGGATATTGGGCGTTCCCAGGAGATATCATTTGACAGCTGTGTGCTGCAAACCTTGTTGTTTTTATAATGTGCATTAACTCTGTTATCATTCTGACTAGCTTCTTAGCTCAATTGTAACAAGGTCCACTGGGTCTTCATCCGTTTTTAAGTCTTGGCAACCAAGCTCAAAGGCACATTAGGCCCGAATAATAGAAAAAGTGAATTTTAACTTCATTCGTCGATTTAAGGGCGAAGGAGCAATGAAAAAGCTGAGCTCCCCCCAGCCCCAAGGTAATCGAAACCCTTTAAGTTTGGCCAAACCCTGGGCCTACAAGTAACATCCCCCCTGCATTCCGCAGGAAACGGCAATGTCAAAAGCTTCATGTGGTAAAATAGACTGTTTCTCGCTATGACTGCCTAGAAATGATAGTCAACCAAGCACACAGAGGCTCACTTAAGCCTTCTCAAATAGCAACTAAATTATTTCCACATATCTCCGAGTCATGTTCCATGCAGTGTCAACTCGTTCCTCACATAGAAAAATTCAAATGACACGCAAGTTTCTTGGAATATTGTTTCAGAGAAACCAGGTGCCTAGAACACTGTCTACAGAAGGGAATTCTATTCCGTAACGTCTCCTCTCTTATTTGACGTGATCATCAATTCTAGCCGGTCAAAAGAAATTGGAGTGTAAGGCAGCTTTTCTATCTTAAAGAAATGAGTTACCTCTAAAACTCAGGACATTATAATGTTCAGTGCATTTTTAAGGCCCTTAGTACAATATGGGTGGCATATGAATGAATTGTCGGCTAAAGCTGCGAAGGGGCAACATGGAAGAATGGAAAACATTGCATCAACAATACAATCGTGAAAATAGGACTAAGATGAAAGACTAACCATAGTATCCGCTGTAATCTCTGCTGGATCATTCATCGTAAGAGAAATAACAGAAGAGAGTTGAATGAGCTTCCTCAGGTCTCCGATATCTATCTTGCTCAAGGTCTTTACGATGAGGCTTTTGATCTAGAAAATAAGAACTTTATTCATATCGAGTGCTCATGAAGTAAGTCGTGCACACATCATACCAAGTGGATGTAATAGGAAATACCCGATATGCAGCACAGACTGGCACTTTAATTTTGACTGTATTTCCATTACCTAGCAGTGATTTTACTGGAATAGGAGCTTCTTACATCATCTTACATCATCTAGTAATGGAGAATGGTGAAAAAGGTATCTTATCACGTAATCTAGTCTCGAACGAAAAGGCATATGTATCTATCTAGACGAGTACAAACAGTAAGAAAGTTTGAGAACGAAAGCAATCTTTAACTTTCATTCAAGTAATTTTGCTGTTATGGCGTTGTTCTTATAAACAGCGATATTACTGTGAAACAAAGAATACCCGTTTCTGTTTTCCTAAACTTTCTTAACTAAACTTGTCACCAATTCGCTACCTGGCGTCTCTCTTCTATATTGATAACTCCGTCTTTCTGTAGCTCTAAGGATTTTAAAACAGCAATGGCCAACTGGGTAGCCCGTGTAACATCTCCTCTACCACTATGGACGACAAAGTGCTTTTCCAAAAGATGGAGTATTTCGCCTGACGCGTTTTTTGTACTCATTATAGGCCAAGGAAAAACCTGAAAGTTGAAAAAAGAATATCAGGGAGTATCTTTCGGCGGAAAGTTTGGGTGATATGACAGAGTTTTCCCCATGACCCAATAGATTTTCATAACTGTAAACTTTTATCAAAAAAACATACTTGTGTCTATACTTGCCTCCAATAAAATTCACGGCTCACCTGGATCGTTAAAGAAGTGCTAGAACTAGAACCAATGGAGCTTGTAACTACCGCTTCGATTGTTAAGAAATAGTTTTTCACGAATTCACCGGGAGGTAGCACTATCTCTGTAGCAGTGGAATAACTATAAGACAAAATGGCACTGAGTCCTTCTGCCAAGGTTACCAGAAATTCATAAAGAAGTGGTGTGTTTGGATCGTTCCAGTTAGCGCATTTAAGAGTGAAGACGGTTTGAATAGCCATTCCGGATGATTTGCTAGCCGTGCAAGACCCACCAAAAGGAATGGTGCTGCTTTTAAAAAGCCACGCAGAAAAGCCTTTGGAGGAACCATCATTCATATTTTCTACATCGATGGTCAGACGATACTTTCTGCCTGGAATAATTGCATCGGGATTGATAGTGAAAAAATTCGAATTCGCTCTAGTTCCTCTGATTTCTTGCATTTGGTGAAGTTCTGACCATGCCTCATTAGTCTCTTGGAATAATCTCCAATGATAGCTCAACAGACCTTTTTTTGTGTAACAAGGAGAATTTGTGCAGTTTGCCACAAAGGTAGCTTTGACATTTGGTAGGACCTCCAATCCACAATTCATGAGACAACTACAAAATGAATATGAAAAAAGTTTCCTGAAATCCAAGATGTTATAGGCCAATAATGTAGGTCATTCTCATAATTCGAAAGCGACTGGCCAGATATCAATTCAAACCTGAGAAGACTTGAGAACGTCTCCCAAGATTTTGGTAAAATTCATTTCTCAGAATAACTAATCAAATTTTGAACGTGACTGAGTTGGTCTGATAGTGCTGATAAACAATCTCTTTATGAATGGTTCGGTCTTTACCATAAGTTCTGGTTAGTGTTAAGAGCATAATAAGGTTCCCTTTTGCCTTCACGACACTTGAATTTTTCTTTGCGTGTGCAACATCAAAGCAAAAAAATTAAGTTTCAACTGTGGTAGTAGTTATAACTTAGTTACGAGCAGAAGTTTTGTTTGATAATTTGCGAAAGGTGTTGTTGATATTTAGTTTAAGAACCTTTTTTTGCCTTTTTTCTGTGTGTGCAACATCAAAGCAAAAAAAAAAAACTGTGGTCCTGGTTATAACTTGATTATGAACAGAAGTTTTGTTTGATAATTTTTGAAAATTATTTGTTGATATTTAGTTTTATGAACCCTTTTTGGGTACCCTTGTAGTTTTAAAATTCATACTTTCCTCATCATGCGGTAAAAAAAAATTAACCTCAATGTCAAATCCATGAACATGTATATGTGGCAAATGTTACCCCCCAAGAAAGAAATATATCTTAGACACTCAGCTGAACTTGCAATGAAGAGACCCACGATGCTATACGACAGAATCTTTTGTTATAGAAAAAATAATTCTTAGCGTTTTCAGACCATTTAACAAGAGGATTTTAACGTACACTGTACAAACACGATCGATATAGGGAACAATAACTCTTACTCTATTTCAGCATAAAGAGGTGTTCCATCGACAATCTCGACTCGTTGTACAAAGGTCCCACTGAGATCCCTCTTCTTGATTGTTAACTTGATATCGTAATATTTGTTTATCTGCATTGAGCTGGTGTCCAAAAAAACTATTCTACCAGTATCTTTCAGTTTTTGCTCCTCATTGCCAAAACATCCTCTACTGGCGGCATCTCTCCCGATAACTGTTCGGTTAGAACTATCAGATTCATCATGGAACATTTCTTCTTCTCCCTTACACGACCACTCAAACGTCAAGCCTTTATATAATCCTTTACCAATATCAAAATCACGAGATGGAGACCCATCCAGAGTTATGTTGGAGTTGTGTTCCCTCGATACTTCTGGTCCACCAGCAATGAATGCGACGGGTGCAGAAGAGAGGACTTCTATGAAGCCATAATCAAGAAAATAAAACTTTCGAAAATGAGCAGTGAACTCGACCAAATAAATTCCAACATCGAGGGACGAGATGTCGTCCAAGTCAGTACCCGAGCCAATGGTGATGGAACTCGCTCTTCCGACACTAAATGGCCGAGAGGTGACATTAGAAACTTTCCACTCAAAGCTCAACGAGTGGCAATTGGTGCTCGCTTCTGCGTTGAACAGGTATCGGGTCAATTTTGTCAACTTTGTTGTGGTGTTCACATTCTTGTCTATGTTAAGTATTTTCACACGAGATCCAAAGACACATGAGGAACCATCTAAAACAGCAATAACAAAAAAGAAGGGCAATGCTTGATTGATTACTTCATAGATTTCACGGACCAAAGGAGCATGAACGAGTGATTAACCTTAATTCAGTATATTCATTGGTCCCAAATGAATTAGCTTAATATAGCAAATAGAGGCTTCTCGAACCAAATGTGCCATGAATGGCCAGAATAGAAGGTTAATTTACCAAGAAAACCGTGGCCCCTACAGCTGCGAAAATATGTCAAAAGGAAGTATCAAAAGCTGCAAATATATCACTAATCAAAACAATATTTTTTACAGCTCAAATACTTACTAAGAAATAAGAATAGGTCCGTTTTTTATAGCAGTTATCTGGTGGTTTTCGATACAAAAGCCTATTAGTTAGCCCAACAATACCTATGTCATTAGTTGTATTCAAACAGAGGAAGGATCCTTCGCCATTTATGCAAGCTTCTCCATATGGACAGGGCGTCGGACGGAAACTGCACTCATCGACATCTTAAAAGAAATATGATAATACAAAAGGGATCTTAAGTCACACTCCTGAAATTCCTTTCAAATATACTTCTGGACCTGATCCTATCAATGTTGGTTTGAAAGATTGCAAGGAAACAAAAATTAAGATGAGATTGTCCAGGAAAAGTGTCCCAACTTACCACGTCTGCAACAACAAATCAAATTGTTATAAACAAGTTTCATATCTTTTAAAAGAAATAGATGACATAGTTAAGCGGGAATTAGGAATCCTTTCGACAAACGACGAAGGAAGAACTACGGGAACAAATGGAAAAGATCGCATAAACAAATGGAGGAGCAAAAGAACGACCAAAACAAATATGGGACCGAAAGAACCTATTGAAAAATGAACGAAAGAAGGAACGAATTCAAAAAGGAAACTGAGAAAGAGAGCACGTCTAGAAAAATTAGTTTAAAAAAACGAACAACTTTCGGAAAAGAAAACAACTGAGCAAGTGAACGGGTGAAAGAAAAATATGAAAGACAAAACAAATAAGTGAGAGGAATAGACCAAAGAATAAAAGAATGTCACAAAGGGATATCAAGAACAAATCGGGAGGATCACAAGGGAACACATTTATGTTACTGGCAAGCAATAGAGAGAAATGTCTTCATGTAATCCCTAAGAAAAACAGCATTGTGATCTGGCCAAAGTTACAAGCACTCTAACCTGGTCACTGGGTCTGCCAGTCACTATTTTGGTATGTTTGTCTTTTCGTTCACTTCTCTTTCAGTTTAATACACATTGGTATTTCCCAATGCACGTGAATAGCCATAGTCGGATCGTTGATTAGTTTGGTAAATAGTAGTTGTTTACACTGAAGAATAATGGACGTCTTCTTACCTCTCTCCGCTGTGAACAACTCCACTGCCCCAATGGGACCGTCTCCATAATAATTAAACCCCAAAACCTCTATCCTGTATTCGGTGAAAGACTTGAGTCCTTTGAAGTTGGCCTCTAATACTTTCAACCCATAAGTGCGATTTTCCACATTTTTTGAACCTTGCTTTGATAACTCGTATAGAAACAGTTTATATCCCAACATGATTCCATGTTGTTTGTCCTTCACTATTTCCTGCCATTTTGCATATAGGCTGAACATACTTGTGTTGAAGGCAGTGAGAGCCTGGGGAGAGGCGCCGGGAACTAACCGTGAGAGACAAAAAAGAAGGATGTTACGGGGTACCAAGGCTTGCGACTTGTGACTTCTTTTCTTTTGACGACAACTGATTTTTTTATCATTTGATGATGTACAGATTTAAATATTGCCACCTTTTTTTTGCCCTCTGCTAACAGACCGCATAATACAGGACGCTCGTTACATATGACCTTAGCATAAGGTAGTGTTCGGAAATTATGGGTTATAGGTATACTTCAGGAGTTAACTTCTGGTGCAGTTATATCTGAATGGAGTACTTCCCCATACTTTCTTTTTAACCTTGTTTGTCACTATATATATAAAACCGATGGAAATCGTCAATCGTGTTGCTAAAATAGCAAATAGTAGAGAATTAAGAATACTCCATAAAAGAAAAAGATGTTTAGAATGGTGAATATTTTTTAAGGTTGCAAATAAATACAGAGAGGTGGCTTCTCCAAGGAAAACTTGCAGAAAGCACTAGGAGGATACGAAAGTGCTCGAATTCAGTTAATCAAGTGTCCAACTAAGAGCGCTAAAACTTTGAGTTCAATTAACTGACCTTCACCATGAGTTCGGACTACAAATGAATTGCTTGTGGGACCTGTACCCTTGGCTGTCCGAGCTGCTATAGTGATATTGTATAGCCGGTATATTTCCAATTCTTCGGCGATCTTACTTCGCAGAGTTTTGTTACGAGTTTCAAATGTTTTTAAGTTTGCATCTTCCGGGAAAACATCGCTCGCATTGGCCTCCAGAAAATGAAGTGTGAAACCTTGGAGGTGGCCAAGAACCAGTCTAGGGTTGTCATCGTAGTTCCAAAGAACTTTAATTTCCCGTGAGCTGACATTGTAAGCTGTCAGATTGACAGGAGAATTTATAGGGGCTGAAAATGAAGAGAGAAACAAAAAACTAAGGAAAAGAAATAGTTTGTTTCCTGAATTACTTTAGCACCAAAGCCGAGTCCAGGTTACAAATCTTGGAATGAAACTCGTCGAGCTGAGGCTAAAAATACTTTTGGACTGTCGGAGCAGGCTAGCTCGAGCTCCACGCGATCTTACTGTTAATTTTCATCCTGAACATGCCTCTACAAGGCATCTCACCTTATCACCCATTTGTTGGCAATGTAGCAAAATAGCATGGAGAGGCCATGTATTGATAAAGTCTGACGCCGCCATTTCACTTACTTGATTCATCCGTCAACTGATATACTTTGTTACCCCACGGCCCATCACCTTTTCTGGCGTAAGCCTGCATCTGTACCGAATAATTCTGGAAGATCGAAAGACTAGAGAAAAGGAAATCATGGACGTCTGGTCTAACGGTCATGTTCCACAATAGCAGACCGCCATCTGCATGGTGAAAGCGAACACGGTAACCCAGAATAATGCTATTTTGGTGAATAAAACGCACATCTTGCCAAATAGCATTTAAAGTAGTTGCATTCACCATGTGAAGCTGAATGTTGTACGGTGCCTCTGAAGGAGCTGTAGAAATACCAGAAATAAAAACACAAATTATCCAAGTTTATTACAAGGCTGGATTTGCTCTAACATTGGTGAGACTCGCAAAAATACAACGACATTCTCATAAGTTCTTATAAAAAAAAAGAAAAAACTGAAGGTGTGCACTTTGCCCAAGCATTAAGTTGCCTCTTGGAAGATTGCTTATAATTTACTGTTTGATTGTTAGGATTTTTTACCAAAACGATTCATTCTCTACGATGGAACCTTTGGTATTCTTTTGAATCCTGTGAGTTCATGGTTAGAAATAAGCAAGACACCACCGAAAAGGCCAAAAACTGGTTCAAAAAATTCAGCTTTTGTTGATGGAAACTGTAATGAGCAACTGATTTATCTGTTTCTGAAAAAGTGATGTCATGAAAAAGACGTTTTTAAAAAGTTTTTTCCTGTATTTCAAATTTATGATTAAAACTTTTATTAGAGTCAACCGTTACGCGAAATTTCAATTGACGAGAAACCTGATTTTCTGAAAAGGAAATGCTCAGTTTAAAAATTCCTCAAATATTTTCATTTCAAGGACTACAGAAAACACAATTTTCCGAGCGATTCCGACGACTACGAAAACATTCGGAAAAATTTCGCGAAGTTCTTACCATCGTCAATGGTTGTCACTTTCCTCAACGTCCGTATTCCAGCTCCTTTCGATGTTCGTCCAGCCACAGAAATTGTATAAGGCCAGTATTCGTGAAGTGAGGTTATAGTATAATTTGTGGCGCTAAGCCCAAGATTTTTGACACCATTTGAGTTGTAAGGGTGACCATGGCCAAAACGTTCGTCATCCCAATGGACTGTGTAACCGATCAAAATGCCATTGACTTTATTTTCTGGAATTGTGTGGTTCCACTGCACATAGATTGAAGTGGGGCTGGTGCTTCGGCTGGCAACAATTTCTGGACCAATGCTAGGAGCTACGCGTCATGAAAATGGGAAGATTTGGTTAAGGATAATACTGAAGTAAAATCAACTGAATCACTGTGTTCATTAGTCATGCGAAGGGGACAGTCAATACCCGATACAAGCAACCTTACACTTTACTTGTCTTCAACAAAATGAAGCCCAGATATCTCAAAGCAAAAATCCTGGTTAAAATACTTCATTCCTATCAATCCTTGAGGCAATTTCGAAGCTCATAGATGTCGTTACACTATATATGTTCCCACGATATTTGCTTTGTAAAGAAGAAGTATGATTCAAAAGTCTTAAAATTTCGAGATGAAAAAGTGAACAAGAAAAACTAAAAAGGAACGCGTTTTGAGACTCAAAAGAGTAACGTAACCTTTCGAAAACTATACTCAGTTGTGTGAAAAAATCCGACTACGAACGCCGCTATACTGAATCCTGCTCAGCAACCTGGTCGCTTACCTGTGATACTTCTATGTTTCATATCTCTCTTTCCCATTGTTTTGAGCTTTGTTTGAATGAATACAAACTGCACAAAATGAGTATTGTAGACTAAAATAGTGATTTGTTTTATGATACCTCGAGCAGCGGCTGTGTGTGAATGAATTCTTTAACGTTAGATTTTTTCGGCCCTGACTTTGAGTTAAATTCAAATATGGCGGCGTGTATGGCTGAGTGCATTCGATGATGATTTCCTAACAGTCAGGTTACGCTTTAGAATCTCCAAACACGATGATGAGCTTATTTTCATATTTCCTTTCTAATGGCTGGATGAAGATTATATATTTTCTCGAGCAAAATTTTCCCTAAGAGGTGATTGTCTACTTATTCCACAAAACGCTAGCAAGTTGTCCTTGGAAATTTTTGTTTCCCTATCAGGTATATCGCTAACAATTCTTTCGAACCCTTGCCTGACAAGTACTTCGTTGAAAGAAAAGTTCACAGTTAAAATTCAGTTCAGTATATTGGACAACAACTCAAATTTCATAGTTTCTGTGCTCTAATTATTTTTACTATAAGCCACCTACTTGACTCATCTGTCCTCCTCAATTCAATAGCTTCCGAGATGAGGCCAGCAGACTTGAACGATGCCGCAAAGACACGAAAGCTGTATTTCGTATAGCTTTTAAGTGAAGAAATTTTGTGCTCAACGGGATTTGGTGGCAAATAGCGGCGGATATTCTCTTTAATGGCCCAGTTTGAGTTGGGATCATCCAAATTTTTATACAGGACTCTGTATCCGAAGAAATAGTTTTCGTGCGGTTCAAGGAAAACTTGGTCCAATACTATTTCTGCTGCGGATGCTTGAACCCTTGCTATGGTAAAGTTTGCAGGTATCTCACAGAAAACTGGAAAATTCAGAGAATAGGCTGGATTTAGTCTTATTGTTATCTTTTTTCACATATGATTGATTGAATCTAGAAAACAGAAAACATCTTGGATTTATCACACATTGTTAAATGTAGTTAAGCACCGTCTTTAATGAATCGTTAAAACAGTTCCACTTAAAAAACTAAGTACTCGCTCAGAAAATTTCAGCCCTCACTATATGTTCAAAAACATCTTGCACAGTCCGCTCCAGTCCAACTAAGAATGGAAATGAAGTGCTGCAGATCTCGCCCGGGGAATAGTCGAATGAAAAATTTGGGAGCGATTGCATAGTCACCTTGACCAGCGGCGTCAGGATGATGAATGATTTTTTGGCAGTTCTCTTTACATCACCCTACGAGTGTTTTCTTATTTTTTTATTATAATGGGATTTTCCCGGAAATCTTTCGATACTGTTGAAATAAAAGATAGCCTACTTCGGCAAGAAAAAGAAGCTTTTTCAAAATCGTAGGATCACATTGAGTAGAGGAGGTCTGAATGACCTCAAAAAGTTCCTTCCATTTGTACTTAGAAATCGTCAAGAAGCAGACCAAGGTGATAACGTGATCCACTGTATACTCATTATACAGTTCAGTTAATTTAAAGACGACCTTTTTGAGCTAAAAAACTGGAGAGATTCTAAATTAATCAATTGGTTTGCTTGTTAGCTTCCCGCCCTACCACCAGTGCATAATTCATACTCACAATGGCTGTCATCAGTGTTCTGACACGAATCCTCATCAAAGACGCTAGGAGACCTTAGAAGAGTACCATTTTCCATTGCAAGTTGTAAATTCAGGATGGATTCCCAAAGGTCTTGAGTGCGATTAAATTCCAAAGTAAATGATACCGCTGTTCTACTGTCATCGCTGCGTCACACGAAGAAGTGTGAAAATACAACATTAGATAAAAGCAATATTAAATTTACCGTTAACTAAGTAAATTAAAAGCTATAATGGGCGACTATCGTACCCTAACGGTGTTATAAAACTAAATAGGATATGGAAAGAAGCTTTGAAAAAAGACGTTACCTTTGTGAAACTGAGACGTCCTTGATGTCTAGAAAATGCGCGTCGTTAATGAATAATTCCTTAACCTGTGTTGAAAAACAGGCAAGCAACTGAGGAAAAAGGTTAAAATAATAATTTACCTGAGAAACTGAATGATTTGTTACAAAAAGCAAGGAATGCCATGGGTGCATTTGAGTCACATTTCTTACTTTGTTGGAAAACTCGTCCTGATCAACGTCTCCAGCCTTGTATTGCAGGTAAGGGAAGATAATGGTCAATTGTATAACCGTATATTGTCCACTAACATCTGTGAAGACAAAGGCAAACGTAAGCAGTTTGGGTGATTTCTTATGCAGCGTTAAAACATCTATGGAAAGGAAAGTCATCTATTACTAAGAAGGCTAAATCAAATTTATTTCCTGCATGGTAAGCCATAAGCTGAAAATGGGTTGACAAGTATTATTTCATTGTCAAACCCACGGCCTTATAACCGAAAAAAAGGTTTCTGAAGCATCACAAAGGACTCTTTTGTTCACACTCTTTTTGCTTATTCAGGGATAACGCAGTCGTCCTTTGATGTCTTTTTCAGTTGTTCTCGTTCTCTCAACTTTATGATGATATTCTTCCAACAATAATCTTATATGTTATATACCTAGACTTTCACTCAACAAAACGAGCACTGTGATCGGTTGATTCTTGGTCACGTACCCCTGGATGGACCGGGATGCAATTGCGCAGTTGTTGCCCGCGCGCCGAATACAACAGTATGTTTTTGCCATAGGATTGTTTGAGGGAAAGTCTAAATATATAACAAAGCACTTAATGTATGGTCCATCGGGAAACTAGTTAGTTTTTTTTTCCCTCGAGTCCTGATGTTTCCCTAGACTTCGTCTCAGGAAACATCAGGACTCTCGGGAAAACAAACTAAATGTTTCCGTCGGGACCATACTTTAAGTGTATAATTATTATCTAATAATTTAGTCAAAAAGGTACATTCTCTTAATCTCCTTAGTTTTTAGCATGTGATAAGTACACCTAACAAGCCAGACGTCTGCACCAATCTATGTTTGACTCTTTTTAATCTGAACTTCTGCGGTTTTGTTATACTGTCAATATGAAAGAGGATAAATGTAATGACACAACTGTAAATTATCAATTTACGCACAGTGGCAAACTTACCAAATGCTCCTTTCCATCTCTCATCAAAAACACTACGAGACTGTTCGTAATACCAAATCTCTAAATTGTCATAGTACGCAGTAGGGTACGTGTATCTGCCTAGGTGGTACATTCCATTCCTTACCAGTCCGTCGATTCTACCTCCACAGTGGTAATAAGAGACAGAAAAGCTGGACAAGGGGTCATAATACAAACCCAAGGTTCCTACCCTGTTCCAAACAATCCCCAGATAAAACCACACTCCTTGGGGTGGCGTTATGACGTATTTGCAGTAAGTAGCATTGCCTAAAACTTCTACTCGTAATCTGCCATTATGATTTTGGTATATGTTTACACCTTCGTACAAAAGTCTGTCCACTTTATTCCCAAAGTAAAACTGCACTCCGGATTGGGGAATAATTTTCATAAGAAACCCGATGGTAAAGTCACACTGCGAAGGTTTTCCCAAACATTGCTCTTTGTAGCCTTTTATTTTGACGTAGGTGTCTGGTGATCCATCAAGATAGACGCCCCATCCTACTGGTGATGGCTTCGTTGTTACGGTCCCCTTCTTTTCAATTTCGTTGTCGTTATTATTTAAGGTCCATATTTTATAAGAATCTGAAGAAGAGAAAAACGGGAATAATTAAAACGTGGTAGTATTTTCTTAGCCTTTCTCCCCCCTTATCCATTGTTTTAAGCTAATGCACATAGAAAGGGGGATTGATTTTTGCTGACCATTTCGAACTTCGGAAGTTTTACCTGCTTTGACCAAGAAGTTAACCGCTGGAGCAAGAAGATTGTGTGATGCCACGAATAGAATAAACGTTACCTGGAAAAGACAAAATAAAAACATGGTTTAAGTTATTAATAATGTCCATAATATTTCTTCATCATATTTTATCTAATTACCCACATGACTAAACAAGGTACAACAGATGTGAAGTATGAATGTTGGATGTAATTTTTTTGTGTCTGAATTCTAACACTAGGGTAGCCGGCATCTTTTGAAAGAGTCCTATCATCCATTTAGCATTAGTTTCCTTCACTAACGTTTTCTATGAAATTTTCTTTTTCTTTTAAATTTTGTGGATTTTCCTCGAGTGCAAAAATGAGTTTCACAGAAAAAAGAGCTGTTAGATAAAAAGCCGTAAATAACTTACAGCCCTCAATCCAAAAAGATTCCTCGTCACTCTTGTCACCACGCTACTTTAGCATGGAGTGAAAGTCAAAAGAGAAATCTGTGACCTGGCGCCTTTGTATGCTTGGTCAATTTACCTGAATAAAAGTAACTACTTGAAAGACGAAATAACGAGTAAAACACTAAATACCAACAGGATACATATCGCCCACAGAAATGATGGTCCAGAATTGATGAATGAATTAGATCATTACAAGGGTGTTTACATTTTTTTAACATTGGCACCAACATTGGCATTTTTTTTTACATCGGCACTCATTGTTGAATATGTATGCGACCGGACGTTCACGACACGCCTTTATAATATTTTTCCTTTTTTGCGCTAGTGGTTTCCCTTTATTATCTCTGAAACATAGTTGTTATGGCCACGAATGTGGTATGGACGTGAGGCCTGGTTTTGGAAGCTTTTCAATGCGACATTCGCTGTTCACGGAGACAATTTGTACAGAACAACTCCGCATCGCCCGCCATCTTTGTTACTTCGATCGATTTATACGAAGAAAGAAGAAAGGTTACAACTACAGCCGGTTTCCTTATTACAGTAACCATGTTTCAACCTTTAACATCGAGTTAATTGCTGCCACAGCGATATCCATCCCCATCCAGGTCCACAGACTGGTCATCGGAATTTGAGAGTTAGCAGTGAGGGGAACGACATGGCTTATGCAAATCCTAAGTCAGATGTATCTGTCTTTTACGCCAACTCAAGGAGTTTGGTTAACAAGATTAATCAGCTGGAACTAGAGATTGCTACCTATCAATATGATCTCATGGTATTTACTTGGACAGCTCTATTTTGGATAGTGAACTCTTCCCTTCTATTTATACGGTTTTCAGGCGTGATCGTGTTCAAAATGGTCGACGTGGTAGCGGTATTTTGATAGCTGTACGCGATACGTTGCGAGCGTCTGTGAGAGAAGATGTTAGTTTCAATTCGGAATTATTATATGTCGATATTATATTCCCGGCGAATAGAAAAATTAGTCTAGGTGTCTTCTATAGGCCGCCTAACAGTAGCATTAACTGCCTGTTGGATCTACAAACGGCTCTTGATACTGTGCTTTCTTCATCACAAAACCCAGAAATGGTCCTTGTTGGCGACTTTAATACTCCCGAATTCGACTGGAACACCGACTGCGCCTCTGTGGATTCACCTAACGCTACTTTTTTGTCGGATATCATACACGTCAATTTTCTATTCCAGCTGGTCAAAGACCCAACTCGCAACGGAAATATCTTAGACTTTGTATTCGTCACGTCTCTTGACCTAGTCTACGATCTAAAAGTTGGCCCGCCCTTCTCTGACTATAACTCGATCTCTATGCTACTATCGAGAAAATCATTCTCTGGAAGGAAATCGCAGAAGTTGAGCTATTCATTTGAAAAGGCGGATTGGAATCACCTCAGGAATCTTTTATATTACGCTCCATAGCATTTTGCCTTTATGGATACTGACATTGATTGTATTTGGGCTGCATGGTCTGATATGTTTTTATCTGCTGTCAACGAGTGTATCCCAAGGCGGACAGTGAAGAGAACTTCAAATGCACCATGGATAAGCGGGGATCTAATTAAGTTGTGTAGAAGAAAGAAAGTGCTTTATAAAGGTGCTCTCTCTGATTGGAACAAATATCGTAAATTCAACAACTATGTGAAGAAGGAGTGCAACTCTGCACGTAGGCAATTTTTAAACAATCTGGCAGATGAACTAAAGACCGGAAACAGTTCAAAGCCTTTTTGGAACTTTGTTCAATCAAAGAGAAAAGATAAATGTGATTGAGCGTCCTTAAAGGTGAACGATTCGTAACTCAACGACGACCTGAGCATTGCCAATTGTATGAATTCTTATTTCTCATCGGTGTTTACTGTTGAGGATCGCGAAAATTTTCCCGACCTTGAATATATTACCGATGAGAAATTATGTAACATCTTTTGTTCTGAAATTGCTAAGAAATTTGAATATTTATAAGTCCCCTGGGCCCGACTACATATCACCTCGCATCCTAAGAGAATGTGCTCAAGTGTTGTCATCTCCACTGGCTTTATTTTTGAATACATCCTTCTCTCAAGGTAAACTACCAAGTATATGGAAGTCGGCCCTCATCACTCCAGTCCATAAGAAAGGGAGCAAAAATCTCATGGAGAACTACCGCCAAATATCACTGACTTGTATTGTTTGCAAGATTGCAGAAGCTGTGGTAAAGTCCCGTGTAATCGACTTTTGGTCAGACCTCAATCTTTTTAATCCAGACCAATTTGCGTATGTAAGGGGTAAATCGACGTTGGCACAATTGCTTACATGTTACAATGACTGAGCAAAGGCTAGGAATTGCTCGCAACAAACGCATATCATCTTCTTAGATCTCTTTAAGGCTTTCGACAGCGTGCCACACGAGCGTTTGCTGCTGAAACTACAACGGTATGGGATAGACGGCTCTCTAATACTGTGGATTATAAATTTTTTGACGAATAGAAGGCAGCGTGTCGTGTTAAGGGGCAATTGTTCAGACTGGTCACACGTGATTTCAGGTGTGCCTCAAGGAACAATACTCGGCCCAATCCTATTCATTATTTATACAAATGATATTTCGGCAAACATTACATCAACCGTGAAAATCAACGCTGATGATACTAAAATCTATCGCAAGATCATGGAGCCTGATAAGGATATACCAGCCTTACAGCTGGACTTGAACAAATTAAGCGATTGGGCTAACAAGTGGCAGTTGCGCTTTAATCCTGAAAAATGTGAAATTATGCGTGTAACGTACAGTAGAGACAGATCAAAGCCAAGTTATTCCCTTGGTACGCAACTAAAATCTGTCCACAGTGCCAAGGACCTGGGAGTCACAATAAACTACGATCTATCTTGGGTAAACACATTTCCTACATAGTAAACAAGGCGAACAAAGTGTTAGGTATAATTAGGCGATCACTCGGAAACGATAATCGCTATGCGTTTTCCCGCCTCTTTAAGTCGTTAGTAAGACCTATACTCGAATACGCTGTCCCCGTCTGGAGCCCCTACCAAAAAAAGTATATCGAATCCTTGGAAAAAGTCCAAAGAGGGGCATCTCGGTTGGCGTTAAAGCAAAAACGCGGAGAAATGAGCTATGAAGACCGCTGCCGCCTACTGAATTGGCAAACTTTGGAGAAACGAAGAGAGTTTTTATCTCTGATCCAGTGCTACAAGATAGTTCTGGGAATAGATAGTCTTCCTTTTTCGGACTTTTTTGAACTTACTAAATGTAATCGAACTAAAGCCAATCACGATTACAAGCTCTACGTAAAAATAGCTATCGTAAATTGCTACAAATTTTCTTTTTTTGTACGGATCGTTAATATGTGGAATAATTTGCCTAAAGATATTGTACACGCAGGATCACTGACTTTATTTCGCAATAGACTAAAGATTTACATGAATATTGATTGAGATGATGGTAAACAGTTTTTAATTATCTGTATATAATGTTTTTGTCTTTTTATTCGGGGAATCTTTCGTGTAGGGTTAACCTCTAGAATATCCCCTTTCCAGAGATACTTTTACAATTTTTCATTTTCCTCTCTTGAATAAAGTATTGTCATTGTCAATTAGAGCAATTCACTCACGCTGACGAAAATAACATTGGCGTAATTTAAGGTGCAAACTTTTAACTAACATTAACATATCCTCCTATCCTGCATGCCTCCTAAACTTTCTTTGATAACTTCTTTACCGCTGCTTCAGACTTTGTCTTTGAGCTAGTAAACTGAATCTAGATACAATTCAATCATATTTTGCAAAACCATTGTTATTTATATGTTCGTTCGCTCAGTTCTCTTAGGGAAATAATTTCCAATCTTTATGTTTTCTTTTGTTCTGTACAGTACTCTGCTCACGCTAGGAAGCTTTCTGAAGAATTCAAGCTTTTCAGAGAATATAATGGTAATGAAAACTTCTCATAAATTGTTATGTAACATGATTTTGGAAAAAAAATTATGTGATAAAGACATCGAGCTCAGTACAATATAATGGTATGTACAATATTATGGTATAATGGTGATGAAAACTTCTCAAAAATTGTTATGTGACATGATTTTGAAAAAAAAATTATGTGATAAAAACATCGAACTCCGTATGAAATTTTCAATCCCCTCCCTTTCTAGGTCACACAAAAGATTGTTTCAGTCTTTCAGTTAACAGTTTTACGGGCAGAAGACACCTGTAAAGATGTGAAAATCCTTCGATAACGCAGCTTGGATATGTTGAAAACCCTTGAAATTCTCATCTTCTACCAAAGCATACACAGGAAACTCTGAGGAACTCAGTTCAGTTCAACAAACTTATTAGTCACAAAACTTCACTCAATAGTCTTGACCATGTGAAAATACATCGAACGTCAAATCTCGTTCAGCTTTCATAAACATAGACTTAAAGTTATGATAAAAATAGGAATAGGAATTAACAATTCCTAAAAAGGAAAGATTGTAAAGTTATGACTTATGTGACATACCTTGCATGAAAAAGGAAAGTTTTTCCTCAACCGATCCATTACTTATAACGTCTCCTTAGAACGGTAAGCAGTCACTTAGCAGAAGTACATAACACAATCCCACGACAGCTGGTTTTCTAATTATTGTGCAATGAAAATGGCTTGCGGGGTTTCTATCGTGATGGATCGTGCCGCCTTTTATGTCTTTGTCAGAGGAAACAAAAGTGTTATTTGTTGGATGGTGAGAAACCCTCAAGGGGGTTTCAAGTTTGGTCTTTCGCGAACACAAGAGATCTGTTTTTTTGGCAATTTAAATATTTAACCACTGTCATAATTATTATTATTACTACTAACATTATCATTGACTTTGTGAAATATTTTGAATTACATTTTTTATAAAAATTGGACAGAAATGAACTGGATCCCTGTGCTGGAGGACTGGAAGAACCCTTGACTCACAGATTACTGTTAGCCAACAACTAATCGTTCTTCTGAAGCAAAAATTTTCGTTAGACTTGTGACAAAAACATCCACGCAAACAAGCCACGCAGGTGAAAATACCGTCGAAATCTCACATGATTTTTGAAGTTTTTTCTGTTTTTAAGATTTTTTTTCCCGAGTTACTAGCGTTGGTGCTATGGCCTGAAGCACCTGTTTGTGATGATAACAGTTATGTCATGTAATTTTAGCTGAGTAGAGATAAACTTCGACTTCAAATGATAGAGCAAGGTGCCGACATAGTAAGTAATTAAGTGATGTCTTTATGAGGGTGGCACAATAGTTAAAAACTAGTAAATTAGTAGACCTCAAGCTTTCTAGTCTTATGAGGCGGACTGAATAAATGTTGTCAGCTCTCATACAAAAGCAAGACTAGAGAAATCTAGAGAAATGTGTTTGTTTCTCGGAATTGGTACCGTGATCAACTGGTTTGGTCGAGGTTTATTTTGCTTGAGCGCGGTCGACTACGAAAGGTTATCAAAGTGGCACTTAGGGTGATTCCTCAGAAAAAAAAGTTATCGAACAATTTTTTAAAAATTTCCTTAAATGTTTAAAAAAATTGTTCGATAACTTTTTTTTCCGAGGAATCACCTTAAATGCAACTTTGATAACCTTTCGTAGACGACCGCGCTCAAGGAAAATAAACCACGAAGAAACCAGCTGATCACGGTGCGAAAACATTTGCTTGTCTAAGAGATACCACAGGCCAAATGTTCCTCATTTATGCATAAATCGGCACTAATCACGAACTCAGTTTCATCGGTTCATGGAACATTTCGCGGTTGCTGGAAGCAAGGGTTTTTTAAAGTAACAATTTAAAAAAATTGATGGTTAGAAAGTCTGGAGCGTATGGAACAATTTGGTATATAATCTACAGAAAAATCACCTAATTTTGACGACGTTCCTCGAGTCCTTGCTTTCAAGGTTGTAAATTGCATCTTCGAGTTACAGGCTTAGCGAACGCTTTTAGCTGCGCTTTTTTTTTAACCTTCGATTAATTTTTTTTTAAATTTCTCCAATCTAAAGGGGATAATTTGTACACAAAAATTTTTGCAATAAAAAATATAGGCTATCGTGCTCGTTTATGACCTAAAGACCATCGCACCTCTTTGCCTGGTCCATTGCTTGAAAAACAATACCGTGTTCTCGCGATGCGCGCTTGTTCACCTGATAACGTGATTTTTAAGTACAATGCAATACTGAGGAATCACCTTAATGCTTTCGATGGTGTTTGCTTTATAAGAAATTTCCATACAAGTGGAGACGAAAGGAAGTGTTTCTTCTTTTTAAAACATTTTACGTACCACATCTTCACGGGCTACAATAAAAACTTCCTTTTGATTGACACTCTATTGGTCAAAGGTCATTTCAGTACACCTAAGTACATAACCTATTTCCGACCAAACGATTTGGAAATATTTCTCTCTACTGGAAATACCTTAGAAGAAATATGTCTGTGAATGAAGAAAAAGCTCCTTAGACTTAATAGCTAGAAGACTGAATTCGTGTTGCGAATTTTCTTTTCTTTCTTATGCATGCTGGCTCCCTGATCTTTTTCTTTACCTTTTCCCTTTTGGACGTCAACCTGCTTTGTTATTTGAATAAAAGGGGCGCTGCGTCGGTGGGAGAGTATAACAAGGCAATTCGGTATTTTCAAAAGCAAAAGTTCCAGGTTGGTCATTAGTTTGTACTGAACTTCTGACCAAAAAGTTGCCTATGTTTTTTTTCGCGTTTGAATGAAATCAGTGGTGATGGCGAAAATATAATACCAGTCTCTGACTCGTTTTGAAGTTGTTTAAAGTTTTAACGAATGATAGATTTTAACTGTGTGTTTGTGAGGGTGAAACGTGAGAGTGAATATAGTATGAGATCGGTATTTTCCTTTTGTGTCGTTTTGTGTCGTTTGTAGTGCTGACTGCCTTTGATTCGACGGAAAAGTCAGACTCATCACTCCATAAATGTCCAAGTCTGAGAAACTGCAGAAAATGTAGTGACGGCTATTTTTTTTCTGGATCTTTCAACTACACTCGCGCGCGATGCAAAACCTGTCTTTTCATTCATAACGTAGAGGAGACGACCTTGGGGATTCATTAAGATTACTAATCACTTCGCGTGCAAATCTCCCAATATCATTTACTATATAACTTGCACCTTTTGCAAAAAAGTTATACATTAGTGAAACAGGAAGACGACTAGGTGACAGATTCCGGGAACACCCTCGCGAAATAAAAAAATATGACAAGGACGCATCCAAACCAGTCGCCAGACACTTTAATCTCCACAATCATTCTAAGCAGCATATGATAGCTTGCGGTTTTTCCTTACATCTAGGCAGTTCGGAAAGCTGCAAAACTTTACAACAAATACGTAACTTTTGAATCGCACTCTACCCCACAGTATCAACGAAGGCTTTTCATTCAAATTATTTATTCTTGTTGTTCTCGTTATCATGTTCCCACCAATAGCGTAACTCCATTATCTGCCAAAAAATACGATGGTTGGTCATTTTGTTTGTCAACCTTTATTTGCTGTGTTACATTAGGGAGAAACCGCTTTCCCTTTCTGAATTAACTAATGACAAACCTCTCCGGCTCGGCCTCGCCACTCTTTTCTAAGGCTCCGCCACTTGACGCTTCAAAGCGCATACAAAACCGCCAGCAATGCAGGCTGTAACAATTTGGTACAGTTGAACTCGTTCATCGAGGATGGGCTACCCGTGTTCGTACTTGTTTTCGAGTGATGGTAGAAGGATAATCTTTCCGTCCGTTATTACACGTTCTACTTTCTCTCTGCGCCTCGTGCCTCTCGTTCGTGCCGAAGCTGCTACATCATAAATACAATAATTTTTCTTTTCAACTAATTAAAAGCCGATAAAAATCAATTGATGCCCTTAGAACCACCCCAAAACTATGAAAATGACACCTACTCACTGTATCACTGGGGAGAGAATTGCATTGGAGCTAAAAAAAAATCGTAATTTCAGCTGTTTCCAACAAAAAGCACTTATTTACGTCATAAATTTAACTTGATTTTTGTTTTACTAGGAATGGAGAGGCAAGTCGCTCTCCTGCTTCAAAAGAACATTACTGTCAAAACTAAATGACACAGAAATTTATATATTTCAACATGATCCAGATAATTTTCGCAGAGATTTTTTGTTAAGTTCAACAGGTGTTTGCACATTTAAAGGGCGGTCTCTTCATATTTAGTTTCCAAATATATCTGCGAAGGCGAGGTTGGTCGATTTAACATTTGTTTGCAATCCTGTATCATTTCTTTCATTTTGAAATTCGAAGGAATGCAGTCCTCTTCCACTACAACTTCCCTTTCGGGATTGTCAAGAGTTTCTTCTTGCCTCCCATCTTGGTGAGAGGACGGTGTTTTGCTGTCAGAACCTGGTTCACTGTTAACCAACTTAGACTGTGTTTGGCAAGGAGATGTATACATCATTCGAACTTTCTGCAAAAGTTCTGCTGGAAAGGTGTCCTCTGACAATACGAACAGTCTATGATCGATCTCTGTAAGACATTTCTTAACATAGGCGCACCCGTCTTCAAAGGTCGTTCTTTCGCAGTGAAGTTTCTTGGGTTTTTTCCAGCCAAATAGATTAGAAATGCCTCGGAATAAATAACTTATCATAAATTCGGCCAAGTCGAGCTCATCTACCACAGAATCTGGATTATCCTTAACCTCCTCCAAAGCACAGTTCAAAATGACGATGATAAGATTGAGGAAAAGGAGAGTCATAGAGCAAATGTAAAGGATGGAAAACAAAAAGGAAAGAAAAGGGTTTACTTTTGCCATTTGAAAAGTGGGCACAGCCTTTCCGAGTAGGAATTCAAACTGAGCCACACAAGCACGTGGGAAACTGGAATAGGACTCCACAACAGATCCAAATGCTATCATACCAGACATGGCAAACGAACAGAAAATGACAATGAAAACGAACGAGAAGGAAAACAAATATTTTCCAGCAAATCGAACTGTTATCGACAGAAATACTGTTTGCTTGCTAAAGCGTAGGAGTCTCAGCAGCTTAACTGTCGCCAGAAAGATGACGATGGACAGAGCAGCAGTTTCAAAGTGCATCAAACGTAAAGGTTTGTGGAAGCCGACCATGGCATAAATGTTCCTCTGAAGTTCCTTTATGGTGTCTTCCATGGCCTTCTCTCGAATGATGTGAAGAACTACAGATGTTATAGAAGTAATGATGAGGGCAAGAATAAGCCAGTTCCAAATGTTTTTGAAGTATAACTTTCTTCGACGGTACATTTTGACCACTTGAATTACACTGAAGGCGATGATCATGATCAGGAGAAGAAGACGACAAAGTAAGACAAGCTGCACTGAACCAGTCTCTGTTCCATACAAGTTCAACATTTGCACACTTACGTACTTGAAAACACCACCTGTTGGCAGGAATTCGAAGAAGTACTGTGCGACCACGAGGATGTTCATGTTACTGTTGAAAATGTTAAATTCCAAGACGACAGCTCGAGTTCGCCGATCGATCCAGCTGTTCTCATTTAAGTTCTTCATAACGTTTCTTGCTGTTTGCAAGTCGTAGCCTAGATCGGCAACATAACCACCTCCTCCATATGTTCCTCGAGGGGTTACTTTTGGTAAACTATTTATTTCTTCTGAGGTATGATACCGCCAAGGCTTTGGACATAATATATCGAACGAAGAACGTGAAACACCAGTTGGAGGAAGTTTCCATTTCGGGAGGTACACTGGTGTTTTATCTTCACAGCAAATGGCATAGTTAGGATAGCATACTTCAGTAACGTTATAGATTTCCACGAGTATCTTAGGACAAGAGTCTGTTGATCAAAACAAAAAATGCACCAATGTTGCTACATTAAGCACAAAAAGAAGTAAATTCAGCGCATATAGGAGAGTAAATACAAAAAAATCCTCATCACGGGTTTTGACAAACGTGTTCCTCTTGAACACCCAAATTTTGTATCAGAGCAATCCAGACTTGCCTGAGCTACTTTCATGCGCCTCTCAATAACATGCTAACGTTGACCAAACCGAATCTGCAATTTAAATTCCTGCTGCCGCTAATCATGACCGCAATAATTATCTAAAAGCAATAACAAAAAAAAACTTGGAGTGAAATCCTCCTTTCAACAACCTGAAAAACGATCGTGGAACCCGTGAAACAGACCATATTTTTGAAAGCCTTGATATTGTTATTTTTAGTGAGGATATTTAGGGCAAATTTTCGTCGAAAACAAACTTAAATCCTAGAGTTGAACCCTTAGAAAAACTAAGAAGTGACTACGTAGATCCCAACCCCAAATTTCCAGCTTTTCGGCTTCCTCTACACTATTTTCTATTTTTTAAATAGAAGGCCCTTAGCAGAAAGAAGGTGCCTTGTTTTAATATCACCATTGCCATGAGATATTTATCCTGGAAAGGAAAGCTTATAGCCCTATACACTTTGGTGCCGAAGCCTAGGCACAAAAAACATCGATAAACGAGTAACAAAACTAAGCTACCAAAGTTAAAAAAACTCGAAGAACACGAAGAAAATCAAAACTGTAACTCGTTGTCCTTGAAATAGCTGGCTTGATTGACAAATGAGCAATGGAAAGTAACGTGGGGCAGAGAAAAAATAATATTTTACACCACGCTTACCTCTTACGATCCTCAGTTGTCTGATCCTTGGCATGCCAATCAAAACAGAGCTCATGTCACTGATGTACATCTCGTTGCTGTCCTTATCGCCGTTGTACCAATGTGATGTGTACGTAGCAGGAGCATAAATGTTAATCAACCACGTCCACAATCCCAACGCCTCATGTACCTAAAAATATTCCCCCCCCCCAATAAAGTGTTACCGATTAACATGTAACTGTAAACTGTGAATATATTACTTTATTTTTTTTCTCAGTTCTTGATCGGGCGGTATTCTACAAATCCTGCAATCGGATTGGTTCCGAGAGCGGGCAGTATTCTCCCCATCCGGCCCGCTCACAGCGGGCGGTATCCGGAAAAATGCTTCGAAGTTTTCTTGGAAGCCTTTTAAATCACCTTTTAATATCATTACGCAAATAAATATGTTTTGATGAAAACTCTCTCTTTCATTTGCAATGCCCTTGTTTTCTCTACCATCTACTCGCTCATAAATTGTTCCGTTTCTGGAGAAACTTGCCGTAATTACAGCCCTTTATCATTCAGGTTCTTTTCGCAATCATTTGTTAGATTTTAGAAAAAAATAAAAATGTTATTCACCAGCCAAGGTCGGTCCGTATTGGGAAAAACTGTGCCCTCTGTCTTGTGTACCGCCCGAGGCCGTATCCAAGACCTTGGGCACATTTTTTTCCCAATACGGACCTCTCGTCAGCTGAATAACATATATATATGGCATTTAAAACTTCCAATACCTAAACGCAAATTCACAATTGCTCATCATAATTACAAGATCTTCCTTATCTAAATGCGTCATTTTTTTGATAGACGGTCCCACAAATCACAGAAGTTCTTAACTAAATCAGTTGCAAGGGAACTAGGATCATAAGATTGCTGAGTTCCTTATATAATAACAGAAGTACCCAACAAAAGTCTTTTCTACAATGCAAAATATTCTTCATATTTCGTAGTCAGCGTCTTTTCTTGACTTTTGAATTTGAAATTTGGGCCTTAGGAATTAATCTGTCTGTCGCATGAAAACTTTAAATTCCGATATAGATATCAACAGGTCTAGCATGATTAAAATATGTCAAATCATAATTAAATGAATAACTTACCTTTTCACTTCGTGGTAAAAGGGCCTTGACTTCTCTACCTATCAGATATTGGTGATAATCTTGGTTTCCGTAGCACACAATACCAAGTATCAACAAAAATGAAACAAAGGAAATCAAAGATTTGAATGCTGACATGGTTTTCTTCTCATTGACTCTGTACTTTTTGTAACATTCCAATTGCGTGGCATCTGGTAAGGCTCCCTTAAAAATGTCAGGTGGCTCATCGTCCTCCACTGCCATGCAACTGCAATATAATAATAAGTAACAAATTTTTGATGATCCCAAAGTATAATATTTTTCAAAGATCAAGGAAGAAGGGTTTTCGATTGTGTCGGCCTGAAACCAGACTGAGAGAAAAAATCGTATGAGCAAATCACAGCAAATTAAATTTGAGCAGGAACCAATGGATCAACGGCTTAAAAGACGCGAAAAATTTATCAAAGTAAGTGAGCATTGTCTTAGTTCTGCTCTTGATTGTGCAAGAATTCAGTGTCCTTGTATTGGGAACGACAACTTTGTAGTCGTACTGCTATTTCACTTTAAATCAACCCCAAGTTCAATTTTGTATAAGAACTTACAGAAACAGAAAAGAAGCAACATTGTCTGAGTACCTCAAAAAGCTTACACCGATAGCATTATAACTGGCTCTTATGGTGGAAACAAGGCGCGTACAGAGGTTTATTGGTATATTAGGGATTCTACGGCTACCTTTTCTTAGACGAGAGGTTCGCTTTTGTTCTATTTGCTTTGGTTATTATCATGGCGGCGGCAGCGGCTAGCATAACAAGACGCACAGGTTGAACTGCAAGGATGTCCATTGTTATGGACATCAGGATTGATGAAAGCCATTCATCAGCCGTCTCTTTACCCCACATAAGACTGTAGAAGAACACGACTGTGGCAGAGGTTATGGCAGTGGCCAAACAAAGAAACCAAGCAACGTAAAGAAAAATATGGTGCAGGGGCTTGTTTCTATCGTCATCCACTTCCACGGAATGTTGATCTTCCTTTTCACCTGACTGATTGCAACAGTACTTGTCGAGTTTTGACCTGGAGTTTTTGAAGAGGGCAACAATGAGGAAATTGATAGGAGCTATTATCAAGCAGCTTTGAATTGTTATTATGATTTGCTTCATCGAAATCTTTAATGGACCAAGTTTGATTGTACTCCCCGACGGTTCACCTGCCAAGTTAAAAAACACTGCATTGGCCAGCATGGCGCTGAATATGACGGACAAACAACACGTGACGCGTTGAGTGCGTATAAATGAACTTCCCGGTCGTTTAGTAACTAAAGACATCCATAAATGTTTTTCATACAGCGTACCAGACAGGCGCGCGCGGAATGCCTCTTGAAATTCAGGAAATGAGTCAGTGGTTTCGACCAACAACTTTCTAACAATTTTTCCATCGTCCTTATCGGGAGAAAACCACTGATTGCCTAAAAATTTCCATTTTTGACTTGTTTCTTGTTCTTTAACAACAATGTAGTCCAAGAACCAAGAAGGACTTTCTCCGGAATTGTCATGCCAAACATGAGCGTGGCTTAATGTTCCAAGGGATGCCGGAAGTGAGACAAGGTACTTGTTGACACTACCGCGGGAAAGTAGCAACCGGGAAGGATAAAGGTCCCCACGCACAGTAATTGATCTACTGTTGCCGTGGCTACCGTAAAACACCATAGTAACTTTGGCTGTTGTACCACTATCTGACCACACACCTGTACTGATTGTGAGCTCATATTGGTGGACGAGAGGGGACTCCTCTGTTTCCAACAGAATCCTGGACCCATGTTAAAAAAAGAAAGAATGGATTGTTAAAGTCTTATTTTCCACTTTAACACAATTACACTACCCGACTACAGATGTACGTGGTGTCTCAAAGTTTTCTTGGGAAAAGGAGAACAATCTATATTCATGTGAGTTAGATGTAGATGAAACCCATACCATCTACCATTAAAGTAATTCCTATCTTTTCTTATCTTATCTCCAATCCTAGGCTAACCCCTCTCAGTGTTGCTTTCCTGTACTACTTAATTTGACAGTGTGCTATCAAGGAGCATCAACAATTTAACTCTAATAAACAACAATCAATAAAGTGAAGCAGTAGGGTATTAGTTTCTCGTCGGTAGGAAGGACAGATCGGCTTGCACAACCTTTTCATGAAGTTTTATAGAGCGAAAATTATTTATTTCCCCTTAAAAGAAATCTTCTTTGATAACATTGTTTGGCAAAATCGCTGCAAATTCATAGATCGAGTCATAAAAGTTATATCCATATTCAGGTCTTCTCTTTTTGAGCTGTAGTTATTATATTATACATATTCTCTCCAATTAATAGAGCTTAAAGCTTGGCTTTGAGACTGAGATTCGAATGAATTTTTAGTGCAAATGGGAAATTGTGGTTGTCTTCTATCTTAAGGTGTTGAAATTCTGTAAAAAAGGGGAGGATTTTGAAGAAAAAGCTACTGATTAAATCCCTACCTTAGCAAGATCTCTTCTATCCACCCTCTTGGCGAAGACGAAGGCGATACAATACAACATGAATGAAAGAATGATCGTAAGCAGGACGCTAAAGTTATCAGTTTCGTCAAGGCGGCCGAGCTCTTTAAGAACGGTATCCATGTCAATTGGGTTGGGTGCTACTAAAAGGCTTCCACCGAACGATGTAAGGTGGTTACAGAGACAACGAAGACGATGCTTATTGGAAAGAGGTCCGACCTGGGGCGTGAAGGAAAAACAATTTTAGTGATTATGGTTATTTTAACAAACACATCAGAGGGTTATCGGTTGAGAGTATAAAGTAATCGAAATTTGCTTCTGTTTTTTATTTACTACGTTTTATGATTGGTATCAGAAATTCTAATCAGTTATAAACCAATCCATTGCTACAGTGCAACTAATTGCGACCTCTGCGTAAACATTTAACTCGCTTGACTCTGATCAAAACAATTTAGTAATTTCAAGTGTACACAAGTTTTGTTAAGTCTCTCTAATCTTATTTAGGAGGGAAATTTTTGAATAACACTTTACCATGTTGCACGTTAGCACCAGCCGAGTACCAAACTACCGAAGAAGATTACGACTGAGAGTAGTGTGAGCGTTAGATTTATTTGTCCTCGGCATACTTTTTCCAAAGTTTTGACCAATAAAAAGTTGATGAATTTTTCTAACAGTTTAATGCTCGGCATCGTTACTGGGCCAATCTAAATTTAATCACACCGCAAGCCTCTTTATCTGAAATAAATTTAAGCAGTATACCTTGCAGCCCTCCGTTAGCCATTTCTGTTCTTCATGTGACCAAAATCGGCAGCTGAGTTCATCAGAGACAAGTGTGTAGTTCACGCCAACGCGCGGATCATAAGCTGATAAAACTCCCAGAGGGGGTGGAGGGTCTTTTGTCTCAACACATGACCGTTTTTTCCTGCTGGTGCTAAAACAAGACCTCCGCATACGATGGGAATTGCTACCAGGGGAAGAGTGTTGGGTATAGAGGATCCCTACAAAATAAACTCCAGGTTTTTGTATTACTGCATTTGTCAAAAGCAGTTGATTTGGATGACGGCTGCAGTTATACTCTTCATCATCGCCATCGATTATAAAGTTTCTCGTGCATGAAGAATAGTCTGGGACAGTGAAATTCGCATCAAAATCATTCGTTGTTGGCTTGCTATCGTATTTCACCAAAACGTCGAAACTCCCCGAAGACGCCATTGTTATGAGGTATGAGGTTCGTTCGCGATTCACTTCAATTTTATGATATTTGATGTTTCCTGGCTTGATAAAGAATTTGCTTTCATGATCAAAAACAGAGTCATTTTCAGGTGAATTTCCATTGCCGTTGAGGAGTTCTATTCCTAGTTGTATGTCGGTGGTAAGGTTCCGCACATTAAGGACTTCGCCAGACTCTCTTCTTAAATCAACCTCAACAATATATGATGCGATGAATGATGAGGTGGTACTCCTGTTATAATAGTTGACTTTCGACGAAATTACCTGAGGCGGAAAAATAATCAATGTTGCTTTTAGCCTGAGTTTTTCGCATTAGCGAACTATTATTTCCCACAGAACGCACACAAAGAATAACCGTACAAATCTCCAAAAATTCCAAGCTGCACTTTAATTTTTGAGCAGGTCGAATGGAATCGAATGCAAGTTCCTCTTCTATCTGTTAATCGGCTTTGCAAATGGCTCATCCTACTATTACCTTTTAGAGTCAGATTTCAGATCGCAAACCAAATGTGATAAACATAACCATACCTCTATGTCAACGTACTCCCCTGTGTCAGCAAGCATGTCTCTCATATTTTGTGACTCAGGAAACTGAATGTGACACGTTTCTAAGGTAAGTACAGAACCTGCCACATGTTCTGGATGACGTCTTGCGACAAGAACCTCCAAAGGTTCCGTTTTTATCACAGTTGGGTCCTCTCCGACAACTTTTCTCTTCACCACAGTCTGCAACACTCTACGCATAATTTCCAAAGAAGTCTACATTGAAAAACCAAACATTAACGGAGCTGCAGCCAACTGGAAGGGTTGTGGAGGTTTTAATTAACCTTAATCTCACAGAACTAAAGGAGTGGAGTTGCAAGTATACCAGAATGGTTTGGTTTTTTTCGCTTTTGAACCCTTCAACCTCGAATACACACGAACGAATGAAAGGACAGGCAGACTATAAATTAACTCTCGTTCAAGAAAAACATTCAGTAAAACAGTCCTTCTCCCAAATGGACCGTGACTGAAAGTTTCACCATCTATACATTCAGTTTTTAGCGCTGATTATTTATTATTCATTTGGGTCTAGTTAGTGAAACCACAACACATCACCTGTATCCTCTGAGTAAGAGGAGTTGATCGCAAAAATAGCGCGAAAGAAAAATGTGTTTGTCGGGGAAAGAAAAAAGAATCGTCTCGCAGAGATTCACAATTTCTCTCGCCGGTTTTTTGGTTTGCCTCCTTTAACCGAAAGCCTTGATCAGGTTTTACAAAGATAACCCTCAAATCTTTCTTCGTTAGGGGCTATTAAGGAGGATAAACAAAGAGGGGTAAGGATAGGAGAAAGCACAAAGAGTTCCATGTCCATGTTGAAGAAGTTGTAAAGAAATTTACGCAACATTTACACAGCCAGAGACTAAAAAGCTTTTGAGAAAAGAACGGGTGCTTGTTAATACTTACAGTTATGTTTAGGGAACTAGAGCTCTCTATAGCACCATTGTCACTAGATAAAACTTGAAGCTGTTTTCCGATAGAGTAAACCAGATTCTTCTCGGCTATGCGAGAATAAGGCACATCAAATGCATATCCTCTTGCACTGATATCGTCAAATGACTTTGTCATCTTCTGCACCATCTCCATTATAAGTTCCTGCCGATCGAGAGAAAGACTTTGGTTTAGGATTTAGGGCGTACCCAGGAGATATCATTTGACAGCTGTGTGCTGCAAACCTTGTTGTTTTTATAATGTGCATTAACTCTGTTATCATGCTGACTAGCTTCTTAGCTCTATTGTAAAAAAGGTCCACTGGGTCTCCATCCGTTTTTAAGTCTTGGCAACCAAGCTCAAAAGGCCCGAATAACAGAAAAAGTAAATTTTAACTTCATCCGTCGATTAAAGAGCGAAGGAGCAATGAAAAAGCTTAGCTCCCACCAGCCACACGATAATCGAAACCCTTTAAGTTCGGCCAAACTCTGGGCCTATAAGTAACATTCCCTCTGTGTTCCTCAGGAAACGGCAATGTCAAAAGCGTCATGTGGTAAAATGGACTGTTTCTTGCCATAACTGCCTAAAAACGATAGTCAAGCAAGCACATAGAGGCTTACTTAAGCCTTCTCAAATAGCAACTAAATTATTTGCACATATCTCCGAGTCATGTTCCATGCAGTGTCAACTCGTTTCTCACATAGAAAAATTCAAATGACACTCAAGTTTCTTGGAATATTGTTTCAGAGAAACCAGGTGCCTAGAACACTGTCTACAGAAGGGAATTCTGTTCCGTAACGTCTCCTCTCTTATTTGACGTGATCATCAATTCTAGCCGGTCAAAAGAAATTGGAATGTAAGGCAGCTTTTCTATCTTTAGGAAATGAGTTACCTCTAAAACTCAGGACATTATAATGTTCAGTGCATTTTTAAGGCCCTTAGTACAATAAGAGTGGCATATGAATGAATTGTCAGCTAAAGCTGCGAAGGGGCATCATGGAAGAATGGAAAACATTGCATCAATAATACAATCGTGAAAATAGGACTAAGATGAAAGACTAACCATAGTATCCGCTGTGATCTCTGCTGGATCATTCATCGTAAGAGAAATGACAGAAGAGAGTTGAATGAGCTTCCTCAGGTCTCCAATATCTATCTTGCTCAAGGTCTTTACGATGAGGCTTTTGATCTAGAAAATAAGAACTTTATTCATACCGAGTGCTCATGAAGTGAGTCGTGCACACATCATACCAAGTGGATGTAACAAATAGGAAATACCCGATATGCAGCACAGAGGAACACTGTCGCACTAGAACCCAATCATTACGTTCAGTATATTGTGTCCAAAGTGATAGCCAATTAATGTATTTATTCTGAAACCCTTTTAGTTCGACAAGCATATTATTTTGACCCACGACCGCTTTTTCTATACTTATGCCTTCTGAGCATTACCTTTTTATCTCGACCAATAGAAAGAGTGCACCAGTAATTTTAGCCCGGCTATTTTGGAGTCTTTCAGCTGAATATTACCTAGTTAAACTTTGTCTACCTTTTAATGAACATCACTGCGTTTTTCCTAGATTTAGCGACCGGATCTTTTGTTCATGATGCATCCAGCAAACTATTCTTATTATTCCGTGACCGGCACTTGAATTCGACTGCATTCCATAACCTAGCAGTGATTTTAGTGGAATAGGAACTTCTTACATTATCTAGTAATGGAGAATGGTGAAAAAGGTATCTTATCACGTAATCAAGTCTTGAGCGAAAGGCATACGTATCTATCTAGACGAGTACAAACAGTAAGAAAGTTTGAGAACGAAAGCAATCTTTAACTTTCATTCAAGTAATTTTGCTGCTATGGCTTTGGTTTTATAAACAGCGATATCACTGTGAAACAAAGAATACCCGTTTCTGTTTTCCTAAACTTTAACTAAACTTGTCACCAATTCGTTACCTGGCGTCTCCCTTCTATATTGATAACTTCGTCTTTCTGTAGCTCTAAGGATTTTAAAACAGCAATGGCCAACTGGGTAGCCCGTGTAACATCTCCTCTACCACTATGGACGACGAAGTGCTTTTCCAAAAGATGGAGTATTTCGCCTGACGCGTTTTTGTACTCATCATAGGCCAAGGAAAAACCTGAAAGTTGAAAAAAGAATATCAGGGAGTATCTTTCAGCGGAAAGTTTGGGTGATATGACAGAGTTTTCCCCAGGACCCAATAGATTTTCATAACTGTAAACTTTTATAAAAAAAAACCATACTTGTGTCTATACTTGCCTCCAATGAAATTCACGGCTCACCTGGATCGTTAAAGAATTGCTAGAACTAGAACCAATGGAGTTTGCAACTACCGCTTCGATTGTTAAGGAATGGTTTTTCACTAATTCACCGGGAGGTAGCACTATCTCTGTAGCAGTGGAATAACTATAGGACAAAATGGCACTAAGTCCTTCTGCCAACGGTATCAGAAATTCATAAAGAAGTGGTGTGTTTGTATCGTTCCAGTTAACACATTTAAGAGTGAAGACGGTTTGAATAGCTACTCCGGATGATTTGTTTGCCGTGCAAGACCCACCAAAAGGAATGGTGCTGCTTTTAAAAAGCCACGCAGAAAAGCCTTTGGAGGAATCATCATTCATATTTTCTACATCAATGGTCAGACGATACTTTCTGCCTGGAATAATTGCATCAGGATTGATAGTGAAAAAATTCGAATTCGCTCTAGTTCCTCTGACTTCTTGCATTTGGTGAAGTTCTGACCATGTCTCACTAGTCTCTTGGAATAATCTCCAGTGATAGCTCAACAGAGCATTTTTTGTGTAACAAGGAGAATTTGTGCAGTTTGCAACAAAGGTAGCTTTGACATTTGGTATGACCTCCAATCCACAATTCATGAGACAACTGCAAAATGAAATACGAAAAAAGTAAGTCTCCTGAAATCCAAGATGTTATAGGCCAATAATATGGGTCATTCTCATAATTCGAAAGCGACTGGCCAGATATCAGTTCAAACCTGAGAAGACATGAGAAGGTTTCCCAAATTTTGATAAAATTAATTTCTCAGAATAATTAATCAAATTTTAAAAGAGACTGAGTTGGTCTGATAGTGCTGATAAACAATCTATTTACGAATGGTTCGGTCTTTACCATAAGTTCTGGCTAGTGTTAAGAGCATAATAAGTTTCCCTTTTGCCTTCACGACACTTGCATTTTTCTTTGTGTGTGCAATATCAAAGCAAAAAAATTAAGTTTCAACTGTGGTAGTAGTTATAACTCAATTACGAGCAGAAGTTTTGTTTGATAATTTTTGAAAGGTATTGTTGATATTTAGTTTCAAGAACCTTTTTTTGCCTTTTTTCTGTGTGTGCAACATCAAAGCAAAAAAAATAGGTTTCAACTGTGGTCGTATTTATAACTTGATTATGAACAGAAGTTTTGCTTGATAATTTGTGAAAATTATTTGTTGATATTTAGTTTTATGAACCCTTTTTGGGTACCCTTGTAGTTTTAAAATTCATACTTTCCTCATCATGCGGTAAAAAAATTAACCTCAATGTCAAATCCATGAACATGTATATGTGGCAAATGTTACCACCCAAGAACGAAATATATCCTAGACACTCAGCTGATCTTGCAATGAAGAGACCCACGATGCTATACGACAGTATCTTTCGTTATGGAAAAAAATGATTCTTAGCGTTTTCAGACCATTTAACAAGGGGATTTTAACGTACACTGTACAATCACGATCGATATAGAGAACAATAACTTAAGTACCGCTTACTCTATTTCAGTATTAAGAGGTGTTCCATCGACAATCTCGACTCGTTGCACAAAGGTCCCACTAAGATCCCTCTTCTTGACTGTTAACTTGATATCGTAATATTTGTTTATCTGCATTGAGCTGGTGTCCAAAAAAACTATTCTACCAGTATCTTTCAATTTTTGCTCCTCATTGCCAAAACATCCTCTACTGGCGGCATCTCTCCCGATAACTGTTCGGTTAGAACTATCAAATTCATCATGGAACATTTCTTCTTCTCCCTTACACGACCACTCAAACGTCAAGCCTTTATATAATCCTTTACCAATATCAAAATCACGAGATGGAGACCCATCCAGAGTTATGTTGGAGTTGTGTTCCCTCGACACTTTTGGTCCACCAGCAATGAATGCGACGGATGCAGAAGAAAGGACTTCTATGAAGCCATAATCAAGAAAATAAAACTTTCGAAAATGAGCAGTGAACTCGACCAAATAAATTCCAACACCGAGGGACGAGATGTCGTCCAAGTCAGTACCCGAGCCAATGGTGATGGAACTCGCTCTTCCGACACTAAATGGCCGAGAGTTCACATTAGAAACTTTCCACTCAAAGCTCAACGAGTGGCAATCGGTGCTCACTTCTGCGTTGAACCGGTATCGGGTCAATTTTGTCAACTTTGTTGTGGTGTTCACATTCTTGTCTATGTTAAGTATTTTCGCATGAGATCTAAAGACGCATGAGGAACCATCTAAAACAACAACAACAAAAAAGAAAGGCAATGCTTAATTAATTACTTCATAGATTTCACCGACCGAAGGAGCATGAAAAAGTACTTAACCTTAATTCAGTACATTCAATGGTCCCAAATGAACTAGCTTAATATAGCAAATAGGGGCTTATCGAACCAAATGTGCCATGAATGGCCAGAATGGAAGGTTAATTTACCAAGAAAACCGTAGCCCCCTACAGCTGCGAAAATATGTCAAAAGGAAGTATCAAAAGCTGCAGATATATCACTAATCAAAACAATACTTTTTACAGCTCGAATACTAACTGAGAAATAAGAATAGGTCTGTTTTTATAGCAGTTATCTGGTGGTTTTCGACAGAAAAGCCTATTAGTTAGCCCAACAATACCTATGTCATTAGTTGTATTCAAACAGAGGTAGGATCCTTCGCCATTTATGCAAGCCTCTCCATATGGACAGGGCGTTGGATGGAAACTGCACTCATCGACATCTTAAAAGAAGTATGATAAAACAAAAGGGATCTTAAGTCACACTCCTGAAATTCCTTTCAAATATATTCCTAGACCTGATCCTATCAATGTTGGTTTGAAAGATGGCAAGGAAACATTGGAAATTAAGATGAGATTGTCCAGGAAAAGTTTCCCAACTTATCACGTCTGCAACAACAAATCAAATTGTCATAAACAAGTTTCATATCTTTTGAAAGAAATAGGTGGCATAGTTAAGTAGGAATTAGGAATCCTCTCGACAAACGACGAAGGAAGAACTGCGAGAACAAATGGAAAAAAACCCATAAACAAATGGAGGAGCAAAAGAACGACTAAAGCAGGTATAGGACCGAAAGAACCTATTGACAAATGAAAGAAAGAAAGAACGAATTCAAAAAGGAAACTGAGAAAGAAAGAACGTCTAGAAAAATCAGTTAAAAACAAAAAAAACGAACAACAACAACAAAAAGAAAACAACTGAACAGGTGAACGAGTGAAAGAAAAATATGAAAGACAAAACAAATAAGCGAAAGGAATAGACCAAAGAATTTTATGTTACTGGCAAGCAATAGAGAGAAATGTCTTCATGTAATCCCTAAGAAAAACAGCATTGTGATCTGGCCAAAGTGACAAGCACTCTAACCTGGTCACTGGGTCTGCCAGTCACTATTTTGATATGTTTGGTATTTTTTTGGTATGTTTGTCTTTTCGTTCACTTCTCTTTAAGTTTAATACATATTGGTATTTCCCAATGCACGTGAATAGCCATAGTCGGATCGTTGATTAGTTTGGTAAGTAGTAGTTGTTTACACTGAAGAATAATGGACGTCTTCTTACCTCTCTCCGCAGTGACCACCTCCACTGCCCCAATGGGACCGTCTCCATAATAATTAAACCCCAAAACCTCTATCCTGTATTCGGTGAAAGACTTGAGTCCTTTGAAGTTGGCCTCTAATACTTTCAACCCATAAGTGCGATTTTCCACATTTTTTGAACCTTGCTTTGATAACTCGTATAGAAACAGTTTATATCCCAACATGATTCCATGTTGTTTGTCCTTCACTACTTCCTGCCATTGTGCATATAGGCTGAACATACTTGTGTTGAAGGCAGTGAGAGCCTGGGGAGAGGCGCCGGGAACTAACCGTGAGAGACAAAAAAGAAGGATGTTACGGGGTACCAAGGCTTGCGACTTGTGACTTCTTTTCTTTTGACGACAACTGATTTTTTTATCATTTCATGACGTACAGAATTAAATATTACCATCTTTTTTTTCCCTTTGCTAACACACCGCATAATGCAGTACGCTCGCTACATATGACCCTAGCATAGGGTAGTGTTAGGAAATTATGGGTTACAGGTATACTTCAGGAGTTAACTTCTGGTGCAGTTATATCTGAACGGAGTACTTCCCCATCTTTCTTTTTAACCTTGTTTGTCACTATATATATACAACCGATGGAAACCATCAATTGTGTTGCTGAAATAGCAAATACTAGAGAATTAAGAATACTCCATGAAAGACAAAAGATGTTAAGAATGGTGAATATTTTTTGAAGGTTGCAAATAAATACAGAGAGGTGGCTTCTCCAAGGAAACCTTGCGGAAAGCATTGGAAGGATACGAAAGTGCTCGAATTCAATTAATCAAGTGTCCAACTAAGAGCACTAAAAACTTTGAGTTCAATTAACAGACCTTCACCATAAGTTCGGACCACAAATGACTCGCTTGGGGGACCTGTACCCTTGGCTGTCCGAGCTGCTATAGTAATATTGTATAGCCGGTATATTTCCAACTCTTCGGCGATCTTACTTCGTAGAGTTCTGTTACGAGTTTCAAACGTTTTTAAGTTTGCATCTTCCGGGAAAACATCGTTTGCATTGGCCTCCAGAAAATGAAGTGTGAAACCTTGGAGGTGGCCAAGAACCAGTCGAGGGCTATCATCGTAGTTCCAAAGAACTTTAATTTCCCGTGAGCTGACATTGTAAGCTGTCAGATTGACAGGAGAATTTATAGGGGCTGAAAATGAAGAGAGAAGCATAACAAACTAAGGAAAAGAAATAGTTTGTTTCCTGAATCGCTTTCGTACCAAAACCACGTCCGGGTTACAAATCCTGGAATAAAACTCGCCGAGCTGAGGCTAAAAGTATTGTTGGACTGTTGGAGGAAACTAGCTCGAGCTGCGCGCGATCTTACTGCAAATTTTCATCCTGAACATGCCTCTACAAGGCATCTCACCTTATCACCCATCTGCTGGCAACATAGTAATATAGCATGGAAAGGCCATGTATTGATAAAGTCTGACGCCGCCTTTTCACTTACTTGATTCATCCGTCAACTGATATACTTTGTTACTCCACGGCCCATCACCTTTACTGGTGTAAGCCCGCATCTGTACCGAATAATTCTGGAAGATCGAAAGATTAGAGAAAGGGAAATTATGGAAGTCTGGTCCAACGGTCACGTTCCACAATAGCAGACCGCCATCTGCATGGTGAAAGCGAACACGGTAACCCAGAATAATGCCATTTTGGTGAATTAAACGCACATCTTGCCATGAGGCTTTTAAAGAGGTTGCATCCACCGTGTGAAGCTTAATATTGTACGGTGCCTCTGAAGGAGCTGTAGAAATACCAGGAAACAACACAAATTATCCAAGTTTAGTACGGGGCTGGATTTGGTTTGACATTAGCGAGACTCGCAAAACTATAACAAAATTGTGATAAGTTCTTACGTAAAAAAAATTCTGGAGGTGTGCACTTTTCCTAGGCATCAAGTTGCCTCTCGGAAGATTGCTTAGAATTTACCGCTTGATTGTTAGGATTTTTTACCACAACGATTTATTCTCTACGATGGAACCTTTGGTATTCTTTTGAATCCTGTGAGTTCATGGTTAGAAATAAGCGAGACAGCGCCGAAAAAAGCCAAAAACTGATTGAAAAAATTCAGATTTTGTTGATGGAAACTGTAATAAGCAATTGATTTATCTGTTTCTGAAAAAGTGATGTCATGAAAAAGACGTGTTTTTTCCTCTGTTTCAAATTTATGATTAAAACTTTTATTAGAGTCAACCGTTACGCGAAATTTCAATTAACGAGAAACCTGATTTTCTGAAAAGGAAATGCTCAGTTTAAAAAATCTTCAAATATTTTCATTTCAAGGACTACAGAAAACACAATTTTCCGAGCGATTCCGACGACTACGAAAACATTCGGAAAAATTTCGCGAAGTTCTTACCATCGTCAATGGTTGTCACTTTCCTCAACGTCCGTGTTCCAGCTCCTTTCGATGTTCGTCCAGCCACAGAAATTGTATAAGGCCAGTATTCGTGAAGTGAGGTTATAGAATAATTTGTGGCGCTAAGCCCAAGATTTTTGACACCATTTGAGTTATAAGGGTGACCATGGCCAAAACGTTCGTCATTCCAATGGACTGTGTAACCAATCAAAATGCCATTGACTTTATTTTCTGGAATTGTGTGGTTCCACTGCACATAGATTGAAGTGGGGCTGGTGCTTCGGCTGGCAACAATTTCTGGACCAATTCTAGGAGCTACGCGTCATGAAAATGGGAAGATTTGGTCAAGGATAATGCTGAAGTAAAATCAACTGAATCATTGTGTTCATTAGTCGTGCATAGGGGACAGTCAACACCCGATACACGCAACCTTACACTTCTTTGTCTTCAACAAGCCCAAATACCTCAAAGCAAAAAATCCTGGTTTAACCACTTCATTCCTATCAACCCTTGTTGCAGTTTCGAAGCTCATAAATGTCGTTACACTATATATGATCCCTCGATATTTGCTTTGTAAAGAAGAAGTATGATTCAGAAATCTTAAAATTCGAGATGAAAAAGTGAACAAGAAAAATAAAAACGAACGCGTTTCGAGACTCAAAAGAGTAACGCAACCTTTCGAAAACTATACTCAGTTGTGTGAGAAAATCCGACGATGAACGCCGCTATATTGAATCTTGCTCAGCAAACTGGTCGCTTACCTGTGATACTTCTGTCTCATTTCTCTCTTTTCCATTGTTTTGAGCTTGTTTGCATGAATACCAACTGCGTAAAATGAGTATTCTAGACTGAAATAGTGATTTGCTTTATGATACCTTGAGCAACAGCTGTGTGTGAACGAATTCTTGAACGTTAGATTTGTTCGGCCCTGACTTTGAGTTAAATTCAACTATGGCAGCGTGTATAGCCAAAGTTTTAGTACATTCGATGATGATTTCCTAACTGTCAGGTTACGCTTTAGAATCTCCAAACACGATGATGAGCTTATTTTCATATTTCCTTTCTAATGGCTGGATGAAGATTATATATTTTCTGGAGCAAAATTTTCCAAAAAGAGGTGATTGTCTACTTGTTCCACAAAACGCTAGCAAGTTGTCCTTGGAAATTTTTGTTTGTCTATTAGGTATATCGCTAACAACTCTTTCGAACTCTTGCCTGACTGCTTCGTTGAAAGAAAAGTTCACAATGGAAATGCAGTTCAGTATATTGGACAAAAAACTCAAATTTCATAGTTTCTGTGCTCTAAATATTTTTACCACAAGCCACCTACTTGACTCATCTGTCCTCAATTCAATGGCTTCCGAGATGAGGCCAGCAGACTTGAACGATGCCGCAAAGACACGAAAGCTGTATTTCGTATAGCTTTTAAGTGAAGAAATTTTGTGCTCCACGGGATTTGGTGGCAAATAGTGGCGAATATTCTCTTTAATGGTCCAGTTTGAGTTGGGATCATCCAGATTTCTATACAGGATTCTGTATCCGAAGAAATAGTTTTCGTGCGGTTCAAGGAAAACTTGGTCCAATACTATTTCTGCTGCGAATGCACGGACCCTGACCATGATAAAGTTTGCAGGTGTCTCACAGAAAACTGGAAAAATTCAGAGAATAGGCTGGATTTAGTCTTATTGTTATCTTTTTTCACATATGATTGATTGACTCTAGAAAACAGAAAACATCTTGGATTTATCACATTGTTAAATGTTGTTAAGCACCGTCTTTAATGAATCGTTAAAATAGTTCCACTTAAAAAACGAAGTACTCGCCCAGAAAATTTCAGCCCTCACTATATTTTCAAAAACATCTTGGATGGAAATGAAGTGCTGCCGATCTCGCCCAGAGAATAGTCGAATAAAAAATTTGGGAGCGATTGCATAGTCACCTTGACCAGCAGCGTCAGGATGATGAATAATTTTTTGGCAGTTCTCTTTAGATCACCCTACGGGTGTTTTCTCATTTTTTCATTAAAGTGGGATTTTCTTGGAAATCTTTCGAAACTGTTTAGGTAAAAGATAGCCTACGTCGGCAAGAAAAGAAGCTTTTTCAAATTCGCAGGATCAGAGGATCAGGATCGCAGGATCAGAGTGAGTAAAGTTTCTTCCACTTGTGCTTAGAAATCGTCAAGAAGCAGACCAAGGTGATAACGTGATACATTGTAAACTCGTTACACAGTTGAATTAATGAAAAGACGACCTTTTTTAGTTAACTGGAGAGATTCTAAATTAACCAGTTGGTTTGCTTTTTAGCGTCCCGTCCCTCCACCAGTGCATAATTCATACTCACAATGGCTGTCATCAATGTTCTGACACGAATCCTCATCAAAGACGCCAGGAGACCCTAGAAGAGTACCATTTTCCATTGCAAGTTGTAAAGTCAGGATGGATTCCCAAAGGTCTTGAGTGCGATTAAATTCCAAAGTAAATGATACCACTGTAGCACTGTCATCACTGCGTCACATGAAAAAATTTGAAAATACAGCACTAGATGAAAGTGATGTTAAATTTACCGATAACTAAGTAAATTAAGCCTGGTGTTGGGGGTAAGCTATAATGGGCTGCTCTCGTATCCTAACGGTGTTATAAAACTAAATAGGACATGGAAAGAAGCTTTGACAAAAGACGTTACCTTTGTGAAACTGAGACGTCCTTGATGTCTAGAAAATGCGTGTCGTTAATGAATAATTCCTTAACCTGTGTTAAGAAACAGGCAAGCAACTCAGGAAAGAGGTTGAAATAATAATTTACCTGTGGAACTGAATGATTTGTTACAAAACGCAAGGAATGCCATGGGTACATTTGAGTCACATTTCTTACTTTGTTGGAAAATTCGTCCTGATCAACGTCTCCAGCCTTGTATTGCAGGTTAGGGAAGATAATAGTCAGTTGTATAACCGTATATTGTCCACTAACATCTGTGAAGACAAAGGCAAACTTTAGTAGTTTGGGTGATTCTTCTGCAGAGTTAAAACATCTATGGAGGGGAAATTCATTTATTACTAGGAAGGCTAAGTCAAATTTATTTCCTGAATGGTAAACCATAGGCTGAAAATGGGTTGACAGGTATTATTTCGTTGTCAAACCCACGGCCTCATGACCGAAAAAAAGATTTCTGAAGCATCACAAAGGACTCTCCCACACTGTTTTTGCTTATTCAGGGATGACGCAGTCCATCAGGACTCTCCGGAAAACAAAACTAACTGTTTCCGCCGGGACCATAATTTGAGTGTATAATATTTATCTAATAATTTAGACAAAAAGGTACATTCTTTTAATCGCGTTAGGTTTTAGCATATGATGAGTACACCTCATAAGCCAGATGTCTGAGCCAATCTATGTTAGTATCTTTTTCATCTAAACTTCTGCGGTTTTGTTATACTATCAATATAAAAGACCATAAATGTAATGACATTATTGTAAACTATCAATTTACGCACAGTGGCAAACTTACCAAATGCTGCTTTCCATCTCTCATCAAAAACACTACGAGACTGTTCGGAATACCAAATCTCTAAATTGTCATAATACGCAGTAGGGTACGTGTATCTGCCTAGGTGGTACGTGCCATTCCTTACCAGTCCGTCGATTCTACCTCCACAGTGGTGAGAAGGGACAGAAAAGCTGGACAAGGGGTCAAAATACAAACCCAAGGTTCCTACCCTGTTCCAAACGATCCCCAGATAAAACCACACTCCTTGGGGTGGCGTTATGACGTATTTGCAGTAGGTAGTATTGCCTAAAACTTCTACACGTAATCTGCCATTTTGGTATATGTTTACACCTTCGTACAAAAGTCCGTCCACTTTATTCCCAAAGTAAAATTGCACTCCGGATTGGGGAACAATTTTCATAAAAAACCCGATGGTAAAGTTACATTGTGAAGGTTTTCCTAAACAATGCTTTTTGTAGCCTTTTAGTTTGACGTAGGTGTCTGGTGATCCATCAAGGTAGACGCCCCACCCTACTGGTGATGGCTTCGATGTTACGTTCCCCTTCTTTTCAATTTCATCGTCGCTATTATTTAAAGTCCATCTTTTATAGGAATCTGGAGAGAACAAAAACGGGAATAACATTAATAGAGCAATAACATTTATAACGACAGTGATGAGATGAAATGAAGTGATATTAAAGTAGATGAAATGAAATAAAGCTGAAATCCAGTGTAATGAGTTCCAGTTTCCCACTTCATTTTAGATGACGTAGAGCGAGAGGACACCACACAGGACAAAACGAGGAATGGTCTAATACTCGATTGAGATAAAACCAACGAAGAGATGAAACCAAAAGAGACAAAATGATGTTAGACTACTTGAGATTAGGTATTAAGGATTAAGATGAGATGAAATCAGATAAAACCGAGGGTAGCTGCTTCATCACTGCTTCTTTTAGCTACAAGATTTTCAGATTGTCTAAATGTTTCCATGCTGCCAAAGTATCAAAAATTTCGGATCGTTTCATCTACATTTACACCCTCGAAGATTATTATTTCTAACGCTTAATTTAATCTACGTAGCCCTCTCTTCCCCTCATCCACTATTTTGCCTCGACTAAATGCACATATAAAGGAGGGAATGATTAGTGGCTACCCATTCAGTATTTCGTAAGTTTTACCTGCTTTGACCAAAACGTTAACCGCTGGACCAAGAAGATTGTGTGATGCCACAAACAATAGAAATGTTGCCTAAATAAGACAAAAAGAAAACATGGTTAACATCGTTAATAATGTCCAGAATATTCCCTCATCAATGTTATGGCGAATTACCAAATGGAGCGCTGCAGATGTAAGGTAAGAGCTTTGAATGTGATTTTTATCTGATTTCTACCACTAAGAATGGAATTCGAGGCGAATAATGGACGAGTGAGTGACTCTAGCAGCATCTTTGGAAGGGCTGTCTGTGAGTCTTTTTCTCCATTTACATTTTTCTTCTACTGATTTGTTGCATGAAAATATTTGTTTCTTTCCTCAACTTCTTTTTTTTGGAAGGCCCTTCATACGCATATATAAGTTTTCAATGTGAACAGTCCCCTCTCCGTATAATTCCACAAGTAGTAAACGTTAAGCAGTTAAGAGAACGTGTGAAAAGTGAAAGTAAAGTACTCAGCTTAGCTGGCCATAATTTCGACTTTTTCGGCAATTCCCTCTTCGAGATACCCCTTTTCTTCGAAACAGACAACTGAAAAGGAGTGCTTTTTGAAGTGCTATTAAAGCTGTTTTTTAGTTCTTCTTTTGCCATATTTTTCGCCCGCAACTCTGAGCGGATCCGAACTTTGCGCCAGGTCATGTTTGGTCGGCTCTTTTTAAGGGCTTTTTTAATCAATCAATCAAAATGTTCTGTTTTTTCCTTTTTCTAATTTTGCCCTAGTCGCACTGGCATCTTTGTTTTTGATTAAATGAAAAATCAGTCAACAGGTAGCGCAAAATAAGTGCGACTAGGCCTGTCCTGATTGTGTTCGGAAACTTTTGAGCGAATTTTGGTGTTTGGAGTAACTTTTTGCGTTTATAGAAACTTCGAGCAATTTTGCCATACTGAGCAATTTTTGAGCAAAAAAAAAAAAAAGGGTTTAGAGCACATGTCAAGCGTAAAAAAGTTAACAATTTCGTGAAAAACTGACCCACAACTTGCCGCTTGACAACGTTTCGCCGGCTTATTGTGATCCTTATCTAATATTATAACAGATAATTGGCTAAAATGGCGTTCGGAAAGACGTCAAATGAACCATGTGTTATGTTCCGTTAGACTCAAGAATTGAGAAATTTAGCCCATATTTGCGAGCCACTCTTTAGAGCTAAGTATCAAGCTACTTTACTTTACCGAGGTGAGCAATTATTGTGAATAAAGGAAAATATAGCCTATATTTAATTAACGTTTAAATAAAATTATCATGAAATTTTGGTGGGAACTTTTGAGATTTAGGTAGCAACTTCTTTTTTACTTTTGGCAACTTTTTCGCAGGTATTCTAATGAGCAACTTTCCAGCATTTTATGAGCAAAACCGGGACAGGCCTAAGATGAAACTCCCAATTTGAAAAACTTGCCAAACTCTTGCCAAACTTTAAAGGACCCAATGTCTTGCCTCGGAGGCTTCCAAATTTTGGCAAAACAAACAACCACCTTTTTTTTAAACAGGTAACTTAGTGTTAGCAACTGAGTTGAAAACGTAAATTGGCGACCGTAAGGAGTTTAAAGTTTCTTTAGAAACTTACCCCATTATTCATTTCACTTTTTTTTAATAAAACTATTTAGCTGTCATGTTATGCAAGATATTGTCAAGAATAACATAACAAGTGTCGTGGCTAATGGTTTTGGGAATTTTTTAGGCTTATTAATAGGAATTTATTTACGCGCCAGGATAGCTGCCTGTTTACTGCAAGTGTGCTGCAAATTGTTTTTAGATTTAACTTTTTTTGTAGCTTATGGTTCCTCTTTTATTCAATATGTATGCCGTTTAAGAATTTGTCCACCATTCTTTACTGGTTGCTCGAGGTGTTCCTTTCACTAAGAGAGATTTTGGAAGCCTCGCGTATTTGAATTTCCATCCTCGATTCAAGCGTGTCGTCGCCAGGTCAGATTGTCACATCTCTAACCCATGATTAGGTCTACGAAACGAGATTTTAGCTCTAGTTATGCTTCACTTGTGTGACAACTAATTTAGAATCAGAAACGCTAGTTCTGGTTGAACTAATTATTCTAGAAGAGAAGTACTTCGCTTGAAATCGAAATATCGCCTTTCTCCTGATGTTTTTTAGACTCTTAAATGTCTGGGAATTCTCAAAACTCGTTGCTCGCGAGGAGACCGCCGTTTTACTTTAATTTCGAAGCACATTTTACGTGCACTTTGTCGTGGCGGGGTGGCTTGAGTATCCTAGTGATTCCAAAGGCTATGCCAGCGGTGTTTTATTCCTGGTAGTTTTAACCAAGCTGGACAGGTCGAGGAGGAAAGACCAGATGAAGCATGTTACCCTGGCCATGCAGGTTGAGGGTTGGGCTCAGGGCCAACAACCCTAACCCGTAAAAAACAACAACGTTCCGGAAAGAGCGACCAATAGAAATCAAGTACCGGATGTGACGGAGATCCACAGTCCTAAGGGACTTGTATGAATGCCAGGAGTCAAAGGTGCAAGGAGTCTACTGGCGGGAGAATGGAGATCCTGAACACCAAGACAAAGAAAAGGGTTGGCTTTTGGACTGTACGCACCATTTTCGAGACCGGTAGAGTGTCACAGGTAGCAGAAGAAATGAGAAGGTTTGGTTTCTTATATCCTCGGTGTAAGCGAGCGTTAATTGACAGGCTTTGGGCGACAGACACGCCTTAGTGGGGAGACAGTGCTGTACACCGAACATGCAGACGACCAAAACAGAAAGGGAGTGGTTATTATTTTCAAGAAGGGAGAAGAGGAAACACCATTGGAGTGAAAGCCAGTCAGCCGTAGGCTTACGAAAATGGGAGGGAGACAAACAAATATTTCAGTTATCCAATGTTACGCCTCGACGAAAGACGGAGATGATACTGATAGGGATATTTTCTACCAGCAGCCTCGGTAAAATTTAAGCTCGGTGGCTCGCCATGACCTTATAAATATCATTGGACCCCTTAATGCCAAAGTGGGAAAGATAACTTTCCATCACAATGAAAGAGCAATGGGAAAGTTTGATTGTGGCACCATGAACAACAGTGGAGAACGGCTTGTCGACTTCTGCAGTATGAACGACTTGCTAATTAGGGGTACTATTCTCTCACACACACAGGACGTGGCATTCCCCACATGGCAAGACCAGCGCTCTCTGCAAGATGTACGTGTTTGGTGAGGCGCAGACGTTGGAAGTGACCATCACCTAGTGTCAGTTGTTTTTAAGCTCAAGCTCAAAAAGACAAGAAGTCAACGTCACAGACAACAAAGGTTCGACACATAGAAGCAGAAACAACCTGATGTTGTAAAAGCGTTTTCCATTCAAGTAAAAAACAAGTTTCAAGTTCCATAATACCTTGATGAAGAACGAACAGAATGTTGTATATGTCTACAAAAAGGGCGTCAAGCAATGTCTGGGACATCGAAAGCAGAACAGCAAGAAAGAGTGGATGACTGATGGGGCCTAACGAGGCATTGAACACAGGCAGGCACGGAGGAAGAAAGTCCTGGAGACAAGATTAGAGAGACTCAAAGACAGGTTCCAGCAGTAGTACAAAGATGCAAACCGTAAGGTGAAGAAGCTGACGAGGAAAGACAAGAGGGTATACCTGGATGGCTTAGCGTAGGAGGAAAAAGAAGCAGCAAGGCGGAATCAACAATGACCCGTCTACAAGATCACCAAAAATATCTGCATGAAGTATACAACCTACAACACTTCAGCAATAAAGGACAAGAATGGGAGACTGACGACTACAGAGAAGGGACAAGAGGAGAGATACACAGAGCACTTCAAAGTATTATTTAACATACCAACGCTGGAAGTAGTTGCTGATATTCCACTAGCTGGATAACCTGAGTGCGGAGCTGTTTAAGGCTGACCCTCTGGTTGCATCAAACATCCTACAGCCACTATTCGGCGAGATTTGGGAAGGGGAGATAATGAAAGAAGACTGGTCCAAAGGCAAGATTGCTAAACTACCAAAGGAAGGGACCCTTAGTGATTGCAACAACTGGAGAAGAATAGCCAAGGAATGCCTTGGTCATCGTAAAGAGATTGACAGATGCCGGGGAAATTTTTCTTCGACAGGAGCAGGAAGGCTTTTGGAAGAACAGGGATAGTACAAGCCAGATCTTTGCTCTTCGTAACATCATCGAGCAATGAACAGAATAGCAGAGAAACTTATTCATTAATTTTATTGATTTCGAAAGGGCATTTGATGGCCTTCCCAGGGACTATTTTTGGTACATCCTAAGAAATTATGAAATTCCTCAGAAAATTGTCACTATAATTCAGGGTTTTACCAGCACTTCTTCTGCAGCATTGGTGACAACAAGATTCAACATTTTAGAAGCTAAGACCGGCATGAGACCGGGGTGCGCGATGTTATCTTTTATGTTCAATTTGGCAGACAGCAAGAAAAACCAATGGAATGAGATCCCTTTTCAGCACTCTTGAAGATCTGGAATTTGTTGATGACGTAGCACTGCTCTTAAACACGCATAGTCAGATACAGAACAAAACCAGACAGCTCAACAAATACGCGAATCAACTTGACCTTAAGATCAGCCTGAAGAAAACTGAAGTCATGACTCTCAATGAGTCCAATCCATCACCTATTCAGAATGAGGATCAAAATATCCAGCATACGGAATCCTTCACCTACCTTGATAGAGTAATAAAAAGCGATGATGGATCAAACAGCGATATTAAGTACCGACCGAACAACGAAACAGTGACCTTGAATTAGATGAAAGACTTCTTGAAGTCAGCGCAGAGTTACCAGAGTTGTGTTCTGTCAACCTAATTATACGGCTCAGAGTGCTGGCGAATGACGGAGGCCGATCCCAAAAGGTTGTTGGTATTCCACACAACATGCCTCTGGAGGATCTTCCGTAATTTTGGTAAAGAACAATCTCCAATCAAGAGCTGTTGGAGCAGTGCCAACTTGAGGATATGAAAACGATCGACTTTCGCACAGAGACAGCTTTGATGAACATGCATAACGACATGATATTTTTACACAACGGCAATAGCATAATTCTTGGTAATACTGGTTCCTTTGAATCTATCAGCCGCTTTTGACAGTATTCAAAATGACTTACTTTTATCTAATCTTGAAAAGCGTTTTGTAATTACCGGCACCATTCTGAACTGGTTAGAATCCTATCCTTGTAGTTGTGTACAATTTGTCAGTATCAATCAATCTCATTTAACGAAACGTGACTTGCATGCCGGAGTACCAAAGGCCTCTGTTTTAGGACCCTTTCTTTAATTGTTATATACTGCTCCTATGTCAGATGTCATTACGAGCCGCCATCTTAATTACCACCTTTTTACGTATGATACTCAGCTTTATCTGGCCTTCAAAACAGGATAATTTAAAGCTGAACCCTAAGAAGAAGAATGCTTTGTTGAGCCATCTAAGCCATCCAGACAGTGTGCCTCCACACCTTAGAGTGCCATCGCAATCAGTAAAGAGATTAAACTCACGCCCCCAATTCTCAAAGTTCTCGTTCTGCTGCAAGGATTTCTGTACATCCAGGATCCAAAACTGTTCTGCTTCCTCAAGGCCTTTGCCCCAATCTCAGAGCCAAGGAGTAACTGTTCATTGCCTGGTGATAATCTTGCCTTTAGGTTCTTAAGAAATCGCAATACATGGGCTGTAACCTATGGTCGCTGAAGATTGCTGAACCGGCTAATGTCAATAACACAGCTAATGCTGGAATCGTTAGTGTTCCCAACAAGGGTGGAAGATTCCAGGTTCCTATGATTTTTTACTGTCTTTTCCTTTAAGCATTCTTCAGGGATGTGCTCAGTGACGATAATGCTCTTCGACTCTTTCTCATGTTGGCTCAGTCACTCAGGACCCATCACCCAAAATATGTTTTCTGCGAGCTGAGATGAATTAATTTCTTTTGATGGGACGTCTGCAGGATTGCTTTCCGTGGAGCAGGACCTCCAGCTCTCCACAGGGAGAAGGCTTGTAATTTCTTTCTTCTTGACTCTGTTGTGTACAAACTGTTTCCATTCCGTGTCTATGCCTCTAATCCAGCAAAGTGCTTCTTCAGAATCACTCCAATATGGAATCTTCTTCATTTCAGAGCCCCCTCAATGGCTGTGAATAGTCTCGTAAGTATGACTGCTGCTAAAAGTTCTAATCTGGGAATTGTTTGGTTTCTCAGTGGGGTTTCTCTTGTCTTGGATGCTACAAACTTCATATAGGTGCGAGAAGCTGAACTTGGAGGTAGACAACAGCACCATATGCCTTTAAGGAAGCATCACAAAATGCATGAAGATTGCAGCAGACAATTTCATTCCGTGGTTCCTTGAAATAGCACCTCTCAACCAGCTTATCCCACTTCACTCTTAATTGGCCTTCCAAGGTGTCGTTCCAGTCGGCTCCACTCGAACAAAGATCTTGGAAAAGAAGTTTGAACTGAACTGAACTGGTGATATGAACTGAACTGAACTGGTGTTATGAAACCAATTGGTTCATAGAATTTTGCTGCTACAGCAGCAATGTTACTTTTGGTAGGTCTGCACTCTGAGGCTAGTCGAGCAACTGTTCCCAGTTCAAAAACAAGATTGTCCTCTACAAAATTCCACTGGAGTCCAAGAATCTTTTGTTCAGACTTGCCGCTCTCCTGTGCGTCTCCTAATGAAGTCTTGGTGTATGACTGTTCTTCATAAACTATCAATTCCACCTGCCCTGTCACTGACCAAAGCATCTTCCAGAATTCCGCTGTCGTACATATCTTCACCAGTAGGTAAGTCACGGCTAACCTTGCACAACTCACTCTCAATATCTTCTATTTGTTTCCTTAACTCAGGAGAGTTCGTTACAAACTTTCTCAGATTGAAGCCCTCTTCTGCTAATCTGACTTTAGATTTGATGTACGGTTCGTAGGCTTCTTCATCAGTGCCTCCTTCTGAGCTCAGATTATCCACGTAGATTGACCTTAGAAATGTCTCAACAAATTCAGGGTCCTCCTCTCCATATCTTTCCACGTGGTGTTTCAAAGTTGCATTTAGGAGAAGCGGGCCTGACTGTACGCCAAACACAACTCGAACAAATCGCCGCACAATTACTTCAGGATACTCTTTCTTCACATCATCAAACCACATGAACCTCAAGACATCTCTATCTTCCTCTGCCACTGACACGTTCAGAAATGCCTTTTCAATGTCTCCAGCCAGTGCCTTTCTGGCACTGTGCGTTAGAAATCTCAGGATGATGTCCATGACATTTTGGGTAAGTGCTGGCTCAGTGTATAAGCTCCGTTTGACTTAGTAAGGTCATTGCTCAGAGGTTGGGACAGTTCGGCAGCACATCTTAGGACATGGGTGCTGGAAACCAAGTTAACAGATGGGTCACAGTCACGCGTTGAGCTCTCTATTGGTCCAGATAAAACCCAACTCAACCTTGTATGTAAAGCTGTTGGACCACTATCTCCTCTTCTCACTTCTTCTGTCGCGATTTGTCTGTACTAACCTGATCCAGTAAGTTTGTCCACTTCTCCTGGCTCTGCTCCTGTTGAATAATCGGCAAGGTGAATTCCATTGAGGTGCTTGTACATTTTCCTTGCCAAAGCTACTAACTGACCAGTTGGTAGTTCACAGATGAGTGGTACAGGATAGGCTGACATCTTCATATCTGTTCCATCAGGTAGTTTAACACCTAAGCAAACGGTATCACAAGTTTGGAACTTCTCGTTTTGTGACCCAAAGCTTTTGATTAGCATTGTCTCTTGACTTTGAGCTGGTAAACTTTGCTCATCCTTCAAATAGTTTGTGATGTACGATTCTAGCCTTCGCACCTTTCTCTATAGATCCTAACTTATAGATAATGGCTTGAGCTATCTGTAGAAGGATTGGTGTTGCAGAACTAATGAACATGGTTACTTGGGAGTGATCAGGCTTTGGCTGATCTGGGTGTACATTCTCCCTTTGCTCGGGTTTTGCACATTGTTTGCTTGTTCCAGTTTTCAGCAGGTTGCTTTCACAGATGCTGACATGATGACGGCCACCACATGTGAAAAACTTCACATTAGATTTGCATTCTCGGCTCAGACGGTCCTTCCTGGGGCACACGTAACATCTTCCGGTCTTCTTAAGAATATCTCTTTGCGCTTGTGCAATAGGAACGGTCTCACAGTCATTAGATGAATGAGGCTGCTTGCAATAGGTACAAGTTGGCTTGCTGTCTGACTTAGAAAATAGTGATGAGGCAGAGGGTGGGCCTTTCCAATGAGGTTTGTTCCTTCGGAATGGTGGGTCTGGCTGTGGATTGTGATTTCCCCACGCAGCTCTCTCCCTTGTTATCAATTCTTGATACATAGCTGCCAACAGGCGGTCTAATTCACAGTCTCCCCCTTGACCTCTCTGTTAACGATCAAACGTACTTCTTGTGGTACCTTATTCGTCAAAACAGATGAAAGCAAGCTACCATAGGATTCTGATGTTATTCCAAGAGCCTTGAGACCCGGTACATGAACCTCCACTAAGTCATAGAGCTGTCTCAAGCCCCTTAGGTCAGGATTAGAATAACCCGGTGCCATGTTAATAAGGTTATCCATGTGTTTGTTTACAATCATCTGTTTGTTGCCAAATCTGGTCTTCAAAATAGCAGTGGCCTCTTCATAATTTGCCATCGTAATGGCAAGACCTGCAATTTCCTCAGAAGCGGTTTTTTCCCAGAGAGAGTTGAGATAATTAAACTTGTCAATAGTCGCTAGCTTGGAGTTCCTATGTATTGCTGCCTCAAACGTGTCTCAGAATGAACACCACTTAGTAATATCTCCATTGAATTTCTTTAAGACTAACTTTGGGAGTTTAATTTGAGAGCCTACATCATGCACATGACTTTGAGGTGAATCATTGGAAGGAATATTCACATAGCTTACCGACTGCGCGGGCTCGTTCGTCGGCTCCTTTTTACATGAGAGTCCTGACCTCTATTTTTGGGGAAATGGCGGTCAGCACTTCATCTAATCTGGCAAGAACCAATTCTACGTGACTACAGAATTGATCATTTTCTTCAATTTCGCTGACGGACAATTTCTTCCTCCGTTGATAAATCGAGAATCTCTTTTTCCAGTCCCTGAATAACGTCCAGCTTTTCCTTTAGGGAGTACTTGTAGAAGATTAGAGTCGCTCGTTGTTTTGAAACACTCCACGGGTCATCGCCCAAAGAATTTAGAATTTCGTTCGCACACTCCAATTTCCTTTCGGCGGAATTTCGATGTCCAGTTCTGAGGGTTTTTTTCTTTGTAAGTTCCGAAGACATTTTTGAGGTTTCGTCGCTTGTAGACTTGACAGACACTTGGGATGTACTCTTCTTTCCGCTCTTTTTCCCACTCGTCATTAGTCGAGAGCAGAATTTCTCACCTTCGAAGGTTTTCAGGATTTCAGGATTTCGTCTAGTTCGCGTCCGGCTCGAGGTGACCAATGTTGGAGAGTATTTGAGGTCAACTCAAGGTTCCAATATGAACATTTTAATCTTTAAACTCGGGACTCTATTTACAAACACAACGGAAGCGAGGATTTCTTTCAAAGACAGAAGCGCGAGGTCGCACAACCCATAAGGCTACGCGCACGTACATCAGTGCGTCACACCTTTTCACGCCTTGTCACGCTTAGTCCCGCTCACAAATTCTAACAAGAACTTGCTCTATCGGTATACAAAGCATAGAGCTGAACTAAACTTGTCACGCCAGCGGCCAAATTGTACTATGTCCGACCTTTTCCCGGACTTCTTTCTAGCTCTTTTTCGTTAATTGAAAGTGAAATTTCGGAAAAAAACGAGCCGGCAAGTAGTAGCCAAGCGCCGTAATTTACGTTATTATAGCGAGCGCAGAGACGAAAATCCTCAAAGAGAAAACGAAATTATAGTCAGAGTTTGAAGGTTTTCACCGCTCAGTTAGATTGCAAGCTTACGAACGGTAATAAAGATCAAACACAGCTAACACTCGAATGGTATATATACTTTCGGGTTAAAATGAAAAATAATAAAATAACAAAACAGAAATAATTAAAAATATAGCTAAACTTGAATAATTGTTTAAAAATTCATATCAATCATGACGGTGTCGGACCGACTGCGATCATGCTGAGGTCCAACGCAGCTAGCTCATCCTGGCGATCTCTGGTCATCGCAGGGAAGCAAGCCTCAGAAATTACATCGGCCGCCCTTCGAATCAACGACTGAGAGCTTGTTCTGATATTTTTCCGATGCGTTGAGGGGAGGCCACATCAGCCACACCAGCCAGCGCTGTCCTCGCGAGAAATCTTAATGTTACTATGAATGCGGCTGTCGTTTATTCGAAAATCACATGCCTTGAGCAATTTGTGTCTAATTGTCATGTGTGAAACCTTGCGCGTCTATATGAGCCACAATTCGTTTCACGTCTCACTTTCAGATTCTGTATTAGACACTAAAACTTCAGGCGAAAGTGTTAAATTTGACCTGCCGAACTATTTGGTTGTTAACTATTGCAGATTGTGATCTGTGATGGTTTGACATTTTTGACAGCTTTAGTTCTGTTCAACCAATCAGATTATTCGAACCATTCTAACAAGGATTCTGATTGGCTTATTGTAGCATGCTTTATGAAGTAGAGAGCATGCTGAGGACTCTGTTATTCGCTTCTGAAATGAAGTTTGTTTCGAAAATTGAAAGTCATGCGTGGAGAATTTGACGGATTCTTCATTATACTCAAGAAGTTAGGGGAAACACTCCACTACGTCTCATGTTTCTCCTTACACTACTCTCGTTCTCCAGCCGCTTCCTGTGTGCTTCACAACAGAGTCCAGGCTTCTCTATTGCAATAAACAAATTACCTGAAATGCACGCCTGCGAGGTGCAGACTTTGTTGCTTTGGATATGCTAATTATTTGTTAATATGTTTTTGTCTGATTCTTTCTTCCCGCACAGGCGGCACTTTGCACTCGCACGAAACGTGGTTGTTTAGAAAAACAATTGAGGTGAAAACTTTTATTAAGTTGTTGTGTAACATAATTTCGAAAAAAAGAAAAGTGTGACAAAGAACACCAAAGAAATTTTCAATCGTGAACTCCTCTCTTTGTAGATCATTCAAAAGATTGTTTCCGTCATTCCACTGACAATTTTCTGAGCAGGAGACAACGGCAGAAGTGTGGATATTCCATCAATAATGAAACCTGAGTATGTTATCCACGAACGCTCATGAAATTCTAATCTTCCAACAAAGAACAAACACGCAACTCTGAGGAATTCAGGTCAGTTTAAGCAAACTTGCAATTCGCAAAAAGTTAAAAAATTACATTTCAAAGCTATACTAAATACATGAAAAATACGTGAAATTCTTGTTTCGCTTTGTAGAAACATACAGTTAAAACAATAAATGGGGATAAGCCGTGGAATCCCTGAAAAAATGGGTTTCAGATGATGGGTTTCTTATGCGCAACGATGGTGTGAATGAAGATGGTAAATTTTAAGGCTAGTGTTGAAATGATAGAAGGTTTATTCAGTGAATGACACAGTTGTATTGGGAGAAAAAAAGAACGAGCTATGAGTGCTGCCATTACGAGTCGAAACCGCGACATTCCGGATTTTTCCTTTCTCCACCATAGTTGCCGACGTGTCTTTACAGTTTTCTACGTCACAGCTATGTAACATGATCGTTTTGGCGGCGCGCTTAATAACGACACTTTTTGGCCGCCAAATTGTACTTTCAATGCACAAAAAATGGTCAAAGATAACTTGCTAGGCGCTAAGGTCGATTATCTCTAATTTAAAATAAAACTATCAACCGGAAAACGCAAAAACAAATTCGTGTGATAGGCACTTAAGGCCATGTAAAATTACACGAAATTCTGCTTTATAGAGACATACCGTTAAAACAAAAAAATTGGGCATAAGCTAATGAACTCCAAAAAATCTGGTTCTCGGATAGTAAAAGTTTCGAACGATTGAAAAAAAGATGGCAAAGCTTTGACATACCTTGAATGAAAAAAACAAGTTTTTTCTCACCCGATCTGCCATTTCTGAAAAACGTCTGTTAGGAACGGCAAGCAGTCACTTATCAGAATTATATGACACTCCCACGACAGCGGGTTTTCAGATATTATTCAATAATAGTTGACTGGGTATCTATTGTAATAGATCGTTTTACCTTTCATATGTTTTTCAAACGGAGGAAACGTATGTGCTGTTGGATGGTAAGAAATCCTAAGGGGGCTTTCGAATTGGGTCTCTCGCGGTCACAATATTTCTTTTTTTCTTTCATTTCAATATTTCATCATTATCATTATCATTGTTACTATTATTACCATTATATATTTTCAAAGATTTTTAATTCCATTTTCTGCGAAAATTCTTACAGAATCAACGATAATCAATTCTTTATCCGCAGTTCACACAAATGTTTTTCATACATTCAAAAGAAGAATCAAGCAAAGCTACCAGCGCACATCGAAATCTGCATTGCACTTGTGCCTATATCGCTATCACTGGCTATCACTATTTTTTACGGATAAAATCTATAAAAATAAATATCTAGGCATTTCGTGACTTCTTGTATGCCAGGGAACTTTCGGAAATATTCTATTTAGTCACGTGAATATGATGTAATGCTATCCTAGTGTGACTTTAGAAATGCAATTATCACTATGAAAAACTAAACTAAGCCGGTGATGTATGAAATTTAGCATCATTTAAACGAACTAAATCGTACTTCGCCTTTACAAATGCCTTTAGACAATCTGATGCGTGAAAGTTCCAAGATAATTTTCGTAAGTAAGTTTATGATCTTCCAATTCGGTTTGTTTTTTAAAACTAGTCTAATGCACCCGTCAATTATTCATTAATGTGTTTCACAGCATGAGTGTTTGATTTCAGCACATACCAAACATCCCTAACAATTTCAAACTCTCGTTGTAAACACAAAATCTATTTCAACATGCTCAGTTGTTATGAAAATTTGGTCTGTAATCTATTGTTCTACTCGTGATTAGTTATTGTTTTCTTATCATGCTGCACGCAATATAATAATAAAGTTCTAGTTGGCAAGGTTTCAAGTTACTTGCGCCAGAACACCGTGCCCCCATTTCTTTTGTGAGTCCCTGTCCTAGGAGAGCTAAAGTTAAAAACTTGCGATCGTTTAACCGACCGGCCATGTTTGATTTGGAGTTAGAATGGACGGTGGTGGTAGGGGGCGGAGGAAGGACGAGAAGACGTTATCTTCACTCCCCTACCCCTACCCCTCTCCTTATTATTGACCGTCGACCGCCCCCTTGGTAGAAATTTTGTTCTCTCCCCAGCCTTCCGCTGCCATAGAAATCAAAGATGGCGGCCGTAATTTTCGTTAACAAAATAATGAGCATTCGCTCGCCAAAATTACGCCTGCTCTGCAGGCTAGGATGAACCCATGAACCATAGATTACAGATAGCCTACTAATCATCTTTCCTCTGAAGCCAAACATTACCACTATGCTTCTGACAAAAATCCACATCCGCCCCATTCACAAATCAAACTAACCATGCTGGATAAATTACCGTCGAATATTTGACTTAATTTCGTTTTTCGAGTGAAAGATAAGAGATTTTTTAAATGAAGTAAAAAACACCTGTTTCTTTCAAAAATGTCTAAAAAGCAAAATATAATGGAACGAGGTTGAAAGGTCGTTTTTTTTCAGCATCACTGATATATTGGAACTTTTTATCATTCTATGTCAATGTGTTTATATGGCCGTCCGAGGTAAATGTAGCTCACATAAGTAATTCCATTTATTTTGTTAATATTTTTGCCCTTCTTGCGGGGATTTTGGCCTAAATTAACAGCCGAGTTCTTTAAAACAGATATTGCGCATGCGTAGTTTTAAAATACACCATAAGGACAAAAACATTGCAATAGTACAGAATAAATAAGGATACCTGCGTAAGCATTCTTCGTGGTCCGGACGGTCGAGGGTTATCAATCCTAGAATTCTTGAACCCCCCTCGTCCACTCACATGACCACACTTCCGTTTTCACCTTTTTCTTTTCATTATCCCTTTTTTTCCTTGGTTATGTTTGTCAGTGGAAAGTCTTTCTTAAACCTTGCTTCCCTGTCCGAGTTGCATAATCATTTATTTGTCATACACTTGTTGGGAAATGTGTGGGTTTACCTGGTTAACTTTCGTTAAATTCAAACTTTTATGTTGAAAGTGTTGAGAAGCAAATCAAACCAACAACGAAAGCAATTGTGAAAAATCAAGAACGTGGTCTAAGAGAAAACAAGATCGTTTGGGCTACATCGTCACTATTACTAATTTGGCGCTGAGTTTATCTAATTAAGTCTCTTTTCTTGGCCACGAATAGAAAGAAAATACATTCTTCTTGGGAACTTGTATTCAATGTGAGCAGATCTCCCTGAAAAGATCTCCCCAAGCATTTAAACGAAATAAAAATGACAAAACTAATGGCAATTACGTTGGTTCGCGAGAACGTGAGGGATTGGGATCTAGATAAATTTAAATTTGGTATCGACCAATGGAATACAGGATTATCAAAGCGGAGCCAATCAAATGGAATATGGCTTTTCAAACACGACCGTTTACACTTTTGGATAAAGTTCTTTCAACTTTTTACGAGAAGTTTGTGATGGGAAGTAGTGTTGGAGTACTTTAAATATAAGTAATACATTTAGCCGATTGGTTCACTACAAGAAAATGCAAGGAGAAAAGTCTCTAGCCGTTGGAGAAACAGTGTGGGCAATGTGGCCGGGAAGCAGGAAATATTACGAAGCTACAATTCTCAATGTCGGCAAAACTAAGGTTGAAGTTAACTTCAAAGAAAACTACAAAACGGAAGTCGCTCTAAAAAATGTTTACGTGAGTATAATTTTTATCTCGCATGCAAACGTGATCCCTTAGGTTTAAAAAGAAGCTTGATGAAAATCGGGCAGTATTTTGATCGTTTTAGCGAACAAATGAGACTGTGTTTATCTTCTGTTGCGGGAACACGCCATGTTGATGGCGTTGTTAATACCTCTCGTGAAATTTCCCTCATTCAATTTACTTATAGGCTGATAACGTAAAATAATAATACTTTTTCACATGCAATGTGCATCGTTGAATTTGCCTCGTTGAAAGACTCGATTGAGCTGAGCTACACGACTTGGGAAATTGTAAACAATTGCTGTACGGTCCTTCTTTCATGAACGATTGATTCACTTTAGAGTTTTAAAAGCGACATTGTATCGAGGTAGAACTTAAGCTTAGGTCTAAATATTTGATGTAAGTTTCTTACCAGAGGTATCCTTGCATCTTTTTGTAGAGGCAACTTCCTTTTCGTTCCCGTTCAACGTCGCCCGCGCGATCGCCAGCACGGAGAAGGTCTCGCTCGCCAGGGCGAAGATCCCGTTCACGATCACGATCTCCGGCAAGAAGTCGGGGACGTCCTCCAGCCCAGAAGACGTCGGAAGAAAGTCTTGTCGCAAAGGTTAAACAAGAAATAGCGACTCCGAGTCGGCGTTCTTCTAGAAGAAGCAGAATGCCCGAAAAAACTGTAGAAGAGTCTTCGACTTTAACCACAACTGTTACCAAAGACAGTGCGACCGTTACTACCACGCGTGTGACTCGGTCTGTCACGAAGAAGCTTATTGCAGAGGAAAAGGAGGCCTTTCATACACCAGAGGTCAAGCCAAATCCAATGAATAGCAGTCATGGATACGAATTCGGTGGCCCAGTTGGAGTGTGTTTAATGATGATCGGGCTTCCTGCAATGGTTATAGCGTCATACTTGTTTTGTAACAAAGACGGATGCTCAATCCATCAGCGCCCATCGATTCCACAAGTTTGGAGCTTCACTGGAGGATTTTTCGACATTGGTCATCTGATTGTCCTTGGATGGATCATTTTCCAGGCGATTATTTACATGTTGCCCATTGGAAAGGTAACTATTTATGTCTTGTGACATTTCCTTACATATTACGTGTATAGAGAAGTGTTGAATTCGCCCTTGACCTTGATCACGTGGTTTAGGGAAGTCTCAATTGTATCAGCACATACAAAAAAGTCTTCCACGTAACTAGTTGAATGCAAAGCCATTTTAAGGACCATTTAAAATAGTGAATCACACTTTCAACAACAACCCTCCTCCCCTATTTAATGCTACTCCTCCCCTTTTCAATACTGTATAATCTCAGAAAACATGGAGAAACATCGGTCAAGGGAGTAACTCTCTAGGTAGGGGTGTGGGGAAGAAATAATATTCCTTCCAGCGTGAAAAATATGTAGGTTTTAATTTTTACAGTTATTTAAGATTGTCTTTCAATGTCTGAAAGCCACAAAATTTTTTTTGTCTTCAGCCAGATGCAGAAAAATTTAATACTGATTCAGGTGTCAATTTATATTCTCCATAACTGCACTCTTGAAATATCTATCTCAGGACTATTTATCATATAGCTCCACCCAGTATAGCTCAAAAGGTTGTGATGGTCTTCTGTTCAAACAGAAAATAGATTAAAAAAATTCTTAGCTAAAATCCCAAACCATAAAGGAACTGTTCTTGCAAACATGGTAGTATTCACCAATCTGCAAATAAAGCACATAGAAATTTTTAATTTTATTTCACATGCAATATATGGAAGCAGTTCAAGCACTCAAGCTTTTTTAATCATGATGAAGTTAAGCACAACCTGTTGTTGTCTGCCATATTTGTTTGGTGCAATATTGGCTCACAATCTAGTTTTTTGTCCAGGTCATCAAGGGACGAGTGCTTGCAGATGGAACATGTCTTGATTACAGAACAAATGGTAAGAAAACATTATTTACTAACGTGCAGTCCATATGAACAATTTCTGATAACTTGCTAACAGCTTGAGAAATCAACTGTACCTGTAAACAACTGTTTTAGTGTCCTTGCATTCCCAGTTTACAAATTGTCATTGCTAAATTTGCCTCATAGGTTGCAAATTCAGCAACCCGGTTTAGTAACTTTTAGTAACCTAGTTTTTATTGTTTTAAGTTTTGTATCTGACTGAACCACCCCTAGAGAAAAGTGATACAGGATGATATTTGACACAATTAAACACTGATAGTCAATTTTACTTCCATATAGGTTTCATTGCCTTAATCCTAAGTGCAGTTGGGTTTGCAGTGTGCCTTTATTTCAAAGTGCAGGTTAGCATGGTCTATGACACTTTCATTGGAATCATCACAGCGACTATCTTGTGGTCTTTTATCGTAGCTGTCATTGTTTACATTATGGCATGCCAACAGAAAAGAGGTTTGGCTCCAGGAGGTAACACAGGTAAACAATTAATTGTGATGAGCAATATTTATCACTTATCTGAAATTACTTTATTTCACACTAGTGTTTCTCATATACCATATGACATGTTAAAAGTTTACCTAAACCCCAAACTCACAAGTTAAGAATCAATTATAGTTTTCATGGATAGAAAAGAATGATCTTCTAAAAAGTTTATACACAGGAATCAAATTTTGTAACAGTGACGTGATGTCTCCTGGAAATGTTGGATTCAACTCTTTGTTAGGGTTGACATTATTTTCACCATAATTAGAACTATTCCCTTGTGTTTTTAATCAGTGCCTAAGCATGCAAACAATTTTTTTCCTTGCCAGGTAATGTGATCTATGACTTCTTTATGGGACACCAGCTCAACCCACGATTGGGAAAATTTGATTTCAAATTCTTTTTCGAAGTCAGGCCTGGACTAATAGGATGGGTAAGGGAAGACTCCTATTTTCTGGAAAACTAAATATGGGCCAGGTTGTTCAAAGTTAGGTTAAGATAACCCATGGTTAGTGTGAAATCTGAGCTTTAAAAAGAAAATTCATTGTAATTGTTTTCATCTGGAATGTTATCATTGGATGCTCTAAAAGAAATTGATAAAGTTACCCAAAGGAACAAAGGAATCAAAAGTGCCAGAATTAAAATTTAACCTTAGGTGAGCACTAATTGACCTTTGAACAACTGGTGCCAGTATTTAAGTTATAAGTTATTACTTTGTATTTAGGGTGAAGTGAATTTCTTTCATATGAGCCACTTGATAAGTAAAGGCAATAGTCCAATGTGGTTTGTTATTTTGCAAGTGAGTCACTAGATTACTTACTGAATTGTATGACGCTATATCCTTTTACCAATAAATCAAAAGTATGACAAAATTTGAGAAAACAGTTAATTCAACAAAATGAGCAACAACAGCATGCAAACATGAAGCATGCTGTTCAATTTCAGAGGTAGGTATCTACTGTCATATTACAACTGTCTTATTACAAGCAGGACATGTACACTAACCTATTAGTGCACGAATGGGATTAGTGATAAGCTGTCACAATTGAGAATTTTGTTATTGTTTTAATTAAATAGGTAATTTTGGATCATTACATTTAAGTATGGTCAGATTATTCTAAACTTCATGGTTAATCACTTGTTACAACAGGTGATGATCAACTTTTGCATGGCTGCCAAAGAATTCAACAAGAGAGGGGAAGTTTCTCCCGCAATGATGCTTGTGTGCATCTTTCAGTTGATATATGTAGCTGACTGCTTATTTTATGAGGTGAGTACTGTGTGCATAAAGATTCATTTGATATTCATGCACTCAAACTTCTATCTATGGGCACCTTCCTTTATAGCCACTCTTTGCCTGAGGCAGAGAACTGTTCATACTTTGTTCCTAATGACTTTTTGGCTCATGTACCTGAACATAATTATACTGTTATTGTTTTAGTCTTCCATCCTAAGTACAATGGACATCATTGATGAAGGATTTGGCTTCATGTTGGCATTTGGAGACATATCATGGGTTCCAATCATGTATTCCATACAGGCGCGTTATCTTGTGGATAATCCAGTAATGATAACAAATCTTACAATTGCTGCAATAGTAACTCTATTTGGTAGGTGCTTTTAGACTTATACAGTGCATACATACAATTTACCTTAAAACTTCATATAAATACATATCATTTGATCAGAAATGGCACTGTGCATACAGTGTGAGTGATAAAGCGAACCTTGCCGTTTCTGCTACTTTCACTCCCCCTCCTTACTGTCGCTTTGTAAACCAAGTTATTTCAATGTATAAACATTTGGTGGTGTATACTGTCTTAAAATCATGTCCATTACCTGGAATTAGTTCTTTACCAATGATGTACAAGCTGTGATAGTACAAGTCAGATATTATAAGCTGATATGCGTGATAAAGTTATATTTCCATGCCATGATATGATATTTATTTGATATTTCCTTTTTATTGCTATTTGTGATAATGATTTATCGTAGAAGGAATTATACGCCTAGTGAACTTCAGCTTCCCATGAAGATTTCTTTCCAGTAAAATTGTCTCTGCAAAGATGGTGGATATGATGCGTTCTCGAATATGCTTTATATTTAAGATTGAATGGTGATAGAGGATGGCTGGATGTTCATGTAACCATACATGTACATTATCTGGTATAAACATTTAAGGTTTCAATGGAGTTTGGTCCTTTTTTCAGTTATTGGGTATGGGATATTCCGTGGAGCCAACTCCCAGAAGGACAGATTCAGAACTGATCCTGACTCTGAGGAGTTCCGAGGTAAAGCGTCTTAATGCGATTACTTTAAAGAATAAAAATACCTTCATCTGCTTGAGAACATTACTTTTTTATGAGAAGGCTACTCAGTGTGGTAGTAGGGTGAGATTAAACTCCATCCTGACAGGGAAATATATTGCCTTCAAGGAGAAATATTTCGTTCAAGGAGGGAACATCTGTAGTTAATATGATATTGTTGGTGGTAATGACTTTATTAACCCTTACTCTCAAACAGATGAAGAAACCATTCTAACCCCAACTGGTCGACGACTCCTGGTCTCTGGCTGGTGGGGCCTGGTGCGACATCCTAACTACCTGGGTGACATTATTATGGCAATCGCTTGGTCCATTCCTTGTGGTAAGTCTGAATATGAATTAAAATGCACAACACATCTCTCTAGTTTCTAGTGAAAGATTGTGATTCAGGGCAGACTTTTGCGTCTGGAAAACTTTTGTATCTCACTTACCTTCTCACGCGAATTTGCGAAGGCGTTACCTTCTCGCTTCGATGTAGAATGTGCTGCGCTCACGTTCTTGAGAGGCGGATGGTTGTCGGAAGCTGAGAGTTCTTTCCTTGCACGCACAACAAGTCGTTGGTCATTTTGAATCGTTTATCTAACTAATATTAAAAAAGGGTTTTCCAGTTCAGTAGTTGATTTCAAAGCGCAATAGACGTAACAGCAAAGCGTAAACGTCCGTGCTCTGCCCGGGTCTTTGCTTCAGTAAGGACCACGCTGCATCGTCTCCTTTGGACTCTTTTCCCGTAAACTCTTCGAGTCCACTTACAACTTTCTTCTTGATTTTCTTACCAGGCTTTTCAAACCCATTCCCGTTTTTCTACCCGGTGTATTTGACAATTCTACTGGTTCACCGTGAATTCCGGGACGAAGCAAACAGCCGTCGTAAGTACGGAGCAAGCTGGGACGAGTATTGCCGGCGAGTGCCCTACCGCATTCTACCCAAGATATTTTAACTTTCTTGCGCTTATCGTTTTAAGGTTTTTTTTTACTCTGTGAAACAACCGTCTCTACATTGCCTTTTAGAAGTCTTTTTTAGTGTAAAAGTTTATACCATAAAAAGTATTTTTTAACTTTAAAAATCAAAGAAGTGGCCGAGGAAATTCTGGAAGGTAAAAAAAAAAACACATTTTAGTAGACAAGATTTTTCCGAGAAGTTCTTTTCTATAGAGATTTTTTTCGCAGAGCCCATGGCTATGAGCCTATGGGTATGATAATATATTTATGTAACTTTCGTTTTGGCCATTAATTGTGTCGGTTCCATATGAAGAAATTTTACTCAGACATCCATTATATCGTAATTTTCGATGCATGCATGACAAAAAAGCCCAGGATATATATTAGTTACACTATACACTAAGTAATTATGTGCCTTGCGAGGATCCTTGCCAGCAGGCTCTCATTAGCGCGAGATTCGAGCCCTCAAGTGAAACAAGCGTACCAGAGATCTACTAACAAGTCGTGCTAGAAACTATGTGGACCTCTCGCGGGGTAGGAACGCGCGACATCGCCGCTCGTGTGGCAGCGCAAACGAGAGCCTGCTGGCAGGTTCAATGATAGTGATATATTTAGATTAAGAACTTGTTTTAAGGTTATGGTTAAGGTCGGGACGCAATAAGCGACAAACTTACTGCGATAGGTCTCTGCTTCCGAAAAGAGTTTCACTGTTACTGTCGCATAAGCTCAAACCTGTGTGAAATTATACAAAGAGCTGTCAGAATGAAGGGTCGAAATTACCACTAGTGAGTCCCCTTCCCAACTGAAAATTGATATTTGGTAACCGGTAATTTGGAGTCTAGTCGCCAGGAGACGATTAACTTCACGTGATGTCAACGTTCTTCATGTAAACTAGTGCTAAAGATACGAAATGTCGGTTTTTTCGTTTTGCTCTTGCATCCTCAACAATTAGGGATATGAAACCTCTTTAAAACTTCGCAGTTTTGTATTGCCCCTTGTAGGAAAGATTTAAGATTGGGGCCTCTATTGGTAAGCGAAATTGCTCCATCTGGCGACTGAAACAAAATTGTCACTGTACGGGACGTAAAGTGACAATTTTCGGCCCTGAAAATTCTGTCACGTGAAAGAGGATTTCCTTTAAAATTAAAGAAATACGCCGTCGTTGCGACTTTTGGTTTAGTGCATCCCGACCTTGATGTTTTAAAGTGAAAAACAGTGAAAAGCCCATAAACTGAAATCAAAATCACTGTATAATTACTTAACCGGAGAGCATGATAGCCGATCTTGCTGACCTTTTTAATGTAGGATACGTATCGACACATTTCTCGTTGTATAATACATCTAAGTTTACCTTTTACAGAAAGTCTATGGCTACTTATTTTTGGTTATACAATCGAACAGTCCCTGACCATTCGTAATAACGCCCGGCAGAAATGAAGAAGTCTTCAAGACTGACGCAGATGAAACTACAGCTATATGTAGTTGGTGTTTGCATTAGTCGAGGCAGCGAGAGGTTCGGGTTATTTTCAAGGGATTGAAAGAAACATAGCTTGTCATTCGTATATTAGTATGAGAGGGTTTGTGCTAACGTGTAGCAAGGAAAGTTTATTGCAAGCTCAAGAAAATGTTTAATCAGGCGTGGAAAATAATCTAGGACTGCGCCGGCTCTACCTCATTACGCTCTTTGATTGGTCTAGAAAGTTCGTGCCAATCCCTAACCAATCGCGACTTAGAGACTTGGCTCCAGGATTCTGACTCCACTTGAAGGTTCTAAGAAATATGTTTGAAAAAACAAACCAAAAAATATACGTTAAAGCCTTTGGAGCTGTAAATTTCTTGGACAGTAACCCTTTTCGCTGTTAGAAACAAATACACGAAGCAAACCATCGTGTAGAATGAGCAGCAATGGCAGTTAAAAAACGTACGTCTGTTGAAGTATTTGATGCCTTTGTTTCGCAGGGGTAGTCATGTACATATATGTATGTAGGATATAAAGTTGTCATTTGATACTTCGCCCTGAGGCTCACCTTTTTCCTTTAAGACTCCATTTCTCTTGAGTGCTTTATTTAAGTGGGCTGGGGTCGGATCGACTCCTGTCCTTAGCTGGATTTTTTTTTATTTTGGCAGAGTTGTGGACCCAGATCAGTTGCTACACTGAAAAAATAAAATTGAAAAAAAACAAACAAAAACAAAAAAAAAAAAAGACGAGGGAAATATCTAGGCGACTTTACCGAAAACGCTTGGTCCGCAAAGGATTTGTTATATGACAAAAATATTTCGCCTCAATGAAAATCAAAATGGAATTTTCTTTTCGGAGCAGTGGGAAAGAGAAAAAACTTTGATGACGCCTGCTCGTTGTTAAGTTGACAATTCTTTTCTCTCTTCTGCTGTGTTTTAGGATTGGAATCCATTGTCGAAATTTTCCAAAAATTTCGACATTTGTAAGGACCTGTTTACATGGAGGTGGGCAACCCCAGGTAGGTGAGGTAACCCGCCTAGCCGTGGTCGAAAATGCGTTTACATGCAATCTTACAACCCCGGGGTGCTGAGGTGAGGTTTCTTGAGGTTGTTGTTGCACTTGCAGTTAAGGAGTTTGAGCGGAGGTGTCCCAAGCACACATCTCGCAAAATACGAAAGATTAACTCTCGGACACATGTATTTATTCATGAAAGCGTCACACGTTGTGTTACGCGGTATTCGGCCACATATGGTCGATATACAGCGCCAAATATTCCGAAATGTGAACATTTTACACTCCTTGTGTGTCCGTTGCGGTTTCTGGTGATTTCTGCCGTGAGACGGCTAGGAAATGTGCAAAGTTTTAAAACATGCATGTTTCGCTTTTGAGCTTTTTGCCATGAACGCGACCCCGGCTAGGCGGGTTACCCCACCTTGACACGTTTACATGGCAAATTGTCACCCCAGCTGACAGGGTTACCCTACCTGGCAGACCAGGCAACCCGCCTAGGCGGGTCGCCCCATCTATCATGTAAAAGTGATCAAAATAAAATAAGAAATTATGTAGACAGGAGGGTTACCATACCTAGGTGGGTTACCTCACCTACTTGGGGTCCCCCACCGCCATGTAAACAGGCCCTAAGTCCGCCCTCGCAATTTTTCTTCTTGCACAGGACCAGAGCAGGCAAGATAGGCCCATCTTGCTCGCTCGAGTAGCCAATTAGAACACAGAGTTGTTTTATCTTACTCAAGGTGGTTGACAGCTCTATACGATATAACCCCATGCCACATCGAGCTTGGAACCTTGGTTTGACTGCCTTATGTAAAAGCGTGAATATTTCGTGCTCTTTGTGGTTATTTAATGTCAAAGCTATTCTGGTCTGCCCTGACATCACAAGTTGTTTAAAAATTTTTCTTCCTTTTAAGCTGATCAATTCGGAAAAGAAACTGTTACTGCTTTACCTATTTTTATCAATGTTACCTTTGTTAAGGAGGCTCCTCAGGGTCTTTGCCGAATGTTGGCGCGCGCGCCAGCGTATTATATTTCAAGAAAAGTTTTATGTTTTCGCTTTTCAGGGTCGCTAAAAGCTATCAAAAGGGCGATGAGCAAGGTTCGGACTATCGTTTGCTGTTGTAAATATTATCAAAATGATTTTTGCTATTAAGCTAAGGCTCCACGAAGGGAGGCACTCAGCATTGATAATTTGGCTTTGCCTTTGATTTTCTTCGATTTGCTTCGGTGAATTCTCTCAAAATGTTTACAATTTGTGAAATTTGTCCTGTCTGTCATTTAAAAGCCGAAAAAATAGGGGTTATAAAGTCAGCTTCTTCGCTATGTGAAATTTTGTGTTTTTTTCCTCTATCTCAAATTTGGTCTAATGATATTTTTCCATCAACAGGCACTAGGAAGGGTACAAATATGTTTGACGGTCCAGCGAATCTTAAAGGTCCATTTCCAACCTTGATGCAATGCGGTCGTTTGTTTTTGTTTTGAACCACCGCTTTTGTTTAAATAGTGCCTCTGATTGGTCAGTTATTTTAACCTTGTCAAGTTGTCTCAAAATACCTTCTGCGTTTTCTCCGAAGAATTTGAAGAGCTTGCCAGTTCTATACGTTTTAATCCGGCATGGAACTAGATGAATCCATTGATTTTGTAGGCAGTAAACGCAGTAAATTTTCTTCGGATTATTCCGGACAAAATTCAAAATACTGTAAGGAAACTGTAAAATGACGAACGGCGATTGTAATTACCGTGAAGCAGATGACTATATGTCCAGGATGGCTATTCAGGAAGACGATTTTAGAAGGTTTTCAGTGATCTGGGAATTTCGTGTTGCAAGAAATTGGGTCGCGGCGCGCGTTGCATCAAGGTTGGAAATGGGCCTTTAAGAAATTGCACCGAAGGCACGATAAATCTTGCTCGAAAGTTCCCTATTTTCTTTGTCGCAAAACATTACTTGATGAAAAAGAACTCCGCCAAGGTCTGAACACACATAAACTTTTAAATCTGTCGCGATCTGTCGCCTTTTGGGGCTTTTACTTGGTGTAGAAGACACAGTATACATCAAAATAGAATTGCATCACAACCCGAAATAAGAAAACAATGAAAACAATGGCGTGACGCAACTGTGCCTTCTACCAAGTAAGAGCCCCTTCTGGCAATCTTTCTCACGGTGTTTGTCTTTTCGGTTGACCTCTTTTTCAGGCGTAGAAGGCCTATGAATATTACGGGTACAGTTTCTGGAAACCTTCGATTCCATCACATGAAAACTGTGTCGTGTTAAACTTTTTTCAGATAACAATCGTGCGATCGTATTGAGCCGCCATGTTTTTTTAGCATAGCTCGCCCTATGTTTGCACCCAGATCTCGCGCTGTCAAAAAACAATATGGAGCCTCCTTAAGAGAAAAGTTTAACGGCTCTGAGATGAAAGAGGTTGCTTACAACGAGTCAATTGATCGGCGAGGAACACGAACGTGGATATGTCCAGGGGAAAATTCGTTTCGTTATTTCTTTTTTCATTGGACATTTTAAAGAAAAATGATTAATTCGAGATACTTTTGAAACTTTTTATGGTGGTACCATTGTGCAAGAAACGTTGAAAACAATACCATAGACTGTCAATATAATTTACACCAAAATGAGACATGACTGTTCTGCACTGAAATGAACAAATTATGCAAACGATACATAAACGGATTTAGACTTTTTAATCATATAATAAGCTCGCTCTCGGTTAGGAATAATTATAGCGGCCCTTTCCCTTAGAGTCGGTTCCTGAGCACAAAATTAAAGCAAATAAATGTGAATACGATGGAACTAAAAAACTAAAAAGGAAAATACATAACAGAACCTGTTAAGTAAAATTTACGAACCTTATCGGTGATATCTTAGCCCCCAATAAAAGCAGGTAGGTAATAAATTACCTATATGACGTTTTGGTTTGTAGTATCGCTCATTATTTTTAGTCCTTGTTTTGGCTATGACTCGCCTTGTGTGCTTGTCGAAATACGACTCAGCTCGTAAATATACTCAGCGATAACGCACGTCAAAACGCGGACCGTTAAGAGACGAACACTCTTCCGTTAATAAACAAGTTAATGTTACAAATTTTCTTCATGCTTTGACACTATTTTCCTCAGCTACCTTGCAACCGTTTCTTCTTGGCTGACCAAGCACATTTAAAGTAAGAAAGAAAGTTTAATATGTATACGCAAGTATATTTTGAATTGTTGAGCGGTTACCATTAGCATGAAATATGCACTTGAAATCTTGGAAATTGGTACTTAACTTCCTTCAACCTTTGTGAACGGGTACCAAAGCAAAAAATTAGCCCTATTCTAATTGTAACAGCAATTTTCGGGGGGGGGGAGGTTCTATTCAAATAGCACAGCAATGCTAACATAGGTGGTAAAAGCGATAAAACGTAGCGAAAAACGTGCACAAACTCCATTCCCTCGTTCAAAACAGAGAAAGCGCAAATTCCCCATCTTTCCCAAAGGTCTCATAGAGTGCAGAGATTACGGTTGTTTTTAAATGTCATAGAAGTAAATTTAGAATCAAGTTTTTCGCGAGTCAAGTCTGGATAAATCATTATCTAGTTCTTACGTGGAAGGACTTTGACTCGACTAAATCCACTGCCTTGAATTTATAGTTAAAGAGGCCGGCAGATTGCAAAATGTTTCTTTATATCCATGTTGGACATAAGATACCTCCGCTGTGTTGACAACACACATCGGGCTAACCCATTGTCTGGGCGTTATAATTCAACAAAGCTGTTTTCAGCGAAAGAACACATATCATCAGCTAGCAAGTGCAGTCTTACCAGAACTGTATTAAGTAACTGTTTCGTTTAAGTCTAGGCTCAGCTTGGTCTTAGTTGAGCCACTAAACGAAGAGATTCTCTTGTGTGTTATAAAAGATTTATTGAAGCTAGCCTCCATTCTCACAGTTATGTCCTTGAAAACTTCAGGCGACTCACCATGCTCTTCCAAGACACGTCGGACTAGTGCCTTGAGCAGGTCGAAGCAATGAATAAGTTCACCAGCGCGCACTGGAATATCCAGAAGCCTCAATGCACCTGCGTTAGGCTGAGGTATCTTGAACGGTTTTTCAAGAGAATCCACGAACTCCGAAAGACGATCCAAAGGTAGGTAAGGCTTCCCGTCTGGAACAAACGTACCCCATGTGGTGTAGTAACTGTCAAAATTCTCTTTGGTGATGCAGAAGTCTTCGATCTCGTGAGCGCGGTTTACATTCTCGAGGATGATGGCGATGTACATGTTAACAATGACCAAGAACACCACAATGACGTAACTGGCCAAATAGATGATAGCGCCGAAAGAACCGCAGTTTCCGTGAGGAAGTCCCATGTAGTTAGGGTCACAATCTGGAGGTTTTAGAAGCAAAGCGTCCATAATGTCGTTCCATCCCGATCCCGTTGCCAGACGAAACAGCAGCAACAGCGAAGTACCAAACGTTTCAAAGTTGACGACATCGTTGAGCTCGCCTTCTCGTTTGACATTTCCAAATGCTGACATACCGATGATGGCATAAATAAAGATCACCATGAACAGCAGTGTTCCGATGTTGAAAAGGGCTGGTAACGAAATCATCAGAGCCCACAGGAGCTGACGTATTCCCTTAGCAAACTCTACTAGTCTTAGCAACCTGGCAATTCTAAAGATTCTGAGAACACGCAAAAGACTGGGGCTGACAGTGCCATCGCTCGCACTGAACTCGTCGAGAATTACGTCTGTGGAACAAAATAAGACAGCTGCTACCTAGTTTATGAAAAAAGGCTAAGATAATTTAGGGACGCAGAAAAAATTTTCATGGGCCTAGGACAAAGAAAAAATCTCAATCGAGCCACGGGCCTTCGTGCTCACAATCGGTCAGCAGTTGCAAGTTTTCTAGTTGTATCTTTATGATGGCCATTTTTCATCTTTTCATCTTTGAACTACAAGCCTTAAAAGGCTTGGAACGGAAATTGTTGCACCACTCGAAAACTTTTTTGGCAGGCTTTGATTTCGACGAACGTCTCAAAAAGTTCCTATTTCTGCAAGCCAGACTCTCTCTATCAAGATCTGCCTGCATAAGATCGTAAGAGCATGCTGCAAGATTCGTAAACCTGGTAGTGAGGCTAATCCTAAGGCAGCCCTGATTTCCACATACATTAGAAATAAAAGAGTCTTGCCCAAATTTACTTCAGAAATCTTTGAATGATGATCAAATTGTACATGCATGTCTACTGACATGGGCTAGACGGGAAACATTAGTCTGGAGATCTTTTCGTCATGACCGAGAACCAAATATTTTACTGTTCGGCCCGCCTCGACCCAGTCGAAAGACATTTTAGCTTACCACCACCTTTGTCTTCATTCTCCTCGCAAAACAGTGCATATACACTTGGCCGTGCGAATTTCTCTGCCTCTACTTCCCTAATCGCCTACTGCCCCCATAAGGGGACGTTAAGGGTAAAATGTCGATGAAAGTGCAGACTGGGCTGCATGGAGTAAATGATAAGGAAGCCTATTTGTTTTATGCACTTGTGTAATAATTGTGTCGCTGCTTACCAACAAGGGAGCTGATAACAATGATGAAGTCGAACACATTCCATGGTTTCTTGAAGTAGTGCAGTCTTAATGTCACAATTTTGACGAGGGCTTCCAGAACAAATATCCCCGTGAATACATAATTAGACACGCGTGGACCTTTCAGTTAAGGAAATTGTTGTTTCAGGGTAACCCTATAGGGCATGATAATCATTTTAGGGAGATAAGATCAGTTGAAAAAAATCTTTATCAAGCAAATGAATATGGAATGTCCTGACCTCACGCATTTTTTCTTCTTCGTGAAATGTAGTTCTAATTATTGATGGTAAACGCTCTCCCTTTCCTCCCGTTTTCAGTCCTTTGAAGTGGAGTGGCCAGAGGTTTTTAATGCCACTCTGAGAAGAACGGCTAGAGGCGCTTGGGTGTGAAATAACTCAATGGAAGAAGTTTCCACCTACCATAATTACAGAAAAGTGGGCATTTGGATAAACCAACAGAACTATGTAAAACTCTGCCTTAATTTGGACTCTGAAAGGATATGTAATACGCCGGTGATCTCGGTAGACTGGCCATAGTGTTGAATCGTCATCATTACCATATTGCACATGATCACAGTTAGAATTGCAATTTCGAACTTGTCACCAGTGACCACATCGTATAACAAGCCAAATAATTTATCCTGCAATAGAAATCCGGAAAAGTTCATTTCCAAAACGTTTCGGGGTGCATGGATAATGTGGATGAGAGTAGTATTCATGAAAGTATTTACGAAAGTAAGTTTTTTCCTTGGCAACTTCCCCTCGACAGTGCGTCCCTTTCATTGAAAATTATGATACGTTTTCCTTGTAAAGCTGTATTTTCTGGGAGCAAAGTTGCGATCATGCGTTCTTTTTTCCACTAGTTAGTTTCCACACTTCCGAGTTTAGCTTTTTCACCGAAAAAAAGAACGCCTGATCGCAAGTAAGCCCAAAAGCGAAAATGCCAGTTTTGCACATGTATTCTCAAACTCATTAATAATTCATGCTGAGAAAACAAAGGAAGTTACAACCGTGAAGGAGGTTTGGATATGTGATCTTAATTATCATAAAGTCTGGTGAACTTTTGCTTTGATTTTCTCCAAGAATTATTAATGGTTTGAGAAGCTATATCAAACATTCGAAAGGGTGTTTCATCCGATATCCAAACACCTTGAAGTTGGTTAAAAAAAACTCGGCTGCACCTCGTTTTCTCAACCACTTCTCGGTGTTTGGATATCGGATGAAACACTCTTCCTCGTGTTTGATATATTACTTCGTACACAAGAACCTGTCATCGTCAACGACTAACTTTGTCGGCGCTAATTGGTTATAGACGCTTGTCAAGGGAATGCTAAGGTTGAAGAGAAATCCCGTTCAAGTAATGTTTCTTCCGTTGAATTTTTTTGGCACTTATACAAAATGTGAACCACCAACACGTTCACCTTGACAAGAACGAGACCTAGCGTTTACATATATCTGTTGCGACCCCTTGAGATCTAACCTTCGGGCGAATCTGTCTTGTCGGTGGCTTTTTCTTGGCGGCTTCCTTCAGGAAAGAGACCCATTTTCTCTGCGTATCTGTAAGTAGCATCCCCATGCTATTGAGTTCTTCGTACTACGGTAAAAACGTCGACGTAAAAAAACCCAGTAGTTAGCGGGATAATAATCTGACTTCAATCACTTTGGAAAATAACCATCTTTAAGGATAACGAATTTCTTCGTCCAGTTAGGACGATAGGTATAAGGAGAACACGTCGATTATCATTTTTTTTATTGGAACATATAATTAGGGGAGTCGCCTATTAAACTCCTTCCGGTGATTTTTTTCATTGGTGGATGTTTTGGTACTATATCACTCTAACCCTTCTGGTTGTATGTATGAACGGAAGAACTGCTTAGAGGGATGAATTGTCTCTAATCCATATAGGGACTCATTCAGATTTCAGTTCAACTTAAATCCTAGCATTGCTAATCAGAACATCCCTGCAAGGAGAAAGGGGAAACCTGATATCATTGAAATGCTTAGCGAAAATCTTAGGAAGTACTTTGTTGTCCCCATTTTGGTTGACACCAGAATCAGTTGGAACGAGATAACTGCTGGTAGAAATATCCGTTATCATGCGATGGTGTACCTTCTTTTTTAACGTGTTGAAGTTGTCGATGATGACTCCGACGAAAAGATTCAGTACGAAAAAGGAACCAACGACTATGAAGGCCACGAAGAAGCTGTAAGCCACTAAGTTATTTTCATACATAGGTTGCAAATCCACCTACAGACGGGAAAAAAGCAAATTCACTGATGAGTTACTCAGGCTAATGGTTACTTTTAGGAGGTAATTTGAACAATTTGTAAACGTAATGTGATTACCATGTGAATTTAATGCTATATTTTTTGTAATCACTATGCAATGATTTAGAACAGGACAGAACAAGATTATCCTCCTATCGGTCACTTGTCCACTTATTGTCTCCGATTCCAAATTTAATTCGTGGCGCTGGTATTATTGGTGAGAGGAAGAGCCTAAGAGAAAACCCTAGCCGTAAAGACTAATACAAATAACACTTCCGGAAATTGATCCCGGGCAACAGGGGAATACACCATTGCTCCCCACACAGCATCGTCTCTGCTCCGCCATGCAATGGCGAAGTGATGTTTGTCTGATCATATTGATAGAGAATTCTTGTTTTCGTAATGATATGAGAATATAATTCTGATTTAACTCGAATGTTATTGAATTTCAGGCGCTCTGTTACCTGCGCAGAGCAGGTGTGCTCTCCAGCAGTTGGATCCCACACTCGATTTAATTGTGCTTTTTCTTGCATACATCATTTACAACTTAGAGTTGTCAATAATGCTCATGTAACCAAATTAAATGTAAATACAAACCTCAGTGGAGTCGACGGCGTCTTTCATAACTTCCATCCATCCTTCAAAGGTCGCCTGAAAACAGAATAATGTAGTTCAAAGTCTCAGTTTGGGCTGTAAAACGTCTTTCATCCATTCGCATTTTCTAATTTGGTATGTTGACACTCCCAACCTTTTCCACAATGAAAATATTGTATTAACTTTGGGACTATAGCTAAACAAAACATTGTGAGGTAATGAGCAATCTACTTTACCAATCCGATAGAAAGCTTTAAGGTGCCTTGGATGATATCATCTTACCACTTGCATAAGTGCGAGGAATCCTGCAAAAACGTTATCAAATGTCACTTTAGAATTCACCCAGCGAAATTCTCCCGGGTGCTTGAGACATTCTTCTTTGTTAGGGATGACGAAGGCGGATAAAGGCTCTTTGTCTGCGTCCACACACTTATAAAACTTTCCAGCGAAAAGATGAACACCAAGAATGCTGAATATTAACCAGAAAAGAAGAGAGACCAGCAGTACATTGCCAATACCTGGAATAGCTGCGAACAGCGCGTTTACCACAACCTGAGAAGGAAAATGGAAGCAATCATTTTATAAGAACGTCACTATGGTGTGCAAAACTTCATGTGCTTCTGTGATGTTGTTTTCTGAAGATTCCATGCTGAGTGCTTTTCTTCCTAAATGGGACATTAGCCACAGTTACGTCCTCCTAAGTTTCATCATGTTGGTCTAGCAGTTTCTCATATCTATGTCAGTATTCTCTTGCGTTTTAGCGGCACTGTGAGATCAAAGCGCATGGTGTACTTGCCACATCATCGTAGCCCCAGTTATAGCGAAAGTTGTGGATCGAGAAAGACTTCTCGTAAAAACAGAGGATTTAAAGGACTGGTCGTTATTTATCGCCAGAGGGGTTATTTCACGATAGAATTTACCTGATCCCCCCAAAGGTTCTGTTATATTCTTATAACCCCCCTCACTGGCAGTTAATTTGGTAATCAGTTTGCTATAGTCCCTCCTTCATACTCTGTTGACGACAACTGATCCCCACACCATTTCCCCTGAAAAACCATGTCTTCCCCATCCCACTTACCCAGGCGATAAATAATGACTAATCCCTAAAAAATTGGAGACACGAGTTTTGTTTGTTTAAGGGGAGGAAGTACATATAGAACCATATATGCCCTCAGCTGCTTCAAGGCTAACTCGCAGTTAACGTATTACCCTCATTCCTTCCAGTCGTGAGATTGCTCTTAGTGGCCTCAAAGCTCGTAATGTACGTAGTGAACGAAATACAGACAGGTTCTTGTTTTCGAAAACACAGGCGAGAGAGATCTGTATAGAGGAAAAGAATTGTCATTCTATGCAGCTTGGGTTCACAGACAAGTGATTAATTACTTAAAAATTCTTAGCTGTGGAAAACTATCTATTCTCTTGCTGTTCGAAAAGAGGCCTTTATACAAAGTTTTAACGCTGGGATAAAAAAGAGTAAGGTGTTGTTCGAAGTTTTTAAATCAAATATCAAGAGCAATACCGAGCTCAAAAATAAATTAGCATTAACTGACCAAATTCAATCGGGAATCCAAAATATGCTTTCCCACGGTCATTTCTGCTATCAAATTTTACTCTGACTAAATTAGTTTGGCTACTATTCTTTTAACATCGCAGAGAAATGGAATAGCTCACTTCTGAGTTCTCATATGTAGAAGGTCTGATGGTTAAATTAAAGCACTTGAAGGAGGCTCGGTGCGTTCTCGTGCTATATTTTTGGCACCAGATCTCTCGTATTAACTCTGAAATGGCCTATTGAACATGTCAGGCAACTTGATATACTCACGGAAACAATAAAAGCGTCCAGACAGTTCCAAGCGGAAGAAAAGTACTTGATGAGTCCAAAACCAATGGCTTTCAGAATGAACTCCATAGTGAAGATGGCTGCGAAAATATAGTTGCATATTTCCAAAGTCTTTGCAAGCTTCGGCTTCTTGTGAAGATGAACGTCTTCAAAAATCTGAATAACATTGAAAGGCACAAACTCAACCTTCATAACTATTCTACTTTCTGGAAACACAGTCTTTCACAGCACCAAGACAATGGGAGCTCAGCCAAAAACCTCCTTGAAACATATAAACGTAACACGTTTTGATTCTGAGCATGATAAGAGATAGTGTTGGATTCTTAGCGTTTAACGCTAGTTAGGAAAAGACAGCGCATTTGAAATGACTGTAGAAGGTATTAGTTACTAAACATCCACTTCATAGGACTTTAATTTAAAGATATGGCGACATATAAATCGTAAAGTCTGCCATACCAATGCAAAGCTGCTGAGGAATACTGTAACAAGAATAAACCACTCGAAGTATTTCTTTTCCACGAGAACCCGCACCCTGCAACGGAACTTAAGCCAGCAGAAATGTCGCGAGGAGAATGGTTTCCACAGTGGACACTCCATGCAATATTCCGGCAGACAGTCATCAATTTCCATCATGTACCGCGTGGGGCGGTTGGCTGAAAGACCATTGTTGGCCTCAGGTAAAGTTTCCTTGTTCTCTGTTGAATGTTGCTGAAATTGTGAGGTTGGCAAGTTTGCTTTGTGTACGGGTTCAGACTCAGATCTCACCATGATGGTATTCGCATCTTCTTCATCAATTTTGCGGTCTATGAAAGAGAAGTGTTTGATTAAAATCCATTTTCAAGGAAGGTGGATTAGAGATCCTGCAAAACAGTCGTCGCTCCGACAACAACAACAACTACTCCTACTACACAAGAGAGTCTTTATATATATCCATAAAGTGTTCTGGAACATTCCAGAAGCTTACATAAGAACTATTTTAGTAGTATTACATTATAAATACGTGACTTGATGAAATGTTCTGGAAAGTTCTATGGTATGCAAGTTAGTATGACTCAGCAGTCTGGAAATTTCTAGAAGCATATATTTACATTAATTACTCATAACAAGGAAAACCTCAGTCCGGCAAAAAGTGTACTATAAGTCGTAAAAGGCTTACCTTTAAAAGTGACATCCTCAGCCATTGATTCTTCACGGTGATCCGCGGTTTCGCATATTGCTAAGCGGCCCGCGGTATCTTTGCTGGAAAAGCGGCTACTTTCCAGAACCTGCAGTTCGTAGAGGCGAAACGGTTCCCGGTACTTTGCTACAAACAATCGAGATTTTCTTGTTTGGAAGGCTTTCCTTATCCCCAAAGAGCATTTTGACGGACCATCTGCAGTCTCTGTATCGTCATTTGGCTCATTATCGGTCTCTCTGAAGTCAAACGCATTCACCAAGAGAGCTACGAATAAGTTAAGCACCTGAAAATAAGAAAAATCAAAGGCTGTGAAAGATCAATTTGAAAACTCTAGCTACCATAAGGAAATATGGGATAGTCTGCTGAGTCATCCATTGTATGTCAACCATCTATCCAGTTTCCAATCATTTGGTCAGGTAATTGGTCGGATAGCCAAGCAGTCAGTTAGGCAGTCTGTCAGTCAATCATTCAGTCAGTGATGAGTTGTAAAAAAAAGAAGGATTTGGTATTTTTCTCCTTGCAAAGTTTTATACTGCAAAAGCATCTTTTAGCATGTAACCATCACCGTCGTCCGATCAGACTGCAGTCAAAATAAAATTTAAGAATGTTAAAAAATGTCGGGATCGAGACATTTCTTTTTTAAAAAAGGCAAAAAAAATGGAAAAACTATTGCTTACTATGAAATTTCCCACAACAAGAACAGTAAGAAAGAATAGTGTCGCCTGTCCTGCACTGGTGGCCCTCATGCAGTCCCACAGGGGCTCAATCCACTCCCCACACAGCACTCTGAACACCATCATAAATGCGTGCCAAAAGTCGTTGAAATTCCAGCGAGGTATTCCGTCTTCGCCAAACTTCTCCACCGTATAAGCTTTACCAAACACCTTTATTCCCAGTACGGCAAAGATGTAGATTACAACGCTGAGTATCAGTGTAATGTTTCCAACTGGTCCTACGCTCCTGGCGATGGCTTTCATGAGCCTTTCCATTGTCTTCCATGACTTAGCTAAACAAAGCACTCGAACCTAGTGGATGAAGACGTTTTCGTCCTTAGGTAAATATAGCTTACACCGTGGTGCAGTCAAGGCATATCGACTGTCAAAAACTACAACCCTGGTTGTAATCAGTGAGGTTCTGTCAGAAAATCAGCTTATTCTAAAAAGGGTTCACTTATGATTACTTAAATTGGTTGTTCAATCTGCTTACGGCAGACAAATAACCATTCATTGGCCTAAGGCTACGACATTTTACAAGGGTCTTAAAGAAGCATCGATGTTTCATTGCTCGCAATGATTGCTGGAAAAGACCCACTGTGTTGATCGCCTTTGAGTTCTTTTTACTGCTGAATCACGTATGAACGAAATGTTGCTGATAGGACTTGAATAATGAAGAAACACATAGTTTGTTTCCTCAGCTAATTCAAGTTTGAACATGATTACTCACCAGTCTCAGTGTTCGAAATATGCTAAGCCCCTCAGCAGATTTGTAGAAGTACCCCAATAAACTACCTGTGACGACAGTAGTATCGAAGACGTTCCACCTGCTGCGGATAAAACCCATGGGTCCCATGGCGATCAAACGAAAAACAATCTCAACTGCAAACAACGCGGTGAAAACCTAGGTGTGATTGAGGAATACATTGATTAGCCAAAACGATAACCTAACCTAACCCAAAGCGATATTGACGTCATTGTCACCATCATCGTCAAACTCAAAAGAACGTGGAATACAGCGATGCCAAATATTTTTTGAAAGGGTGAATTTAAGTCCTTCGAGCCTGTCAGTCATTCCTGCAAGAGCTTATCCCGATTTCTGTTGCTTGAAGCGGCTCTGAATGCCTAAATCGAAAGCTGGTTATTTTTGTTATCCAAAACCCATTCATACACCAGGGTGGAAGAGAGTCAGGGTGATGAGAGTCAATTTAAAGAGCTAAGCCCAAGACCATGACACCATTGACCCCTCCGAGACTTTAACACAGGCCCTTCAATCTGGGGTTGATTGAGCAAACCATTAGTCCATCTGGTTTCTTAACGAAGATAAAATAAATTGAGTCTCACTAAGGAGAAATCGGGATCAATCAAGGTATTGTGGAGTTTGCATAATTATCACATATCTTTATGATTATAGATTTTCCTATATTATAAAAAAATCATGGAGATTTGAATCCCGGTATTCTTGGTCTGCTCACCAAGTTCACGTAGTCCAAGACCTGTCGAAACTTTGGATCGATGCCATGGTGATACAGGGCCAGAACTATAGTGTTTAGGAGTATCAGCACCACAATGACTGCATCAAAGGCAGAGTGAGTAGTAATATCACGCATGCGTTCGCGTAAGTTCTTCCAAAAGGAGTTTGTACGAACAACAACTTTACATTGTACTTTGGAAACCCTCCAGTCATCTCGCTGCACACAAGCTGGAATAAGGCAATGGCGTAACGTGGAGCTTTTTCTTTCATCTTCTTTGGGCAAAGATTGCAGAGGGGTTTCATCGGTACGTCCTTCCTTGGTGTTGTTAGTTATAATGAGAGGAGGCTTGCTTCCATCCAGGGGGCTTAGACGCTGAAGCGTTACTTGATCAGCTTCGTAAGAAGCTCCGGTTTTTCTCAGATGTGTCCTTTTTTCTCTCTGTTTAAGAGTTTTCAATAAAAGGGGATGAAAAAAGCAAGTGATAGTTTATCATCGTTTACAAACTCACAAAAATCTGACTTCATATCGACTTCGTCCTACTGCTTGATTAGCAGAGAAGAGCCCGCCAATCTCCCATTCTGGAGATCCTACTTAATTCACAGTTGGTACAAAGCAACCTGCAGTGTTACCTCTTTCTCCTCCGAACACAGCTCCAGTTCGTACGACAAATATACCACAGCCAAAACCAGATTCATCAGGTAGAACGAACAGAAGAATATTCCAGTCATGAAATATGGCACATAAAGTGCTCCTGAAGCCCTGATGATCTAAACACAACAGCACATTGTCGATTCAAAGCATAGATAAAAGTCAATCAAATGTTCATTAATTAAGATCAATCGGTTAAAACAACTTGCTGACGCGTAAAAATAAATTGTTTTATTTTGGGTATTATTTAAAAGCGTAATACAAAGAGGGAGGTACAATCAGACAAGTGTGAGCTAAAAACGAAAAATTATTTGTAGATGACGTGCCTTCCTTGCTCACATACTTATAGATAATCTAAAAAAATCAATAGTTTTGTCCTAATCTCAATAACCATGGAAAAACCTTACTTTTCTAATTTCATAGTTTGGAAGATCCAGTTTTGGCTTAGACCAGCGGTACCGTTGGAATGACTTGCAGTCTGCCTCGCAATCATTTCGCAATATAAGATAAAAGTATTGCCTTTTTAGCGAATAATTACAATTCCCTGTCAGATCTATTTGATGTTTTTTGCTTTCCTTTTGATCGGCTCTACCCTTATCAAACATTTAGCACTGTGAAGTCCACCAGAAGACACGAGACGAGATTATGATGGAAATTGAGAGAAAGATGGATCAATTTTGTGCCCGAAACAAACCCTAGGGTACCTTATCATATACGTTCTCCCAGAAGTCCATTGTTAGTATCTGTAAAGCCATGACCAACGACCAACCAATGTTATCAAATGACGTGTAACCATGATCAGGGTTTGGACCAGCGTGAGGCATACACGTGTAATTAGATGGACATGATCTAAAGTTAAATAGCAGTTAGTTAATCGCTACACAATTTTTCAACGCCTAATTATCTTAGAACGTTGGGAAAAAAAGCAAAACACAGATAGACAGCGACTCTCTTCTGCAGTAACACAAACAAAAAATTATGTTAAGTCCCATTAAGAGAGGTGCTGTAATCAGTATTTTGAAATAATGTACGAATGATAAAAGGTAAATTGAAATATATACACCCAAAAATACATGACGGCTATTTCCATCATTAGTTTCAAATACTGAGATATACTTTACCCAGCAGTTGAAGAATTTCCACAAATCAAAGGCTCGCCTTCATGAATCAACCAAAAGCCTGGAAGAATTTGTTCGTTTATTTAGATCTAATTACTCTTAAAGACCACTTGCATCAAAATCATTATCAAGTTTTGCTTAAATATTGCCTTTTCTAAATGAATATAAATCAGGAAAAGGGTTCTGTATCTTAGCTGATACTCTCTTACTTCATTAAATCCAAAGCACTGCCAATTCACTTTATCGAGAGTGATCTAATTTCTTGCTTTACACTGAGATAAGCTTTTTGTGCAAGCTCCCATAAAGATGACAGGAAATAATATAGTCCACGATACTCCTTTACAAGAAAATGACAACAAACTGCTTTGGTGCGTTCAGTGGTTAGACCTTTGTTCAGTTGCTAAGGATATGATTTCCCCTTAGCGTGGAGGTTAATTTCCTGTGGAGAATTAACTAGAATGACCTATGATTTCTTTGTTATGACCTAAAAGAGCAAACTCCCAAAAGTTTACGTGTCCATAAGGTACAGGTAGGTGTAAAGAATAGATATGAGTGATAACGTAACCGTTAAAGGTAAAAAGGTATGAGAAGCTATTATATCTCCAAGAGTTATATCTTGTCCTTACTATTGACTCTGGAGACCAGGAAGCACGAGCAAAAGCTTCAAATGTATATCAATGTTCGGTTAGCTTCCTCTCCAAAGAGTCACCTGTCAGAAATATATATCAGGCTTTCTTTGCTTCAAGATTTGTGGGGAATAGAAAAATACGTTTGGAGCCGTTTACTCCCTCAAACTCTGTTACTTACTTTGGTTTAGGGCTCGTTCCTGCATGCTCAGGGAGCCATTGAATGGTGTGTTAAGAATGCACTTGTTCCTGAGCTCTCCAGAAAATAGTTGCAGACCGATTAGCGCCATGACAGCGAGAAAGAACAAAAACAAAACTAAGACATCACTCAAAAGCTTCAAAGAACGGAGTAAGGTGTTCACCATCGCTCGGAGACCTGAAAAAGGAAATGAAAACCTAATAAAATGAACGCGTAATGACACAAAAGTGGTCAATAGTTGTGCTAAAATACACCATTTCAATAGATAGTGATGTAACTAAACACCAATTATCGAACAAAAACTGTCACATAAATTAAAAAAGAAGAAAAGAAATCTCAATGAAGGGTACAGCCAAAGCTGGCACTCTATAATGTTTCCTGGCGAAAACTGGCCTTATTCGAGGAACTCATTCTTATAAATTTTAAATTTTCCGTCATCTTAAATGCTTCATTTAAACAATCATTTTAAAGTTCATTAGCTTCCAGAAAAACTAAGTGATTTTTATTATTTCTTCTAAAGAGCTTCAGGGATTGATGTCCCTGGCACCGGTTAGACACATTTCTGCGTACACTGTGCATTTCAGGATAAGTGGAAGAACAGCAACATAACAGAGCTCATTTGGGGAAAATATGAAACAACACTCATAAATAGTACTTTATCCAAGGAATTTCTTACAAACTAAATGCAGTCTCTTTTTTAAGGTTAATATCTTAATGTACCTTTCATGGCAGAGAACGTTCTAAGGGCTCTAAGAACACGAACTGTTCTGATGCCTGTTAAATTGGCAATGTTGGGAGCCACAGTGATGTACCTGTCGAATCATAAGTTAAAAATGTGGTTACATTTGCTTGTATTTTGATTACTACCACGGTTTTTCGAGTCCAGATAACGATGTCCAGATATGTTGAGACATATCAATAGATAAATTAAAGACATCAAATAATCAAAGCGAAGCTTACATTTCTTCCGTAAGGTGGAAATGATATTTAGGTAAACTAAAATGGCTAATCCTAAAACTCTGTCATTTAACATCGTGCTTGTCTAGAGGTTTCTTAGACTATGGAGGCACCTAAATCTAATTGCATACCAAGCGAATTCAAGCTATTTTTGGAGCAACTCACCCTAAGACAACCACAATAAAATCTAGCCAGTTCCATGCATCCCTGAGATATGCATAAGTGTGAAAAATGAATCCACGTGACAATATCTTTAGCATCATTTCCAAGGTGTAAATACCACAGAAAACATATCTGAAACAAGAACAAAATGTTGAACAAGTTCAAAGAAGTGATGTATCTGGAATGCTTGAGTTCGAAAAAATGCTGCAGCAGTAAATCTACGAGGCCTCGGCCAGTATTGGTCGGCATAGACCTTATTTATAATACCAATCACAAAAAATATTCCTTGAGCACTGGCTCACGAGAATATGAACTTGCTCTTTTTGTCCGTTTTATTGTAAATCAGGGTTTTCATAAAGCCTCCTAAATTGTGAGATGCATTTTTCAAAATGTCGATGAGTGCACAAATGAAACTCGGAAGTAGATCATTATAATTCTACAGTTATTTGAAAGATAATTGTAACAAGAATATCATCGTTCACTCACTCAGCTTCCTCTGGTGCACATTCAACTACAAGGAACACACAGTTGGCGAGAATTGTGAGGATAACGAATGATTCAAAATATCTACATCTTGGTTACGGAATAATCCTTTGCAACTACTTTTCATAAAAAAGTATGCTCACGAAAGTGACTCGCCCACGAGCAGCTGCGTCGAGAATTTTTTCATCCCTAGTTACCATAGCACGATGTTGAATTAGGAGTCTTGCTAAGCCTTAAATGCTGGTCTATTAGTCCATTCCAGGTGACACCAAGTTATCTGCTAGCATCCCTTACAAGAAAAAAAAGTCCTCCCGAAAACTTAACGCAATGCCTAGATTTGAAATCGGCCTTTAGATTGGGAACTAAGCCCTCTAACCATCGGCGAATCTCTGTTTAATTCAGAATGACAACTTTCTCTTGGGTAAGTACATACCAAACCCTTAAATAGTACTATCTTCCCAAAGATACGACGTCACCCGGGTTGAAAAACCTTCGTTTGTACCTATGATTTTTTTTAAAAGATGACTACACTTATACTTGTGTTGTAGCATCATTTTGGGCAACGAAAAGAACAACGATCAAACTTAAATTTAATCTAACACCAATTGTCGATAGTGAAGAGCGAAAGAAAAAACTACCGATAGTTGGTTCTTTTCAGTTCGTCATCCAATGAATCAATAACATCTGTACCACTTCCCCGAAAGAAAACACCTATATTTTGCTATTGAAAGGATACCTATTGGTAACGACACTAATTGCCAGCTGCCTGACGGGACTGACAGGTTCTAGTAGACCCAACGCCTTTGCCTTGTTAAATCTGTACACGTGATCAGCTCGTGAGGCTCCCCGACGACGAATTACAAGAAAAGTATGATTACTGGGGATCTGCCGAGAAAAACAGAAACAAAACAATAGGTACAAGATTACTTCAGGTATCACAATGTCAGGAGATTTAAAGTCATGCTCTGCATTTTTAAAAGCACTTAGCTGTTTACGCTAAGTACACTAATTGGCGTCGAAGGCGCCATCTAGGCTCCAATGGACTGATGCCCAATATTCTCAGAGAAGGAACAGGTGGAGTAATTAGTTTAAAAACATTTTTGATTGCCAAATCATTGAGAAATTTTTTCTATCTAAAAATTCGAACAACTTCTACCCCACATTCGATTTCATCGGAAACTGAGTTTCCAACAGAGGTCAAAAGGTCTGAAAATTATTTATTATTTTCTCCTTAAACAATAGAATTTCGCAGGAAGGGAGAAACACCGTTTCGGTATGATATTTTTCTAGATATGGATCGTATGTGGCAAAATATTTCGATTTCAGGGCAAAGAACTCGTCATTATACGAATCCAATTATAATAACCAATCTATCTTGGTGTTGATACGTTCCTAAGTAGCTTTGGATGGATAAGCTTCATTTTAACGATCAGCCGCTTTAATCTTATACAGATATCATCTGATACGAATCAAGTTATGGAGCACGTCTCTATGCAAATAGGACATTAGTGTATCTTTAAGTCTACACGTGCCATCACTTATAATGAAAACAACTCACCCTTCCATTAGTAGCATCATAATCTTTTAACGGCTTTCCGATATAAAATGAAGGGACCCGAGCAATGCTGGTACTTCCTGGCTCTTTATCTGTGTCCATCTCTGGGTCCTCAGCCTCGGTCTCGAGTTCCTCAATATGAGGATCTGAAGCAAAATGGACTCTTTTCGAAGGCGACTCCTGGTTGCACGAAGTCCCAGTCGGCTCTTTTTTATCGACAGATTTTATCACAGACCCTTTGGAAGTCTTGCCTGTCGTATGATTAGGGAAAGATTTTAAAATTCTAAGGAACAGGGAAGCTGTAATCGTTGTTTAAATCTTTGTGATTTGCTACAGTAGGTCTTTTTCAGGGCAAAAGTGATGAAAATGGGACAAATTGTCGTAAAAGCGAGAACCTTATGTAATTTCATTTTCCATGCCTAGTATAGTGATCCTTTCTTGGGTTTTGATGACTCGTTAGCGTATGCTATAAACCAGACACACAAATATTGGTAATATTGTAAATAAATTATTCATTAAATATATCTCCTCTTACATTTAAACATCAATTTGACGTTGCGTAGGTCTTATGACTAGAGAGATCTGCTAGCCACTATCTCCAAGATGAAAGAAACAAGAATATTTTTCATATCATTAAAGAAATTCGGGAAAGAGCAGAAGAAACATACTTTTGCACAACTGAAGTCACAATTGCCACCCATTTTGAACAGAAATTATTGGCCATCAGTTGTGTGTCAATGAAAATTTAAAACGTTAGTTTGCAATCCAGTTTCCCTTTTTTTCTCATGATACTGAATTTAAAATCAACTGATTCCAGCCTTTAGAGATAAACAATCTTCTGCGACAAAAGTTTGTTAAATAAGGCTTGTCGGTCGAGTCCGTGTAAAAGGAAGATGAACGAGATACAAATGTGCTAATCATGTTTTTAATTATGAACAGAGGATAAAAGGAAAGGAACTGAAACGACAAATGCAAGAATTGTTCCGTGAAAAAAAAAAATTACAATCGTCGCAAATATGTTAAGGCAAAAAGTATTGGAATTCAATGATTATGGGTCGCAGTTATCGAGAAGATACCGAGCGTAGATAGGCTCGACTCAGTCATTACTGAGATGTAATAATTGTCAGGCGGGAAATTACAACACGAAGAAAATTTAACCTCATCTTAGCAGATTAACGGCAGCTTTCCAGTGCGAAATGTTTGTTCGAATTTGCAAAGAGTTAATTCATCTTGGAATGTCCTGGCTCGAAAAATTGACAAAGTGTTTATCTTTGTGGGCTTAGGCTAACACGCGAACACACTATGTCGTTGCGGTTTTTTTGTTTTCGAATGTTAAAGTTTCATAAAAAAAACCATGCATGTACATAAAGATCCCACCTGCGTCTAGAAGCCCTCCACGTTTTTTGATAATTCTTTCGCCGTCCTCTACTAAGCAGAGTTTTGCGGCATTGAGCTATTTGAAAGTGAATATTTCGATTACTAACCGGCCGTAGTAGATGATGTAATCAGTTTCTTAGATGCAAGCCATTTGAGACACATTTGCAAACGTGAAAATTTTGGGTTTTACAATAATCATGACTTATTCATACAGCTCTTCAGGTGATAATAGCGAATGAATATTGGTGCATTATGTTCTCGGGATTGTGACATGTCAATAAAACGCGTTGACTAGACGCTAAAAGATGATTTTCTTTGTGCAATATGCATATGACTTTTGGCTGAAGTTTGATTGTTTTTCCTGTCAAGTGTACGCCCCTAAGGACGCGACATAAATTGCTTTTCGATCCACTTAAATTTCCGTTTACTTAAGGTTTGAGTACCTTACTTTATGATATATTCATGCTAACGATGGTTCTGTGCGTTAAAAGTGATTCGGCGCAGTCAATTTAGTGTAAACCGTTGTCCCCATTAAATGTCAAGAAAATCCAGGTGAAATCTTGAGTAAGTGATTCCTCTAATGTCCTTCAATATCGCGCCCCCTATGTGACTGTAACTTCTGCTCAACTGAGTGTTTCGAAGCCAAAAGTAAACAAATCTTTATCAAAAAGGTAAACTAAGGTGAGCTTTTCTCCTCAAATTGCTACAAAAAAAAAAAATAATTATCGCTACCTTACAAAGGTGCTAAAAAGATATAATTTTTTGTTTACTATTTAAACCCAACAGAATAATAAATCCAGCTTAATCATACAAACCTATGAGAGAACTTTTCACAAACATGTTGTTGTTTGGGAATCAACTCCAAAGCTCTTAAGCCTTTACAGTCAAGGTGATATTTTCACGGAATGGAACCCACAGTTAAGCGTGTTACATAAAAGTGGATGGCATTCGACTTGGAGAGCGACGTAATTTGTTCAACACTCTACCTGCCCGTGGGCTCATAACTTATTGATTCTAAACTTGTTGCCTGGTGGCAAATCAGTTCATTGGATGCCATTAGCAGTTTAGAGACCCTGCCCCCTGTCGTAAGATGTAACACTCTGTAATTCATTGTTATTGTCATGATGGAGGCAAAACTGTAAGCAGTTGTTTTGTTTCTTTTCATTTCCAGCAACGTTTACAATTCAGCGCTCGACCCGCCTTGATGCGGATATGTAGAAATCATTAACTCAATTTTTTGAACAGAAAAACGCAGAGAGCCTGGTTTTAAAAACACGTTGGAAAAACAGAAATGTTTGGGAATCTATTTCTTCAAGGACAGTTCATAAGAGAGGAGTGAATAAACGAGAGGCCGCCCTCTCGATTATTCTGAGAAGCAATCAACTGTAGGATATTCAAAACTCAGTCGTAAATTTCGTCTACCTACATCATTCGCCAGAGCCAAACAAACCTTGTAAAAAAGAGGTACCTCTGAGGCTTTTGAAGGTTGTCACTGAGGATTTCTTTAAGCTTACGAATGTCTATATTCTTCCTGTCAATAACTTCCTGCAACAATGACTGGAATGGATTTAACTATGGCAAAAAGGCATAGAATAACAAGAATAGTCTGAAGAGCAAAATGGTTGCTTTAATTCCTTAAGGTCGTCTTGAAATCAAAGCACACAAAACAAAATTGCGTAACACAAGACTTAACCGGTAAATGTACTGGCAGACAGTCATAGATATTATATAATAATATAACTCAGCATTTCCCTACGTGGTTATTGGACAGTTTCGCGCCTGTTCTTTATTCAGAGGAACAAAATATATTCAGCATTTTAAAAATAGTCGATTGCTAAACGTTTAGCCCCGGGAGATGCTTTAAAGAGTGAAAAATCCTTTTTTTTTAATCGTCAAATGAGAGAAAAAATTGGTCTACGTTTGATAAAATTATATGCCGAAGGCTTTAAATAATTTGCTGTCTGTTTTTGTATAGGTTGGTTAAGGCTTTGTATTGAAATCAATTATCTTCTTCTTTCTTTTGTTTTTCGAAACCACGCACAGATTATTGTTTACGTACTTTTCCCTATCTCCGGTATGGCAACTTAAAAGCTTTCTCTGATCGACATTCGATTACTTTAGTTCCTTTAGCCAATCAAAATCAGTTTCGTCGCTTGCGTTTCATTAAAGGAACCTGTTACTAGATTAACTGGTTGTCGACACGATGGCGACTGGACGATCGAAAAGCGTGGGGAAAGTCACTCTGCTCCGCAGGTAAGTTTGAAAACTTTCCTGACAATCTATACTGGATTATGCGAACTGTTTCGCGACCGATTTGAGGTTGAATGCGGCCCACATCCTGTTGATTGTGGTTTCTCTGGCAGGCTATCTGACTGACATCTGCGGGTGCAAGCGACGGCGATTCTCGCCATTTGTGGTCTACATGCTTGTAACCGCATCATTGCAGGTGCGAGGCTTAAGAAAGATTTTGAAAATACTTTAAATGTCTCTAGTAAATAGCATCACTACAACAATGCAACTTCATTGATAAAAACAGGATTGCATAAAGTAAAATAAAGGAGGCAAGACAAAGAGACATAGTTATATTTTTGAGTCCAGACTCTTTTAAACCAATCGCGGTTACAAAGAAAGCAGTAAAAATACGTTTTCATTTGAAGCCGGAATCCGAGAAATCAATTTATTGAGAATGATATTAATAATGATATACATGTAAAAGCAAAATAACCGTGACGACAGCAATGAAAGATCACTACTAATATAATAGAAATTAGACTTAAAATTTCTGTTCCTTACATGGAATTGGGAATTAGGATTGACAAGACAAGAGAAGCCAATAAAATGCCAAGTTGTAGTCATCGTACCCTTACTTGTGATATAAAAATCTTTAAAAATGATAAGAATGTCTGTTGTCATGGATATTGAAGACAGCGATATCGTTTGACAGTGTATGAAAAGATGTTTTGATCACCTCAAAGCTTTAATCGTTTCGAGTGTTTGTGCACGTGTAAGCCAGCCATCTTGGTCAAATCAATCGAAGGAGAAAAGGTGATGTTTTCATTGAAAATTATGAGATCAAGTAAGTCGTGGGTCCGGGAAACACTGAGGTTAAGATACAGAAACGAGGTTAGACGCTTTCACTTGAAACCACCTTGAGCAATTTGTTAATCAGATCAGTTCTAGCTTCCGTAATCTCTAGCAAAATCGGAGTATCTTAACTAGAAAGGAAAATAAGCACGAGAAGACATACTGATGAAATACATTACTGAACGTGTTTACATGCAAAACTTTCCAAATTTTTTGGTTTAAATGGCCCATCATCCTAGGGTCAACCCAGTGGTAGAGTGACCGACGTCGACGTAGTAATCCGAAGGTTACTGGTTACACTCCCGTCAGGTTATTACTTTCAGAGTGCGCCTGCGTTATTATGAAATTTAAAGTATAATACCTTCCTTAATAACTTAAAGGTAAGATATTGCAAGATGGAACAAGACCACTTTTTTGAATGGTAAGGAATCCAGTTCAGGAATGGCCTTTCGAGTAATTATCAGGTTCTGGCCCAATTTTGTTAGACTTCAGAAATCTCTTCTTCTTCTTCTCGATTTTTTTTCTATCTAATGAAGAACTGATCATTTGAGTTTCAAAGCAGAAGAATGGAAACGTTTGAGGTTCTGTCAAACTTGTAAGTCTTATTTTACAAATTCGTCTAGGGGTTAATTAGATCTTAAGAAGATCTGAAGAAATTCAAATGTCAAAAAATATTTACTGGCACGTTAGAACAAAACATATATGAGTTGCATGACTCCCCGGCATGACGCGGCACAGCGCTACTTTTTCTTTTTCAAAGGTGTACAGTTTTTACAGGTATGTCATGGACAAAC